CACACCCACACACCACCACACCCACACACCACCACACCCACCCACCACCACACCCACACACCACCACACCCACGGGTGGGCTCTTCTACCCACAGCCCCACTCAGTTCCACCCGCGTACGGGTTTGCCCGCCCACAAACGTGCCGGGCGTGCTTGTTTCAATTGCCTAACGACATGGCCGGCGACTTGTAATGAAAAGCGCGATGGGCGCTTTAAGGCACGTCTAGTAGTACTTGGTGATCGTTGGAACAACAATGGGAACCAAGAACTTTATTCTCCCACCGTAACACAAGTTTCGAGCCGGGTGCTACTGGTGGAGAGTGCAGCACGCGGCTGGCATGTGATGCCATATGATGTCTCGAGCGCATTTATCCGCGCCCGCATCGATCAAAAAGTAGCGACTTTATTGCCTAAAACTTGGCGTGACAGCGAACATTACGACACCGGAGCACGCATGCTGCAACGAGCATTATACGGACCCCCGATGTCTCCAAGACTGTGGCGCCACACATATTCGAGCGACTTAAAAGGCCCCAAGTTCGAAGAAAGCGACTTACGTCCGGGGCTGTATATCCGACGAGATGCGACGGGAGAAGTCGAATATATGCTCTCGGTCTATGTCGGCGACTGTATCCTTGCAGCGAAGACGCAAGAAAAAGCAGAGGAAATGCTGAAGCAATTGCACGAACTTCATCCGCTTACAAGAATTCAAACAGAAGCGACGGAAGATGCTGAAGGCGATAGCGGCATCAAGTTCGACACGTTGGGCGCTGATGTATTTTATTCGGCCGAAGCAAGGAAAGCTTCGACTACGATGCCGAGCTACATCGATAAAGTTTTGAAAGAATTTGGCATGACAAAGTGCAAAACAGCAGAAACGCCAGGGTTTGACGAAGCTAGTTTGTGCGATGAATCGCAGGCAAAAGTTGAATTTAATCTACGACAAGTTACAGGAAGTTTGCAGTGGCTGGCTACCATGTGCAGGCCGAACATTCAGCAAGCTACTAACGCTTTGGCCCGCGTTACAGCACGAGAGACGACCAAGGCTACAGTGGCTGCTTGCAAGCACGTCACGCAGTACCTACAAGGAACAAAACGCGAGGGATTGGCGTATTCCCCTCGACGAGAGCAAGAGTTCGCAGATATTTCCCAGTCCTTGGCACAACATCCTGAGAACCTCCTAGAGCAGGGTAAGGACAACAAAAACGCAGAACAAACTACCACACCCTTCAAGCCTATTCAGTCATTTGCGGACGCTTCTTCTGCCTCTTCGATAGAGCTGAAGTCGATTAGTGGCATTGTGGCTTACCTTCGTGGCATGCCGCTATTTATGTTGGAAAAGCAGCAAGCAAACGGCCAGAGCAACGCCAACACGCGAGAGCGAATTCATAGCACAAGCAGACTTACTGTCTTTTTCAGAGGATGTTCACTCGATCAAGCGACTCCTTGAAGGAGGAGACGAAGCGAGCAGAGACTTGACGAGCGGACCTCCTTGGTGCGATAATCGTTCGGCGATTGTGACGATCAAGAAACCTACTTTGGCTGATGTGCCCAAGAAAGCGCGACACTTGGCATTACGTTTGGCGCAGGTGCGTGATAACGCAGCAAGGATGTGTTTTGTGCCGACTGAGTATCAAAGAGCTGATGCACTCACTAAAGGAAGTTTAGGTGCTTTAGCCTATAAAAACTTACTACACGTTAACAACCTAAAAAGATACACTAATCCTGAAATAGATTGCATTTCTTACATGGTTGAAATTCGTGGCACTAGTTCGAATTTTGGCTGCTATCTCATATGAAATAAAAAAGCGCCAGTTCCTAATTTTTTGTAAAATACGCAGACGCCGCATCGGTTGCGTATGCCCCCTATCGGGGAACTGCGTGGCTCTTTAGAGGGGTCGACCGATGGCCACGCTGGGGAAGACGGCCAAGCGTTCACCCTGTCCACGCCTTTCCCCCAGCAAGAGTAGGAGTCGCCTGCCCGTCTGCCTTTTCAGTGCAGCACCAGCGCCAGAAATGGCGCGGGAGAGCAGGGGCCAGCAGACCGCTGTGGGCCCTGGGCTTCCCCTGGGAGATCGCTGGCCATCTCCCTAGCTGCATTAAAAGGCGACAGAACATTAGGCATTAACTTGAAATGTTCTAACATTTTTCAAGGGGAAAAAAAAGTGCTCCAATGGGTTTGAAAATGGCGCGAAAAGGTGCCACTTTCAACCGCATTAGAACTTTTTTTTTCGACACCGCAAAACTCCTGACTCTAATGCGCGTGAGCCTAAAAAAGTGGGCATTTTTTTTCTAGCAGGACTAGAAAAAAATGCTCTAACAATTTAGGCTCACCACAAGCAGCACTAGAATCGGGACACTTTTGATCGAAAAAAAAAGTGTTCTAATGGGTTGCAAAAGGTGTCACGAAGTGGCGCCTTTTGCAACCCGTCGACGCCGGCAGAGACTAGTGCTTTTTTTTGTGTCATATCTCATTCATTAAAATTAGTGCGTAAGTCGAATTGTTTTGATCTTTTGACTTTCCAAATTACTGATTACAAGTGACACACTTCAGGATAAACGTTTTAGCGTGGTGAACTAGAAAACTCCCTCTCCACAGAAGAAAAGGGGGAACGTTGACACCCATCATCGTCTTACTTTCATAGTAATAGCTTTACTGTTATTCTACTAATCTCATTGTGGTGATTCATGTTAGATCGTTCGTCTATGAATATGGGGATCTGTCTTTCATTAATATTAGTACTTAAATGTGATGGCTCCCTAACTGGAAGCGAACACTAAATCTCCGCTCTAGTACCAAGATCATATCGTCACTGCTCTAGGATAAGGATGAAGATCAAGATCATAATTAACAAGCAGATCACTACCTAAGATCATCATAATAAGGATTTGACTAAGTTCGCCTGCTCCTCTATTTACATAGCCAAAGACGGCGAGCAGATCAATCACTCACTTACCTGGTGACGCTCTTACGAGCTAGGGACCTAAAAACCTTTACCTTGATGCTGATTGATCTAAAAACCTTTCATGTCTTTCCTTACAGGTATAGAATTAGTCTGGGTCTGAATAAAAGGCAACCGTAGCCATCTTTATGGGTTTACTGCGGTAAATAAGTGGCGACTTATTTCTGGCGTTCCTTCATTCGATTTCGGTTAAGAAAAAGTGCCAACATTAAAATAGTCAAACAGATCTTGGAATGCCTCAGCGCGACGCGTCTCAAACGCCTGAGCAGCGGCCAGCAGCGTGTCCGTGAACTGTTTCGTGTCCAAATCATGGGCCTTGTCCGCCAGGGTGAGCATCTTGCGCTTCAGCTGGCCGTTCGCCAGAGGAAGGCCCACCTCACGTTTCAGCGCGCGGCTCTGTGTGTTATGGGGATTAGGAGACTCATGATGAACAAAACATGATGTAAATCATGATCCTGAAATATATGACCACCGAAATGGAAATCAATGAAAGACTAATGCTCCTTCCTTGAAAAAACGATAAGGAATGTTCACAAACGAATCTACATGGGTCCCGTTTCTGTCTACTCCTCCGAATCAATACTATAACCAATCAGCCGAGCAATAATTTACGAAGTACCTTGAAACCACCCGGAACGAGCACCAAGTTGATCAAGTAGTTCAATCCCAAGAAGCAGGGGTCGGCAATCGTGAGGCTCATGTGTGTAGCCAGGTGGTTGAAGTACTGCAAGACCTGCGCGTTCACAATCAGGCACGGGTTGCGTTTCAAATCACCACCGAACAGCTGCGCGACACAGATGGTCATCAGCTCAAGCAACAAGGCCACACCACCGGAGGGGAGCGCCTCATGCATTTCCAGAGGAGCAAGAGCGCACGCAGCCTCTCCAGTCTCCATCGCGACACGGGAATCCTTCAGGCGAGACTCGCGGATTCCCTGAGTGCCAGCATCCAGCATCTGGTTGTTTTTTTGGAAAGTATAAGACCGGAAAACTGCAAGAAGATAAATCCCCTAAGTCTCTCCCTGATTTGGATATATTCAAGTATAAGAGAAGACGTTCGAGATGAAAAAGTTTACTAGAATCTTTGATGGGAGCTAGATCATCGATCTAAATTGAGCAGAAGCACCGCGTCGATGGTCTCGTGATGGAAGATTTTCAGCAGCAGGCTGGTGCCCGGTTCATTCACCACCAGCATAGTACGCAAGTCAGCCAATTGTTGGAGTCCAAGAATGGGATCAGCACCGATCGAAGCAGTTAAAAACTCCGCAAAGGTTTTCAACGAATTCAAATTTTGAAACTGGGTCCCATTGGTATCCATCCTGATAAAAGAACGTGAAAGGAACATGATACCAATATACAGAAACTAGTATGAGTTTGCTACTCCCTCACCTAAAACATAAGACACATCGCCCAAACTCGTGCCGTGCAACTTTAATCGTATAGTTCAAGTGAGAAGATGGAAGCTCTGACACACCAGCAACAACTTCAACTCCAAGCACCGAATCCATAAAATTGGAATAAAAGTCCGGACTCTCTCTAAATGAGTAAGATCATCAAAAATCAGCGCCACACTTTCACGGACAATAAGCCACGGCTGTTGTCCTGACTGTTGCCTTTGACAACACCACCCAAGAACGCCTCCACCGCGCATTCCTCCATTTCAGCTTTGCGGTCCCCGAGGGTCGAACGTTTCGCAATATCGTCGATTCCTCCGATCAGGTTAGCGGCGGCGGAGGGCGTGGCTTGGCTGATGCCGCGGACCAGGATGGAGCTCTGTTAGATTTAGATGAAAATATATGAGCACACTTATCAGGATGAACGTGACCTACTCCAGTTCTAGCAATTCATGACGTTAGAAACTTTCAACGTGCATCGTTTCCTCATTTAGATTCTCAGGAAGTGCTCAACTATAGAAGTGCTTCAAAGCAAAGTAGGAAAGTACCTCCATCAACGTAAAATCATCACCAGCAAACTCGTCCAAGGTGGCAGCCTTCAGCAAGTTGCCAATGCGCGTCCCACTCACAGCGCTCGCAATCTCTTTGGCCTTGGTCGAGAATCGCGGCATACGCATTTGAGTGCTTTGCTGCTCTGGGCAACGCAGCTGCGGAGGAGGAGGATGCAGAACTGCGGCCACAACAGCACTCTGGGAGCGGCGGTAAACGCGATAGAGGGCGCGCAACGGAGCGATCACACGGGGACCATCCTGCAGCTGTGTGGTGTGATTGTAGTTGTAGATGAGAAACTTTATAGATTTTGAGGAGGGCGCGAACCTTTAGAAATCTTCACCAAACAACGAAAGAGAAACTATGTCGCATTTGCAAAGAGTTCCACCCACTGACTTGTAGAACAAACAATAAGACCACTAGGATCCATCAGTCGCCACACTCGTAATAGATATCTCTAAGCAAGTAATGGCCTACAATTATTAAAGAAAAAACAGGCACCGCAAGCAAGACCTGACTGGCAATCAAGCGGGCCGCCTCTCCGCTATCCTCGCGCTTCAGTTGGCGTTTCGGGCGGCCGTTTCCGGCATTGCCCTTACCGTTTCCCTTTGCACCAGAATAGGGCCCCGGACGTTGCGACATCTTTGCCAAGTTGTTGATCCTTATATAAGGGCAGAGCTGCTGTGATTTTCGTTCAGATCCTGAGGTCTTTGAATGCTTTCTCTCGATTTTCGTTGGCTAATTTGGGATAAGCAGGCTGGTAGGATGAAAAATCAAGATAGCTTCTGGATTGTGGAAGTAGACCCGTACTAAAAGACGATGAGAAACTTTTCTAAATCAAATGCGCAACAAGTACAAACACAGTAGAAACGTATATACTGCAAGAAAATCTAGACCCATTTTATCTAAAAGATTAGCACAAGAAAAGTGAAAGAACTGCGCACGCACCTGGATCCTTGTGATGAACGCTAGAAACCCACGAAAAAAAGATCTGGTAGGCACGGACTAAAGCACGGCTGATTTTCCACAAGACCAAGAGAAGAACATGATCGGAATCTCATCGCACCGAGCTTACAGCGAATGCTTTTAATCAAGATTACACGAAGGTAGGCACAGAGGGAAAAAACTAGAAAGGTCTTTCAGTCTAGTACCAGAGCAAGATCTTTAGATTACGACACACACGTAAACACTACTGGCATAAAGCTATCTAGATAGCAAGGCGCAAGAGTTTTTTACATACTGAATGGTGTACAGAGTGAATGAGTTACAGATCATAGCATCACTTTGTCAGTGTTTGATCGGAACTCCGCCGCTTCAAAAAACTTTCGCCAAAAAATCATCCGGAAAAAATCACGGAAAAAAATCAGCCGCAAAAAACTGCCCACGTTGAACACCTCTACGCATCTCCGCTTCTGGTCTGGCCGAGTGTATCAGAGACTGTTAGTTTCAATAACTGACCGAGGCCCCTAGACTCAAAAACGCCCGGAGCATAGGTTTTTTCGTTTTTCTTCCAGTAGAAAACTCCGAAGCGTTACACTTCAACCAAAAGAGTCCAGGTATATAGTAGATTTTTTAGCGCTGATTTTTTGTACATATTTTTTTAAATTAGTTCTTCGCAGTGGATTTTTAATACAGATACTTTTTAGTACACATTTTTTCCGTGATTTTTTAGCTGTAGTTTTTAGATAATCGCTTTTTACTGGTAATTTTTTACTGATAATTTTTTTGCGCGATTTTTAGGGCTATTTCTCGAGGAAAATCTATCGGCGCACTATGTTGCATTTTAAACCAGTACTAGAAGCGCAGCACTTACATAGATCCACGCACTAAATCAGCTTGCTCACTTAAACCCATGCCATTGATTTCAATACTAGAAGAATGCCTTAGCTTTGGTTCCTGTACTGATTAACGCTATACATGTAAAACTGTACAGAGTAAAGATGTATCCAATTCTATGCATGTAAATTGTGAGCCTTAAGATACTGTCTTGATCTCCCCGGAGCGAATAATCCAAGAAAAGCGCCCACAACTTCGGCCGATTGATTTACCACTGCATGACCAACAAACCAGCCTACTCATCTTCGTCAGATGTTACAAGTTCCCAACTACTAGGAAAAAAAACCCGAAAACCTCCAAGGTGCCCGCGCATGTTTGGCAGTTTAGTGGCGCAACCTCTTGACGCCACTAAACTGCCAAACTCAGCCACCAACTTAGTGGCCCAAGTTTTGGGCTTTAGTTTCTTGGGTTTGGCACTTTAGTCGCGGCGAACACCCCGACCAAATGGCCAAACTCGGTCCACTATTCGTCACTATCCGTCACAAATCTCCCAGCGAACGCCACTAAACTAAGAAACTCAGCAAACTAGATGCTATTTCGCACATAGTTTCCTGAGTTTTGTAGTTTAGCGGCGTTCGCCGGGATATTAGTGACGAATAGTGACGAATAGTGGACTGAGTTACACCGTTTAGCCAAGCGGCTAAACGGTGAAACCCAGTAAACAAAAATAGTTGAATGAGTTTGGCCAATTAGAAAAGAAACTAAATGCCCAAACCCAAGAAATTATGTAACAAAAACCGCAGCGCGCCAAATGCTCAAAACCAAGCAGCCAAACAACAAAACCAGAAGCACCACGAAACCGCCAAACTCAGGCCACTAAATGACGAAAGAAGCGCCGGCCGGTTTTAGGTTTTCGGGTTTTTTTCCCTAGTAGTTGGGAGCAAGTAATCAACAGAATACCGCTACCAAAAAGGTGACGGCCCTAGCGCCAAAGAGCGCCAGTAGCAGCGGCTCGGGGGCACTCAAAGCAGTACCGGGCACAAAAAACGCACGCACCTGGCGGCTCTGAGCCTCCAGTCGTCGGGAAAAGGATGGAAGGCGCACCAAGGAGGCGTCGAGAAAGGATGGCCCAAAGGGCTGGAGGTTCAAAGTGACCTTGTCCCCCAGCGGGGGGACAGCGCCTGCTACTGCCGAGGGATTAGCCGCGCACCCGAGCCAAAGCGCCCCGGGCCAAAGCGTCCGACGCGAAGAGCGAGCGCCTGGAACTTCGCGGGTGCCGGTTGATCGACTCGTAGGGCGACGGTGCACGAACACCGGCCGAGCCGCGAGAGGGGTTACGACACCCGGACGCTGGTGCGCAGCTCTCTCTGGGGAGGTAAAGGCCTCCCGCCACGCTCCGTGGCAAACTTATGGGCCGTAGGTGCAACGACCGGCGCCGGCAAAGACCTGGGTCTGCCGGGCCAGCCTACTGTGCTGCCACAGCGTTAAAAAGTATAACTCACCAGTAGACTTAGGATCCCCGGGGGTTAAGTCTCCAGTTTGTGTATGCACTGGAGGAGCTTGCGGGGGGAGTGATTATACTAACTGGTGAGTTAACTTAGGTGAGAGAAAAGAGACGCTCTCTGGAAGGTTCCTGGACGACAGTCGACGAAAAATCCTCCCAGGGGCCAGCCAAGCCTATTTGCAAAAAATGGCGACTGCTACGCCACTACACGTCAGCCAAGCAGAAACGGAGCACGGCAAAGACTGCCGCGAGCTCCATGGCGCGGTCTGCAACTTCGTCAATCGGGTCCGAGCACAACTACACTTCGAGACCTACGGCCAAAAGCTACCACTCGAATGGGGGCAGCTGATAGCTGCCGAGAAGCTACAGCCGGCAGCGGTAGCCAAGCGAAGGAAACAAGCCACCGCCTTGCTCAGGCGTCTGAAAGCGCAGACGGAGCAGGCAAGTGCAGACCTAATAAACGCTACGGCGCCGGAGCACCTAAAAAGGGTGCTACAGACAACCAAAACAGGGAACGTCATCGCAATGAGAAAACTCATCGCATTGACGGGCCACCCGGACACGTCACTACCGGGCGACATCCTCCATGGATTTCAAACAGTAGGAGAGTACAAGAGCACTGGCCTTTGGAAGGCAGGCGTCAATGCCGCGGAGGCAAAGGGCCTCCAAGAATTCTATAGCACAAGCACCGCGGTAAAAATCCGCGATGCGCCCCCGAAGGGGTTCCCAGAAGAAGCCCTCCGGCAAGTCCTCAAAAACATTGAGGCAGGCGCCCAGCTGGGCAGATGCAAAGAGATCAACCCAGCGGGCCTCAAGGTCATGCCGGCGCACGCCTTCCCAAAGGTCGAACCAGAGAGGGGGAGGGCCCGCGTGATAATCGACGAGCGGTGGAAAGACGACTTCTCAAAAATGTCGGAAAAGGCGAGGCTCCACGGGACGCGAACGGTCCTGGAGATTGTAAAAAGCTACATGGCGCCTGCAGGCGCCGAGGGCCTCACCCTCCACGCGCCGGCGACACAGTTCGCCACAGATATCTGCGGCCAGGTGGCTAAAGAGGTCGCAGACTTCCGCGCAAAAACAAGCGCAGGCGAAGCCACGGCCACCGGCGAACGCCGCCAACTCGGCGAGCAGGTGAGGCTCCTCAACGAGGAGAGGATGAAGACCCGCCCGGCAGGTAGAAAGCCTTGCATCGCACTCCGAGACTGGAGCAAGGCCTACTACCAGGTAGGGGCAAAACACCCAGAAGAAAACCCGGTGGGAGTCTGGGACGACACCCAGGGGCGCTGCCGCATGTTCCTCGCAGCGATGCTGAACATGGGGAACAAATTCAGCGTCAGCTGCTGGCGTAGAGTGGCGGGGCTGGTCATGAAAATAATGGCCACGCTCGGGCACACAGTAGTGCCAGTCTACATCGGCGACGCCATCATCCTCAGTCTCGAAGAAGGAGCGGATGAGGCGACAGAGGCATGCGAAGCCCTCTGCGACTGCCTGGGGCTGGAGCTCGCGAAAAAAGCTGCAGCACAGCAGGACTCTAGAAAGAGCCCTACGTACTGTGCGCATAGATACTGGGTCTCCACTACGACACAAGCCCAAAAACGGGAATTGATGTCGTGGTGCCAGACAACATGCTCCAGCAAGTCGCGGAAGTCGCAAACGAGCTCCGGCAAAAGGTCAACGCAGGACAGCTGGACAAAAAGGCACTCCAGCGACTGCTAGGACTGGCAAACTTCGTCACCGTATCCGCGGCAAACAGAGCCGGAAGCGAGACCATGGGGTCTCTTTACGCATGGACAAGAGACGCCACTTTTGACAAGTTGGTGATGCAGCGGTGGCAACGGAGAGCCCTCCTGCGCTCCACTGCGGCCATCGAGAAGATGGCCCACAAGGTGAACAGGCTCAAACTCAGGCTAGAACAAATCGCGAAGCCTCTGAGCTTCCTGCTCCCGGACGCGTCAACAGATGGCGGGCCAAACGGCGAACCGACGCTCGGATGCGTCATGATCCACCACAGCGGAAGGACCCTCATCCAAATGCAGCCCTTGGCAGATGGTCGATGGGCCACCGCCAGGATAGAGGTACTGGAGGCGGCCGCGGTAGGCCTCGCCGCGAAGCAACTACTGAGTTGGGCCAGCAGCTCCGACCTCGTAGTGCTGATCGACAACACGCCAGTACTTTACAGCTTCATCAAATGCAGTGGCAAATCCGCGGTGGTGGCAAACACCGCGGTAGACGTAGTCAATCACTGGCACGACAACAATGTCAAGCCGTGGCGCGTCTACATAAAATCCGAATGGAACCTGGCAGACTACATGACCAGACACGGCAAGCACAAACTGTTCATCAACACCATCCCACAGCTGCAGACGGTTCAGCAGTCCACTGGTGCCCGACTATGGCTGGCTGAACTATGTGAACGCCTGCCGGCCCCTGCTGTCGCTGTCGCTCCGGGAGTTCGTCCCTCCCACGGGAGCGACAAGCGCGGTGGAGGGCGGCAGCCGCCCCGGCACACCACCGACGCGGGTGCTGGCCGGCGGGAGGTCCTGACGCAAACTTGTGCAAAGGCCGGCACACGTCCCCGTAACCCCTCGACGGCGGACGCGAGTCTCAGACCGCCGACTCAAGTCCGCACCAGGAAGCCGGAGCCTGGTCGGGGTCTCCGGAGGAAGGTGCCGGTGAGGAAAGGATAAGGGCTCGGGGCGGTCCATTCACCACTGGCATGAGTCAAACCGAGACCAAAGGTTGAGCGGGAGCTCAAGCCCCGGTAGTAGGCCGACAGCGCGGGCTGGAGGTTCAGAGTGACCTTGTCCCCCAGCGGGGGGACAGCGCCTGCTACTGCCGAGGGATTAGCCGCGCACCCGGGCCAAAGCGCCCCGGGCCAAAGCGTCCGACGCGAATTCGCGGGTGCCGGTTGATCGACTCGTAGGGCGACGGTGCACGAACACCGGCCGAGCCGCGAGAGGGGTTACGACGCCCGGACGTTGGTGCGCAACTCTCTCTGGGGAGGTACAGGCCTCCTGCCACGCTCCGTGGCAAACTTATGGGCCGTAGGTGCAACGACCGGCGCCGGCAAAGGCCTGGGTCTGCCGAGCCAGCCTACTGCGCTGCCACAGCACTAAAAAGTATAACTCACCAGTAGGCTTAGGATCCCCAGGGGTTAAGTCTCCAGTTTGTGCATATTATTAACGTCGTATGATCTTTTGAGCTTCAGTATCAACGAGGTACTTCATCTTCAAGAACAAGAAAATGAATTATAGGTAGCCATCTTATTAACATATCTAATGTCCACCTTCCATCCTCTTCTAATATGTTGCTGCGGGAAGTAACGTAGATGACATCTGGGCTCGCGGGCTCGCCTGGCTGCCTCGAGGCGTTGGTATCAGGAAATATGCTAAAACCGTCGCTGCTTGGACATGGATCGGTGATTTATGTTCATCTTTTATCCATCCATCTCAGCATCTCGCGACAACCCTTTTGTTTCGTCCCATGCAACACTTTCTTACAAAGACAGAGACAAAAGGGTCCCAGCAGATGAGGCGACGGAACAAAAGGGTCCCTTCGATTGGAGCAGATGAATAAAAGCTGACTCCAATCGAAGGGAACGACGCATTTTCGCCTTATGTGCACCTTTTTGAATATCACTATCCTCTTCGGGAAAAGTGCTCCGACACAACCAGCACGCTGACAACTACTACCACAGGCGGCGACAAAGAGGAGAAAAAAGTGCCAGACCCTAATACCATCATATGGAAGGAGCGACCTTTGTCTGACTTTGATAATATGGCATATCGACTGATGAAAGAGCCATGTAAACTTATACCGTTAGAGCCAGCGTCAACTCCGCGGATGGTGATCCCAGAGAGAGGCATTCGTTACGGCCGACCCTCTACGCTCCTCCTGCAGGCCTGCGAGGATGTTTTTGCGGCACCTTCATCTGGCACAGAGCAACCTTCATCTTAAGACTGGTACAGAGCAACCTCCATCTGCTACAGAGGCATTTGAGTGGGCTGAAATCCTCAAGGCCTTAAGACGTCCTGATCTAGTATTTTGGATGGCTCAACAGCTCTAATTTGGGGACTTCCTAAGGTCTAAACCGGCTGAGATCGATAGGAACCTCGATTTTTCGCACATGAGCGCGCTTGACCGTTGTGGTGGTCCTTTACGCCTGGAAACACTGGATCGGGGCTTTTCTAGTAGCGAACCATATCTAGTTGGCGGTGAGGCTCTGGAAGTGCCTCAGCCCTTTGGCTTGCTACGCCTCTCCAACCTCAACCATCGAAGTAAAACACGTGATATCAACTATGGCTGGCTGCCGCTTACGAAGCCAGCTGGGTATCGAACATCGTGGCGGGACTATTGGACTGAAGGGAAACAAATACATGATTTCACATTCAGCACAAGGCCTGGCGATGAGGATGACGCGGTGGCGACGTGTCCTCTCATAAAGACTGACAGTCCGACTCCGGCTGGGGCGTAAGTGTCAGCATCACAACGATTTGAAACAACCAAATCTTGAAGGAGGACTAGATGAGGTCCTAGTGGAGGGGCCCTATAATATTAGGAATAGGTATACTAATATGTACAAAATTTATATGTAGAAGTAAATGAGTGCCCTTCATGTGCACATTGGAGCATGGAGCAGATTTCTCGACGTCGACGTGGTGCATTGGATGGAGCAGATTTCTGGACGTGACACATTGGATGGAATATTTCTGTGCGTAATATTCTTGGAAGATGGAACAGATTTCTGGACGTGACACATTGGATGGAACGATCAGGGTAAGGCTCGAGAGCCTGATCCTGTCAGGAGATTTTTCATTCGAATTTTCGCAGAGTCACCACGATGATCGGATTCGCTCTGGAGGTCGTGGGCATTTTGTTGGTGGCTTGGTGATCGCTGTTTTTCGGAGATTGCGATTGGTGCTCGCTCGTGGTCCTAGAGCTGCCATAGAGTTTAACTCTGCTCGACGCTTGTTTCATGTTTATCCGTGCATTGTGGGCTATAATTAAAGCTAAAGGCTACTGATATTATAGATTTAGATAGATATTATTGCCGCGTGCCTTGAGCTGGTACTTACGCTGCCCACATATCGTAAGAGGGTAGTTCTTGCGCTGTCTTCATGCTGCCAGAGGCTAAACCCAATGCCAGCATATCGCGAGCAGCAAATTTTGACTCCATTGTCAGTATCGGAAAGTGAGAACAAGGTGGCGCGCGTCTCCTAACCCCATGCTTAGAAGGGGGCCTGGTAAAGGCAAGCGCATGGGGCTATGTTGCTAGGGTGGGGGAGTGGAGACAAGGAGTGGGGTTTGTCATGATTCATTTGGAGCACAGTTCCGCTCTTCGTTTGTTCGGCTGTTTGAAACGAGTGGGCTGCGTGCAAATCCGTAGGGCAACGCATGGGGGAATTATCAGGATGATGTTTGAAATATCTCCATCATTCAGAAACCAGGGGACACAATTTGGTTGGGACCACCGCTGAAAATTCATCGTGAGAGACGTGGCCGTGGGGGCGAGGATAATGATTTCACTGACTGACTCTGATCGACGTGAGTACTTCAATGCTGAGACAACTGGGTGAAAACGAAGTACAAGAACGATTAGGATGACTAAATGTAGAATAAATCTAGACTAAAATAATTTTACCTAATGCATTGGGTTCGATTATTTTAGGGGACACGCCCGCGACTCCGCGCCGCCGGTCTGCTCGTGATAGTCTTTGTAGGGTAGCAGGCCTCATGTATGAAGTCAAGCGTCTGCTCGGGGGCACCGTGCCCGCATTCGTTTCTGTAACTGATTTGGCTGAGGATTAGCGCTCCCCCCCTTTTGCCAGCTTTTCGGCTTCCTCGTCGGGCTCCGTCAGGCCCTCTCGTCTTTTGGGTGGAGTGGATAGGTCGCACCCCGTGCGCAACGTCTGCGCCGTCTTTCCCACGGCTTTGGGCCACTCGGGTTCGGCTCGTCTGCTGTGCGTCGTGGGGTATTCCGTTTTCGAGGTCCGCCTCGGCCTCCCCATCAGTGCCGTTGTGTTTGAGCAGAGTGGCTGTCTGCAGCCTCTTTCGTCTTCTTCCGTCGTTGGGGCTTTCGTTTCGTATGGCTTCCGCCCACGTTCATGCGTGGGCGTTGGCTCGAATCGTCCAGGTTACGCGTGCGTCCCTTCGTCTATATCCCTCGCAAATTGGTCGGCTTTAGTTTACTCGTGTTGCGTGTCACCGAAGGCAGCACCTCTTGCATAGGGTGGCTCATTTGTGGAGTAAAGGCTCGGTTGTGAGGCATGGCCGCACTCCAGGGTCCTCGGCTATCATGCCGGCCTCCGCTCATGGCTACCAACTTTGCTGAGGTGTTGCCCCCGAGTCTGCGCGCCGTCTTCTGGTCTTCGTCGTTGGTAGGTTTCGTTTGGCATTCTTGTCCTGTTCTTCCCTCTCGCTGCATTGTAAGTTTGTTCCGTGTGCGGGTGTGAGCATGCGCCCGCTCGTCTGTGATCGTGGATGCCACCCTGTCAGCCATTGCGTCTCCCCTCGCTCCTGTCTAGGTTGGCCAGTGTCTCTGCCCCTCTCTCTGTTCGTCGTTTCTTTTTCATGAGGGGCGATCGTGTTTTTTGTATGGTGGATTACTCGGGGGATCTGTTCTTTCTTGTCTCTTTGATCGCCGACCCCTTGTGCGTCGTCCCCGCGGATCCGGGTTCGTTTCTGTGTTCGTATTGCGCGTGCCATCTCCTGCTGGCTGTGGTCTGGTCCAATGATCGTGGTGTCGTGTGTGTTGTTCTGCATGTTTTCCACGGGTCTTCGCCACTTCGGTGTCGTCGATCGCTGGTGGGGTGTCGGAGTGTTTTTGGGGTATTGGTGTTTCGTACTCCTCCCCCCGTGGTACACCAACCATGATCTATCCGAGCGTTCGGGCGGGTCGTCGGTCTTCCCCCTCGACCAGTTTCCGGTGGTCGAGTGTGGTCGTATGGTATCCCTTGTGAGACAGGCGCGGCGACGCCAAGTGCCGCATCAAATAATCTTACCCAATGCATTGGGTTCGATTATTTTAGGGGACACGCCCGCGGCTCCGCGCCGCCGGTCTGCTCGTGATAGTCTTTGTAGGGTAGCAGGCCTCATGTATGAAGTCAAGCGTCTGCTCGGGGGCACCGTGACCGCATTCGTTTTTCCCATGTTCCCGCCCGCCCACTTCATTTGTTCTTGTTTTGCGGTAGTCTGTTTGCGTCTGTTTTTGCTGGGTCTTGGTCACGACGGGCTTTGTTGCTTCTTTGCCTTGCCCCCGTTACTGTCACTGCGCAGCGTTGTATTGTGAGTGTGTAGCCGGTTGTGCCAGTCTGTCGCCCCTTGTGCGTAGCCGGCTTTGTTTTCTCTTTTTGTAGGATGGGATGCTGTTCGACCTCCTCGACTACCAAGCCACGCGGGGGTATTGGTGTTTCGTACTCCTCCCCCCGTGGTACACCAACCATGATCTATCCGAGCGTTCGGGCGGGTCGTCGGTCTTCCCCCTCGACCAGTTTCCGGTGGTCGAGTGTGGTCGTATGGTATCCCTTGTGAGACAGGCGCGGCGACGCCAAGCGTCGCATCAAATGATCGGAGGACTGCGACAAGTGTGCATCAGCTTTTAGTATGTGCTAGTCTATGCACACGACGATATTTAATAGAAAAGAATCAATGGACAAGAACGCCTTCTCGTCGAACAGATGGACAAACTTGCTCTCCGTTTTTGTGGGAGCATCTTGTTCTTTTCTGTATTTTGCGACGATATCCGACAGAGCTTTAATAGAGGACCAACTTCGAATCCTAGTTGTCAGCGATATCCACGATAACGCGGACCAGGTCTCCAAGCTGGTTGCAGCGTCTCAAGAAAAGGGAAGTCGAAGTAGAGGCAGCCACGATTACGTATTTGTACTTGTTATGCCAACAGATTTACCGACTTTTTTTCGTTCTATTTGGTACTCGACAAAGCTTTCGATTACGTATTTGTAGTTGTTATGCTAACAGATTTACCGACTTTTTTTCGTTCTATTTGGTACTCGACAAAGCTTTCGATTACGTATTTGTACTCGTGGTTATGCTAAGAAGTTTACAGTTGCGATTCTTCTTAGTATAGTTCTAGTTGAAACTGGTAAAACCAAAAAGGATTTTCGGAAAAGCGACTGCCCGTCTGGCCCTCACATACTCCTACTTCTTAAACATCGACATCATGATCATTCTGCTCTTTCAAGAAGTGTAAATAGGTCAAATGCCAATTCATGATCTTCAATCCCCTTCGCGCCTGAGTGGATGAGTGTCGCACCTTCATCTCTCCTGCTCTAAAATACGCGACTTCTGTAAAGTGAACCACCGTCCGCCTGGTGGTTCGTCTATAGCGGAGTTCGAGCGATGTAATGACTTCACGGACTGGGCGTTAGGGGAGCTGGACAAAGTCACATCTTCGTCTTCGTCACCACGGCTAAGGCCACCGCTGAAGCATCCTCAACGCCATCCTGCTTGGCTTGTTTTTCAAGGGGAAAAGAGGCAAAGGGATGGGCTCAAGGATGCGGCGTAGTAGCGCTCTAATACGGTCATCAACAACTACGGCGTCAGAACAGCATGGCGAAGATGACAACCGCAAACCTCTTCGTGTCTTCTTTTTAGGTGGTAATCATGACAGAAAAGAACAGTCTCAGTTGCGGGAGCAAGATATTCCTCAAGCAAAGAACCTGACGCAAGCTATCGCGCATTTGCGACCAGACCTAGCTGTCGTTGGATTGGGCGGAACGGGTGTGGGAGGCTTTTTACATGATTATGGATCATGTTCACTTATGCTAGTACTTTTTTTTTGAAATTCAAATTGACTGCGGCAAGTGTTCTACCTCTAGATGTAAATACTTACTTTCATAACCACAGTCAAGCACTGCTTTCCCCGCTGCAAAGGGGTGTCGCGATTATTTCCTTCTCGTACGAGTTGGCGGTAATAAATTGTAGAGCATGAGCAGTAATATGAGAGGTTAAGAATACTCATTTTGAGTTACAAAGGCATTCTTAAGCTGGTTTAATCACAAACACACCCAAGGTAGTAGTTGATGTAGTTCACACGAATGAAAAATAACAGGACCAGCGTTTGCCGTCATCTAAATGCTAATCCACACGCACCAAGAGTCTAGGACCTCCAGACAGCGAAGAAATCAAAACACAGAAGGACATTTGGCCAAACCCTTATCCCTGGGCTTCTGATGCACAATATGCCAATGCTTTGGGTGAGTTATTGGAGAAAAGTCTATCATTATCGTCTGCGGGAGAGGGAGTAGATGGGCAGATAATTCTCTTGACGCACACTGGCCCGCACAGTTCGGCGACATCAGCATTGAATATCAATGCGACACATGTGGTATGGTGAAGGTGATGAATAGAGGATTACTATGAGTCTAAATAATAGTATCTAATAGTAAGTTGTATTTGCACTACGCACGACACGCACAATGGCAATTTCCTACCTTTTACCCATATTGTTCATTGCCTTGTTCAAGTTCAAGTTCACGTCCCACACCCACTCCCTGTCTCTCCCACCCTCTATTTTTTGTACCCCTTTCATCCCTCGTCTACGGCGGTTCCCCTGGGCAAACCAGTGCGATTCTCAAGCATTTCGGAGCCAGAGACGTGAACAACACACATGAAGTGCTGCCCAGGCTGCTTTGCAATCTCCTATGAAAAGGAAAAGTGTACGTGTAATCATAAGTACTCAAAAAAAGGGGAGTTCTTCTTCTTTTCTACATAGTGAAGGCAACGTGCTTAGTTTACCGATAGTACATGCTCAAGAAAAAAAGGGAGTTGTTTCCCTTTCCTACTTTCCCGCTTCGAACCGCGCCCCACCTCGTTGTTTTTTTGAGGAAGATGAGTACACGACTTTTGAACCTTTCATATCTTCATGGTCACGTGCATCATGGTGTAGGCATCGATTCGGCAGCCTTACCAAATCAAATCAAAGTGATCAACCCAGGTTCGTTGGATTTGGGTTCCTATGCGGAGCTTGTTTTATGAAACGAAATTCGAAGTATAGGTACTTATGAGTAGCTTTTATAGTCATCTCACCAATGATCGAGGGTAATCATTTGAGCTGCACTGATGATGATGTATGGTCGTTCTCGATTTAAGAACATGATATTGATACTTGGACCTAAGACTACTAGCGTTGGTGGATTAGTACCTCAATCCTTACATATCTCGTCTAGTTGTAACCGATGAAGTAAAAAAGTGGGGAGATGCAGCCTCTAATGAAAAGATCTTACACCCCGTGAGTGGGTACATCTATCTATCTATCTATCTATACCGTACTACTAGTTTAGATGATAGAGAAGGTAGACGAGTTAAACCTTCTGTTGTATGTCTATCTCTAATCCTTTTCTCCAAGAAAACCGTCATAGGAAAGCGGACATCGCGCAACGCAGACAAAAACAAATACTACAAGCAACAATGGTTTCTCACGGAGACAACTTTGAAAAAGCTTGTTGATGATGTTTGAAACTTTGCCTTTCCTTGATAAATTTTTATTTCAATGGAACATTTAAGCTAATAAGCTACTGTGGTGGAGCGGAAAAGATTCACAATCGTGATGAGTCTTCCGACAAACGCGTGATGTGTCTTCCTTCCAAGAAACTTTCTCATGATTTCGAAAAGTGCGAAATTTTGCCTCATGGCAGCTCCCAAGTAGTCACTCCAACACGACAAGAATGAGTTTTCTTAACTTTTCGGGAAACAGTACTGGATAGACAGAGTTGTGCCCATCGTCCTCATGTTATCCCAAGCTCATCGTCGTCATGTCCTGACAAGCTGCAATTATCCTCTCACCATGATGTGGACGATCTACTTTTGGTACTTCTAACTACTGGCTACTAGTGCTATGTTGTAGAAAAATAGCAATAAGAATGTCGAACGCGGCGACCGCAGCGCGTTCGTCTAAGGGCAACCGCTCAAAACAGACTGCGGGACCACGATCCAAAGACACCAAGACAGGCACACACCTGCAGAAAAATCCTGGTGCTGCGGCAGTTGTGGTATCTACAAGTACAAGCTGATTACTCTAGATTTTGATTTCTTATGAATGATCTTCTGAGTGGTGAATCTTTCAGGTGATTGGAGCTACCTAATGTCCCCATCGTCTTCGACGTACTTGCTAAATCCTATCATGCTCCTCAACATCAGGTCCCAAAGCAGGCACCACGCGACTACGCCGTTGTTTCCGCGCAATGGTTGTCAAAGATTAAAAACGCCGCTCCGTCAATCCTAGAAGATCAAAGCGGTTCAAGGTTATGATTGGGTTTTCATTTTGAAAAATTCCAATCCAACAAGATAGAAAAATTATAATCTTTTGCTGGGTTGTCTTCGTCTGTGTGTTAACGTCCACCGATGCCCACGACCACTTTCATCCTCCCTCAAGTCCATTGCCGTTCACCATGATGCTCTGGACCGAGAACTGCTTCAGGAAACGGCTGGCATGCCCTCACAGAGACGCGGAAAGCCATCCAAATCACCGACTTCACCACCACAACCGAGGAGTGGGCATAGTCCTACGGAATGGCAGAGGCAGGGACATGGTGGACAGCCGCATCATGGTAGAGGTGGACAGGTGGGAAACATGGTTGGAGGACATCAGTCCTCACACCAATATCAAGTAAGGGTTGGAGCTGGAGGGGGTGATTCAGCATATAGTGGAGCAGGAGGTTATGGAGTCCATGGACAACATGATGGAGGTTTTAATCAGCAACAGCCTCAAGGTATGGCTCAACAACAACAGGGTGCAATGGGTGGCAAAGGTAGTGGAATGATGTTGCCACCCGGACAGAAGCAGCAACAGGTGCCTGTCCATTATGGAGGAGGACAACAGCAACAGAAACAACAAGGAGGACAAGCACAAGGATATCATGGTCAATCAGGAATAGGACAGCAGGCTGGCGGAATGGGGGTGTTACCACCTCAACAACAACAGCACCACCAATATGGCGGTGGACCTCAACGGCAAGAACAGTACGCGCCACATCAGTTCGAACAATACAGACCACAGAAGGCATATTTAAGGGGAGTTGGAGAAATCATCTACATTTGGTATCTAAGTACTTACTCTTACTTCGTCTTAGAATATAATTTCCAGTACATAAGGAATAGTACGCTGTGAAAAAAAATTTTAATCGTGGGCTTCCGTAAAAATCGCACAATGCTTCTTATTGTTAAGAAGACCCTTTTAGCAAGGGTTAGGGTTTAGTCTGTCTAATAATGCCGCCAGCACACCAGTACCAGCCACACCAGTCGTATATGCCACCAGTGGGCATAGCGACAGGCTTACCGCATAATATGGACAAGAAGAGTCCGACTTCTATGGCGGGCCAGAGCGTCGTCTATGCTCGCGGCAAACGAGACCCCAACGCTTCACATCCCTTCTCAGGGGGGCCGAACTATCCTATAGTTGGCAACTATCCAGCGTCCTCAAGCTCAGCGGTCCCTCCAAACTACATCAATCAACAACCTCAACAACCTGGACCGAACTATTGTTCTCACTCATCTGTACAGCATCAGTTAAGGCTTGTAGTTCCCCAAATTCATCTTAAGTAAGATGCATCTTCATCTCTTTGAGTCCTATTTCATGGGAAAAGCGTCTGCGTCTCAAAGATGCCTTTCGAGATGAATTATATAGGTGAAGATGTCTAAATCAATTGCCCCCGTCGCCTGGCCGTGATGGACCGCCAGCCGGTCCGTTCCCATTGTATGGGGCAGGAGAACACCAGCCACACGGATATGGATCGTATTTAGGGCTACAGAAAATTCTTCTAATTTAGCTACATAACATCAGCAGGTACAGGTAGTATGACATGTTGACATGATTCTCCAGATCATATCCAAACCCTAAACCCATTCTAACGTAACATCAAGGTTATAACCCGGGCCAGACACAATTTGGAGGAGGGCATCACGAAGTAGCACATAACAATCCCTACCAAGGTCAACCACAAGCACAACATCAACAGCCACACCAGCCCTACATGACGCAACCGCAGGATCAGCCTCCCTTGCAACTTTTATGACAGAACTTATCTTTGCCTTCGCGTAACTCCATTTCTATTGAATGATGCTGCACATTCATTGTACTTATGCTTATGGATTCCCATAATCTAAAACTAAATGATCCTTGTGAGTAATAAATTGTATTCGTGGGAGGTGCAACATGCTAAAAAATGTAAGTTGTAATCATTCTTCGTCTAAACTCTCCCGGCCAACAACAACAGCGTGTATATCGGCAGGGTTCTGCTTCCCCGAGACGAAGGACAGGTCCCGATGGTGTAGACTTGGCAAGGCCTCTTAGGATGGACGTAAGCCCAAGGGGTGGCAAAGGGACACGTCATGAGGATGAAAAGAGACCTTCCAGGATATGGCAGCAGGCTGACTAGCGCTAGTCGTGTCCCTAAGTTTCTCAGGTGGACATCAGGCACTCTCTTCTTCGCCATTACTCAGGATCAGCATCATTCTAACGTCCTCGTTCTGTAGAAGAAGGTAGTATAGAAATAGATGATGGTCACGGTCAGATAACATAAGTTGATCATTTTTATTTGAGTTATTGTCGTCCTCGGACGTAGTCTTTGTGTTGTGCCTCCTCATGTAGGGGTCCCGGTTCGCTTCTATTGTTCTCCCTTTTCTTCATTTTCTATACCGCAGCCTCGCAGTGTCTACAAGGGAGCACAGCATCAAGCTCAAGATCATCAAGTAGGAGATCTGCCAGGCGTGCAGCAAAATTCAGTAGGGCAACAAGGAGGAGGCACTTTCTACAATGACAGAGAGCAGATGCAACTAAACATGAACGCGAATAACGTAGCTGGGGTGCCTCTGCCTTATAATAGCTATGCACCAGGAGCAGGAGGTCATGGGGTAGGAGGAGGTCATGGGCCAGGAGTACCAGGAGGAGGAGGCCATGGAGTGGGTCATGGAATAGGACCTGGCATAGCAGGACCTGGAGGAGGAGGGGCACCATATCAGACACAAGGTCCAGGGATAGGAGGAGGAGGCGTCAGCAATACTCCGATGGTTACATTAAGGCATGATAGATTTTTTAGACAGATTTTATTCTAGACGAGATGCTGAAGCTGAGACTGAGTCCTTGTCCTCTGACGTTATTTACCACGCTGTGCACAATCATGCGTACTACTATTTCTGATGACATTCTCTTCATGTAACCACGTTTGTTCGGCTCGTAGAACTTGTGCTGTAGCGAAGTTGTTCTCTTCTTCTAATACAAACAGCCTATTCTCAACACGCAGGAGGCGGTGGACCTCCTGGAGCACATACCCCCACTCATCCCGGCTACATAAATATCGCAGCTGGTCCTTCTGGTAGAGGTGGCTCTAAGATATTTGCGGACCCCGATGCAGAAGAGATGGCCTTATGCTTTGTACCTCTGTCTCGGTGTAGAGGTCCTCTCTTGTAGGTACTCCTATCGTCCTGTAGTCCTGTCCTGTACTCCTCTCTTGTAGGTACTCCTATCGTCCTGTAGTCCTATCCTGTACTCCTCTCTTGTACTCCTGTCTTGTGTTCTTGTCCTGTGCTCCTATCCTGTACTCCTGTCTTGTGTTCTTGTCCTGTACTCCTCTCCTGTAGTCCTGTTCTGTAGTCCTATCCTGTACTCCTCTCTTGTACTCCTCTCTTGTACTCCTCTCTTGTACTCCTCTCTTGTACTCCTCTCCTGCCCGGCCTCTTGTACTCCTCTCCTGTAGGTACTCCTCTCCTGTAGAAGAGATGGCCTTATGCTTGAGAATATTTTGATACACACCTGCAGGACACCTGCAGGGTCTAGATCATACCTGCAGGACTGACTCTGGGTGCCTCGCTTTGAGTCAATGCGTTGATCATGATTTCCGTTTACATTTAGATTCGCTCACGACCGGAGAACATCAAGATGTTTGACAGAGAGACCATTATGTGTAACCAGCGAAAAAAAACGTTGAAGGGCTTCTCATACGATATATACCAACAAAATAAGTGCAGATTAGATGATATATACCAACAAAATAACGTTTTTCTTCATCTAATCTGCCGCCGCAAAAGGGAAGAGCAAGCACGAGATTTGGCTGAACAGGTAGAACAGAAACGGAGGGAACGGGAAATACTGCGAGCACGACAGCAAGAGGAAGATTGGAGAGAAGAGGAACGGATACAAAGGGAATGCATGGAAATTAGACGGAAATACGAACAAGAAAAAGGGTACTAATACAGTTGTAGTACATTTAAAGTACTAGGAGATCTGTTTTTTAGATTGTAAAACTACGTGGCCTTGTTGTACTAGCTGATATGAGCAACAGGTATATTTTTTAGTCTAAAAATCGAACTAACTGTAACTACATCAAAAAAGTAGAATCGATCACGTTGTCATGGAAAAAGAGAAGGAAGTATTCGATACGGGACTCTACTTTAAAGCTTTGTTCTCTTAGTGCTTAGACTTACAACATCCAGAAATCCCAAAAAATAACAGCCTTCCTCCTCCCGCCGAAGTCGTCGACGTCGTGGCTGATAGTTCTGCTCACTGTTATCATGCGGCTGCATCACAGTCACCAGGTCTCTCACTTTCCTATGAGCACGATGGACCGCCGCCACCGGTAGGGGGTCTCCCGGAACAGCAACACCAGTTAAGGGTGGAAGAGTTTGGTTGTACTTGTCAAGGAACAATTAGTTCGGCTATGTATTATCGTTCGCGGTCCGTCTTTTGGTGATGTCTCTGTCAACGACGATAAGACACCACACAACTGTGACTCATACAATAAGCTGATGTCAACTACACTAGTTCAGGATCGATGAGTAGATCCAGAACTAGAAGAGAAACGCCCACCATGAAGACAACAACAACACCAGCACGGAATAAGTGCTTCTATGAAGACATGTCGTGGTGACCCCTCGCTCTTTCTCTCTCTCTAAACAACCACAATCCAACGAGCAACACTCGTGCTGACCGGGTGAGGAGGAAATTACGAAAAAAGCGCAAGGAACTAGAAGAACTCGAACGACTCGGAGAGCAGAACCCTACACCAGAATACCTTCAGGAGCTCTCAGAGCATTGCAATAATGTACCAAAATATTAGTTCATGCAACTACCAGTACTAGAACCATCTTGAGGCATCCCTTTTCAGCCGATTTCAACACTTTCGTCCACCTACAGATAAAGAACCAAGGCCAATCTCCAAACCTTTTTTTACAGTTGAAGAACCAACTGGACCGATTGCGGCAGAAGGCTTTGAGCGAGACCCCAGGACTCGATAGTGAGGAGGAAAATATTGCGAATCTGGTGGCCGAGCAGGATAATGCTCATCAACCGAGAAGTCATATGGAAACGTTTGGGATGTAGTAGACGAGAAGGGTGTAGTGAGTGATACTGATTTTAAGACGCTGATGTAGGCGTGCTGGGTGGATGTATAGCCCATTTAGAAGATCGTCTTGAGACGGTGATGTAGGCGTAGGATAAATGATGTTGACGAGGTAAATTTTGAGACGTTCTAGAATCAGTGACGCAAAAACAACAGTGATCAATTTTGAGCGCTGGTTCGTCGATAAATTAATTTTGAGGACGTGTAGATGAAGATGATGAATCCTGATAGAGATAAACAGATTGATAAACAGAACTTAGTATATCACACTTGTTTGTATTTTCAAAAAGCTGAATTCTGATACTTATGCAGTCTGCATTATGCAGATGCAGAACAAGACTATCATAATTATCAATCGCATGGACAAACTAGAGCCCCCAAAAGTTGAAGAGCTGCATTCTCATTGTGACCATTTCCAAAAGCTAGTAATACATGAGACAAAGATATAATTGGTGTAGATGCTTTGTTGTGTTTGATTCTTGAGCTGATTTAAATCCACGACAGATAGCAATAGAGAGCTCGAGCTAATGAATTCTAAGTCTAACAAACTAAGTAGCTATCTCCCAGCAATAGGTTGTAATCAATTTTTCCAACGTCAAGGACAACGATAACGACGACTACATGCTGTAATCGGATCTGGTAAGAAAAATTGTGAGACGATGTGTCCTCCATGAAACGCAATATTAAACGCTCTATCTATAATACTACGCATCACCTCGTTCATTCAAATTCAATGAGAGCATGACTTGAAGAGTCTCGGGCTACGGTAAGTCCGTGGTCAAGCGCACGCATCCAATCGCTACCTGGTTTCAACGTGTCTTGATGGCTGCTTCATGCGTGCTAGAACAGAGATCTCTTGTTCTTATCTATATTTGATTTTAGTTAGCGGCCTTAGCGCGCGGTCTGGGCATCTAACTACTGGCAAGGGTAATATGCCTTGATTTCCTTACAGTCAGTCAAAAATCTGTTTCCTTCACAATTACTCTACTGGCTAATCTTGATCATGCGAGAGAGCTGCTTATTTGAGGACGTTGACCACGCACGACTACTTTCAAAAGTAAGATTACACCACATGACCATGACCCCGTCTACGTCCTGTCGACTTGTACAACATGTTGATCATGACTCGATCCCGTCTATGTTTACGCTGAGCATGAGCCCGTCTCCGTCCCGTCGACTTGCACGACATCGCTGCTTGCTGCTACGGTGCTAAGACTCATGTGCTTGAGATCTGAAAGACCACTCGCGCGTGCAGCTGCAGAGCGAGAATGGGCAACCTCTCTTGCACTTCTCTAAGTGAGCAGCACAACGCTGGTAGCTCTTCTTCTTTTGCAGCACAGCCAAATAAGCCATCTACTTCTAGTTCTTGTACAACTGGAGGCGCGGATAGCACACGACAACCAAGAGCAGGACAGCGTTATTTGTTTTACAATTATGGCTACTTATTCGAAGCATGATGTTGTACTAGCTGCCTTTGATTATATAATTCTTTCATGTTCTTGTAACCATTTTTTCCATGATTCCTCTGGCAAATCCGTAGTACGTCTACGTAGCAGGTTTTTCTCAACGGTGGACTTCTAGAGGATTTCTTTCATCATTATCATCCTCAAGAATTTACATTTTCTAATGTATCGATTACTTTTTCTAATGTATCGACGCTGAGAACTGTATAGTTGAACAGGCGTGTCCTCCTCATCATCAAGGGCAATGCGAAGCGTCTACAACTGGTGGAACTTCTGCTACAAAGCCACTGCCACGTCTATTACATCAAATTGAGATAGGCAGTGGAGGTGGAGGTCGTTCAGCTGATCTCAGCTGTGATCGTGATCAGCCTCTACAAAAAGAAAAGCACATGAGCTCAAACACCCAGCGTACCAGTATCACAAGCTCGCACATGAGCTCAAACACCCACCAGCGACCCAGTATCACAAGCTCTCCATCTCCTGCACCATCATCTGGCAGGAAAAAGAAGAAAAGAACTTCATCCGTTGGAGTGTTATACAGGAGCATCATGCGAAGACGAGGACGAAATTTTCTATCCGCTATTCGTAGACGGAAAAAAACGGAGACAAATAGTTCCCACACCAAGATTCATCTTTCCGAACAAGGCTGCGATGCACGACCAGGCGTTGCTGTCCCCCACGAAGCTGGTCCTCGATGTCCACCAACTACGTCCTTGATAAACAACTGCTCTAGTACACTTAATAGCTCCTCCAGTTGTTCTTCTTCTAGAAGTGGCCCGATCCACGTGCTATATCAGCGGCAACTCCCTGGCGATTCGGTTTCGGTTGAGGAAGAGCATAGTGCTCGTGTCACAGGATCTCCTTCTATGCTGAACAATAACTACTACTTTTCTACAACTAGCACAGACGAACCAGAGGAATTGCAACATCGAGTAGGACATCATGAGCGTAGTTCACGTTCAAAACTACAGCTACAACAAAATCTCCGAGGACGAGGAGAAGGTCAAGGACAAGGCCAACAGCAACAAAGACAACAAGCCGTCAGTTATATGGAAGATCCGTATCTTGTCGTTGAACTTTTCCGCAGGATGGATCGAGACAATGACGGATATTGCGACATAGCTGATATCTTTCCGGCCTTACGTTTGTTTGGTATTCCATCCGCGTTCTTGCACCCTTTTTTTGAGGAACTCGAATGGTCCTCAGGAGCAGATGTGGTTGTGGTATCTAATCCTTCTACACAATAAACTTGCTTTACTTGTTGTTTCTCTTTCTCTTCATCTGAATGAATTCAATGGCTTCATTGATGTTTTTCAGCCACGACCCTAGGAGTGATCATAGGCTTCTATCACCGCTCCGTCGTTTGCGTTTCCCGTTTCTCCTCTTTCTCGAAAAATCTCACGTGATCAAACTACAACAGGACTTCTGGGATCTAGAACACGTAATTTCGCCAGAGGTCTTAGACTCGATCATGAGTCAGCACTCGCTAGCCACCATCCTCCTTCAAGATTTGCCGATAGCGCATTTCCACACGCTTTGCAGTGTGGTGTCCATGCTGGATGCTTTAGATGCGGACGATAGTGGGTTCGTCACCACAGACGAACTGTTGCAGATGTGTTCGACTTTGCGTCTTGATGGACAAAAGTGCCTACGTGAATTGACATTAAGGGTAGGTTCAAGGTGTTCTTGGTACCGTTCGTTTTGCCTTCCTGAAGGGGGATGAAAGGCATGATAGCGAACGGAGTAAGCGAATACCAAAACGAATCTCCAATATTAACAAAAGAACTAGGAAGCAAGCAGAGGGAAGGGAGCAGTTCTTGTGCTGGTTCTTTACTGCTCAAAGACAATACGAATAACAACAGCACGAGCAACATTTCTGAATTGGTAGAGCACAACATCATGTATAAGAAATGGGCAGTAGCTGAAGTAGAGAGGAGCACAACTAGCAATGTGGACACAACAAGTGCAACTACAACTGCAGTGCCGTCTTCGGCGACCACTCCGAGTACTACAACCGTTTTGGCTTCTCCAGTAACACAAACCGAGTCGAACAAAGGTCACGAGGATGAACGGGACATGAGTTCTAGTACTAGACCAGCTTCGAACTTCGTTGTAGGGAACTCCTGCATTTACAACAGTGCAGACTTCATTGTTGGAGGAGGACCACCTGTTGCCGGGAACACACTCGACAGAAGTAGGATGACAAAATGTAGTAAAGTTTCGCTATTTTCGTCCACAACTTTCAACATAGAGCAGTCCTCACCTATCTATCACAGCGATCATCTTGCCGAAGCCGAACAAGGAGAACTAGAAGACTCCGCTGCAAGACCGGAAGAAGGAGGAGGCGGTCGAGAGTCTCATTTTTCTCAAGGACAGGCAGCTGCCTCTCAGACCGACACCACGGCCAGGCTCGTCAGAGAAGCTCTAGCCTCTAAAAGGCAGGAGGTCGAAAATTCGAATGAAGAGGACTTTGTTGAAGTCACTGAAGAGACTAGTCCAGGAAGTTGCGCTAATTCCAGCACAAAAATGGAAGTAGACAAGGTACTAGAACAGGAGTTGTATCATCAACTCGTGAACGTCGATCTGTTCGTGCGATCGTTGATCCATCGCGGCCCCTTACTTAAGGCTCAACTTTCCATGGTCATAGGAGTTGATCACTGACAGAGACAGGGGTGGAGGCGACCCGTTCTGGAGCAGAGAACCAACAGGGAAAATATTATAGACGAAGCAGGGGAGACGAGCTTTGAAGGGGGTCGCTTCCGTTCAGAGTCATGATGACCAAGGAAGGCTGAGCTTTAACTTACTAGACAAGATTGCTAAGCGATTAGAAGAGTTAGAACTAGAACCGGAATCCCTGAGACGCGCGTCTTGTGAAATCGCCCAAATCTTTGAGACGACAGCAATTAAGGCTTGTTACCGTGGTTACAACTTCTACCCTAATTGTCTACCCTTGCTACCTACAATTAAATTGTAATTCTTCATCTCTCGAATGTATAATACTAGACTACCCTAATTGTAATTCTTCATCTCTCGAATGTATAATAGAGGAAATAATTCTTCATCTCTCTAGGTACAATACGTAACCAACTACCCTAATAAATTTCATCTCTATAATGTACAATAGAGGACAAGATCGCGCATTCAACATGAGTATGCATCCCCATGCAAGGGAGAGGCTCGGGATCCACCCTGTAGGGAAGAGGAACAAAATGCCAAAAATAGACTAAATCTTGCGGGATCCACCCTGTACTAGGGACCCGAGGAAGTACTCCCAATCATGCCAAGCTCTAAAGCAATCGACTGTCGACAGGGTAGCAGTTTTTTGATGCAGTGCCGGCTTTCCAAAGGTGCTTCGTATTCATATCAGCTGGTCCAACCGGAATTCTCTCGTGACGACCAACAACCCTTCATGACGACAGATCCTAGGGCTCATGCTCATGAACCTCGTCAAAGAACATCGACTCCACCAGCTCATGTTCATGAAGCTGCTCAACAAAGGACTGAAGAGGCAAGGACGGACGAACGCGCAGCAGTAGATCAGGGAGATGATTCTTCTCCTGAAAGATTAGTTCAGAGGGAGGAGAGAGCGAGAAGGAAGGGAAGAGAAAGTGGCGAAGGGGAAGGAATGATAAGAAATATTAGTAGCTGCTCTAGTTCTTGCGGAAGTGCTGGCTTATTGGAATCGCCGGCGTCTTGCAGCAATCAAGCAGTTGAAAGCGAAACACAGCGGCCTGTTGAAGGTGCGCCGTCAAACAGTAGAGCGACAACGATTACGAAATGTAGAGTAGATCCTGTCGCAGGGCTAGGCGCTCGCCAAATAAAGCCAGAGGGAGGATCTTCGTCTAGTTCTGCTTCATATCAGAATGAGATATCTTCACGGCAACAAGAGAGAGAAACATCTGCAAAGCCTTCTTCTCGACGTCCGACCATGATGGTTTCGGATTTTTGCACGTTGCCACCCGTAGTATCAACCACACCGTCACTATGAAAGAAAAAAGTGCACTCACACTTCTCAAAGAAAGTGGCTATTTTCCTACTTAAATCCTAGCCAATTTCTCGAGTGTGAGTGCGCTTTTTCGTTTCATAGTCACCTGTAGATCATGATCACGTGGCTGAAGATTGTGCTTCAGAAGAGAACAAAAGCACAAAGAAGTCATCAAGCCTTGCAGGAGCACTACCTTACAGGAGCTACTTACCAGGAGTGGGTGCATCTACATCTAAGCGAGATTCAGTTTCTAGAATCTCGTGTGCAAGTGTCAAAGTTACGAGGCTAAGTTTACCACAGCTACACCAGCATCTAGAAGAAGTACGATTTCATCTCTTTCAATTTCTTGTACGAGGAGAAGCTTTCACAAGTGACAACATCACGTCACACACTCGTCTCGTTCCTTTGTTGTTCTTCTAACAGGAGTCCTACTCACGCTCTATTCCTCTTTCTTCTAACGTGAGAAATAGAGAACCATCCTACGAGCCACAATGGGTTCAATCATCAACATCTTCGGAAAATCGCCAAAGCACTTGTGCACCAGCTGCACTTCATCCTTTAGGGGCTGTTCCGCCACTCTTGCCTCCACCGCCAAAGGCGAAGTTAACTTTTCGCAATTCGATCAATTCTCGTATGAAAGGGGAAAGTGTACTACTGGTGATGCTCTAGAATTAAGGCTTACCCTAATCCATCTTCTGAAGCATCTTAGACCTGGCTCGTAAGGGGGGAATAGGTCCAAGATGAATCCCGCGATGGATTAGGGTGAGCTCTAATAGAAACTGAAACTAGGTACGCTCTTTTAGGTACAGGGAGCTGCTGCCCAGTTTCGTGAGTAAATATTTTTTGCGCCTGTGATACCCAGGCTCTCGCTCCTTTGGAGGTACCTTTGTATTGAGTGGCCTCCAAAGTAGATCTCAAACGCTACATAAGAGGTTCCATAACATCATGACGCGTTTTTTGGTTTTTTCCTCTTTTCTTTTGTTAGAACTTAGATTTAGAAGGGTATTTCGTCCACCACCGCGACCTAGTAAAGTATGATATTAACGAGTGTACTTCTGTACTTTACAACACTTTATTTTCCTGTCTTCATATCGCGACCACCTTCGTTAAGTAGAAGTGCTAGCACAGTGATCCGACGTCGCAGTCTAGGCGAGCAGGGACGAAGAAGTCACAGGGCCGTCGATGTGCTTCAGGAGCTGCTGGATCCTCTGGACCAGCGCGACTGGTACTTCTATAGCAACCTTGTAGACCTAGAACTTGTGATAGACCAGCGCGACTGGTACTTCTGTAACAAGCTCCTAGAACAACTTCTGAGCTGCTGGGAGAGCAAGCTCGCTCCTAGAACAACTACTAGAACAACTTCTGAATGTGAACTGACAGAGGACCCAAGACAGCAGAGGGAAGATTCCTGCTCTTTCATCTCTTCACACTTTTCTATGCATCCCCGTCAGTATATTTGTGTTAGTGTGGTAGTGGATAGACACTCCTGAAGCCCAAAGATAGAAAAAGCCAAAGTAGTTTCTCGTGAGATTCTGACTCTCTTTCACTCTCTCACTCACTCACACCCCCACCAGGATCGCGAGCGTGTATCACTCGTGGGGTCTTGTAGGACCTGGGACGACTACATCTCCGCAGATATCTTCTCCATCTTTATGGGTTGGAAGTTGACGTCTCTCTGAGCTCTGGGCTCTTCCTCTTCAGATAGGAAATAAGTCTTACAACTAGTTATGCGAGATGGATGAGCTATTGCTATAATTTGCCACGACCTCTAAAAACAACAGCACGACTCCTCTAAAAACAACACTAACTCTAACATCTTCTGCGACTCCTTCTTCCGCTTCTTCATCTGCGTCCTCCTCCTCACATTGCAGTACGCCTCCAGTCCAAATACCACGAGCTTGCCTAGATGCTTTTGTCCTTGCGGTCCGCGAGCACTACCTTCCGAATCCCTACCACAATTTTCACCACGCGTTGAACACTGTGTATCTATGCTCCGACTTCTTACGGGGAGAACAACGCGTGGGCAGCAACATCTTGCAAAGTCTGGACGTTTTTACCTGTCTCACTTATGATGTTACTTGTCTGTCTCAGTTACTTGTCTGTCTCACTTGTAGCTGTCTCACTTGTAGCTGTCTCACTTGTAGCTGTCCCACTCAAGATGCTGGAGTTCCCTTCTACTTATGATCTTAGCCAGCTGCATCTTGGTCCTCCCGTTTTTGAAGAGAAAACTGAACACGGGCACCAGGAGGATGCCCCAGCACAAGAAGATGGCCCGTTTTTCCTAGAAGCTCTAACGGACGGCAGCATTAGCCCATGATGTTAGCCATCGAGGGTTCACGAATACTTTCGAGATCGCGACCGGCTCCGACGTCGCTGTCACTTACAATGACATATCTGTGCTAGAAAACATGCACGCCTCTTTAGGTTGGCGACTTGTCGAGTCTACTCTACTCTCACCTGGAGGAGGACGCGGTGTCTACTATAATAACGATCCTCGTGGAAGCAACAGTCTAGCAAGAGGTGCGCAATCCTCAGCAGCACAATCAGGAGTACAAGCCATATCCGATCGCCAAACGCAGACACACAGACGCTTTCGCCAGCTCTTTATCTCCAGTATACTGGCAACCGACATGAGCAAGCACGACGGACAGATACAGGTAGTAAGGTATAGCATCGATCTTGTAGCAATCGGAAGAACCATCATCGGAATATAGACCAATTTAATATACGTGGCATCCATCTCAGGCTCGATATTGTTGAGAACAAACTACAGAAATACTTACGTTCTTCATGCATTCCTCGCTAGTTTTCATTCTTTGTGATTTACTGAATCCCCCTTTTGCTATCCTCATTCTTTTGTCAGGCAGCAAAAGACGTAAGTCGCGAGTTGGAAGAGCTACGAGGTCGAGGAAGGGACGAAGACCATCAAGCAAAAGAGGCAGCGGAGGAGTTTTATGACGGCGTTTTTTCTGAACTTTATCTATTCCGAGAACAATAGAAGGCATAGGGTTCTTAGCCGTTTCTCTTCATTGTATCTATACCATAGAGACGATAGCCCTGATAGTAGTTCTAGTTGCAACAAAACGAACACAGCGACTGTTGACGAGATTATTTTTTTCGTGTACGCTCTAAAGAAGGCACACAACAAGAAGATCGGAGGGGCAGGGGCTGCGAAGCAGCAAGAAGCACCATAGCTTGGTTCCGCGCGTACCAGGTGGCAGAAGCAGGAGGTCTTTAGTGCCCCGATCTCTGTTATGTGGTGGATTTTAGTAAACGCGTGTTGTCTTCATATCGGAATCCCAACACTGTCCTCGCAATTTTTTTTTTCAGACGTCTCAGCCTCAGCTTTGATCTCTTTCTCAGCCTCAACTTGGAGGAAATAATGGCTCGATATAAAACTCAGTCGCGCTTGTGCTAAGTAGTAGGCCGATGCTGTTGCTTAAAGGTAGCGCTTGAGTAAGTTTGTTGTCACTTCTTTCCTCAGTCTTGCATTTTTCGCCTTCGTCAAGGACACTGTCCTCGCAAATTTTCTCCATCTTCATACTTCTCAACCTCAACTTTGATCTCCTTGGATCGACCTTCGACTTTGCAGATGGGCAGGAGAAGCACACTGGCGTCCCTTTTAGGGCAGCCACATGCTGCCACTCCGTCTACGTCTTCCATACTCTGTCATGGTCGTGGGAATGGGGATGGGAATGCGATGAATGGCAGTATATTACAACTTGGCAGTGACAAGAAAGGTATTTTGCAACAACGGCCACATGACGACGAGCAAAATACCGCGTGGCGTGCAGCTGAGAGTGGCGGATCTGGCGAAGGGAATGTGACCAATATCCCTGGGAGTGCAGGAGTCCCACCACATAGACATCAAGGACGTCAAGGATTCTCACGTGTATGGTCGTGTGGACATATTAGATATTGAAATTGATTGAGATGATCTGTTTTTAATGTTGAAGGGGAAGTGTCGTCGTTGTCGACAGACTATCAATCTTGAATGGGATATCAAAAGAAAAAAAACTACCTATACTTATAAATCAAAAAATTTGCTTTAGAGGGTTTATAAGTATAAGTAGTTTTTTTTCTTTTGATATGGGAAACGTCGTCGTTGTCGACAGGAGGCGCAACGTCTTGTTTCAAGAAAAGTTTTCATTCTCCATGAAGAGTGCCATGCTTTTCATAACCGGCTGACCTGAGTATCTGCAGTGTTACCTCCAGTACCTCTCGTGCGGACTCGATAGTGAGATCGGGAAGCAGGGCGTCGCCTTCTATCATAGCAGTTGTAGCAGGTCGCGACGAGGATCAAAGTCAACAAAGATCCACCTATTACAGGCGTAGGTTTGGCAATACCAGGCGTAGTTTAGCCCTTAGCGACAGGCGCTCTAGTATGGAGTTATCAGCGATGACGTCGAGTGGTGGGAAATGCAGCAGTTCTTTATGATCGAATTCCGAAACAACTCAGAATCAGAATAAACCTCAACGGCCTAACCTTGAGCTGGCAGTTAAGTGGTGACAAACGAAAAATTATAAGCACAGAAGATGATTATATCAAATACAAAGATAGCGGTGCTAGCCAGGCTCGTCTACAACTACCGAACATTGGATAGACTTTCTCTGACTTCTTAGGCATCCTCGTTAATGAAAGTTAGAGATGGTCACTCACTTCCCACTTTCATGTTCCATTTGGCATCAACATCAAGAGCAAAATTTTCTTCGGAGAACCACCAGTGGTGAATATGGAAGAAAAAAAGTGCACTCACACTCAAAAAAAGTGGCTATTTTCCTACTTAAATCCTAGCCAATTTCTTGAGTGTGAGCGCACTTTTTCGCTTCATAGTGAAGATCCCACTAGTATACTACATCGAGAAGAAGAACCAGAAGGTGCTGAAGGTGAAGGCGAAGGGGATCCCAGAGTAGGAAGACGAGGCACGTCTACAATTGTACGGAAAGACTCTGTAACAGAGGAACTTCGAACGAAAATCGTTGAGTTAGTTCTTCATGCCGCAGACATAGGGAATGTGGCGCAACCACTGCCTATAGCTTTGCAGTGGAAATCCCGAGTTTTGGACGAGTTCAGTAGGCAGTCGAGGGAAGAAGCAGCACAGGGGATCGAGATGACCCCCTGTATGCAAAACCTCCACGATCCAGTGGTTGCTGCGAAGAGTCAGGTTGGATTCATCAGCTTTATACTAAGGCTTGAAACAATTAATGTTCATCTCAAGTAGAAGCATCTTTGTAGTACTTTTTGCTACGGGGAGAACATGTTGTATGAATGCGCGACAACATAATGTCAAAGATGCACTTCAAGATGAACATATGTGAGGTCTAATTATAGTTGCTCCGCTGTTCCAACAGATCCACCCGATCCTGTTAAGGCTACAACGAAATGCATCTGCAAGTAGAACATCCTGGGACCGTTCTTGTATCGTGGGAAAAGAATTCAACTCGGGTGCAGCACTTTAAGATGGATTGAAAATAAATATATTAGAAGGTGTTCTAACTCTAGGAATCTCCCAAGCCTTGGAAGCCATGGCCTACAACACGCAATACTATCAACAATGTGCCGAAAGAGGTGTTTGGTATCTGCAAGAAGAACATAAACGATTTTCGTTGCTGGAAGGAGAGGAGCAAGAGGTAAAACCTCAACACAATCGCCAACGAACAAGTGACCTCTTGATAGTTGAAGACGCTGGCTCCGAAGTTTAGAAGATGGGAAACGAATTCCCAATTTTTACTTTACGAGTTTCTATTTATAATACTCAAGTTTTTTGACTATCTAAGGTTTACCCGCTTATTACTCAAGTAACTTGTTGTCTAATGTACTAGACATGACAGTTGAAGTTGTCTTTTTCCGAATGAATCCAAGCTACTTTCTTGTCTTGCTAGATTGAAGAAGAAGAAGCTGCTGTTCTTTTTTCTGTAGTTCCTCGTCGAGAAATGAATACTTATAGAAAGCCGTTTGCTGGAAGTAGGAGTGCAGTAGTATTTGTATTTCGCGAGGTCGCAGACGTAGTACTTAGTTAATTTGTCATAGACATTAGGCTTAGGCAGTACATGTACAACTACAGCATTTTTTATAAAACAGAAGTAAAACTACAAAGCCGTTATTGGGGAATGCCTAAACACGATCTTCATCGTTCTTATTGCGTATCTACTAAGTATCTGGTGGGAACCCACCACAGCAATTCTAGTCCTTTTCTTCCAAAAGTAGTCACTTTTGTTATGCAGGATCATAATCATGCAAGGTATCCATCGGTATGTGTCTACAACTCGGGTAGTCGCAACGGAACGAGGCAGCTGCAAGCTGCTACGTGGTTCGAGTGAATTAATATTTGACGCTACTAGCTTCTGTGGTGGCTAATGCCACTGTAATTGAGGTTAGAAATATTTCTTGAGCATGCTTCTACGTCACTACACTTTGTCTGTGGTTGTTGTTGATATTAGAGCATCCACGACTATATTCGACTTAGAAGATACTCCCGGGAGGATGCATCTCGTCAAAAACAAAGGCTAGTGCTGGCACTTTTTTCCGATTGTAGTTTGTTGTATAATTAATAGGGAATAACTTAATCTACCAAAAAGTGTTTTTGTTGGAACACCCGAACACGCCCAAGCGCACCAGGAGGCTCTTGAGAGCAAATGGAATGATTATCGTTGCAATGTAACAGAAAGACGATCAGAACGGACGTGCCGAATGATCACTGACTGTTTAAGGCCTTGAAATGGTATCAAAATGGGCTCAATGTCATTGGGATATCATGAAGGGCCATTGTGCAGTTAAAGATCTGGGAGATCTTGCTGCTAATTCATGTTGGAACTCATTGAGTTCAAATGATGACCATGCGAGGAACTAACATGAGTTCAAGACAAGGAACGGTATTGATCATGATCAAGGTGACGAGTGAGAGCAGTCATTTGGCATTGAAATCAGGTTCATCCATTGGGTCTTGAGCCAGTAATGACCATTGACCAACGCCCCTCCTCAATCGCTAGGTGAGGAAATGACGAAAGTCACAAACGGTCTAGTGTTGCCTGCTCTGACCCAGAACCATCACGATTCTGTGTATAGCCACTGACATCACCTTTGGCCAACGATCTAACACCCTAAGAAGATAGAATAGGTAAGCACCGCCAAAGAAGCAGAACTTGAACCAGACTCATCATCTTCTTCTTCCGAGTCACTATCATCTTCAACATGGTTGCGGCTAAGTACTGGATTCTCTATGTGATGTAATAACAATCTGCGTTGAGTAGATGAGCGTGGGAGTTTCGTTAGTCCATCAGCTTTCATCAGGTGAGTAGGACAGAAAGCGACTTTCTCAGCTGCATCTCTAACCCTTAAATAACGTAATGCATAGTGTCTACTCTGGGGCTTCGTATCTTCACTCTTTGCTGTCGAGATTGCAGACTGGTTGTCTATCCACAATATGGCATCGTCGAGGGATGGCGATATACCAAACCGCGTTTCCACTAGTTGAGTGGGTAAGGAATTGAAGAAGTCTGTAAAATCATGCAGCTCGCTCATGACAATAGTGTCCGACGCGGCTATATACTCTGACTCTGCAGTTGAATACGCACGCACGGTTTGGGTATTGCGTTTCCAACAGATTGGAAAACCCCGATAGTACATAATCGAACCACTGGTCGAGCGCATGCTCTTTATGCAGTTTGCGAATCTTGCATCTGAGAGCCAGTCAGTATACGGCAGCTCTCTTCCTTCTGGTAGGAGCTTCTTGTAAATTTCGTTGAATTCTTCCTCACTTTCTGGAGAGTAGTAGAGTCCTTGGCCCTTCGTCGTAGCTAGATACTTTAATACTTTTCTACAGGCTTTTGCAATTCTTTCAGTAACGGGCTTACTGACATACCGAGCCAATGCCGCCACAGGGACGCAAATATCTGGCCTTGCGGTTGTCGATATCCAAAGCAGTGCGCCAACAATCTCACGCAATGGAAACCCGGCTGCTAGCTTAAGCCCCTCCTCAAGCAAAGCAGACTCGTCGAAATTTGGGGACCACACGGGCTTACCTAATGTTATTTTATACTTCTGTAAAGTCTTCTCTATGTGCACACTCATCAGGATTTTCACTGAACGCGCTTCCCGACAATAGTGCACAATCGCACCAAGAGAGTCGAACTCTAGCCATTCGAAACTCGTGTGAGAATCGACTCGCTTTGCCATCTCGATAGGCCGGCCAGGGGCGCGACTAAAGATCCGGTCGAGCTCCGGCCGTAACTCATGATAGTCAGGTCCAGTAGCTAAGTTATCATCAACATAGACTGACATCTTCATATACTTTCCTGGGTGCGTTTTGCTCTTTTTCCGCCACAATCCTGGAGCAGAAGGACACGGCTCCCATCCGAGTTCGGACAATAGCACGCAATACTTCTTGAACCAGGCTCGTGGAGCGTCCTTGAGCCCATATAGAGCTTTCTTAAGCTTGACGGTATCCGCCCCATGCTTCTCCGCCCACACTGGTGGAAGACGGCAGAAGGCGCCGCGATCGAGTTCAGCATTAAGGAACGCAGAATCAAGGTCGAAAGGGATGACGAAGTCAGAGTCCGTCGCTGCTGAAACGAGTAAAAGTCTATTCGCAGCGTGTGACACTACAGGGGCGTAGGTGTCGATATTCCCCGAACGATCAAGATTCCCGAGCACACAAGCACGAGCTTTGAATGTTCCAGCACGTTTTACCGTGAGAACGATTGCTATAGGCATTACCTGAGAAGAGGTTCGCAGCTCCTCGTCAGTAGCTGGCGCCCAAGTCTCAAAGGCAAGTAGTCTAGCTTCCTCCTTGGTGATAGCTGCGCGCCATTTTTCGGCGTCGGGGCTTTTCAAGGCTTGGGAAACTGACAGCATGACATGTGCTTCGAGGAAGGTCCCCCCTTCTTCCAGCTCATGCCCGCCTGCTAGCATGGCAAATTTAGTCATGTCTTTTCTTAATGCTTCTAGCTCGGCTTTTGTTCTTCTTTTGCGTTGTCTTGGATTCTTATCCTTGCTCCCTTTAGGTCTTCCTCGGCCTTTCTTCCCCTCCTCAACTTTGCCTGGTTGAGATGGTGGAATGGGTAAGGGCCTCGGATCCCTTGCTTCAGGATTAGAGTCAGGTGACACGCGCTCCGATGAGATATTCCCCTCCTCAACGCGTTGCGCGTCAGAGTTGGAATCATCGCCGGTCTTTGGATCTTCCTCTTTGTCCAAAGATTCACAGAAAAACTCATCAGTGTCATTGTTAACTAATATCATTTCCATGCCGGTTGGATCGCCTGAGCTGTACTCCGTGCCAGAGAAGCGCGGCTGACAGGCCATACGTTGCAGCGCATGCCTGTGCAGGACGGGACCCAGCGACGGCGTGCCAGACTGCAGGTTTTCCAGCGGGTCATAATCAACATAAATGCCCTTCGACGTAGGCAGTAGCCAATCAATGTTCTTGACTAATATCGACTCTCGAAATTTAACATCTAGTGTGGAATACTCACTCCACTTGAAGCCAGCTTTCGATCTCCCATCGTTGTGATATGTACCTACTAGCCAACCAGACGAAACTGGACACAGACCGAGAAACACACCACGCCGATAAGGTGGCGCAAGCTTTGCTTCTTTCTTGTTGGTGGTGTCTACGACCTGTTCATGAAAGTACACCAAGCAGCCATATCTTCTTAGCATACCTAGACCACTTTTCGAGGACTTCCCTCCTATCCTCTTTTCTAGTATCTCGACAGGACTCGCTCCATCATGTTCGGGCATTTTTGCGTAGCGATGCGGTAAGCGATTCCAACAATCTCCGGCATACTGTAGGCAGTAACACCAAAGACGTCGGTCGACTTTGACCAACATGGTACGTACAGCGCCGAAAATGGTCCGCATGAAACGTTCGCAAGTTCCGTTCATTTCTGGGTTGTAAGGAACTCCAGGAATTTCCGAAACCAGTAGCGATTGCATGACTTTGGTCATATGGTCACTACTTAGGACGGGTTCGCTATCTCTACGGATGAACCGTGCCGCCTTGTCGTCGAGTGACAATGAGTAGTCCTGGCGAATGCCTTTTATTACTTCTTCAATCACCTCTACGCAGTCCGACTTGAGGCAAAGAGGACGAACGAAACGCATTTTAATCGAATCGCAAATAATGACTAAAGCGCGCCTTTTGCTTCTTATAGAGACTGGTCTAATACCAACTGCGAAATCAATTGCAAGTGTTTCCAATGGAGAAGGTATATGCCCAGCGGGCCTCACTTTTGCATGAGAGCGTCTTTGACCTTTGGTTCGATCACATTCTGGACAAGATACACTAAGGCCATCAGCGTGAAAGTGGCCAAGTCTACGATGTATGTCTAATCTTGAAGCTTGTGAATGAAGTCTAGCTTCTTCTATACTAGTGCATACTATATCCTCCTCAGTTTCGTTTTCTTCTTTGCTAAACATGTCACAACCTAGAATAGGTAACTGCATCTGGGGGCAATTTGTTATGGGTAGAGAGCGGCCGGAGCGGGTATTGTACAACGTTCCGCCACTTTCTGTGAAATTCATTTGCCAACCCTTCTCATGACAGTTTCCTTCACCTAGCCACGGTGTAATGCGATCTATGGCTTTTGGTAAGTGTTCAAAGTGTACGCCATATTTTAGTCCTAATTTGTTTTCTTTTAGTCTACCTAAGTTCCCACTTCGCTCTCCAGCAGTGCCACTAATATGACAAAGCCGGTAGCTAATCTTCTTGAAATCGGAACGATGGCGCGACGAATATTTATTAGCACAACTGTCAACAAGTGAAACTGTTTTGCTATTTTCCCTGTTATTTGCACTTAGATAGCAACCTGAGCGATTGTCAATCATATAGCTTTCACCCCTAAGCGGTTCACTTCTATATTCTTTACTCTCAATGTTTTCTTCAAAGTTCAGCGAACGTCTTCCATTTTCATCTTCGAAATCTTCTTCCAATTCTTCTTCGTCTTGGGGTTGTCCATCTCGTTTCCCATATCCATTCCATTCCGGATTGGTTTCGACTCAGCGTTGTGGTTGTTGTCCACCCCATTGCTGTTGTGGGTTACTGTTGTCGAATCCTTCTCCTCCACTTTGTTGTGGTGGATAGCTGTTCTGGTGCCACGGAGGGATAGCGTTACCTTGCGGCCAGCAGTTGTATGAATTGTTGAAGAAGTTGCTGCCCATGGCTTTGTTAGGTTGGTAGCTTTGACTCATCGGGTTTAGCCAGCATTTGCGCGCCTTATGTCCATACTTGTGGCAATAGTTGCACTGGATACCCTCATTAGGATTAGAGTTCTTAGCGCCTTTACCTTTGCCATTTCCTTTGTTTTTCTTACTACTAGAACTACTACTACTACTCTTTCCACTTCCTTTTGCTGCGTAGACCTCGTTCTTGATTTCTTTGCGAATCTTCTTGCGAAGTCGTTTGATCGTTGTTTTCTTGAGAGTGGCAAACGCGTTACCATCGTCATCACTCTCATCCTGACGCTTACGCTTCTTGGTTTTGTTATTGTTCTGGTTTTCATCATCAGAATCTTCGACAGCTGGAAAAGCTTTGCCGAAAGATGGACTCTCGATCTTGTACTCACCAGAGTCAATCAAGCTCTGAAGTCGTTTTGTGAGTCTTTCACCGATTTGGACGAACGTTAGATGTTCTTCTTCTTGCATCCTCTCGATTGTCTGTCGAAATGCTTTGGAAAACATTTTTGGCAGAATGTCGAGGATTGCTCCACTTTGTTGATCAGCAACAGCCGCACCAACTTCCGGCGGGTATACGGTCGGAGATTGGTTCATGACATCTCTGACCTTCGCCAGGAATGTTGGAACGTCTGGAGGAGAATCGCGGTTCGTGAAGTGCATCCCTTCCAACGCTTTAGCAGAGATTCGCTGCTCTGTGCGGTCATTTTGACTGAAACCAGCGTCACGGAGGTTCGTCACCACTTCACCAGCGTTCATTACAGTGGTATCCTGATCCTTCATATGTGCTTCGGCTGCACCTTTGAGCGACTTGATGATCACACTCTTCAAATCTCGCCAATTCTGCTGGAGCATGCGGTCGCTGTTGTTGGGTTGGTTCGGAACCCCTGCCGCATTGCCGTTCAGCACATTGTTGAGGTATTGGACTAGGTCCAGGCGGTCTGCTTCTTGCGTTACCGCTCGAAGCCAGTCACGCCAGTCAGATTTCTGCCCCAGTTTGGGTGAAATCTCTCCGAGACTCATATCGGGCATTTTGTGGCGCAAGTAGTGCGACTTTGTTTTCTCTACTTCTACAAAGAATTGACTAGCTATTTCTTTAATAAGGTAAGGCTCAAGGGCTTGGAACAGTGTTGCAAAGAGAAGCTCCCATGAAATGGATCGCCAGAAGTTGCCGAAAGTCTCCGAAAGTTCATCTGGCAAGTGTTGCTCTGATAGATTCGGCAAAGCCAGTAGCGTGACGACGGCGGCGGCTGTCCGTCAGTCTGTTGGTCTCCCTTGGTCTTGGTTGCTTTGCTTCAAGCAGTGAGCCGGGGCCCCGTCTTTCTTGTTTAGCTTGTTCCCTCTGCACTCAGCCACCCCCTTCCTTTCATTGGTTCTTCCTCCTTCCTTCGTTCCTGACTACACACACAAAGACACCTGGCAACCAAGCCCGCTGCCTGGCGCGCTGGCTTGGCTTCTTTCTTGCTTGCTTCCTCTCTCTCTCTCTCTCTCTCTCTCTCTCTCTCTCTCTCTCTCTGACTGCCCCCCCAGTCAGTCTGGTCTGTGTCTGTCAGTCAGTCTGCCTCCCGTTCTCTCTCACTCTGGAGCCAGCTCCCTGCATGCCTTCCATCCATCCTCCGCCCGTCGCTCGCTCTCTCTGTCTCTGTTTCTTTGTGTCTCACTATGTGTGGCCCCTGTCTGACTTTCTTTCTCTCATTCTCCTCCCTGCTCGCTTCTATCTTCTTCTCCTTCGTTCTCTTCCTTGCTCACCTCTGTCTCCCTCCGTTTTTGTTTCTGTCAGTCTTAGTCTGTTGCCTTGTTTCTTTGCTTCATTCGTTCGCTTCGTTCTCCCTCTCATGGCCGCGCGCGTCTCTGTAGTGCATCAGTCTAAGCAATCCACGCACCTGCGCGCCCCTCGATCCATGCATCGACCCACCCACCCACCCACTGCCTGGCGCACGCGGCCCGCCGATGGGCCCAGCCATGGAACGACCCGCGCGCCGGTCGGTCTAGGTAGCTAGGTGCCGCGCGTAGCTATGTACCTGATGAATCTGTCGGACCTATGAATGTATATACATTCATGGCCTAGAATCTACCGGATAGCTAGCCAGATTGATCTACGCGCGAGGGTGTCGAACTATGTATCTAGCATACTATCTAAGTAACTAAGAGCGTGCGAAAGAGTGCAAGAACGAAAGTGAGGCAAGGAGGAGGGCGGCTAGTTTCCGTTACTTCGACGTGAGTGCGCGTCTCTGTGCGGGTGTGTCTTTCTATGTCTAAGAGAGCGCGCGTCTGTCTGCGTTGCGGTCTCCCTGCCTGGCACCCGCTCGCACTGTGTATCCAGCGGCCTTCCTGGCAGTTAGTCAGTGGGGGCGCGCTCTTGCTCGGCCTAGGTAGCTATTTGCGTATCTATGTGTCTATGAATGTAGGCGCGCGCCCATCCTTCCAACAGGCAGTCTACCCACCGACCTACCAACCTCCCTGGCGGCGTGTGTAGGAGTCAGCGGCAGTCTGTGAATGAGTGTGCCTGTGAGTGTATCTAACTACGTGCGTGTGGGTGTGTGAATGAATCCACGGGCCAGCCTATGTATGTACGAACGAACCAACGCCCCAGACAGTAGCTAAGAGATCACAAGCCTCCAAATTTTCTCAAAGTCCCCGTCGAAGAATGTTGCCCGTCAGTCTGCAGATTGATGCGACGGCAGAACTTTCTTCAACAATTTGACAAAAATGCAGCAGATATGTCAATCAAAAACCGCTCCGCCGTTTTTTGCCGAATATCGCCGATTATTTCCGTTCTTGTTTCTCCCGGTTCCTTAGCTCCGTTTATTTCCGTTTATTTCCGTTTCCTCCGAAAGTTTCCGAAAGTTGCCGAAAGTTTCCGAAAGTTGCCGAAAGTTTCCGAAAGTTGCCGAAAGTTTCCGTCTTTTTCCGTTAATCGCCGAGGAATATTTTCGGAAACTTTCGGCAACTTTCGGAAACTTTCGGAAACTTTCGGCAACTTTCGGAAGCTTTCGGCAACTTTCGGAGGAAACGGAAATAAACGGAAATAAACGGAGCGAAGGAACCGGGAGAAACAAGAACGGAAATAATCGGCGATATTCGGTAACTAAAGGAAAGTGGAAACACTTTCGGAAACTAACGAAGAGCCACCGGCCTTTTCTTCGATCTCTCGACGCTGCAGCCCTACAGGTGAATGAGTGGGCACGTCGGTCCGTACTCGCGCGGACTCTAAGAAATCCAGACCCATGCATCCATGGACAGGACGCGTCCGCCCTCTCATTCTATCTCTGCCGTACGCTCGTGGATGCCTACAGTAGGCACGCGCACTGGCTCACACATAGACACGCACCATCTACGCACCCAGCCAAGCACTCACGCGCGCACGTAGCCACGTCCTATAGTGTACACAATTAGCCAGCGCCGACCCCTCTAGATATAGCAAGGGCGTGCTTCTGTTTAGTTCTTTAACGTTGATAGATAGATACGCCCACGGATGCTAGGTAGTAGCTAGGTACGCACCCACCACAATGGGGCAGACAGTCTGACGCACTCCCCCACACACGTAACGGCGCCGCGGCCTTCGCCCCGCCCTCTCACTCTGGCGCTCGCACGCGTGCAGTGGGTACATAGGTGGGCGCGTATTCAATATCCTAGATAGCGGCACGCGTCTGCCTTCGTTCTCTCTTTTCCTGTCAGTCAGTCGGTCGGTCTATGCGTCTCATATGTGCGCACCTACTCACATGGATGCCATAGATACTTACGACATGCGTACACCCATGCGCTGTCTCTATGTCATAGGCTGGCACGTAAGAGATGGACTCCTTGACTGAGTGGCGAGAGGGTGGGCGAGTGCGTGACTGACGGGCCGGGTGGGTGGGCGCGAGGGTGAGTCAGTGCATGTATGAACGCAGGAACCAACCAACGCGCGCGAGCGCGCGCCCATCCGTCGGCCCACTCAATCACCCGGCGCGCACTCTCTTCGTTCCTGTGAGTCAATGCATGGCCGACGTGTCTGCGTGACGAGTCACGCACTGAACGAAAGACGGCGCGCGTGCCTACCTACCTACCTACCTACCTACCTACGTAGGCACGCACCTACCTAGCTAGGTAGCTGCGTGCCTACCAACCTACTAGTACTACCTAGGTAGGTAGGCTGGTAGGCAGATTCATTGGCTGCCGCTGCTAGCTAGGTGCGTTACGAAAGTAAGTAGGTGCCAGCCTCGGCGCCTATGACATGTATCTGCGAGCGTATCAATGAATCTACCAGAGACTCAATAGACAGCGCGTGAGGCGGCTGAGTGAGCTGCTCTGCTTGTCTCGGACTAAGTTAGTTAAAAAAGTGGCTTGGTTGCTTCTTAGTTACTTTGTAAATAAATAGATAAAGGAGCACCTATATACTTACCTATGCATACTAAACCAACGAACGGAGCCTCGCTGTTAGTTAGCAGTGACTGAGCGCGTTGGTTCGTTGTGAGCGAGTCCATGCATGCACGCCATGGCATGCGTGCATCCATGCACGCATCGATCGAAGCAACTCAGCGACCCCCCGAGGGAACAACTTACAGGCGCCACTAACTACGCCAGCGGGGGGCCCGCGTATGTATGAATCTGAGGACGCTTCACGGGAGGCGCTTTTATCGAGTGAGAGAAAGTCTGCCAGTTGAACTTTCGGAAACTTTCGGGAACTTTCGGCAAGGACCCTCATGGGCCTCCATTTTTGCAAACAGTGTTGGAACACCCGAACACGTCCAAGCGCACTACGAGGCTCTTGAGAGCAAATGGAATGATTATCGTTGCAATGTAACAGAAAGACGATCAGAACGGACGTGCCGAATGATCACTGACTGTTTAAGGCCCTGAAATGGTATCAGAATGGGTTCAATGTCATTGGGATATCATGAAGGGCCATAGTGCAGTTAAAGATCTGGGAGATCTTGCTGCTAATTCATGTTGGAACTCATTGAGTTCAAATGATGATCATACGAGGAACTAACATGAGTTCAAGACAAGGAACGGCATTGATCATGATCAAGGTGACGAGTGAGAGCAGTCATTTGGCATTGAAATCAGGTTCATCCATTGGATCTTGAGCCAGTGACGACCATTGGCCAACAGTTTCCATTTTCAACCATATCAATTAGGAAATATTGAAAGTGAAAACGGATTTTGATCGTGTAGAATTATCGCAGAAGATAAAGATGGAATGTCGATGCACAGATTTGACTATGACTACTTAATAGAAAACAGAATCAATGAAAAAATGACATATCATCTAGTATGTTGAGACTTAATTCAATACTCTTGCAAGAAGAAGCTACGCGCGCTGGACGAGCTAGTTGTGCTCATACAGCACGCCCGCGTCCTCTGATAAAACAGGTAGTTCCAGTTGTTGTTTGCAGGAAGAGAGTGTGCCTTTCTCCAAATTCGATGAATTGCACATGGTAAGGAAATGCGTTTTCGATTCAGCCACAGCCACAAACAGAAAGTATAAAACCACTACGCGTAGAGGATTTGTCGAGGTGTCCGGTTTACTGAAGCAGCAGTCCTCGCGGAAGATGCACGAAGCCGCATCTGGTGTCGTTGAACATTCATTGCAGCAAAATAGAAAAAAATGATCATGATCGATCGACATCAATGGAGAGAACTGAGCTAAACCTGGAGGTACTTCTTACTTGCTAGATGATTTTTGGTGGTCAGAGAAGCAGGAGGCCTCAACAAGTTGTTAAATCGCCACATTGAAAATGGCGGTGATCAAAAACAAGGAAAGTAACCCTATTGCGTTAAAAATGTAAATGAGGATACTACTTCGTTCTAGTAGAGACTTCCATGATGTAACAGTACTCGTAAGGAACAGCACGATGCAGCTTTTTGAGCATGTTGCACTTAGGTCCTTACAGAATTGCATGACATGATCAAGAGTCCGACTTCTGCGTCAGGAGGAGGCTGCAAACACTATCCTAGCGCCGATCGCAATGTGATACCAGCAAAAGGAGCGTAGAATCGCCAAGAAGTGGCGGTGATACTAGATTTGGAGATAAAAAGATGTTGGGCGCTTCGATACGAACCCACGTTTGGCTGACCTCTTCGTCTTCAACAGCAGATAGAGACGGTGATGAGGAAGACGATGGGGCACCATGGAGCAGCCAAGAAATTGGTCAAGAAACGGTTTTCACTTTGTGCCCACCAACATCATCGAGTATTAGAAACAACTCTTCAAGTAGCATTAACATCGGCGGAAGGATACCAGGAACAACGACGTCATTCTTATCCGAACAAGCAAAGACAGCGGCGCTTTCAGGGCTGTCGGATTCCGAAATTAGTAGTTCTTCATCTGCCTTATTTGTGGTCCACGGAGATGAAAAGCCGTATCGCATACTGCTCAGTTTAAGCCTCGAGGTTTGAAGACTGCTTCACCTAGCAAAAGAACAAGTGGATTTGATGAACTTTTTTCATTTTCTAGAAACACTAGCACACTTTTCTTGATTTCTTTCGAAGGTACCTATCAAATTGATTGAAACCTAGCCAGCACTGCGCACCCTCTAACACCTGGCAACGTTATCGTTGAAGCTGCCTCTAGAACATCTGGGATTGGGGCTGCCTCTAGTACTTCTGGGAAAGCGACGGATTCAAGCGAAAGTTTTGCCTCAGTAGTTGGTAGAAAACTCTTCCCCACACCACTGGGAAGCTCCAATGAGGAAAAAGCAGTCTTATTTTACACCAGCTCTGGGACGTTTTCTTCCAGCACAACGTCTCCTACGTCCCCTAGTAGAGGTACTAGAAATGACCACGGATCTAGTAGAGGTAGAGGTAGAAACCACGATCGCCTCCTTGCCACGGCTTCGGCTGTGATTGGGAGGTACCTCGGAGGCGGCACCGCAGGAGGAGCAGATGATGAATCACCTTCGTACTTTTCTAGAAGTAGTACAACTAAAAGTAGTAAGGTAAGTTGCAGTAAAGGGAACAAGAATGAAGACCATCATGATGATGGTACTACTACTCCTCCTGCTAAGGAAACGAAGAAGAGAAATGAAGATCGAGGTGGTCTCGCCATACTCGTGTCCTCGACTGCTGCATCGTGTCCGCGACTGCTGCATGATCACGTCGACGTCAAAAAAGGGACGCCGCGCCTCTTCTACACCTACCGCCATGCTATGTGCTTTCTGAGAGAAGAGCTTGGGAAAGCTTACATTAGGAATGCGAGTGGAGAATCCACTGCCCCTTCTTCTGGGGAGACAGTGGTAATCATGACAAAATTTGTGGTCCCGTGGTCCCCCTCCCCACGACACTCTCATATATATTAATATTTGAATCTACTCTTTCTTTATCATTTGTAGTGCTTCTGCTTCATGATCGTACCCCCTTCTACTAAGTCGGTAGAAGCAACACCTCTTGTGCGCAGCACTGTTGGAGCAGACTCACTTGTTCTTAAGCATGTGACTGACGCTGATCACGACGACTGATGCCAATTACATGAACCTCCTCCAAAGTACTCCTCCAACCACTACATTCTAGGTAGTTTCTCTCTTCGCCGAGAGTCCTATCGGTTCTGGCATTCACCTGGTGGATCTTGTGGTACCGTTACCACTAGAACGACGTGGACGGGAACACTATAGATGGCTTGAATATCTCCTTACGACGACGGCGCAGGGTTGTATTTCATGTTAGAAGTTTTACATTCATTTCATGTTTACATTCATGTTGTATTTCATGTTTTACATTCATTTCATGTTGTATTTCATGTTTTACATTCATTTCATGTTACTTCATCTCTCCTAGTCCTAACGGAAATCAGGCAGCGTAAGTTGTCACGTGGTTCGCAAACGAATGAATGAATGCATTCCTAATTCAAATATGGCAGTACTATGGGTGTAACTTACCAGCAAGCTTCTCGACGTGTTTCATTTGATTCTCCGGTAGCAACAACATACTCTAAATTGGAGATCGGCTCCTTCATCAGGTGACGACGGCACAGAGAAGGAAGACTTCCGTGTTGCTCGTGCAGTGTCGACTCTTCTTGGCCCACGGGTCGCGGAGTTCTCACTAGTTGCTCCAATTTCAGCGAAGGCGTCAGATTTTGAGGTATTTCCTTCGTGATTGATGTAGTTTGAGCGCATTTGTTGCATGGCCAGCGTTCTTGCATGAGAAGTTTTAGTTTGTTATCTCCAACATTCTCTATGTGCTGGTGTCCTACTAGTTCTGGCGTTGTAACTGTACATCTACATCTACCTAGTACTACATCTCAAACTCTTACTTCTGTGAAACGAAAATCTGTTATCATTATCAAGTTTCTCAAGTAGAAAAGTGTGATGATGATGCTAGATTATTTTGATTTCATACTTACTCACTTTTTTTCAGGATTCAGTAGCTTTGATGCGAGTGGTTGCCAAAATCGGAAAGCGAACTTTACCACCAAGTCTAGTCCCTCATGCATCGTGGATTCGTGAGGTAGAGGCTTGTTTTCAACAAGTTGTGGCGGATGTCGATGATGTTGTTGTCGAAAGTGAAGAAGGCCCTCAAGGAGAAGACGAGGAGAGACGTGCAGTGCTACGAGATTTAAGGTTAAGTACATTTTTTTAGTGTCCATCTTTCTCGGCACATCTTGGTACCCGTTTGTTCTCCTGTATTCTTCTCATGAATATTACAAGGCACAAGGGGCCAAGATGAGAAGGCCGCGATGCAATCTAGCAGACTCTAAGAGATGGTCGCCAAGAAGGCCAAGCAGGAATAAAAGCTATTGGAAGGCAACGACAGGAGAAGAACAAGGTGGAGGTGGTCAAGGCGTTAAATATTAGAGAGGATCATGAGAGTGAGAGGGATTCTCAAGAAACTTCTTCATCAAGCAATACTTCAACTAGCAGAGTTCGCGTAGAGGTTCCACAAAACCAAATGTCGCACGCCAGTAGTTCCAATGTTCCTCCATCGCCACGCCAAGGCCAAAACCAAATCCAACCTTCGCTGCCTGTCGACAAGGACAAGATCGAGCCCTATTTATGGCCTCGCGCGGAACCGAAGATGACGCTGCGTCAATGGGTTGAGGCTCGTGCTAGCAAAGAGCAGCATCCTCAGTGGACTGACGGTGGACGGGTCGAGGATGGTTTGACGCACGTTGAAGGAGAGCTGGCGAGTGTTTCTTCGTTCCCGCAGCATCAAGTTAAGGTACAAAGTAAATTTATAGCTGAGCATGCCTGTCTCTCCTGTCATGTCATCAGCGAAATCTTCTTTCGAAAAATTTCCTTCGTCTCGCTTTTCTCTGAAACTGAGAGTCAACGAAGCAGAAGCAAGAATGAACAAAATTGTGTTCATCCTCGTTTAAGATTAAATTATTTCAAATCCTTTTTTATGATCACCTTGTGTGTAACACCCCTTCTTGTCCTCGAGTCATGGTTTCAGTCTTCACTACGTCCTACCTCAAAGCGTTTCACTACGTCCTCTAATCTCTCGAAGCCACCTGCCCTTCCAGGCACCAATTCGACGACGTTCAAGACTAGTGTGGGCACTATTGTAGCTCTGCCAGATCCGCTCAACGATCCACCTAATGTGAACACGTCTACACTACTGGGCTCGATCTCGCCAGCGCCAAGTCCAAGTTAAGGCTGCGGCTCATATTCATCTTGAGAAAGACATCTTTGTGAGGTCCGTTTTTTTCGCGTCTGTCTGTGTTTTTTTGGTTTTCTGTGCTAGTTAGGCGGGCTTAACCACTATCATAAGACATCTTCACTGGTGTGCTTTTTTTCCAGGGAGGAAACATGAACAATGATCTACAACGTGCTAAAGATATACCCGCCCCAGAAGATCAAGATGATAAATATTTATAAGTAAGTACAACACGACTTCGGTAAAAAAAGCGCTAACCGAGGGACCAATTCGGCGCGGCACGTAGTGTTTCTCATTCGTCCTCATCGTCAGTGTCTTCCTCTTCGAGAAGATGTTCTCCCGTCCAGATGACTGGTGGCATTTTGGCTGTTGGAGGCGAGTTTTTATGTTCTACGAGAAGTGCAGGAGTTCCTATTCCTAATGGAGGCATACGCACCACTACTACTGGTTCTTCTCGGTCAACAGGTTGTACTAAAAGTCCTTACGAGCAGCAGCTGCAGGCAGGTACAAATAACACCAGCACTACTTCTTCTACTTCTAGTACCAAGAAAGCAGGTAAAAATAGAGTGACTAAACGTGGAAGTAAACAGGCACAACAAGAAGAAGGTGGCCCCAGTCGTAGTCCGGAACAAAGTGAGGAAGCTTCTAGTTCTATCTCAGGTCGTAACAAAGCCACAACATCTACAACCACGACTACAACATCTCCTTCTGTTTTCAGTTCCTTACCAAAAAGCCCGCGTGAGCCGACACGCGCTTGGCCTATCAATACGGCTACACCAGCGGCGTCAAGCACAAGGGCGATGACCCTCACTCGAACTAGTTCAGGCAAGTTACCAAACACATCTTCTCCTACGTCTGAACCAGACGCACAGTCACTACAAAAATCTTCCGAATCCAATTCTTCTCACAGCAAACTGAAACGCAAAGCGCGTGAACCAAGGAGAACACCACGACCTCTTTCTAGTACTGGAACAGGAGCAATGCCAATCATGGATGGAGGAGGAGGTGAGCCTAAAATTATAACTCCATCTGCAGCACTAGTGGAAGGGCAGAAGACCGCAGAAGAGCAGAAGACCGCAAAAGAGCAGAAGACCGCAAAAGAAGAACTTCCTCTAGAAGAGCAAGTTACTTTCGAAGAAAGGGCGGGAAGGAAACTTCCAGAAGAGAAAGACTTCCTCCACACTAGCCCGCGACCCAATCTCTCGCCCAAACAACCGCCACCGCCACATATGTCACCCCAGCAGCCACATATGTCGCCGCCTTCATTCGGCAAGAGTTCTTTTCTTCGTGGGGTGACCAGTCTAGAAGACTTTACTTTTGACGGAGGCTTTGCATCTCTAGGTTCGAAAAATGAAAACGAAGTCGGCGTTGGTGTTGGCGTAAACATCTTCGGCGATGAAAAGGTAGACGAGGATAGTAAAGGCTATGGCGCCACTAGGACTCGTATCAATACTAGAAGAAGTTGCGTCGAGGATAGAGATAGAAGAACGAGAACAACAAGTCCGAAGAAGGAGATGAATAAAACATCTTCACTGAGTAGAGCTAGTGGGCAACAACTTCACAATGGCAATGGGGAACAACAAGATCAACAGCAACTGAGGCAACAAATTCTGACACAAGAGGACCAACATCTTCAGACTACCAATGATCAAGAACAGTTGGACGAAGCTCATGTGCGATTACGTCTGGCACTACTTAGGAGTCCCGAACCTGAGGATGAGGAAATTGCTGAGACATTCGAGGAAATAGAGAACCAGTACTACGAACTACTACGAAAACAACGAGGAGGAAATGGGAATGCGGTCGTGGAAGACCACAATAGTGGAAATAGTAGTAGTAAAACAAAAACCTCAAGATCTACTGCGTTGGGCAGTTTCAATATCTTGAGGGGACGGGAAGTTACATCACGAGAAAAAGTTACACCAGACGGAGAGGAGCAGGACCACCTCTACTCATCTTCTTCAGAAATAGTGGAGATGTTTGGCAGCTTATCTCCAGTACACCAGAATGAAGAAAGCACCCACCTTCTCCAGGATGGCGCGATTTTGACACCACGAGAACGAGATTTAAATGGACTTCATCAGGCAGGATTAGGAGAACATCAAGTAGAAGATAAAAATGAAAAACCCAAAAAATTTCGGAAACGAACACTTTGCATGAGTAATGTTGTCACATCTGTAAGCATTCCTGGCGAGGTGGATGGTGCGGCTGAAAAGACTGCAGAGGCACAAAAACTAGATCCAAGTGCTGAGGAAACGAAAGATATACGAAAAAACGCCAGCTCATCTGGTTCTGGCACTTCTTCTGATATTACTAAGAAAAACGCGAGCACTTCCACTTCCAGTACGTCAACTGTTGTTACCTCTGGTAACCTTCTCCAAGAAAACGTTTCTGTTTCTTCAAGACCATGTGGGATGGGCAAAGAGGACACAGCTGCAGAGGACTCTGATGGTCCTAATAAAGTTGAGTCCGTTCTTCTGACCTCCACAACTGTTCTTGTGGCTCCCACAGCTACTACATCTATTGCAACCTGCTCTCCTGGGTCTCGGTCGAGGACAACAAGTCCTAAGAGAAGTGGCCTACTAGCAGCGTATGGGAAAGAGCATCTACTTCAAGCTACACTAGAAAACATCGAAAGCAGAACAAATCCAAATATGTTGGCCACAGAAGTTGAAGCAGGAGCAGATGGGGCGACACACCACGCGGGAACGGCGGGAAGCGAGGAGAGGACGGAGGCCCGGGAAGGTGTTTCACGTAACCTGGAAAATGAGGATCAAAACCTGACAATTGCAGAGGACGATATGATAGAAGATGAAGAACGACAAGCCGTCGTAGAGGAGCAGAAACATGATCAGAAAGATAGGACAACTTCTAGACAAGAACCAGGACAGGATGTCGTGAAGCAGATTGATGTTGGAGATCAAGATGCTGCTTGTTCCCCATCTTTGGCGGACGAACCTGGGAGTGGACCGACGGCCTCTGGAGTAGAGGAGGCCTTCTCGGAACTAGAGCGTAACTTCGAAGACCTACAGAGCAGAAATCAGCATCAAGCTTATAGGATGAAAAAAACTTCTAATTATATCCTAGATCCGTTAGTAGATACAGATGACGACAACTTTTTCGTGGGTCGCCGTGAGAGCTGCAGACATCTCCAGCAGGGCCAGACGAGCAAGGAGAGGAGAAAACCAAGTTCCTCCCCATCAAGAACATTGAAACCTCACCCCTTGGAACCGCAAGCACAGTCTCGTTTGCCCTCAGTCAGACGTCAGATGTGCGACGATACTTTGCCTACTGTGAATTTGGCCGTTGGTGGGGAAACTGGTAGTGTAGTCCAAGGGCAGTCGACCGTGAGGAGATCTTCACTGCTGGAGGAACGGTTATGGCTCACAAAGGATAGACTAGAACTTCGTAGGTTGGCTGCTATTATAGTTTTAAGTGCTTGTCGTGCAGCGTTGTCATTCGACACCATAATTCACCATTAGAACTACTAGTGCTTTGAAAAGAACAGAAAGGACTCAGTAGCATGATGAAATGTCTAGAAGGAGGCATGCTTCTACCCTTCTGCTCGCAGGAATGCGACGAAGACCCTCCTTTTTCTAAGTAGAAGAAACCTGATGCAGGACTCTGGTTCAACAGATTTCCGTCAAGTCCTTTATGCACGTCCGATTGCCACGCGAGCATCCAGTGGTAGTACAGCTACAGTAGTTCGAGAAACTACCACCGACTTTCAACACAAGAATCAGTCGTCTCCAACGTCTTCACCTCAACAGTATTTGTACTATCAACATGAAGATATCGGCGCACGTGCAGGAGGTACAACGAGTTCTCGTGGTAATAACATCATAATCAGAGCAGGAGGTCCTGAGGAGTCTTGGCGATGGGAGGCTGGAAATCCTGTGCTTGTTCCAGCTGATGCAGGAAAGAGACAGCATTTTGTTGCACCTAAAGAACCCGCTACAACGTCTAGGACAGCCAACATGTTTGAGCACGAGCACGAAGATGACGAGAAAGACGCACTACTAGAGTCAAGAGAGCGAACGCATAGTCAAGTAATCCTTCCGGAAGACGCACCTGGAGAAACGAAGTCAGAAGCTCTGACATCTTCTCCTGACGACGACGTGAAGCTTCTAGAAGTTCCCTCGTCGAGTTCTTGTGATGAGTTTGCTGAAGTGGTAGTGCAGCCAGGTTTGACGTCTCCACATCACGGATCTAGATCTTCGGTATCGCCTTTGTCAAGAACTGAGGGAGCAGGACGACCCGCTAGCATGGCATCGCCTAAGGCATCTGCTGGACAAGAGGAAACCCAATCTCATCATCAAAGGACGAGAAGTAGAAGCTTTGAGCTTGGTGTAGTTAGGAGTTGTACTGCTAGTCCAACTTCTTCTAGTCCTAGTAAAAGGAGCAAAAGAACCGCTCCCTCTTCGAGAGCGAGCAGAGAGTTGCATACAACACCTTCTTCCTCGTCGTCGGCGAACGGAACATCATCATCAAGTGCATTGGGCTATAATTCTTGCTTGCGTCGCTCCCACGATCCAACGGAACAGCAACGAGCGGCTATCGCCTCTGCATGTGCGGCCAGAAGTGCAATGAATGACAACTATGGCAGCACTAGTGGAATTGTAGCGCTGATGGGGACAACGAGTACTGGAGAATACGAAGAAGTTATCAGAGAATGGAGTCTGAACAACTACACGATCATGGGGGCACCAAGAAGTGCAAATAAAAATCGAAAACTTCGTCTAAGAGACGAGGGCATTTTTACTACTTCTACGAGCAAGGGATCTTCCTCAGGACCACTGAATCAAAATATAGACGAGTGCAATACTACTTCTACGAGCAAGGGATCTTCCTCAGGACCACGGAAGAAGCGCAAAACAGTCACGACTTTGGACATAGGGAGACACTTAGCGGAAGTGGGAATTGCACCGCTGAACTTAAGGCTGGAAACTTACTATTTCTGGTGTACTTTTGATTCAAAGGGCCCTGAGTGCTGTTTCCCTTGATATAGAATAGCTTAAACATCCTCAGACCTGAGTGCCGTTTCCCTTGTGATTCACAGGAATGAAAAGCAAGGGAGAAGGAAGCAACTCACTTGAAGACAGATAGTAAGTGTCTGCTGTTAATGGACACACGGAAATATCTGGACGACCTGCGAATCGGAAAACAGGAGAAAGAAGATCATGACGGGAGTAGGTCTCGGCATCCGACGCCTCCACGGCAGTCGACTTTTTCTCTGAGTAAAATGGCAGGTCAAGAACAACAACGTGCACAAGAAAGTAGTGCAGAACGAAAACTACTCCCACAAGAAGAAAGTCGTGCTGGTGTTGCTACTGCTAGAAGAAGTAATTCTAGAACGCATTCACTACGAGGAAGAGAAAGTGTTTCAAGAAGTAGGAGTGGCAGCGTGGGTCGTTCAAGAAGTGGCGCAAGCACTGGAAGACAGCGTGTAGCACCAAAGTCTTCTTCGTCTTCTGACTACGCCGAGCGGGCTAATAAAGTCACGGCGTACGTCAGGTCTAAGGCTAGCAACATAGCAAGTCCAACAGATCAAGAAAATAGTGCATCTTCAGGAGGTGGCTTTGCTCCTTCTCCTGCAACCATGGAGGCTTTAGAGGCTGCGGCCATCGCAAAGGGAAAAGCAAGCGTGAAGACCTCAAAGGAAACTAGATCGCCAGCCTCCAGTATTAAGCCTAGAGGTGCTACGAGGACGTCATCAAGGATTCATAGTACAACTAGTATGCTGGTGAGAAATACTACTGGAACAGGTATAGAGCGACAAGTATCGTCGCTGAGAAGTAATACTGGAACAGCTGTAGAGCATGAGCAACAAACTATGACAACTGGTAGTACAACACTGTCCAAGAACATATCAAAATCCACGAGCGCAAATGTTCGTGGTCGTTCTCGCTCCATAGGAAGATACACTCCTCGGACTCTTAGCAAGGACGATGTCTTCACCAGAAATGGTAATGCGCATCAAAGAACGAGTAGTGTTGGAGGTGTGGGGGGAGGAGGACCACCAGGTAGTAGAGCAACTTCTGCTTCCGTTAGTCGCACCACGACTACAGCACGACATCAGACCAGAGCTGAGAAGATGGAAACGACACGACTAACAATAGCAGCAAGGCTGCAAAGTTTGAAAGCGAAAAGCATAACGTCAAGGGCTTTTGCATCTTCTACGTCTGGTCATAATGGTCAAACAGAAGTAGGAGGCACGAATACTAGTAGTAGAATGCCTTCGAAAGCCTCAACATCCTCTGAATCTTCCAACGTAAAAAGCAGGCTTCTACCCTCTCAAAAGAGCTTAGTGGCAGAGGCCTTAAAAGCTCGCGAAATGTTGCGTCTCAATGACCGCGTAAGCCGCAGTAGCACCCCAGCTGTGTCAGCTAACAACACCATCGCTGAGATAGTACATGAGAGACTGAGAAGTATCAAGGATCAACCACTTGAGGGTGTCGTGAGTGATGGCACCAAGAGCAACGACCAGGAGGATACGAGTAGCAAAGATGATGGTGAAGGGCCACACGATGCGCTGTTTACCTTTAGGGGAGATGGAGAAGAAGACGAAAACATGGCATCCACGACGTCGGAACTGATCCAGAAAGCGAAGGGCTTGCTAACAAAAGTCTTTAGCGGAAAGGAGATTCTACTTGCCGAGCACGGTGCTCTGGGTGTGAGAAAAAACCCGCAAGTTCATAGGCCCGCGGCCTCAAAGCCTGCATCGGAAGTCGCCTCAAAAGAAGCGTCTCTCGTTCGTTATGGCTCGTTTTGTTTTATTCTTATTGCTCGTCCTCCTTTTGGACAGGCACCAGCCCCACGAGCGAAGCGGAGGAACCTAGGCGGCAAGATCCGCAGGACAGGCGGCGCAAGCCCTTCGGCATGCTCTAAGCTGAGAGGGGGGCGCAGCTTGTCCCAGCCAATTCGCCTTCAATCGGGCGCAAAAGGGATCCACGGAGAACAGAAGAGGCCGGCGCCGTTTCTGTCTAAGGCATGCATGAGAAGCAGCGGCAGGAACGTCGATACCCAGAAGGAAGGGGGCCAGCGTCTCGCGTACCGCCCACGTATTTGCAGCCATTACCCCCGCCCAGGCCAGCGCTGCTGCTAGCCTTCCCCCTGTAACCCTCGCTGGGCGTACCTTGCTGCCAGAGTGACTGGGGTGAGCTGCTGAGCGCCCTCGCGCCTGCGCGTGAGGATTCCAGACGCCGAGGCTTGTGGGAGAGCTGAGAGCGCCAGGACGCTCAGAATGAATAATCGATGACTTCGCAGTCGCAGCCGCATTTAGCTCACCAATCCAAAGGACCACGAGAGCGATGCCATGCTGCGGCGTGTCTATGTGTCCCCAAGATGTGTGGAGGAAACACCGCGCCGCCCTGGCGACAGTGCAAGCAAAGCAAGGAATGGGCTCAAGCATGCGCCAAGTCTCTTGGCAGTCGCTCGGGGGCGCCCGCTCGCCGGTGTGTGCGCATGCAATCCACAAAGCCGCGGGGCTTGGAATCAATTAGCGGGCCCGGGTGCAATCGTTGAGAGGCTGGCCCGGCGGAATTGACGCGGGTGAGGCTGCCTGGCTGGGTCTCTGTTTGTTTATTGTAGCGCACAGCCTCCGTATGCTGGTAGTCTGTCACGGTGACGCGCGCCAGTGAATGGCGTGCGCTACTCTCTCAAGCTGCAAAAAAAAATCAGCACCGTGCGTGCGCTCGCTGGCTGTTGAGCAAGGGCCTGCCTTTCGCTGCGGGGGGGCGTGTCCGCTGCTTTTCTTGATGTCAAAAAAATTGCGTCGAGACAAAGAACGGCGGGTGCTTCTTGGTTTTCTCGCTGGCTTTTGTCTTCGTGTTTAATCATCCTGATGCATGTGCGTCGCGTCAGTCTTGTTGTGTAAGTAAAAGAAAGGACTTCTTTTGTATAAATTAATATAGTTGTTGTTGTTTTTTAGCAGGTAGATAAAGATTATACTGGTTGACTGTACTATCATAGTATTTCCGTGGAAGGTGTCAGTCAGCCGTGTCAGTCTTCATGAATTGGATGTTTCTCAAGCTTTTTGAGCTTCTCTAATTCCTTCTAGCCCAGCGTGCGACTGCAGTTGCGACTGCGAGGAATCGGAGTGGGTCTCCAATGCGCGATATTTTGCGTGCGGGGTCTAGATCACCTGGCAAGCAGAATATGAGCAAAAATAGCGTTTTCAGTGGGGATGGACTAGGATCGGATTTGCAGCAGGATGCTTATGGTCGTTTGGTATATTTTTATTCCATGTTCATCTCTCTCCGTCTCTAGTACTGTAGTATGAAGCTAGAAAAACGTCCTGCTCGCCACTAGCATACGAACTGAGATAATCGGTTTCCTTCTGCGTATTTTTACGTAGTACAATCTTAAGTATGTGTAAAACCCATCTCCAAAAAAGACAGGAAGAACTACTTCTTCTATTTAGAAGTAGTAGCTCTGAAGCTGAATTCTCGCTCTCTCTCTCTTTCTGTCTCTCTCTCTCATCTAATCTCCTCTGGTCAGCAAAAGGATAGAATTCTTAAATTACAGTTTCGGTCGGGATCAAGGAGGCATGCCTGACGAGGAAGAGCTGACTCAACTCACTGAGAATCTGAAACGGAAGCTCTTATTAAGGCTTCACGTTTGTTAACCTTGGAACTCTCTAGGACAACTAGAACTAGAAGGCATGACCATGGAAGATTACATTTAGACTCAAGCTCGTAACTATCGGCTCTTACCGCACGCTTACCAGTATTTAAGGCGCAGGCGGGGGCAAGAAAATGAAAAAGAAATCCAGTCGGGTATTTCTAATCTTAGTTGGAAGGCATGCTAAAAGACCACCACCTGGGGATGGAGACCAAGATGATGACGATGCGAGTTTGTCCGTGTCAATGAACTCTTTGATTTTTGATGATGTGGATGCGGGGAAGGCGGGGGTGGGGAGTAGAAGTAGGAAAGAGCTCTTGGACGTTGGTGAAGAACTTGAAGATGAAGAACATGAAGATGGACATCAACCACGAAAGCATAACGATAAGCTACGACATGAACATCTGGTCGATGACGAGGAAGATATTCATGCTAGTGCTGCATCTTCTACAAGTCGCGGGGGCAACATCGGAGGCCCTTCTGGGAGAGCTACAACTCCAGGAACCGCAACCACTATTCAAAGCCAGAACTCAAGAACAGCTACTAATACTCGTACTAAACCATCCATACTAGAAGTATCCGCTTCCAAGCTGCTCCAACGCGCTGGCCTAGTTCCTAAATCTACAGATGAGGCACCACAATTTTCTCGTGGCAGTCGAATCATCTCTAGTGACGCGTGGAAACGGATGAACAATGGTGGAAAGGATGGAAAATCAAAGTAGTATTCAATGATCTGGAGGCTCTAAGTAGTAACCGATGATCTTGAAGACGCAGTGTTGTTGTTGTAGTAATAGATACTTAATATCTAGAAGTATGAGTCCTTTTGAAGATTATATGCCCACAACACGACCGAAGTTAGAGCAATGCAATCAACATTGATTCCTATCCATTGGTTTAGACATCAGTTTCCTTTCCAGATTCGATCCCGAATTCTCATCCATGTATCCAGTAAACGCAAACCAATGAATCGCAAAACCAAAGTCGACAGGTAGATTTAATTCTTGTGAGTACTTATGAAATTCAGATAAAAAATCAAAATCGATGGATAAGTATCTATGATTATCCAAGAATTGGAGGGCTTTTAATAGCAGTCGTTCTCTCATTTCTTCTATTTTACCTTTCTACGGATGCCATTCGAATGTTGCAAATTTCAACCTTTCAACAAATATAGCAGACTGACACGACAGAAGATTTTGAGTACAATGATTACATCAAGGATCGATACAAGTATTCTGACCCTGTTGTGTTTTTCTTTGTGTTTTTCTAAAAGGTGATGGTGCTATTGGAGGGCAACGAACAAGGAATCGGATGAAGACAAGATCTTGATATTGGAGTAGAACCAGCAGAAAATAGCAAGAGTAGGTGGCGGAAGGGTGTTTCGAATCTTTGCAAGACAGCGCATTTTGTGCAGGGCTGAGGTGGATACCCGGATCAAATCTAGTCGTCAAGAGCTTTCCGTGTTCAGAGAGTTTCAGTGCAGAATGGTAAGAGAGTCTTGTGGTCACTGATGAAGCCATGAAGATCAAGATCACATATGTCTGAGACCACGACCCGTCCACTTGGATCACCAAGTACTTAGACACTAGACTTGCGTAGGTTAGACGTAGAGCTATGTGGAGTCAATAACAATATGCATAAAAGATAACAAGAATTATGTGGTTGGTCCAGGGTTCCTTCCGGAATCTTCACCCGGCTGCTCTTGCCTTGCATGATAGGTGGTGGGATCTCCATCACGGGAATAGACGAAGAGAGAAGGAACGAACGAACAGAAGAACTCGGCACGACATGGTGAACAAGAAGCCCTTCGGCGTCTTCGCTTGCCTCGTCAGGAGCATGACGGTCGCCGTAGCATCACCATGGGACGTGAACTACCTGAATCAAAGCACGTCTATGTATCTTTATGACACCAGAAGCAGAAGAAGATTGGGATGTATTAGAGTAAACATTTGATGAATAAAAGTGGATTTTTATCTTGTATCTTCTGGTTGCTAAGAAAATCTTTATGAAGAAATGCTATGGATGAATCATGAAGAAGTACTATGGGTGGCCACCTAGTTCTCACGCTCCCTGTGATAGATTGTTTGATCCTCCTGATATTTACAACTTTCATCTTCTCTAACTTCTTCCCGAAGCTCCTGGCTTCACCATCAACGGCAGCAGCTCAGCATTCCCTTCTACGAGTCTCTATGCGAATCCACTGGGGCCATATCCTTCTAGCTACGACCACGTAGACGACCATTTACAAGGAGGAGACCACTTTCGAGAGCTGCGTCATTCTAGAAATGCGTCTTCATCTTTGAACTTTGTGGCTCCTACTCAGGCGAGTGGAGGGGTCCTCGTCAGGCACCAAGAACCTCCTGGACGAACGACCTCGAAGGGAGCAACAACGTCTTCACCAGAACAGAGTCTAAGTCACCGTCCAGCTCAGAAAACAAGTTTAAGATGGCAACAACACGAAGCCCTTTTAGTACAAGAAGCTGCAGCGAGGAGAGTGCAGGAGCAGGGGACTCGTCAAGGTGCGCCAAGTACTAGAACGAGGGAACACATGACGCTGAATACGACTACGATTCCGAGTCAATCAAGAATGAAATACAACATCGGAGGAGGTGTGAGTAGAAAGAAAAGGCACGCAGCAGGAGGCGTGGCTACGGCAGATAACCAAAGGATGAGTGCTGGGCTTGGCAGTTTGGGCAACGTTATGATGAAAGGTCAAGGAATATTCTCGTTCTCGTGGTCTTTTTCTCCTTCCTGCTCCTAGGGAGCATACCTCTTCTCTTAGATCTCTTTTTTGAATCTTCTCATATTAAATATTTACTACTACTTCTTCATCAAAAATTTCAATATCGAAGGTGGACTCAAGAATCTGGTGATTTGATGGTGGTGCACCTCTTTAAAAGTCTGAATTTCGAGCAAGAGCAACGGGTTGTACGGGATCGACAAGTAGACACAGCAGGTGAAGATGGAGTTGTGCCTCACGCTCACCCCAACGTTGTTGATGAGGATGAGCAACCCCAAAAGGGCCATCTCTCTGCTCCCGAAGAAGCCGTCCATCGTCGCCGCAAGAGAGCTCCAACAAGCAAGAAGAAGTTGACTGTCCGTGCTTTTCTAGCAGAAGCAGCCTCGGAGGAGAGAAAAAGCCGACAAGAGGAAGGGGAAGAGCGATTTGCCCAGGTGACGAAGGTATAACTAGACTATTTATCAGAGTAGTTTATAGCACGCATGGTGCATGGAGTAGCATGGAGTGCATGGAGCGCAGAGCTTTAAGGGGCGCAAGAAGCTCCCCCTTTAGCTCCATGCTACTCCATGTGATCCATGCACTCCAGTCCATGCCATGCGAGCTGTGAAACCTTATACATTGCTCTGTTATAACACTACACGGATGACGAAGCTTGTGTAGTTTGATTGATTGGCATCTCCAGTACTAGCACTCCTAGGCTACCGATAACTTTGTGGTTTGTGACTGAGAATTAGAGTATTAGAACAGGAGCTCAGGGACCGTCGTCGTCCATAGAGGGACAAGTCGAGTTGCTTTTAGATGCCAGTGGTAGTGCTAGAGGTAGTGCAGTTCTAAATGCAATGTCAGTAGAAAACGCACCAGGACAAGAACAACTGTTGACAGAAGCATTTTTGACATCTTCATCACAGGGACAGGGAGGCCAGGAGGTCGATGCCCCTCTCCCCGATGAAGTGCAAGAAGGAACAGCTAGTGACGAAGCAAATGCTGCAACTGAAGAGACACAGGACGTCGCTCAAGAAGATTTCTACGCTAGAAGAAATAGCACGAAGCTACCAGTAGAAGGGCTGGATGTGGATAGTGAAGAGGACGCAAAAGCAAAACCAAGAGACGAAGGGAGAACAGTCGTCGTAGACCGGGAACTAGAATATGAGGTCAGAGAAATTGTATGATGCCACGCATTGAGAGTCCAAGTTATAGGGGAATGTCGTTCCTATTCCTAAGTCTAAGGAGGCAAGAAAGGGGGTGGAGCGACATTCGCCTACCGACATTTTCAATGAGTGGAAGCATTCAGAAGGGGGGCTGGCTCTTCGAGATAAAGTCCCGAAGTCATCGTCGCGTCAGCAAATGCTTTATTTGTTGCGTTTTTTGTATCAGAATGCCAAGGATGGAGTGCCGAGGTATAGGGAAATGTTAAGGCTTGTCGGGCTCATCAAGTGAACAAGGAAGTGTACTTAGCTCAGACGACGACTTGCAATGCCACTTGGCGCCATCCGCTTCTACCTCCTCATGATCCTCCTTCTCCTCATCCTCCTGCTCATCCCCATCCCCTCCTCCTCCTCCTCCTCCTCCTCTAACAATCGCCCTCCGATACGCCGAGCTAACATCCCGCGCTCACATTCCTTATCAAGAAGATTACCACGTAGTGGGCGAAATCGAAAGCGGAATGAGTGGTGCGGTAATCAAAGTTCGCGCGAAAAACAAGGATACGCCACCATTTTGGGAGCGCACTAAAGTTGGTAGGCGTGAGGGCCGCAGCTCTTCGAAATATTATACAACTGTGATGGGCCGTGGTGTTGGGAATGGCCAGGAGGAGGGACAGGTTTCTGACGAATGTACAACTATGCATACTGGATCTGGAGAAGAAGTACTAGAGAAAGAACAAGGTGTAGTTGTAGGTGTAGGTCATGTCGTCGATATTGCTGATGAACGTATGAGAGTAGGTTTCGAGAAAGAAGAGGAAACAGTGTCAAAGTTTCGTCCTTTACTGGTACAACAAGAACAACCAAGGGAGAAGGGTTCTCTACACCTAGTGCAACAACAAGGACAACAACATCAACAAAGGGAGAACGAGAAGGAGATCATGGATGATGGTTTTCGTACGATGAACATGTTGAAGGCCTCTTCCTCATATATGATGGTGCCGGAAGGAACCACTTCTGCTACAGCTAAAGCTACAAGTTCTGATAGAAGAAGCTGCGTCCTCACTACCGATAAAAAAGGTAGTACTCTTACAACTACTGACAAGTGTACCACTGAAAAAGTAGAGCAAAAAGTAGGTACTCTTAGTCTTGGCTGTAGTAGTACAGCAACGTCTTTGCAGATGAGAAGTCAGGGAGTTGGTCTTCAGCAGCATCTTCTTCTAGATGAGAACTACATGGCGAATGGAAGTAATCTGGGACACCAAGCGCAACCACTTGAATCTTCATCTTCATCTACTTCTTCACAAGCTCAGGTTAACAACCTTCCTCACCCGACAGGGAAAACAGTACTTCCCACCACGAGGACCACTATAGCTACACCTACGGGGACCACTATAGCCACACCTACGGGGACCACTATAGCTACACCTACGGGGACCACAATAGCCACACCTACGGGGACCACAGTGCCCACATCTACCTCATCCCCGTCTACCGCGTTATCAGATAAGCAAGCTGCCTCTTGGTCAATGCTCAGTTCCTTTTTCATGTCGCGCTTCCATTGGAAACAACAGGAAGAACAAGTAGGAGGGGCAGGGAGAACTTCTGGAGCATCTTCAGGGAGAACCCAGCAAAAAGATGATGAGCTACCTACTCCAGGAGCCACAGCCACGACACTGAAGAGCCCAGCCTTCCACCAGGATGTTCGGAGAATTGACGGTGATGAAGATGTCCTCGCTAGTTCTCGGGAGTCAACAAAGGGAGCTGCGTGCTGTGGAGGTAGCTTCGATATTTAAGCAGGGGGAGGCTTTTTTAGTGTTGCTGTTTTTCCCTTTTGTTTTAACTCTCCACCTAACGGAGACGCAAGGCATGAGAACAAACACGGGGCAGGAACATCAAAGCCCTACCGCTAAGATATTGCAAGGGAATGCAAGAAAGAGAGCAAGGGGAAGGATACACGAGATGACAGCGCAGGTGGAGATCCCATCAATTATGGAACAGTAATTGCAAGTTTGCTGCTTTTTTTAGATATTGAGTTCAGAATGTGCGATGAGACTCGCTCAGACTACTATTTTTATTTAATTATAATCCAAATGGCAAATCTAAGTTCAGGAATACGTGGTGGAAGAACAAGGCAACACCGATGCAAGAGCGGCTGGAGGTAGTCAACAATCCACGCAAGAGCAGGGCGGAGAAGAAAAGGAGCGCTTATATTTACGCACCGTTTGTTATTGTTCTAAATGAGTCTTATCATTTGTTCAACTCACACTGTACATGGTGAAGCAGTACAGCCACGCACTGCCCTCCAGCTCCACTTCCGTAAAAAACACTAAGTCGAGGTATTAAGAAAGACTAGAAGTAAGACTCTACTCAAAAACGCCCATAATTATCTCTAGTGACCCTTCTATCCAACATGAAAATAACACTCACCCCTCCTGCCCCCTCTAACCCTCGCCATGAAAACCTTAACCGTTCCGATTCCTAGCATGCTTTGTTTTCAATGGGAGGATCGGAGTACCCAGGAACGCATTGCCGTGGATCCTCGCACGAAGTGGCCTGTGTGGGCTGTGAACTCGTTCCATAGGCTCTTTTGGACCGAGACGCTGAGTAATTTGGTATGATGAGGCGGATGAAGTTGTAGAACTTTACTCAGGCCACCCATCATTCTCAGAGTCGAGGAGGTGCTGGCGGAGCTTGCTGCGCAGGATCCACACCCTAACCGAATCTAGAAGCTTGATAGGAGATCCTACTTTCGTGCTAGACTAAAAGCAAGCATCTTTGACGAGTAATTTGAATCAGCTTGGTGCGATGAGATGAAGCGAGTGACTGCTTTATATGATCTATTCGAAAACTCAAAATAACCGAGTTACTGACTCCTGAAATAAGGGAGGTAGCTTAACACGAAGGCTACTCTTCCTTCTCATCAGTATCTCGCTTATTCTGATCAGTTACTTGCTTATTTCAGTTTTTCGAATAGAAATAACTGTCTCTCTGTCTGTGCAGTATGTGGCCAAGAGCAGCAGGCCACATGGATGGACTTATATACGTATTTAAGTACTCAGATTAGCATTGGGCACTCCAGGCCATCTTATGTTTTTACATTTACATGAACATATCAATCTAGGCACTCTTTCATTTTTGCTGATCGATACGAGTCCCGAACTGCGAGGCCGCGTTCCACGTCTGGTCGATATTCGCGCGAGTCGCGGTGGAAAAGTCCACCTACTTTTTGATTATGGAGGAGTGATTTTGTACTATGGAGGAGAGGATAGTGTAGTGACTATGGAGAGGTTACGGTTAGTGTAGTGACTCCTTTATCGTTGCAAGATCTGAGCTTCAAGCTGTGGATGAGGTGATGTAGTCTCTCTTTATTTCTGTAGTGCTTCTACGTCGTGGACCTTGATAGATAAGAAACACAAAAACCGCTACCATGAAACTACTTGTGGAATATTATCCTACTATCATTTAGCTAACACTTTATCCTTGATCTTGAACTGATAACCCCTAGAGTGGGTACATTCATTCATTCATACTAAATCCAAAAGTAACACTTGATCGTCTAACCTCTGCTTTGCAGTGGCGGTGAGATCATCACTAGCATGAAGCTTCCGAAACTGCCAGAAAAAGACGTAAAAGCTCTTGCGCGAAGCCTGCTCCAGACCTTGCGGGTCATGCATGACGATCTACACCTAATCCACCGCGACGTAAAACCAGAAAATCTTGTTTTTCAAGATAAGGAGAAGAAATATGATAAAGTATAATTTCTATAGTAGAAATAAGTGCTTATGGAACGGTCCGAGCGCACAAGGAACGGGCGCACAGGTCGACGAAAAAAAATTTTTTTTTCGCGTTGTATATACTGCTAATTAGCTAGAGAAAGGAAAGTGGCTAGTTGAATATCTAGAAAGGCTGCAAGAGGAGGCGCGGGTGGGGGTCAGGGGTTTCCGTGGCTGCTTTGTGGGCTACTGCATTGGCAGAAGATGCACCGCCAAGAACTGTGGCCCACTAGCTTCGAGGCGTGTCAGCCGGGTCCCGCAAGCCCTCAGCTCAGGGCCTGGGCCTCTGCATGTCTCAGCTGTTTGGGCTATCTTGGTCGACTATTCTGGGCATCTTCCGGTGCTGCCGTTGCCGTCGTCTGGACTACTCCACGCCGCAAAGGTGGGCGAGAAGCCAGCCCAAAGCTGTCGGCCTTGTGCGTCGTTGCTAAAAGGAGCCCAAAGGGATGAAGCGTCCAAGACCTCTGACACCTAGACCCATCTGGCTGTGGTCTTGCTAGGTGGTCTTGCTGGAGGGGTCTGCCGCCATTTTCGCGCGAAATGTGCACGCGGACCACTGCCCGGAGAATTGGGGCAAATTGGTCAGCGTGCACATTTAGAAAACCACAGGACCCTGACCAAAATCTGGACAGACCTGACGGCGAAGGGCTTCGGACAATGTGCACGCGGACCAATAAGCCTTATAGTCGGTCGATTTGGCTTGCGTCTTTCATGGCCAGGTGGATGTGGATGGCCTCGACCGACCTGTCCAGATCGCTCGGGCCATTTTTCACCAACCTGAGCAAAGGAGGCCCGGCCATAGTATCACGATGCCAGGCATTGCCAGACGCTCTGCTCTGGGATGGCGTCGGAAGTAGATGTCTTGAAGCCTGGACATCAGGCCAGCGGGCACCTCAAGTGTTCGGCTAGAGGTCATGCTGCTGCACCTTTCTCCGATGCAAATGCCCACGAAGGGGCCACGGACCTCCTTGACCGCAGCCCGCATTTCCTCCTGCAACCAATTAATTGTCTTATTTTACCTAGCTAGTGGGAAGTATCTAGTTCCTTATATAATTTACCAAAAAAAACAAATTTTTACTGCCAGCCTGTGCAGGCGGATTTTGTGCGCGCGAACCATTTCATAGTGCTCTACTTTGTACAGTTGCTAAGTAGTCCTTATTTCAACTCTGTCTTTTTGTTTCTTGATGATATCGATGTGGTTACGGTGGTTATTTTGGTCTCGGTAGTCGTTTTTGTTCAAAAAGACACACATTTAGTGTGGAAAGATGATTATTATGCTTGCATCAAAGCAACATTTGAGCAAAAATATTTTGTTCTCATTAAAAAAATTGAAATTCTTTTTCTTAGAACAACAACTACACCATCGAAGGCAGGGCTTCTGAGGTGAAGAAAAGTCGCTTCAAATTGAACGACGTTCTTCTCAAAAAATTTATACGAGGTAAATTTGATCGATTTTGGTCTTACTTGCCCGAATACGAAGAGAGCGCACGGAAGTGCTGGGACGCCAGACTATCTTTCCCCTCAACAGCTCTGTTTCTCACCGGAGTTTGTGCACTTGCAAAAATTGGTTTCAGCGCCAGCGCGACGATTTCAAGGTATAAGGTTAGGACAAACTCTTGTTTCGAGTAAACAATTTTTTCCCAGCATATTGCTTCGCTCTAGAGTCGATCCAGCTCTTGTACATGTACACATTCTTCCATAAAAGTATGGTTGTATTTATGAGCTACGGACAAAAGAAAAGCACGGGCACTATCATCACGTAGGGGCATACAACACATCCATGACATGGCATCTACCTCCTCCATCAGGTGACAACATCGAAGCCTATGACTCTGATGAGGAGCCTCCAGGTTACGGGAGCAAATGTGACCTGTGGGGAGTGGGGATTGTCCTCTTTCAATTGTTGGTTATGAAAAAGTACTTACTGCTTACATCAAATAAAATAACAATATTTATCAAGCATTATAGTATACTCGTACCCTTTGCGATTGCAGTAGACTCTACCCATACTAGGAGCCTCAAGTACGAGAACAACCGCTGGGACATGTCTTGCACTTTGCCTAACGGCAGGAAGACAACGGCAGCGCCAGTTCTATCAGAGAGAGTCCATTTCTAACATCAAAGGGCGTCTCTATCTGTCATTTTTCTCAGACAGAGTCAATCTCTAACATCCAAGGCCGCGGACCATTCGAGCGCTTTTTTGGTTACTACCAGTGCCCCTACGAAGAGAATCTACGAAAGGGTATGGAGCCTGCGCATCCGATAATTACGGGCTTCCACCAAATTAGAATTGCATTCCGCACCAGACTGGTGGGGATGGCCTTTTGCCTAGTACTAGAAAAGAAGCCAGGGAGAGGGAGGTTTGTTCTGATGAGTCTGCGGAGCGACTACTTTTTACGCCTTCCGCATCGAACCTCTAAGATAGCGGTACTCACCAACCGCTGTCGACGTCTGTATCAGTTTTGGTTAGAGCGTGAAAGAATACGCTTGGAAGAAGTGAGGGCCGAAATGTTGGACGCTGTTTGTCTCGACGAGAAAGATGTTGGAGAAGGTGCTGACTTATGATGTTCTTGGATAAAGTAGTAGTTCACACGTTCTTCCATTTCATCCGCCCTTTACTGGCACGTAAAATTCTTACTGGCAGCGGAAGCTTTTTCAATTGATGGAGTAGAAAAAGAACACTATGATCGACATCCTGCTCAGGAGATGGAAATAAAAGCTAAGTAATGCATGATGATGATTAAAGCAGTACTTTTCATGTGAAGTAGATGCGGACACTTTCTCGGTTTCCACTGGTGTCGGTCAATTGCGTCTCTCTTGCGATGGCGAAGCGCATGGGGAAGAGGATGACGAAGGCAAGACGAAGCTCCTGGCGTGTTTGCGAAAAGAAAAGAGAGCGAAGCTTGTAGGGCAAGAAAGATAATGCTTGTGCCACACTTTTCACATGCATTAAATACCCTTAGCCGGGTAAACTTTCATCCACAAAGGGTATTGAGTAACTCAGCACGACTACAACCACCACTTAATATTTTTCTTATGCAACGATGTTGAAGCAAGTAAGACTCTAACTCCTACAAAAGCAGCACGGCAACAAGCGAGACGAGACGTGGAGGCTTACGCACAACAAATTTTTGATTCCCAACAGATGGACGACGAGAACAGTAGCGACGAATCGAGGACAGTAGAAGACTTAGCGAAATCACAGTCAAAAGATCCTGCCTCTAGTGCAACAAGTAGCAGTGTTGTTGGATTTCTTGCGTGTCCTGTTTTTTCCACTGGATTGCCTCAAGGGAGTGGAGGACAACAAGGACAACATCCGAGTGGTAGTATGTCTCAGAATAAGGTTGAAGACCCTCATCAACATGAAGAGCAACGTCACGACATCAAGAAGCAGCAAATGAACCCTCCTAGTAGTACTAGCAGTGGTCAAATAGGGGGTTTTTTTCGTGCCGGTTGGGGGAGCGGGGAAATGGAGGAGGAACCAAAAAGAGGAGCTCCGAAAAAACGTGGTAACGAATTGAAAATGTTATGCACCTGAACTTTCAAGATCCGTTCATATTAAGTGGCAGGTGTAAAACTCAAGATAAGCGAGCTACTGACTGAAATAAGAGAGTCTACCTCCTAGAGGCATATCTCTCCTCTTGAGTTTCGCCTCACCAGCATTGCCATTCTAGGATTGCTCTTCCCCATGATGCATTTTTCTGAATTCTACTACGTTATGTATTTAAGTTCTAAGACCAGGCAAAATCCGGGAAAAAGAACAAGGGAACTCTGCGAAATCGATGCCGAAAGCGAGAGGGGTCCTCTTGTCCCAAGAACTGACGACCCAGAAAACCATGTGCTGCGCGATGGAGCATTTTTATGAACAATCTATTTGTGGAAAGAGAATAAGTAAGAGGATGTGATAGAAGAACGATCATGAGTATCGGTGAGATATGTTTTGGGCTGGTGAGATAATCAAGATATTTCTTCTTTTTTCTGTTGAGTTGTAGGTGTAGACTTCTTGCATGCATTCTATGGCTATGCGCAGTTGGCTTAGTGGTTTAGGCGTTGGCCTGTTCACTTATCACCCTGTTCTTTCTGTTTCAAAGCCTCTTTATTCGTTGATGTCGAAGGAATCTTCTCGGTCGATTCTGTGAAAAAATAATCGCTTTGATATCGAAGCCATGAAGCCAATTACCGCGTCCTCATCTTGATGAAGTTCACATATTTAATATTACCAAATGCAATATAAAAGGAGGGCTGAAAACAAGAACATCAACCAGCTTGATCCGATCATTATTAGCAAAAAATACTTGAGAATAAGGGGGCACTACTCCAGCAGCACTGCAATTACTTAGTTGTGTCTCCTTACCCACCTCCCCTTCCTCTAAGAAGCCCTTTGTGGCGGCAAACGCTTACCGGGACCGTATCAACGGGCGTCGGCCGCAGCACAGGATTTTTTGGAATCTTTGCTTGCGCCGAGGGAGAAAGATCGACCGACTGCTGCAGAGGCCTTGCAACATCCGTGGTTGCAAGGGGGAGGCTTCTAGGACGAGGAAATTGGCCTTAGAACGATTCATTTGTAGGAATACTAGAGGTTATGAAGTCTAGAGAATCATCGTTATTCACATAATTCTGTAGTATCTTGCTCTTGTTTATGTTTTCCTCGTCGTTGTATTTGATACTATCTTGTCCGTTGTTGAGAATGAATATGTTTATGTAACTGTATGCATCTTGTTATTTGTGTATTGTTCATGTTTTGGCATTGCTCCAACTACTAGTACTATTCTAAAAACTTAAACTTCAGCATCTTTTTGAATTTTGATGTTGTTTTTTCTGAAAAAATCAAAAGAGTAGTTGAATAGAGTTTTTTTTGACAGTATATATAAGATCGATCATCCCTTATTTGACCATGGTCATATGGATATGATCATCAACAAGATTAATCTTCCTAACAGTTTTGACTTTCAAAATTTAGAACATAGACTACTTGGCTCCTTTTTTTACATGAACATATTGATCAGTATCTTCCGTCCGATTAACTAGTACCGTTCCAATACAGGCAGTTCTCTTGGAAGTTGGTCCTTTTTTTTGTATCTCTGAAAAATGCAAAGAACTTGATGTTGCTCCTCAGTGTTGTTTCAATGTGTGAACCAATAAAGGCTATGGTCCATGGATTGTTGTGTTATCGTTTGTACAAGTAGCTTGAACTTGACAAGCGTTTCTTGGATAATGGGTGGTGGGCGAAGCCAGCGTTGCTTCGATTGCAACCACCTAATTGGTGGTCCTCTTTTCGATTTGATTGTGAATTCCGTCCGCGAAATGTATGCTTTCTCTGCGCCCACCCGAGCTGGTGCGTCGAACCTTCGAAAAGCTTGCAGTTGTAATTGTAAATGCTGGGCTGTGATTGTATGGAACACATAGGATAGACCAAGAGTAAGGACTCTCGTATCGATCCTGAGAGAGCACGCGTGAGCCGAGTTAGCAGCTAAAGAAGCTCTCATCCCATGAAAAGATGAAGTCCTCGCGTTTTATTTCTCCCGGTCGTTCCAACACAGAGGCGTTACTGCTGTTTCAACTTCTTCATCGCGACAAGCATAAGGAGACGAAGAGGGCTACGAGTATCATCATTCCCTCCACAAACAGAATAAATTTGAAGATGACATCAATGAAAATGTCTACTCAACATCATCCTCTGCCAGTGCCACTCTCCTGTAAATCCACTCTTCTCCACGTGCTGGCGGTCGTCCCATTTCTTTTCCTCTTGGGTGCTGTCCTACCAGCGCCAACAGTGCGACTGGTAGGAGCAAGGGTACCTCCTAACGATGGAGGATGGTCCACGAGGATTAGTGGCGGAGAAAAAATTCAGTATGCGTTTGGAATGAACTGGGATCATTTTGCCGATTGGATAACGGCTGATACTGACGTTAAGGCCGACTTCATCAGATGCTGCATCTAAAAAAGAACTTACAATTTTTTTAGACAAAAAAATCAGCGGACCCCTACGACAACATCAATCTCTTCATCGCCCCCCTCCCTTTAGAATCTTTCTATGCCTCGTCCTGCTCCTCCCTCTTGTCCTTCTAATCTCCAAGAATCTCTAGACGGTGTTTCGCTTCAAAACCGCTTACATCCAGCGATAGGCCAACTCCAGCTGGACTTCGATATAGCCCATTTCAAAGGTAAAAGTTTCCTGGATATTGGTTGCGGAAGCGGAATTTTCTCTACAGCGGCTCGACATTATGACAGGAGCCTTGTCGTGTTTCTACATTTAGAGGAAAAGCAACCGTTGGTCCTCAGCAACGTTGATTTAGTCACTTGAGGTTTCTACATCTTGAGGTTCACTACAAGGATGAATGGTTCCGGTATTTGGTAACCTGAATTTAATGTGATCACAAGGGTTCTCTTCTTGTTTTCCCTTATGATCGAACTCAGGTTACCAAATACCGGAAGCCTCCAAAGGAAGCCCTACCCCAAGGTGGCTTTCCCAGGTTGAAGAGCAGAGACCACTGACTAAATAAAAGTTCTTGTTCATCCACACGGCCACGGACCCTGCTACATCACTACCTCAGACAGTATCAAGATCTTCATCCATGTCCTAGTACTGCTTGTACGACGTAGAATCTACCTGCTCTATCCGCATCCATGATGTCAACATCCTGCTAGTTCTACCTAAAACCTCAACAGTGTAAGTAAGGTGTTAGTTCCACTCCTCAGTAAGCTCGTAATAGATACTCTCTCGTCTCAGTAACCTCGTATTAGTCTCCTCAGTAACCTCGTATTAGTTACCTCGTAATAAGCTGCATTTCTTCTTCAGATTGCTTCTAATCCTCGTGATAAGCTACATCCTCGTTTTAGTTACCTCGTAATGAGCGCCCAACTACATCTTCTAATATCGGCTGGGTGCCAAGCACATTGTCTCGATTGATGTGCAACCGAGAAGCCTCAGTGCGACGCATAAGATGCGAAACTGGGCTTTCTTCGGGAAGACGAATATAGATGGCGAAGAAGACGAACTGGGAGTGACCACATTCGAAGAAGTCTACCTATACGAATCAGAGAAGCGACTGAGGATTATGGCATGAAGATGCTGGGGGTTGCTGGGCTTCTTGTGGCTTATAGCTACGACAGAAAAAAAGTGTACTCATACTCATCTCAGCCGCGCATCCCCGTCGTAGCTCACGTTGCCGAGTGAAGCTATGCTTAATTTTCGCCACGCCGTCGCACCTAGCGTCCAGGCAGAAGCGAGGTCCCCTTGAATCTTGAATCTTGAGGTTTTTCCTTCTACTTAATAGAAAGTGCCTACTTGTACTTTCTTGAGGATGAGTACACTTTTTCGCTTCATATTAGCATTAGCATTTTCAGACAACAAACAAGATCCAGCACTTCCTGTTGGAAACTGAAACCTCTTGTCTTCATAGAGAAACGACGGCGCAAAATGAGTGGCGCTGGTAGGCAAGCGCCAGCAGCAGGAACGGAGACCCAAGAATCAGCAGAAGAAGCGCCCTTGGCACTGGCATCTGGGCCTTTACAGCCGGCATCTGCGTCTGATGCCTCAGACGAGCTCTCTGATGCCTCGGACGAGCCACCCTCGTCTGGTGGTGTGAAAACGATATCCTTCCCCTACACGCAATTATACGACGAAGCCGGTGCTTCCTGGACAATCGTGCGTGGGAGTATACTGGATCCGAAGTTAGGGGAGTTTTTACGTGCGATTTTAGGCCTTACAGAAGTGAACGAGTTAGGGGATCAAGCCTCTACGGTGTATGCGATTCGTGGTGGAAAGATCAGAAATAGAAATAGCAACGAGGTCAGCGACGAGCAGGAAGATACAATGGGAAATGGAAACGGAGGAGGTCAAGGTTATGGCACGACTCGAATAATTTGCGTATTTTTTCATCTAGTGGCACGACTACCACTAGTCGTGCAACATGTTTACTTGCTTCTGCATTTTTACTTAATCGAAAAGCGAAATAAATACCCGAGTTAGTTACTGAAATAAGAGAGGGAGCTTAGGGCTATTCTTCCTTTAGGATTCTCGGTTATTCACATCTTCAGTTACTTGGTTCTTTCATGTTCAGTTTTTCGAATAGGAATGATCGTCGTTTCAAGTACCACTTCCCAGCGTTGAAGCTGCTCAACCGTATTCTAGTTCCCCCTCTAAAAAGAACAAACAGGGAAGCCCGAAGCTTTGCCGTCTACGTTTGACTTGATCTACTCCTATGGCGTGCTCCATCACACCGGTGATTTGTCACTGGCCTTACAACACGCGATACCTTTGACAAAAGTTGAGGGCGGCCGGTGTTTTGTAGCCTTATACAACCAGAGACTGTGGCCTCATGCGCGAGATAGAGACTGGCTCGACATCAAAGAAGAATACCTGGGGAGCAGACCATGGCGCAAACAACTCTTATTATGACCATGGGGAAATTCTAATTCATCTCCAGCAAGTCCAAGGCGACCGGAAAAATTATTGGCGACGTTGTTTTGATTCATCTCCAGCAAGTCCAAAGGGACCGGAAAAATTAGTGCAGGAAGTATCCCTTTCACCTCTGAGATGAACTACTTCGTCCTACACGACCTCATCTAACGTGAGAGCTATCCTATCTCTTAACCGACGTTTTCAAACAACTACGCTCGGAGATTGATCGCTTTGACTCTGTTGGCGCAAAGTTAGGACGCGGAATGTCGGTTCCCTCAGCGTTAGCAGACTCATGGGTTCCGCAGGATTTAGAACGCGTCTTAACTTAAGGCTCGAAAATATAGCTCATTGAGGATTTCCTACAGCAACCGGTTGCCGGATCTCATTTACTTCGTCGGGGGGATCTCATTTTCTTCGGCTCTTTCCTTCGTCTGCGGATCGTTCCGAAGAAATCCATGACTTCAGGGACACGGAGTTACTATCTTGTCTTGCCATTATAGTGGTATACGATGATGCCCTGACCAACAAAGACGCATGATGATCTTGAAGGGACCACTTGTTTTGAGCTCTAATAAACGCGTCAGCATAAGCAGGTGCCAGATATCATGCTCGGCGACAACAAAGGAAGACACTTGTTTCCTAACTTCGAAGTAGAGGTAGAGAAAGACAAAGAGGACTCACTAGGTGAGGACGAGACCACGGAGCGCTCCTCCACTTCCACGACTTCTTTTAAGGGTTGGCTGTTGTGCCTTAAAGATGTTGATTTATCTCTCGACGTCGACCACGCATCTTCATCCCTAAAAAGTATGTTGAGTGAGTATTTGACTCCAGACTCCTGATACTCTTCGAGGAGGAAGCGGATTCAGTTACTTTCCGGTACTCTTTCAGTGAAAGATGAATTTTGGTTAGGTCGTCTCACTCTAATTCTACTCCCAGAACCACCACAAAGCAAGAACACGAGCGTCTGGTGGCTTTCGATGAGATGCCAGACCGGTTCCAGCAGAAGTTCATGCGAGATTTCCTGTATCAGAAATTCAACTCCGGAGCATTGGGACGTGGAATGTCCTACCTGATCGAAGTACGTGACAACTTGGGAGGCTATCCGGTGGAATATTTATGAAGTCCGGTTGGACTATTTCTATCGAATAGTTCTCTCTAACTCAGTTGAAGATACTTCTAATACTGAAGATCATGAGTACAACAAGTGTCGCCTCTAACTCCCAGCCACGGTGCTCACCTCACCGAACTCTTGCGAAGGATGTGCTCTTCGTGCAAGGTTGTCAAGATGGATGACGTAGCGACAACCGGATACCTGATCACGCTTACCGCGTTAGATGTGGAGCCTAGGGACGTGATGCGCGACGATGAAACAGAGAACCCAGTTCTAGTGCCTGTTCGGTTCGGAGGCAAATCATCAGACCTCCACTTTCAGGACGATGACTACTATGAAGGGGAGAATGTTGGAGAAGGAGATGTAGAAGGTGAAAATGGAGCTCCTGCAAAACGGCGATCCTTGACTCCAGAAGTTAGGGCTCTTGATAATCATCATTAATTTACAGATTTCTCTCCACACGATCCATCAGAAGTAGAAGGTCATGATCGTCATCTCTTTCAGATAATCTGTACGAGTTCCATCTTAAAAAGAGGAAACTGTCTACTTAAAAAACTTTCCTCCTCAAGAACAACTACAACAACAAAACTAGATAAGTCTACTCTGTCTCTAAACAAGAAGAAGAAGCAAGGAGCAAAAGACAAGAAATTCGAAAAAAGCTCACGGTTTTTCCAGGCAGCCCGGATACCATTTTCACTGGTTGTTACGGCCTTTCCCGTACAAAGGCAGACCGGTCGGAAGCAGATTTGGCTCAGTTCACACAAGGAGGCGTACGAGTGGAATACGAGAACAAGAATTTTCGTACTAGAAGAAGGCACTCTACTACTGCCTCTCCAGATGCAACAGCTTCAACATCCAGATCCACAACACCACTATTAGGGGTTCCCACATTGCAATCTGCACTACCATCCCTGACTCTTTGCTCAGTAAGAAAGAAGTCAGGGATGATCTGAAAACCATCTAACACTAGGAGTAGTACCGCTTTCAACGTGTTCCGCCACAGAGAATAGTCGTTCCTGTTACGGATTGTGGCGTTTACGGCGTGCAGTGACTTTACCAGGACAAAGCGTTTTGCCTCTAGAGCTTTTTTTAGAAGCACAAAGCGAACCGCTAGTGGGTGCCAAGAGCTTTCTGAGGACAGCACAAAGGGCTGTAGGACGTGAATTAGCACTCTGGGCGTTGGAGAGTTTGCTTAGCTCAGAAGATGAAGATACTAGTCTCACTAGTCAAGATACTAGTCTTAGCGAAGGCGAAGGGCTGAAAAAACACCAGGAGGATACCACTGGTGGATCTGTGACAACTCCTCGCGCTATTGATGTAGCACGTTCGCGCCGGTTTCGTCCTTTACTAGTAGAAAACGAAAAGAGCCGAACTTCATTTGAGAAATCGGGTTTAGAAGTAGATGATAGTGTAGAGGAAGCTACTTCCGGAGGAGGTTTCCGAAATCGGAACTTATTCCTACGTCTCTACAGTATGTTAGCAGGAAGACATTTCGACTCTTCAACAGATAAAGCTCCAACTTCTACTTCGCCTTCTAGTAAAATAACTGCAGAAGAAGAAGAAGAAGAAGAAGAGGAGAACCAGAACGCTATATTATCCCTTTCTTCCCTCTCACCCGCTCGTTTTGATCTTACGTTCCTGGCAGAAGCGATTCAAATGTACTACTCCGAATCAGTCGCGCTGTCTTTCGACCAAACTGCACGTCGAGCGGCAGGCGAACGAGCAAGGAAATATTATCAGAAGTTAAGTATTTGAGGAGACTTCTGTTAGTTTGGATAAATTAGGTTTAGGGCTACGCAACAAGACAAAAAATACTAATAATGAACAAGAACAGCTGGTATGGTAGTTGATGTTGCATCAAATTCTTGTCACTGGATACATCAGAGGCTCCGATCAAGATCATGCAACCAGAAGATATACCATTTCTCAAAAAGAAAAATGAATCAAGAATGACAAAGACAAGTACAAGTAGCTAGATTTAAGTACACAATATGGCCATCTACCACTCATAAGCGTAAATACGACCATAACCATTCGTATCGGATATTATCCCCTCCAATTATCTCGTCGTCTCTCCTAATGGGTATCAACCCTGTTTTCCCTCATCTCTAATCCCTCGCCTCATGGGCATAAACCCTTTTTTTCAGGCTTCGGCGGCCTTTTCTCCAGTGGCTGAAAACATAGTTCAGCATCTCAGTGTGCACTACAAGACTCAGTCCAAGGGTTCCTCGGCTTACCAACGACCTTCGAGGTTGGAAATGGAAGCCCATGTAAAAAGCTTTTTTGATGGTGGTGGAGGTGGTGGAGGAGGAGACGCGAAAAGTGACTCAGTGACAGAAGTTGTAGAAAGTCACTCAGAGAATCAAGAATCAGCAGAATCTCTGCGCACTGTGCCGGTTGAGAAAGGCGCAGGATATCGCTGCTGGGTTGTGCCTCTCCGTTGGCTATTTTCACCTAGTGAAGCTTTAAGGGTTTTCAAAGGAAACTCACGGAGAGCACAGGAAGCTGCATCTTCAACAAGCAGTGAAACTTCTTCACCTAGTGAAGTAGGTCATACCTCTAGAGATGAACAAGCACAACTATGGCTTTCCTAATACATCTTTGGGCGCATCCTTGAAACGTATGGAGAAGTATCCTAGGAGCATTCTCTTGTCCCATACTTTTCAAGGATGCACTTGGAAGATGAATTACGGACCGCTCTAATACAAGAGCATGCAGAAGATAATACTAGTGCTAGTAGTTCCCCACATCAAGAAGAACGTCCTCAGGTGAAAGAAGTCGACGCCAACGCGGTGCAGACCTTTTTCAAGTTGGACTACGAAAATCCTGACTTAGATGCCTCCGTTCAATACCCTAAGACAATGCGTCTTCTCAGAGACGGTCATATGGTAGGCTTTGCAACGTCGGAGAAAATGGAAATCGCAATATACGTGGATGATGGAGGAGAATTTATGATCTTCAGATCAGGCAGAATGAGAAAGATTGATTTTGCATAATTCATACTCATACTACTTACTACATTGGATGCTATATATTCAATGAAATCAAATTTGAATTTTATCATCGAACAACGAGAGCAACATTTACATGATGTGGCTGCTAGCTGTAGATGATAACTCCATTTATTGTAGAAAATGGAGACATTAGCATCAGACTTGTTGTGCCGATTGATTTTCAATTTCAGTCAGCGTCCATCTCTCTAACGCCTTCCGTCTAGCCATGGATGGCCGATCCTTCTACTTGGGTGACGATTGGGTACCTGACCTAGACTTCTGCCACGACCTACAGGCAGATAACGTAGTCTCAGAACATCGTGTGATCGAGTTCCGCTTCATCGACAATGGCAACGTGCCTAAAGAACTCAGGAAGGGCAGGAAGGGTGCGGCTGACGATAATGAAAATTATGGGAAGTCAAGAAATCCATCTTAGGCAGTATTGATTTTGATGCGCTCCTGGGTCCTTTCTTAACAAGGGAACATGCATCTTGGGCAGGGTTTTTTCTCTTAAGGGAGCGGGCAACACCAGGATGCTCCAACAGTTCAAAGATGGATTTGTCTAGCAGCTCTAAGAAAATCATGTTGACCCCACCAACACGAATCGTACACAAGGAAGTGAGGCAATTCCAGAAACCCAAGCTCAGTGGACCGACCGAACGATGGACGACCTTACCAGGCAGTTTGTACGACCGGAGTCAAGTCGTAGCAAATACGAGCGAGTTGTCCAACACAAAACCCAGATGGATCAGCATGCAAGGTTAAGGTCAGCTTTTTCCCATCTTTCTCGGAATCTTGATATAATTACCCTCTAATTTGTTCCCCTGTATTCCTCTCTTCATGAACAAGAATTATAACAGTTCCACCCCTCTATCTATCTATCTATCTATCTATCTATCTATTGTTCCCATGAACCATTACGCAACTAGTTGGAAGAAAGGGGTCATCAAGATGAAGGGACCGAGACGTCGAGTCAAAGCGGACGCTAACAAATGTTGAAGGGCGTGTTCTGTATAAAACAGCAGCCGTCGTCTTCAAGAGCGTGGAGGGGATGTTATGTAGACGGAAGAACAGATGATAATGTAGAAGAATGTGCTGCTGGTCAACATTGTAATGTTGTAGTTCATTTCGTGTACTAAGAGTCTGAGTCTAAGTCATTCATGATCATCATCTGCGACAACATCATTTCTCCACACTTTATGGCGAAGAAGGAGAATTTCTAGAATTGACCATCTCTAACACCAAACCCCTACGCCGATCGATACGACCTGCTTTATGCGTGGAGACACGACATGCATCCTGAAGATTGCGTCAACGATCCTGTGCACAAGGATTTCTTTGCCTGTCAGGCTCAGCACGTTGTAGGTGGGATGATGTGATGCCGTTTGTGGGCGGGATGATGTGATGGGGTTGGTGACGAGGGTACTACGCGTTAATAGTGAAGACTGGTATCTAAATTTAGGTGTTGGGCATAGATGCAAATAACGGGCGAGTACAAGAATTGAGATAAATCTAATGAAGAAGAGGATTTTGTCGTGAACATGACGCCGCGTAGGGTCTTACGATGAAGAAAACAAAGTGACAACAAATATGAAGAAAATCAAGATACTGAAACATGGGATCATGACTGCAATATGGGATACTGAAATATGGGAGGCTGCAATAGGGATAAATTTCATCATCATCACGAACACAACATTGCTTCTTTAAGTCTATGAATTTCCCTGGTAAAACCATTAGACTCACATGCCCAGACAACCAGCTTGGATGTGCTAGATTCACCTCACGGAGCGACCCTTGTCCCTTGTTTTCCACGCAGACAAGTTTCTCAAGAACAAGAATGTCCTTCAAAAAGAAAAAAGTGATGTACTTGCTTCTAGGTGTGAACAAGCAAGTTGGTGATGCCTAGAAAACCTTCACTGTTACTTGCAAAGGCACGCGTCTTCGAAAAGTCTTCGTCCAAAAAGCAAAATGGTTGAGATTCCAAAAAATCGAAAATGCTGGACTGGAACTGAGAAAAAAAGGAAAGGAACGAATAGGAATAACACAAAAAATATGAAACTCATCGAAATAAAGCAAAAATCAGAAACTCAAATGTCCTATACAGCCACGACCTTTTCTACGTCCTGAGGTCACGTAGATGTAGAACGAGAACGTAGCGATTCTACTCTCTGAGTTGCATTTGTAGTGACATACTCCTACCTCTGTGGTGAGGTGCTTCTACAACTTTCTGAGGTGCACTAGCTGTAGTGATCGTCTACTGACGCCTTACTTACCTCCAGAGGTGTACGTTTAGCAGGTAGGTATGAAGCGAGTTTCTTTCGCACCTTGTAGCAGTGCTACAGCATCCTCTTCGACCTCCAGAAACCGTTTCTGTTTTCCTACCCATCGCTCCAGTGAAGCCAGATCAGAGGCGAGTAATGCCACCAGTAAGCGAAGCTATCATACCTGCTTGGAGTTACGGGTTTCTCGACGTCATTACACACTTCTACTACGCACAACCATATTAAACGGTGCTTATACCAAAGTATATTACTTAAATATAGAAGGAGAGGTATGCTGGGATTTTAAACGCTAGAAGTAGCATACAGATTCAGTCGCTTTCTAATTTTCGAAGGTGGGCAGCTGTCAGGAGATGACGACGACGTCCTGATGGAGGATGCAAGATCGGATGAGGAATTTCCAGAGACATTTAGTATGGGAGAACGGTGTGGTCGCTCTCAAGCGGACGTAGCAATGGACTTTGCTGAAGATGGAGAGGAAGCAGAGCCCTCACTTCCAAAAAGTGTTGTTAAGGCTTGTTCCCTAATCCATCTTCGGAGGCTTCCTGGGGACGTTTTTCAAGGGGAGCAGGCGTCTAGGATGCGGCCCGAGATGGATTAGTGCGGGCTCTAATAGTGATTCCTCCGTAACCTTTCAACACAGAATAGAAGAACACGATCCAGGAGTAGAACCCCCACTATCTCCCAGTCTGAAGAAGTACAAGCGTGACGACAGTGTGATGCCACCACTACGCTTCGGGTTGCTCCGGCAGGAAGATATATTATGGTCGTGGTCGGCTTTTGATAATTTTATACATATCTATCGCCTGCTCAACTAGTGCATCTCTTTGGTAAGGGTATCACTTTGTCGTTCGCATATTGAAAGAACACATCGTCAAGGGAAAAGAAGCGTACCGAGATCAAGATGTAAAGACGGAGATACACAAAGTTAAACAAGATAAACATACAGCCCCACTTTTCTATCTCTCTAAAGATAGAGATGCTATCTCTCTCCCCATCCCCATTGAATCGCTTGAAGCGTCGACGACGCTTACGATCTCCTGGCAGCGTCCCTGCGAAATCGTCGAAAAAAAGACTCACAAGGGACTCACTGTTGTTATGCTTGCTACAGTCATGCTCATCTAGTCAATGCAGATTCTTTGCGAGTAATAAATGAATGAAAAGAAAAGTGAGTAGTTTGTTAATATCTATTATAAGTAAGGCTCACGTGTTTGCAACGGTTTTAGAATTAACGGGACTGCTCTTACTGCATAGAGAAATTTATTGGAAGATGAATATGAGTAGATTAAAGTATAACTAAGTACTAGGCGGGAAGAAAGTAAATGAAGATAAAGCAAGGGTAGTTGTTCGTAGTTGCGCTTCACAATTTGACACACTGCTGGAACTGTTTTGTCCCGCCTTTAGGTTAGTAGTACTAAATGCGACACCATGATGATGATCAACACGACATGCCCATTATCGTATAATCCTAGTTGACTTTTTTACCTTTAACCTTTTCCGCCTTAGTTCGGAAACCGCCAGACTTCTCCAAGGAACGAGAGCAAGTTGCGAGGAAAAGGATGAGCAGGGTAATGAGAACCACGAGTACAACTGGGAGAGGTACTTCTAGCAGACCTAGCAGAGTCGGAGTATCAAAGATCGAGATTGACCACTCATCTGTAACCTCATCTTCTTCCTCTAGCACCGCAACCTCAACTACAGTGTCACCAAGACACAACGACTCAACAGCATCTTCGTTTCTAGGTGGGACAACCAATGCCAATACCAACACCAATACCAATATCAATACCAATACTGAAGTAGGGACATCAACGGCGAGTAGAGAGGCGAAGAGGTGGACTAGCACACTTGTGCAAGATCTCCATGGGGAACCACGCACGAGGCAAGAACTACGTGAAGAGCATCATCGACAACTAAGAATGGAAAGTGACGCAAGCAGTCCTCTATCACCCCCACGTCCGGCCAGAAAAAACGACCAGAACGCACACGACCAGACGGGACCTGGTGAAGACACGATGACACCGATAATGTCACCTGCAAGTAGGAGGAGAAGTCACGTTCCTACACCCAGGTCCGAGAGAAAATGGGAGTCATTTAGAGTGCGGGAATTAAAGCAACTACTGGAAGGAAGGGGCATCCACGTGCCAAGTGGCTTAGAAAAACGTGACCTCGTCGAAATTTTGACGAAAAACACACTAGCACTCAGAGGCGCGGGGGAAGAACTTAGGAGAGGGGCGGGGCAAAATACTTGTTGTACTGCTACTGGAAGTTGGAATTGTAGCACGACAGCTTCGGAACATCATTTTTCTAGGACTAGTTCTAGTAGCACCTTCTGGAGCAAAAATGCTGGGACAGCTACAACGTCAACAACAGCAAGTAGGACCAAAGACAATTGCGGCCCTGGTGCGATATTCGCTGGTGGTGGTGGCGTTGGTGCTGTGACGGCAGACATGAGGAGGAAGCAGATATCTAGGATATTAGCAGTACCCACTACGCCAACAACGCGTGGCATTCGAGAGTTTCTGGCAGCAACGTCAGTACGGAGAAGGGAGACTGAGTACTGTAGTTGAGTGTGTGTGTTGCTTCTTTCATCCTTCTATCCTTTTATCTTCCTTCATACTGCTTTTTGAAGTTGTGATAAACTATTCAGTTTTTGTTCGATATTCATTCTGACGATACGCATGATGACGATCCTCTTCCACCTCCACGTACTCGAGAAACCTTATGCGTTTAGCTTTAGTCTATGTCTTTCATCAAATAATAACATGATTAAATGACCCCACAACTGCACCTGCACCTCTACTTCTCCAGTTGGGCTTGGGCCGTGCTTGAGTTGCAATATACGAGCAGCTTAGAGGAGATACGCAGGGCAGTGAAAGCTTTGTTAAGGGTTGCCACATTACATCCTTCACTAGCATCCCTGACAGGTCTTTTTTCAGTAAGAAAGGACTCAGGGACGACGTGTTGGGGAAAGGGAATGTAATTCCGGAACCTCTAACTTTGAGGATACTGGTGCATCCAGATAAGCTGCCACCAGGGGACAGACACGCAGCAGAGCTTGCCTTCAAACGTGTGGAAACGGCAGTTATGATTGCTTAAAGTCAAATAAATGATTGTTAAGCTGCAGTTACGATTAGATAGTAAGCATTAGCTGCCGTTAAGAACAGAAATTGCTTTCGTCACTATTTTGTGACGTTCAACAACCAACACCATACTCTTTTCACCTCTCATATCACAGGCAGCTGCGTTGAAAGAAGTGCGGAGTTATGGCTCGTTTTGGCCCAGATTCTAGTGTAGATTGAGAAAACCAAAACTACCTTGTCCATGTCCCTCAGCAGAGGCAAATGCTCAAGGAAGGACACCGTTCGCTCCAGCTTTTGAATATAACGAAAAGGTGCTACTCGTCAGAATCAAGAACATAGTAACTCTAACAACTCATTCGTAGCTCATCATCGAGTCTTTCAAGTTCAACTACATCAAAGAATTATACTCGAACACGAGTAGATACTTCTCCATGTCCAATCCCAGGAGGTCCAGCTAGGTTTACAGCATGAGAATAACTTTTTATTTTGCAAGAGTATCATGTAAATGAATACCATTTCAGCGTCGCCGTAACGTATCATGAAATCAACGACCCTTCCCTTCATACGCACACTTTTTGACAACATCACTGATTTCATCGCAACAAACGAAAATATTGAGTTCGAGAACCAAAATGTTCGATAGTAGTCTCAAGGCATGCCTCCGAACAATTACGGATCTACATCTAGTAGATGTGTACTACTAGCTGGAGGTTAGAACTAACAGTCGTACGAGAGTAAGAGTAAGAGAGATATGTTCAGTACAAGAAACGTGACACAGGAGATTAGATCCAAGCTGCGGCGACTCGAACTAGTCAAAGTCTGTTGCTATCCCTCATGAAATTCCACTTTTTCTTGCGTGATCAAGTCATCTCATAGATCTGAACGACGGAATCTTGGACAGGCAATCTTCTGCTTAAGTTTTGATGTTCGCAAATGATGGCTCTGGATCTACAGATTCGGTATTTTTGAAGGACCTGGTTGGAAGTTAAACAATGAGGATAGGTTTATCTCACTTATTGATTGTTCTTTTCAACTTCAGCCCTTTCTCGAATTTGCGCTTTTTCTTCTTAGTGTTTTTTCCCTTTCCTTTTTGTCCCTATCCCTCTTCTGACCCCAGTAAATCGTAATCATGTTCTTCGGGTTTCGTAGAGAGCCTTACTAGTTGTAGTTGTAGTACATTGATACATATGTTATACCCTCATACAACTCAACATCTAGCTTGACCTTGTTAATTCGGACACAGTCCACAACACGTCACTTATTTCTTCGTAACGCAGTAACTTCTTCAACCTCCTGAAGTCTGATTTTTTCGTTCATCATCGATATCGTTGAGGGTTTTCGGAGTAGAAAATATGGGCCACGTATGTCAACGCCAAGACACCGGCGCTACTGCTTAACTAATTATTTATTTATTTGAAACCGGTGCCAAATCGGTGAAACCACGTAGTTCTACTTCGCGTTTCTCCACCACGACCATCGTTGAAGATGTTGCCTGACGAAGACGAAAGCTCTTTGCTCGACGCTGTTTTTGTCGAACCAGATGCCAGAGCACGCGCTAAGATCATCCGTCAACTGGGCAATAGAACAAACGCTCACCAGCGGTTGCTTCACCAGATCATCAAGTTCGATGATGCGTTTATTGTCCGTGCGGAAGCAGTGCGAACCCTCTGTATCGCAGAAAAAGATACGCAAGTTCGTGTGCTATTATTGGCGTTGCATAACGAATGGGTTGCGGATATTACGACGTCCAAGAACGAGAACGAGAACAAGGACATCAAGTTCAAGACGCCTAGTTCGAGCTCATCTCCTAGCACGCCTTCTTCTTCTTTACCACAGAAGTACCTTCCGAAGCAACACGATAGGTTCGATAGCTCTACAACATCAGCACGTCTATTATGCGTCCTAATTTTGGCCCTTGCTGAGCGTCCGGATCATAGCAAGTTCTTTAGGATTCTTGCAAAGTCACGAACTCTAGCTTTGGCACTTGTTTCGGTATTAACAACGACAACGGCAGGAGACAGAGCTGGGAATAATCATGATGGAGGAGGCCAAGGACGAGGAGCCAAAAATCTGGCCAGTTGTATCTTTTTTACCCTGGCTCGCTTGTCCCGCGTCAACGAAGAGGTGGCTCAGACACTCGCAAAGGCCGTGTCCGCAAAGGGAGGTGGGTTCCCTTTGATGTTGGAGATGGTGGCAGAATACGCGGACGAGGCCTTCAACACAACTGGTCGTGACGAGGACAATAAAGGCTTTGAGGATATGGAATCAGATTGGAATATCATATCCCGTGGGGGTGGAACAAATACAAACCAAGTTGCCCAAGACGACCAGATCAAATCTCCAACATCGTATCTCCTGGCTTCCGTTTTGGATAGCGTCCGCGAGTTTTGTGTGAATACTGGCACCATTCTAGGTGCCGTTGGCAAAAGAAATGAAGATGCAAAAAAAAAATTGGTCGTCTGTTGCTCGCGGATTTTAATGATGGGAAAATATCCCGGAGACGGAGTACAGAACAAACCCACACAAGAACCAGATATTGAGATTACCCTTTTTAGAGCAGCGACGCGATGCTTACTACTTTTTGCGGCTTATCTTCCTCCCGCCGAAGACGATCAAGACGATGATAGGACGAAATCGAAAAAAGGTAGCACTCTTGCTCTTGTTGTAGGAGAAAGAGGGGAACAGCAGGCTAGTATGGATGCTTCAACGTCGGAGTCTCGGGTCAGCGCCTTTGGTTCGCTTGCTTTACAGAAGGATGCCGCAGACATTTTACTCGCTGTTGAAAATTATACTACAGTTATGGACTATTCTTCAAAGCTAGAAGAGGTACTTATGTCAACTTTTATGTTCTTCGCTGATCCTTAAAGATGTTGCTAGTACTGCATCAATGTCTATCTAGATCGCAACTCTTGTCAACTGAAGAAAGCTGCTCTAAGCCACAAAGTTCTTGCCAACAGCACACTACCTCACGGAAGAAATGCGAATCCTTATGGCAGGCGTTGGGTAGTTCCATTGCACTCGATGCTACGCGTGGTATGTATCGCGGTACAGAGCTTTTTGCCCCAACCTTCCGACAATTGTGGGAATCAACTCTGCAAAGGATACTGCAAGATTGCATAGAGACTGCAGAGGTGGAATTGGCGGGACAACTAGAAGCACAAACGCTGAAAGTAGAAGGAGAAGGAAGTAAAACTAGAACTACGGACTCGGAAAGTACTTGTACTACTGCTACTACTATTACTACTGATATGGAAGAACGTCTACTTAAAGATACTTCTTTTTCTTCCACCTCGTCGATGCTTTTAGTCCACCAAGCTTTGCAGCTTCTCTCCGCGCCGCCATCCGGTGGGGAAATGCTTCGTCTAGTCCGTTTGGTAGAAGTAACTCTATCATCCACGAACGCTAGCAAAGAGAGTCGCATGCGTTCTTCTGCCGCTCTCCTTGTCGCTCTGAGAGTAGCAGAAATGCTCGATGGGAAAATGCGTAGTTGTGGTACTGCGCAAGGTGAACAGGAGCAAAGACAGGGATCACAACGATCACATGGAGATCTTCCACCGAGCAATACAACAAGGAAAGAAAAAGATAAAGATCAACCAACAGGACAACAAGGTGAACCAACAGGACACGCAGAAGATCTTCAACTTGACGAATCAGCAAGAGTTTTGGTATCGTCTCTTGTGCCATTGGTTGAAGGAGAACTTCGAAGAGAAAGAACACCACAGGATCCAGAATCGGACCATCTAGCTCTAGCTGATGGAGGAGTCTTGTCCATACTGGCACTCGCGAAACTAGGGAGCCTCTGCCTTCACCTATCCGACAAAGAAAATGCTGACAAGACGGGCGGAGGTAATGGAAATTCCTTGCAAGAATGTGTAAGTACTATCTTGAAGTGCATCCAAGTGTAAGCAGGGGGTTGTACACTGAAGATGAGCTGTTGTGATATTCTCCTTGGTTTCAGATTCTTCTGGAATCAAAAGCAAAAACAATGTGGTGTTTCTCAACATGATCGCATGAATCGATAGGTATCTCCTCAACGGACAGCGCATTGGGTACCTACTTCCGCATCCAGAGGAGCATTGGTCGGCTTATTCTGTATCTTCAACGCGACAAGAGCAAGACCGCCACATTATTAAGATTTCGATTTTCGGAAATGCATCTTCATGATTTTTGTTCATAGTGGGAGTGCGTGGACGAGTGCTGCGCTAATAGTCACGGCTGGCAAATACATCTAAATTACGATCATTCTAGTTGACTTAGTTTCAAGACCTGAATTTCATCGAATCTTGTTCTTCTAAGCTACAAATCAGGTGATCTGGCTCAGCTTTCAACGTGTGTATGGGCATTACTAGGTGACTGCTATCGTTCGGGTGTCGTTTTTGCATGGGCTAGTATTCGTTCAGCAGTAGACCAGATCGGTGAGACTTCTGACACTAGCACACTACATGGTGGAGGTACAACATCAAGTAACACATCAAAGGATTTCATGAGTAGTACACGAGGTTTGGCGAGTTTGAATCAATATAGAGAAACACTGCGGGAAGCATCCTCGGCAACGGGTTCCTCTAGCCGTGTGGACCTACTTCAGAAAGACTATGCATCGCTTTTGAATGTTGCTAGGATTTGCTGCGATGAACAGCGGAAAGAAGTGGAGGAGTACATGTTCTTTCAACATCAAGAAGCAGGCTCTACTTCATCTTCTTCTACGTCAAATAGTAGAAATGATACGAACTCCTACAACAATAAGGTACTAGGGGACCACACAACATTAACGGGAGCTGATGCACTTCTTGACGCAATGCAAAATTCAAAGGATGCTGCTGACCTGATTGGCTCTCTGCTAAGGTTTGCACCGACAGCGAATCTTGTCCAGGGTAGAAATTCAGGCTCCTCTACCTCCTTCACCGCTACTAGTTCCTCCTCTATCCCTAGCACCTCCTCCACCTCTACTAGCACGTCCTCGTTTTCCAGGCCGGACTTGTTCCTCCTTCCCACTGCCGCAAGTTCTGACGCACGCCTATTGCTCTTTGCGGCCACGTGTGCGCAGTTGGGTCCTATTTTCAGTCCGAATGTGCGGAAGGAGAACCCTAAGTTTTTGTCGAAGACCTCGCAAGAGACGTTCGTACAGAAGCTTTTGCAGCAAGTTCTTGACGGAAAGCCTGAAGCAGAAGGAGAAGAACAGAAGGAATTTTTACATGATAATTCCTTGGAGATTTATTTCATGGAACAAACCTCTACTAGTCTAACTCAGACTCAGAGCCTAGTAGCGACTCAGAACCTGTCTCTAAAAATGAAGGCCACTTTATTAAGTGATCTTATCTTTGGTTGGGAACAGAGACTACAATGTGGATCCTTAGGGCCTGACAAGGTACTTGCGGATGTGGCGGGTAAGATTGGTGCCTCAGAGCGCGAACTTTTCTACCGGGAAAGACTAGTCCAACGTAGCTGTGAAAGTCTTAGAAAAATACATCCGGACTGGTTTACAGTGAAGGAGATGAAAGAAGGTACTCGTACTGCAGTTTTTACAACAGAAGAGACAATTACGGAAGCCCAAGTAGTCGCAGAACCACCACCCGTCGAATCCTTCTTTGAGGATGTGGATGCGTTGATTTTGGCACAGATACGGTGTGGCATCCCCGACGAAGCGATTGCGACCTTAGAGTTTTTCCTTCTAGAAACAGCAAGATCTTCAACTGGTAGTGATATAATGGTTGAAGTAGAGGGAGACGGTGAGGGTCGTACTACTTAAGGCAACCAAGAGAGCATCTTCAGCATCATTCTTAGCCCTTTTTCTACTTGAAAAAGGGGCCGAGGTGCATGCACTCCGGGATGCCAACGCCGTAGCTCTAAACCAACACTACTCCAATCGCCCGCGCACTTGCTAACCGTCTCCGTAAACGTGTAGAAAATCCGCAGAGCTTCGAGCCTAAGTGGGCCGTGGCAAAGCTTCGCGTGTTGCAAGAACAAGGGGACTGGGCAGGAATTAGGTCGTTTATTGGAAGTAGTGGATTTTCGTTAAAAGCAGGAAACAGTACAACAGGAGATGCACCTTCCTTTTCGACGAGGAGTACAAGTTCTCCTCAAGCAGGTGGCAACAATGCCGCAATTGCAGCAGATCTAGGAGCATTTGCAGAATTTTGTCTTTCAGGTGGAGTTGGTCCTACAACAGATGCTGAATCTGAGATAACGAAGAGTCCTGAGTTTTCTGAGAGGACGAGTCCTCTCGATCTGGATCTTCACAATGCAAGAATCTTGCGTTTGTTAGAGCAAGAGGCCAGCGATAGCCGCGACGCAGATGACTCTGATCTAAGAACCAAGAAGATTCGTGAGGAAATAGATAAAGCGTGGAGGGAGGCGGTCGTGAAACTAGCTTCAAGAACGTTCGTCCAAGGAAAAGCATCTACGCCAGCATCCTGTCTTAAAAGTCGTGGCATTGTGCTTCTCTCAATGCTCACGGACATCGCTGAATCAAAAGATCTTCTGCAGAAGTCTTCAGCAATCCTAGAAGATGCTGTTAGTGTAGGAAGAACGGCACCAGGCGCTTGCGCCTCTACAACATCCTCGTCTAGTATTAAGGCTCAACTTTCATTGGTCACTGAAGACACGGAGGAGGAGACCCCTTGAGACAACAGGGGAAAACGAAGGGAAAGGGGAGGGCTTTGAAGCGGGTCTCTTCCGTTCAGAGTCAGTGACCAAGAATGAATGCCGAGCTTTAATATTAATAGTACTACTCGTATAACCTCCAAAGGAGCAGCAGCAGACTTCGATCGGCGACTGTCACCTACCTCACAGCACTTAGAATCCATACAAGAAGAGGTAGAGGAGACTTCTACATCAGGACCGTGTGGAGAACGACCCTTGTTGTCGTTTACCGCGACAACTAGTTGTACAACTTGGAGTGAACACCGAATAACAGCGCAAAAACGTGTATGGTTCTAGTATTTGGTAACCTGAATTCGATCACAAGGATTTCCTTCTTGCTTTCCTCATGATCAAAATCAGGTTACCAAATACCAGCACCATTCAAAACGCACAGCTAAAGCGCAGCTTATGGTAGTACCTGATCCGGCGGAATGGCTCCCGATGTTGCAACTTTGCAGACGATGGTGGGGTATGGACTCGAACACTGTGGACTCGACCATTGCGAGCGATGACCTTGCCAAGCAATGGCTTCTGTGTGCGAAAGCCATTAAGAAGAGAAAGTTGCCGAGCACGAGCTTTGCGGACGATTTTCTCGTAAGCTTGTATGAGAGATTTTGGGGTGCTGCTGACAGACGCAGAACCAGAAGCCTCAATAAAGAAAGCCAGGATCATCGTCACGGATATCATGATCATAGCAAGGACAAGGCTTTGGCGCAACATTTGCGCCTTCATGCAGAAGATGACGAAACACTGTTGCTTCGATTGGCGATACTGTGTGCTAGAGTGAAGATTGCGATAGGTGGAGAAGGGGATCTCAACGCTCAGGAATCACTTCTGTTTCTTCTCCGAGACCGAGAAATGGAGGAGGACATTACGGCAACAAGTGCAGAGTTGATTATCTGAATCTACCGTAAAATAGTGCAAGGAGGACAACATCTTTTATATATAATTAGAGAACCATCTTTCGCCTTATTTTTTGGATAGAACCCAAGTGCAAGTAGTAAGTTGTCCAGGTACTTTCCTTGTGTGTGAAACACGAAAAGAGCGGAATGAGCGTCGACGTTTAAAAGAAAAAGATGACCTCCACTAGCAGTAGCACTACGATCAGTACTAATTTCTACTTATTTTTTCTTATGACTTCCAGACGCCGACCACTTCTGAACAGCTCTAAATTCAAGAATGCAAATTCCACTGAAAAAGAAAAACAACTTGCCCGTCAATGGGCAAAAGCGTTTGTGCTGGGTGCAAGGATCACACAGGATCGCTCTGAGAAGCGAAATTGGCTACACAGGGCAACGCGGATGGAACCAACCTACTACAAAACCTGGGAACGAAGGTCCGATGCCTTGTATCTAGAGGCGCAGAGGAACACTGGAGGGGAGACGAACCAGAAGCAAACTATCGCTAAGGCCGTTGCACTAGTAGTTAACGCTATTGGTAAGCTGCTCTTTCATATTCTAAACTTACTTCGTATCTGGTTTCATTCTTGAGGTAGAGGAGGGCGTGGAAGAACGATACATCCATGTTAATTTAAGTAGTAAGTAAGTAGAGCATAGTGCTGCTTCAAAAACGCAGAAGTTATTTCAAAAGAATTTTTATTTAATTTAATGTAAGTAATTTGCTTCCTTGCTCTTTCCTTGCGTGTTAAGCGTCTGCGACCTTTCGTTAGAGGGACACGGGAGTGAGAGTCGTTTGTAACTCGTTGTTCGTAGATGTTGCACAGCCTTCCCTTCAAGACATTTATCAGGGTATTGGGGCAAACCACTCTTATTCCTTCATTCATATTAGAATTACCTGACAGACTCAGACCCAATGTATGAAAAGTTAGTTACACGCTAGTACCCAAATACCTATATTACCCTCGGAGCGAAGAATTATCCATATCGACGAAAGGGCGTGGGTTCGTTCCCACTCTGGTAGGCGCGACTGTTGTGACACGGCCACAAAAGTCACACCGAGGGCAGCCTTGAACTTTATCGATATCATGCATACCCCATCTAACATCGAGAGTGCAGTTTACTGCATGCGCAAGCTGCTGGAGCTGAAGCCGGAGAAGAAGGTTGTCCTGCGACTTCTGATGTTTTGGTTCACATACTCAGAGGATCCGGATCTCGCAGTCAAATTCGACGTCATGGGAGATTGCGCCGCGACTGATGCAGATGATGAAGATAAAAACTACTCCGAGGGGCAAGATAAGGATAGCGATAGGCGTTATCTTTCTGCTTGGCTCTTTGTAGTCCCTCAACTAGTAGCCAGGTTGAGGTCTCCTCGTCCGAAACTTCGAGGACAGCTGTACCATTTGCTGCGCCGGTTGGTCATCTTCTTTCCCCGCGTGACGCTTTTCCCGCTAACGCTTGCGCTATCTTACCCCGAAAGTTACGCGCAGGATGTGGCACGACGAATATTAGTTACGGCTCAATATTATAGAAGTTCGTTGTAGTTCATTTCTACCAGTCATTTCTCGCAGTTTCCTTCTTGGGATTCTGAAGAAATGGGGGAACGAAGTGAAGTGGTTTGAGGTCTAAACCCGGAGCCGACCTTGCGTTTTCTGGCTTCGGGGAAGTGCGGCAGTTAGCACGTGAGACAATGCGGGTCTCCGCGGAGCTGGTCAAATTAGCAATGCTGATTTCGGACCTTTGGGTCGCCGGTCTGGAGTCCGTGCAGGCAGCGCTGACCTTGCAAGATTTCGAGACCGCGTATACGATTCTAAAACCATTTATGAAAGGGAAAAAGTCACTCACACTCAAGAAATCGGCTAGAAGAATTTAAGCAAGAAGCTAAGTAGCTACTTTTTTGAGTACTGTGAGTGCAAAAATCTTTTCTGTCATACCATTGCAGGAAACGTTGAAAGCGCAAATGCTTACAAGAGAGCACATGACATTAACTGCAGGCACAGATTCTACGGGTTGTAGATCCACAAAAGAAGTTCATGCTGTAGAAAAGAATGCCAGCACATCGACAGCAAAGAGCAATAGTACCACGATCGCATTCGCAGCCTCCAGAACTACAGTTGTTCCGGCGAAAACGACTAAAGTTGCTCCTCAGCAGCTGCACCCTTTAGAAGAGAAGCTAGCAAAAGCGGCAGAAAAGAAACGCGATCTGGCCAAATTGAACGCTCTAACGCAAATCAAAATCGATGCCGTTACTGCTGACGAACAAATGAAAGGAAGCACTGCTGCAAACAGTGGCACAACATCCAATGGCAATGGCACTGAAATTACCAACATGCGTGGCCTGCACGTACAAGAAGGACAAGGCGGTTTTAAAAGTTCTGTCTTGTATCATTCGAATGTAAACGCAGCAGCTTTGATGTACGACATCGAGAGACAACTGTTGGCACAGGAAGTGGAACAAAAAAAGCAAGCAGGAGAAGGAGCTGTGATGTGGTCTGGTGACGATGGTAGTAGGAAAGCAATAGAGAAGATGAAACAGGAGAAAAAACAAGATCTTCACGACGCTGACCCTAATAACCGCACAGAAACATCAAATTTGACGCCGTTCGAGCTGAATTTTCTTAAACTATACAGTGAGTATCTGCTTGCTGCGGTGCCCTACGTTGAGCGCTACGGTCTCGGACGGAAGGGGAAATATCTGCTTCATGCTTGGCATAAGTTTTATCAGCCTGTTTTACAACACATCCAGAAAAACGCAACAGATAAACTGCATCTGAAAGACGTCGCGCCAAGGTTGTGGGAGATGTCGGCACCAGCGTCAGATGCATCGCCAAAAAACAAAAGCAACAACATTACACTTGCATCACAGAGTAGACATATTTCGCCACCTGGCCTATTTACCTCTTCGGTTGCGATCGCGCGCTGGCGTCCTACGGTCAAAGTTCTCTCTTCTTATGAAATAATGTTGGTATTTGTACTCGTAGTACTATGTACTTATTCCAGAATTATTATTGTTATTTTTGTCTAATACACACTGTAGATTCTTTCTGCTCGCATGATTTCTCGGCTCTTCTCTCACTCTCGTATTGTTATTGACCTTCTAATGAACCAAGAAGCGTCCTCGCGTATTAGAAGCTGAGGGTACGGATGGGCGCGTTTATAAGTACCTGCTCAAAGGGAATGAAGATTTGAAGCAAGATGAACGGGTGATGCAGGTGCTGGATCTAACGAACCAACTACTCCTTGGAACAAAGAATGAGCAAATCAAGATCAAGAGAGAAAGAATGACACTTCCTCGTGCTCCTAGTTCTAAGAGTGTCGTGAGTGGTCTACAAGAACGAGAACAAGAGCAAGACCTAGACGGAGTTGGAGAGCATCTTCAAGGCGGGAGAGGACTACCGCTACCGAATGCACGAACTTCTAAGTCCGCGACCTTAGCTGAGGAGTATATTACCACTTTCTTCGAACGTTCTTGTGCCTCGACGTCATTTTCAGTCTCCACGAGGGGATCTCAACCTGGACATGGAGATTTTAGTTTGGTTCCTTACCCTATAGTTCCTTTGTCGAACAATGTGGGCTTGGTCTATTGGGTTCCAGGAACGACCACCCTAGGCGAACTCGTGTCGCAACGAAGGGCTAGAAGAGGCGTTCCTGGATCCGTGGAGTTTAGCCTTTAAGGCCAGCTTTTAATTTTATCGTAAGTATCCATTTCTCTACTTAGCGTCCTCTCTCTGAGTCTAGTGGTATCCTTTTCAGTGTTCCCATAGATGAAGAAGGGGGACAAGGTACTATCGAGATGAGAGGACCAAGATGATAGATGAGCTAATAGAAAAGCACTTCTTGCCCTAGAACTCGAAAAGCACTGCTCTGAACCCTAGTCGAAAACCCTCTAAGCCCTAGTCGAAAAGCATTTCCCCCAACTGGCCGGTGACCAAGCGCCTGTTGCGGAAAGGGCAGCGCTTTTCCGCCAACTGATGGCGCATACGCGAGATAAATACAACAGTGGCAGTGAAATACGAGATGGACTTTTCTATCTTAGTGCGAGTGGGAGAGGATCATTGCTTGCTGGTGCTGGCAGAGATGTTGAAGAGCATGATGTAAAAATGGGAAGACCAAGAGCAAGGTCGTCATCCTTGAAGATCTTGTCGCCAATAAAGCTGTCGCCATCTTCGTCGTCGACACCGCCATTCACATTGTCCGCCTCACCGCCATCAACGACGTTCTTAGAAAAGAGGCGGAATTTTTGTGACAGTCTCGCGGGCATGTCTATCGTTGGTTATTTGCTCGGCCTGGGGGATCGGCATCCGAATAACTTGTTGCTGCATGAGGACAGTGGAAAAGTAATTTATGCGCAGAGTAGTTTTTTAGCTACAGATCAGATTAGGCTTTGGGCTGTCTTCATATCGAATTATTGGCTCTGAAACCTCTGAAAGCTGAGATTTAGTTCTTGAAAAGTACTGGAGGTAGGAAGATCAAGATGCGAGAAAGTGAAATAATATTTAATATTTACTAGACCGTGACGAGGAAGTGTGAATTTTTTTTTTTTGACCGTTATTTTTTTTTTAATGACGAGGAAGTGTGAATAATATTGACTAGACCGTCAATCTTCCATGATCTTCTCATTACGACACGACGACGGACCCTAGTTTACAGGCAGGTCCTTCACCTTCGTTCTTTGGAAGAACTACGCAGCCCCTAAAAGATCATGATGTTCTGATTCGATGTATAAGATCAAGACTGTGGTCGCTTTCAATAATTGTTTCACATGAATACAACTGGTCGAGTAGCTCTCCTCAGGAGGTACTACTGCACTGGTTGGCCTCACAAGTAGACAATGATAGCTACAGAAGAGGCACCATGACATGACGTGATATCCTCCATACCTCTAAGTAATCCACGTGGATTTTGGAGACTGTTTCGAAGTGACCAGACTGCGCTCTCGGTTTCAAGAAGGCATGCCTTTCCGTCTTACGCGTATGCTAGAAGAGGCCTGTGGTAGTGCGGCTGTGAATGTTTGCTCCTATGTGAAGGATATAATGACGGGATCGGGAGTAGTTGTTCCTGCTTCTGCATCCTCCAGTCGTGCAGAACAAAGTTCAGCAGCATCACTCTTTGGTACTCGCAATAGCGCTTTTCGTCAGGCGTGTATTCGCGTTTTGCGTTGTTTACGAGAGAATGCTGATGTTTTTCTTGCTATGCTCGAAGTCTTCGTACAGGATCCGTTGGTCGCGTGGAGACTACTACATCCTGAACCGGAGGTCTCAGTTAAGGCTACAATAAATGCATCTTCACAGACATCCTGAGACCGTTTTTCAAGGGGAAAGCAGGCCCAAGATGCTGCTGAAGATGGATTCCTCCTAGTTCTAACTCAGAGAAGATGCCAGGACATCAAGAGGGCGATCGACAAGACTCACCGGAGGCCTCTCAGCATCTCAAAGGAGAGCAAGAGAACGATGCTTTTTTCAACTTGCCTCCCCTTCAGGTGTCTGACAACGATGTTGAAGATGTCGAGGATGTAGTTGATATCCCATTGCTTACAAACGGAGGAGACGGTGACGGGGGAGAAGATCATGATGAGTTCTCTTCTACGAGGAAAACTACTATATCGACGATGAAGCAGACTACAAAGAGCAGCAGCAACTACATCGTACAACAACACGATCCAGCTTGTTATACTGTGGACCCGTTCTGTGAGATTCCTGTTTTGCTACAAGAAGGTTTTGCTGAATCTACGACTACTGCGACTGCGGAAGTCACGACAGCAGAAACCAGAGTAGATTTGGAGCTGGCTTTGGAAACGAAAGCGAAAGCCGTTCTCACACGTGTAAAGAAAAAGCTGGAGGGGAAAGACGAAATTCTATTCCCCTATAGACAATCCGTATCCACCAGCGCTGGCTCAGCTCAAAAGGAACTATCCTCCTCTTAAGGCCCACTGTATCTCGTTTTTACAGGACACTTTTGTCTGTCTTCTTCTTGGAATGTTCAGAAACGAAGTAGATGAACCCCCAAGCAGTAGCAATTGAATTGCTTGAGCTCGTCTAATCTCCCTCGACGTCTTCCATGTCCGTAGAGGAGCAAGTCGATTGCCTCATTCGGAGTGCACGAGCGGAGGAAAACCTTGTTTCGTGCTACATAGGTTGGTGTCCTTTTTGGTAAGGCTTCGCAACATGGGACCAACATCAAGACCTAGCATTCTTGGTAACCTCTCTCCGCGTGCGGTCCGTAGAATGACAACCTGGTGCTTTCCTATTGGGCTCATCGGCTACGGCATCATACTAGGGAAAAAATGATATACGCGTAGTGCTGCACAAGACGATGGGCGGCCATACTGGTTGGCAGTGCGGCTCTGAGGCGAGGACCACTTTGAGGACAAGGAGTACGACGAGATGCAAGAGGTCACCCTCCGATATAGAAATTCTAAAAAATCTAAAGAATCTAAATAATCTAAAGAATCTAAAGAATCTAAATATTCTAAAGAATCTAGAAATTCTAAAGAATCTAAAGACAGGTCAGGACTGTTTAGAATCTAAATCGTCGAGATTATGCTTAGAATCTAAATCATGCTGATCAATCTAAATCTTACTGTCTGAATTTCATAAGACGAGTCTCAAAAATATCGCAATTTCGTAAGGGTGTCACTCGCAAACATCTCTAGTATGCTTGACAATCTAGTGATGATGAAAAACCAGTCCCTTACTAGGCTCTAAAACTTCTAAAGATTCTCCGTTTCTCTTGTTCGTAATCCGATTCTAAAGAATTTAGATGCTTGACGATGGCGATCTATGAATTCTAAATAATCTAAATCTCAGCAAGAACGCCAGCGGCTAATGGGACTTATTTGGTATGAAAATCTTTATCTTGGTATCCTTTGAGCATTTCGTCTTTTCCATCCGTTGTACCATGGAGTGAGTTTCGATTGCTTGGATTACGATTTACTAAAACTACACATGATGATGATGATGATGATGATGATGATGGAGACCACACACACGCACACGTCTCCAGAGAGGCACACGCCCACACGTCTCCAGAGAGACACACGTCTCGCCACAGATCATTGACAATGAATTTTGCTTGTTGTTCTTCCCACAGCTGGTTTTGTTGTTTCGTAGGAGATCGAGATTTGAGTTTGAGAGGAGAGGACTTGCTGTGGCTGTAATCTGTTGGACGCTACGAATGGAATGAGAGTAGAACGAGAGCCAGGTTCGCAGCTATAATCTGTTCTTCTTGTCACAGAGAGAGAAGCTTATACGATGGATGATGACATTAATGTGGTGAACGTGAAAGTACGCTAATGCTGGCGTCCGAACATCGACCTTATCTGTGGTCCCTTTATTAACTGCAGAGGGTAGTTCATTCTAATTGGTCCTGAATTCTGTTTCTTTGCTGGGGGCCTCAGTCTCTGTCTGTTTCGTCTTCAAGTAAGACCCAAGAACTGTGCACGCGGTGGCTGCTACGTTGATACCACAACACGACCAGTCAGAAGATGAGCCTTCATCGTTCCCGTCGTCCACCAATTTTGCGCACATGCGATCACACTCAAGCGAAACGCAAACAAAAGACCGGCGAGCGTCAACCTGATATAATCGAGGAGGATGAAGACCTTGACCACGACAATGACAGCTGCTCAGTGTCTATAACCGATCGCAGTGTCTCTCCATGTTTAACAACACCACGCAAAGGAAAAGGGCCCCAGGAGAGATCCAGGAGAGTCACATGCCGTGAAGCGCAAAGCACTAGCACGTCTTCTTCTACCGCGTCGTCCGGCAGTCGTAGGAAGCTTGCAGGTTCTTCCAGAAGTAGTGGCCCTCGTAGCAGGGAGAAACAAGAGCAACTACATCTAGCCGCTCAGTCGTGTAAGCGTAACAAGGGAACAAGAACAAGAGAATGGAAAGCGGATACAGGAGCACCAAAATCGTCAAGTAACTTTCGCCACCTCATGTACTCAGGAGATAGAAAATCCCCACGGAAATCCTCTTGCGAGAACTCAGAGTGCGATTCTGTGGCTTCTTCTTTTGCGGAGATAAAACGACAACATCAGCTTCTTGTTCAAGAACCAACGACAGGTCCTCCTGCCCAGGATGAAGAAACTTTTCAAAGACCACCTAAAACTGACATCCTGTCTTCAACGCAGAAGCACCATATTATGGATATGGGGGAGGATATTTTTTGGACCACTACGACTACGTCGTCAACTTCATCAAGTTTTGCCACTGCATCTGCGGCAACTAAAACCAGTAGAAAGACCACGACGTGGGTGCTGCGTGGGAAGGAACAGCGCGAAGTCGAAACCCTCTACGTAAACCTTACCATAATGCAGGAAAGAGAGCTGCAATTATCGCTACAAGAAATCCATCTTCAGAGGCATCTTGGTCCCAGAAGGAGTTTCCTGAAGATGGGAACCAAGAGTAGTCTGAAGATGGATATCTCTTAGTTCTAATGCAAAGAGAGTGGAGAGACTGGCCTGTTCCAGGTCTCTTTGGGGTCGATGGTGCGAAAACGAACAACTTAGAGAGGCTAAATGCTGCGCTTCTCTATCATTATGGTTGGAATTGGTGATAGAATACAAGGAACAACAGTTACAGGCTCTTCCCTTAGGTACGAGCATACATCAGGAGCATACACCAGGAACGTTATAGTACACACTAGAAACATACACTGAGTACAACTACTAGAAGAGACGCAGAGATTTGCTACGTTGTTTAGTATCCGCGACCACTACCATGAATGGGTACACTACTACTACTTCTACGCCTACACTAGTGGATCTGGTCTCTCTCTCTCTGTGAATCTAAATAATTCGGCAGTCAGCCTAGGATTTCCCTATATGAATTTTTTAGGGTCAGTCTCTAACTTTTTGCAGTCGCTTCAGCGGTGTTTTCAGGCTGTGCGGTTGGCGTGGCGATGTGGGAGACGGATTATTATAGTTCTTTTCCTCCACACGCACAAGAAGATTTCTATCGTACACAACAAGGTGGACCACAAGAGCAACAAGTAATGCCGGTTGGTGCGCGAGACGTGGTGTATAATCCACAAGCACAAGCATTGCCGGTAGGTAAAATTCCTCAGGAGCAGACCTATCCACTACGAGGCGGGCAATCACAAGATCAAGGGGATGCATTCCTAGCAGGAGGCAGAAGTACTATAGGTATGGCAGAGGGAATGAATTTTACGACTGTGATAAGTGAACAGGCCAACGCCTAAACCACTAAGCCAACTGCTTCGCTTATCAGATTGTAACTTCTGCAATACAAGAATTGTCCACCCCTGAATTGGTCTTAACAAGACTCAATGGAGTACAAAAATTGCTCACCTCTGTTTTGCCTGATGTTTGGGATTCTTGTATAATAAAAATATATTACCGAATGGACGGACGTTTCGTATTTTTGTATAGAGAAGAGAACGGAAAAATATTTTCTCTAGTTCAACAATGACAAGAGCCAAGAGTATGTATTACTTCTCAAGCCCAGCTCGCTGTCTACTTCTAAAGACTACAAGCACTACGCACCGAGCAGAGACAATAGGACAGACAATCAAAGAGGGACGAATTTAGCCCATCACGCCTTTCTTGGTGGAAGAAGCAGGGACGCCTTCCTCGGAAATTCAGTCGATTCCTTGGATATTCCGCGGCTCTATCTTAAGAATCAGAAGAACGTGTCTGTTTGTATTCCTCCGACTGAAGAGATACTGAGTCGCGACTACTTCTCTTAGAGGTCCAAACAATTCACTTCTTGGGTTCATTTCTTCAGAATCCCAAGACGGAAACAGAAAAAAATGACAGCTGGAAATGAATTGTGTGTTGTTAAATGCTCTATCTTAAGAATCAGAAGAATGTTACTTTGTTCTCATCGTATCTAATACCAGTATCAGTATCTTGTACCAGTAAACTTGTACCTTCACGTTTGGTTTTCCTTTTTTGGTCAGTTCCTACTTAGGAGGTTGGCCCCCCTACTATTATCTATCAAAAAACCGATACCGAAACCTCTATCTTAATTTTTTCTCCTTCACTCGCTCCTCCTCGACTTCTTCTTCATTCCCGCCGTGCCTCTCCACGAAACGCAGCAATTGATAACGTTGATTGTCGCGGCAAGGATTGCTGGATTTGCAGTGGTAGTTGCATGCGCAACGGCATGCGGAGTGCTTGCGTGGAAGGCGTATGCGATTCTGTGTATCCTCAAGGACCTTGATAAACAGAATGTCAAAGAAGGGTGTCAAAGACGTAGTAGCACCAGAGGTGGTAGAAATGAATCTCCGACAGGAAAAAAGCGGCGGGCAGCTAAAGCTAGTGAAGCCGTGGAAGAAGTACTCTTGAATAAAGTAGACGACCTAGAGGAGGCTCATAGGAATTATATGGCTGACGTTTATTCCATCTGTACGACCAGCGAGGCGCCCCTTGGTGCCCTACGTTTTTAAGAGGAAAAGGGTAGCCGTGATGGTCTGGCTAAATGGAATGGACATCATTCATAAGAAATGAAGAAGAGCACTCCGCAGCGGCGAAAAGCGAGACGAGAAGCTCAACGAGCACCGTGGCACTGTTTCGAGATTTCAGTCCGCCAAGAGCCAAACGCGTCGTTGATCCGTTTCGGAAAGGATTATGGACAGGAGTACATTAGTCACACTTTGAGCAGTATCCTAACAGTAAGTGCAAACGAGTCACTTTGATGAGCATCTTCCGTATTGTCACTTGGATTGTAAAGTTGTCAATTCCTTGCAGTAGTCGTACAGTGAGCATCACAATTCTCTACTTTGTTGGATAATCGTCGATACAACTCATAGTACCGTAGTTCTTTATATCACTATTTAAGATTTTGATTTATAATTTGTTTATTCTTAGTAGTAGTTAGTAGGAGGTCGTTTAGTTAGGTGCTGGTGTTGGAGGCTTAGGGCCGAACTCCCCGCTGCATTGATGATCATGACTTGCTGTTCATTTACAGTAGAACAACTTCATCGAAGATACCTTCTGTTGAAAACAGTAGTAGAAGTTAATTTGTCATCCGTAGAGAAGTTCTACCTCTAAGAAGATTTCGCGCAGAGGAGGAAAGTAGGGAAGCAGTCCTTGATCATAGGGATGAAAGCTTATTATTTCAAGGGGAAGGGACGATGCACAAGGAAGTCATTTGGACACCAGCTCAGTTCCGTGAGTTGCGGGAAATGGGCTTGCTCACTTCTTTGGAAGATTGGCTTCATTTAAGGCAAGTGCTACAGGGTGATGAAGACTGGATCTGGAAATCCCGGGAAGTTTTTTCACAGCATTAGAAATCGGCGACTCATCGTCACGACCTGCCCAATCGTCAAGTTCTAGTGTGGACGAAGGCTTCCAGAAAATAGTCTAGACTTCCCGTGATCACTCTAACTCCAGACCGCAACAATCGAGTGCTGGAAAACTACAACATGTTTTCTGGTTTGAAACTTGGGGGATCCTGCTCGAAAAATGCTGGGGGGAGTCGGAGTCCTAATAACCGTAGCACTGACCACGAGGCATCAGTTCAAGCTCAACAACATGCTGAAACAGGTAAAAATTGTAGCAGAAATCTTCGTAGTTGTACCGAGGCACCAACAAGTCAAGAACAACATGAACATGAAGACGATGAGAACGAAGATGATGGGGATGGAGCTGTCCTTCCGCATGAAGCACTAGAAACATGGCTGCACGCTGGTAAGAAGGAGACTGATTCGAGGAGAACATCGAAGACCGGAAACATTTTTAAGGCTCTCGCGAATTCATCTCTCTTTAAGAGGTGCGTGTATCTTTCTTTGACAACGCATTTCTTGGCAAGGGGATGAAAAGAGGTCAACGATACACTCCTCTCCGATGAAGATTATAGGGGAGATCTAAAAACAATAGCGGCTCCAAAATAAAGACAGATGCCTCCTCGATCCGAATCCCCTCTACCCCTTCCAGTAATATAGCGACAAAAACGTCGCGTACAAGTAGAAGTTGGCAACAACAGCATCAAGGTACAACTACGACTGCTACTACCACAACTACTACTAAATCTAAAGCTAGTACTGGCACAACAAGTCGTGCACCTGCACAATCAAATTCAGAGTCAAAACAGAACGATTCTGCAGATGTGATGACCAGTAAGAGGAACGAGAAGAACGATAGCGATAAAATAAATAGTGCAGTTCTACAGCCTCGCGGGAGGCTTCTACGCATAGCCGACAGCGCTACCAGGTTTGTCCGTCGAAGTCTCTCCCGCAATCGCACACCTCTGCAGCAATCCCGTTCCTCCTCTTCTGTGACACGTATGCAACTTAATGGGGATAAAACTTCTAACTTGGAAAGAACATCGGGGGAAAATGATGCTGCTCACTCAGAAGTATTGCATTGGCTAGACGATAACTCAAGCCCATGATCAACATAAATGAACAATTATACAAAAATCAGAAGGACCCATGTACGAGCATTTCTACAGAAACATATGATATTTATATACATTAGACTTAGAAGGGATTATACGGACAATTTATTTATTAGGGTTCGTTCTTCTTCTTTCAAAAGAGTAGATCGCGTGGCTCCTGATCATGGGTTTTCGCAGCAGCAATGAATCCGTGTACTTAGCTAGACTCCTTGTTTCATCTGTCCTGGCAGCCCGAGCGCCGGTTCCTACAGGTACATACTAACTTCCTCCGTAAAAGAGAACAGCGCTGAACCAACGTCGGTGCTAAATTCATCCGTGTTGTTTCCAACTAGTACGTGCGTTCCCCTGTATCTTATCTTCATAAATTGGCTTTTTCTGCTGCAGATCCTTTGATCTACGAACTTTATTTGACTGCAGAAAATATTACTGCCAAATCAACCACTTTTTACTGCAAAAAATATTACTGCGTATCATATTGTGACTTGGTCGTGAGTACGTGCATCAACATCATAGTTAGTGTCGATATCCTGTAAGTTGAATTTGCATAAATTGATGATCCGTTGGCAATCATTCAAGCAATGACAAAAATGGCGAACAGAAATAACAAGAACAATATGTAACAAAATCATTCAAGAAATGGCACACATTACTCGGTTGGCTCGCGTAGTTCTTGCTTGTTTGCTCCTGTAGAAGGACCCCTGTTGCTGTCGGATATTACAACTGAGCCGTTTTAGTTCTTGCCGCTTTTCGATGCGGATACTTCTTCTAAACCGTTCCTGCTGCTCCGTCTGCTAAGTAAAAAAAGGATGGACTCTGCTTTGGCTGAACTTGCCGGGTCCTTGATCGCCTTTGTAGTCTTTTTCACGATCTCCTTTACTATCTCTACTATTCAGGATAGGTGTCGAAGACGGAAACGGAAGGAAACGGAAACGAATGCGCATCCATATTTAAGAATGATGGAGGACAATAGAATAGTGATTGCTCATGCTCATTGCTTGTCTTCTGCTCCTTCTCGTACATATTTACACTATTTAAACCAACACGACGACGACTGTCAGAGCACGGCTCTACGGCCACCATGAACGATGGCAACAGCAACAGGGACAACAGCCTGCATATTGAATATCGATCATACGGGGCACACGATTAGGAGTACTATTACCAAAGAAAGGAAGGCTTCTTTCGTTTCGAATGCATCTAGTCAGTTCCTCTAATCTGTCCATACGACCACGAACGAACTCGGATGCTTGGCAGCAATCAGCAGCTGAATGGTGAAGGAGGTGGATACGAACAGTCAGGGGGAGAGGGCACCCAAATGTTACGGCTGCAGGACATGAGATGATGAATTAGAGTTTTTTGCTTGAATGATGTTCATGCTCATGATCTTGATCTTCACCAAGAATGGGAATAAGTATGATGAAGAGAAACATTTTTGTACTGGTACTAGTAGTCGCCCTATTTTTTTTACTTATATATTTTTCATTAACTAACAAGTCTAAGAAAAAGATTTTTTTCGACAGTATATCTATGGATATGCGTTCAGGTTCATTACTCTCAAGAACAGTCTCTACAGCTGCTTGAAATTGCTGGATAAACTGGAAGTAAAATTATACTTTTTTGAGATGGGAGAGCTAGCCGCTTGAGATTGATTCGAGATTTAGACCTGCTAGTAGACGAGTCTGCTCAACATCTACTTCTAATCTTGCTGCTTTCGCATCAGGAGTGTCAACATCATGGGGCAGCTATAAGCGATCAAATGCAACATCCAAATACAAACTTTGCTATGCATTTTTGAGGAAACATACGCCAACGCCACACGATAATATACACGATAACTTAACACAAAGAACAACGTGAGTGGTTAACTACAGCGCTGCCCTGGCGATAGTTAGCTTGTGGTGGCTGTAGTAGGATGTTGTTTGTAGCCTGTCGCGAAAAAACGTAAAAAGTAGATCCTTCGTCTGTTTTCTTACGATTTCGTTGGTAGTTGCTGTGGATTCAGTAAAGCTGAGGAAGGAAGGGCGCTGTTCGCAGTTATTAATACGAGAAGACATGGATTTGGAGGTATGAGTAAGTAAGCTGAGCCACCTTTCTTCTTTGCTGCGCGACGAGAAAAGCGAGGGGCAAGATTGTAGTAGTGAGGTCCAATACGTATTGATTAGTATAATGAGACAAGAGAGAAGGGCAAGATCATGATTAGAAGGCCTTTTTAGGTTGAATGACGAATACTGGTTGAGAATACGATCGAAAGAAAAGATCGATGAGTAAGGACAAGTGAATGCCGCGGGATCTGTCATGCGTTCCTCTGTAGCGCATTCCATCGGTCAGGCCGTCTCGTAGAAGGATTAGAGAAGGCGTGATAAAAGCAGAAGACATTACTTAGTTTAGTTGAGGCTAACTAACGTTTGGTAGTCCGTCTGTGGCTGCACACATTCGCTCGAGGATACAGGTCAAACTGTGGACGGCGAATCAAGTCCTATCGTTTTCAAAAACAGCCTTGAAGATCATTGAAGAGCTTCTTGCGCATCCTCATTCTTTGTTTGTTTGTTTGTTTGTTTGCATTGATCCGCTTCGGGCAACGCGTACGACCTCGCTGGATTTCGTTTTTTTTTTGGCTTCGTGGATGTGTTTTGTGCTATGACCGCTGTTGCGACTTTGTTACGGCTAGCCTTGTTGGTCGCGCGTAGCCTTCTCGCCGTCGCCGGCTCTGGTGTGTCTGGCTATGCAGCAGGCGGCGGATGTGGGTAGCGGCTGACGCGGGTAGCGGTGTCGCGCGGTCGGGCCGCTTGGTGGCCGTTCTTGCCCTCTTGGTCTCTTCTTTTCCGCCCGAGGCTTTCGGGGTGGGGCTGGGTCTGCTTGGCTTTCGTGCTTCGTTCGTCGTTCTTCGTGCTTTCTGCTCTCGTCTTGCCTTCGTTCTCTTTGTCGTAACGTGCTCACCTGTCTCCCCCTTGTTCTGTTTTCGCCGCCACCGAGCTCGGCCCCGCCCTATCGCAGCAGGCAGTGATCGATGGTTTTACCACAGCGGCCGCTACTCTTATCTCTTTGCTTCATTGCTGGAGGTGTGGCGGCTGCGCTCGCAAGAACGCGCCGCCGGTAGTTTCGGCCGCAGGGTCGCGTAGGTACAGGACCAGCACGCAGCTTCGGGCTGGCCGCAGCCGCCCCCACATCCACTGGAATCCGGTGGCCCCTTGCCGCAATACTGGGGGAGGAAATGCAGCTAGCGTCTTTTCTGGTGACTCCGTTGGCTAAGCGCCCCAGCTTGAAAGCGTAGCGTCAGCGCCCATCCTCTCGCGAGCGTGCTACGCTCCGTACTAGGAGGTCTTTCCCGCAAATTCCTGCGTCTCTGACTGTCTTGGCTGTCTCGCTCCCTGCGTGTCCTCCTCTGTGTATCTGGTGCAACCTGGCTCCGCCGAGCACCCTCGCTGCCTCCGTTCGGTCTTAACGCTGTCTCATTCTTTCAGGATGTAGCTCTATTTTATGTATCTAATCTTACTATCGGAAAGCAAAAGGATTTATTACAACGATTTAGCATTACATCGCCATCTGATGGCTGTTGTCTATTTTCTGCTGCGAAAACGTCTCATCATTGTCGGCATGAAGCCTCATAGATACTCATACTCTGCTTCTCGATTTATCGGAGGACTATTTTTAGTGTCAAAAACGCTTGGGAGGTGTGTAATGAGTAATTAGTGTGGATTAGTAAAAAGAGATCGGTTTGTTCGGTACTGAGATCTGTAAATAAAATTGCCGTAGAAGTAGAACTAGAAGTGAACATCATCCTTACTGCATGTAGTGATCTTTAATGTTATATTCTTGTTACTTAGGTAGTAAATTGAACAGAGAAAACAGACACTGAAAGAAGAACCCCTTGGAGACATCCTCGTCGAGCAAGTTCTAGGTCGGGAAGCACTTCATATAAATTGTACAGAGGTTGAGGTTCTTAAGATTCGAAAATTATAGTACACAGGTTAGTCGTACTAGTACAGCGGTTGAGGTTATTCGAAAATGAGAGTTGTACAGAAGTCGTCGAGGTTATTTAAGTAATCAAATACTGTGTCTGGTACAGACATTTCAACAATCCAGGAACTTTCAAGAGTAAGGAACTTTCTTAGAGTAGAAAGACCACCAAGAATAAGAAATCTCCAAGAATGTCGGGCTCGAGCTCAGCTGTTCACTGGCGACTCGGAGGTCGAGAAGGCGAGTGGAGCGCTGAGGATGTGGTATGGTGGGCTTTCGCTGATGATCCGATCGCAACGACTCTTGGCTACTTATACCATCATTATGGATGGTGAAGTGAGGATGCAGAAGTTTTTCTTTTTTCCAATCGTCGTAGTGAGCATTTCGATTTTTCCAACTTTGAACTGTTTAGCCCGATCATCGTCGTAGCATTTTTTCACTTTGTCTGTTCAAAGTGGCGAAAGGGTTGTTCTGGGATCTTTTGAGGGTGAAGAGGGGATGCATGGTCCTCTTGCTACTTCGATGGATATAACTGAAAACAACTCGCACTTCTTTCATGATCACGTGTTCCGCTTCATGGAATTTGTTCCATTGTACGTGGGTACCATTGTGCTTCTACGATATGCCAATCGCAGATACGATATGGAGTTGTTGGAAAAGATAGCAGCGAGACAAGCACAAAATTAAGGGTCGTTTCCACCCAATTACATTTCTCAGTACTAAACCATCCTTGGCTCTTTTCCTACCAGAAGTAGAGCCAAGGATCTTCTGAGGAACGTAAAATTCCGTAACCTCTAAGAAAAAGAAAGACATCCTTCAGACAAAGACACAGAGGGCGAAGGAACTACAACTGCGAATAAAAACGAGAACAAGCTTTAAGGCTTAGTTAGTAGCATCTTAATTATGGAGCTTGATAATGCTGAACAATTTTCACGACCTTCATTTTATGGAGTGCTTTCCGTTTCTCGGAATCTCAGTGGGGATGATACCACGCACTAGATGAAGAAAGTAAGACGCTTTGTTGCTGATGAGCAATTTAGGTAAAAAATCTCTAAAGCTGGTTGAACTTGAAGCGGTTACCGCGGCTAAAACAAGGCGTCTTGATGCTATTGGTCCTTGCAGTGATAGTCGTCAGCGTCTATCTCTTGGTGAAAACTGGAATTATCCAACTCTACAACCTGGTCTGTTACTTGTTCACAAGTCACGGTACGAGCAAGAATTCAGTTTTTGAACATGAAGACGCCGCTGCCGACAAACGACAGCTCGCGCTCTCTGGAGGCTGGATCCTTCTGTTAAGAACTGCAGGAGCTAACCGTTGTATCATCTTCAACTTGGATATAAGCATTAATATGGATGTTTTTGTCTACCAAATAGATATCTTCAACTTGGACATCATCATTATAGAGGATGTCTACCAAATAGATAAGTAATACGGTATGCCAGCCATTTAAATACCTTCTATCAGTACCTTCTTTCTAATATTCGGCTTAGGGGCTGTTGCGGTATCTCTCTTTCTAGACTACGCGATACAGCAGATAGCTCTCGCTGCCCAAAAACAGGATATGGAACGACAAAAACAGTTAAGGTGACCAGTCTTGAATTCGATAAAGCCATAGTGAAGTTATAATATTTATACGTATGTTCTTCATCATCAACATACACAAGCTATTGGTACTATTCAGTCAAGGCCGTGAGTATGCACCTCAGAAGCTTGTGTCTGCTCCAGTGGCGGATAAGGCGCATCTTCGCTAAGATAGGAAGTCGAACGAGGAGATACGAGATGGAGTTCGGGGACGATTCTGCGTAAGAATACGGCGAAAGACGAAATGGAGCGTGATACAAAGTTGGATTGAGCATCGACGTCTCTAATTAAAAATCATGAGATTGAGAAATACCGTGCTAGATGAAAGATGAAAGAAAGAAACTATACTCAAAAAAATGGTGCAGTGATCATCGCTCTGCCTCAACACGATGAACAGAGGACCACGACGGATGTCCCGGGATTAGCCGCGGCAAATATACAAGTTGCATCATTTGAAGTTTCCAAGCAACTCCTGCGAGAGCTGACGAGGGAAATACATTTATTCTTGTGAGAGAACATCAAAGCACGATGGATACGCATACTAGAAGGAGTGTTGAGTGTTTCTACCACAGAGTCAGATACTCAGAGATGAGATTTACCAGCATTGCCGGACAGCGAGTCATGTTGTCAGAGAAAGAGGGCGCTCGGATCTCTAGGAGGGTCGAGAAAATCACCAGAGAGATGTTCACCCTTGTTCTTGCTGCCGCGTGATGAATTATACATGCAGAATAAGGGATAGTAAGGGAAAGAAAAGAAAGTCCTCCACCTATTAGACAGCTTTGCTCCCACTCAGCGACAAGCTCTTCAAAAGAAGAAGACAACATAATTTTGGTTTTCTCTTTCTCCCGTTCAAGAAGTCCGTTTCACACGACTTCTACTTCTAGAATTGAGAAATAAACTTCAACTAAGTACTCAAAATGGCGACTGTCCTCGAAGGTTCAGCCTCTTCGCCACCCATGATCGTCATTATCCCTCTGGGGGGTCTGGGCACCCGTTTCAAGGCCGTGGGACATCTGCAGCCCAAAGCGTTAGTCCCTGTACAAGGGAAGCCCATCATTTTCTGGCTTATCGACAACATGAACCTTCCGCCTGGTGCCTTGCTTTTATGGGGGAAATGAGAAATTCTACTTTATCTAGCATCATGATCATGAAGATGCGCGCAAAACAAGTCTTCACCGTTGTTTCAAAGATATTATGGTATTTAACGGGGACACCAGCAACACCTGTGTATTACTGCACTTATCCATGAATGTGTTGTACTACTACTAACTTATCCATGAATGTGTTGTACTACTACTAACTTATCCGTTAAACAATAAATCCATGAACAATTGTTATTTTCATTGTGCGCACATCAAGAAGATCCACTGTTTCATATTGCTGCATACCGTACAACAGCGAATATCGTGCGCATAATTTGGAACAGATTCTTCAGGAGCGATACTGTCACCTACAGATCCGCTTCTTGTGTCTTGAAGAACAAACACGAGGCGCAGCTGAAACACTTCTTTATGAAGAGGAACGGAAATACAAATAGTATATGTTGGTGGATGGCGTTGAACGGAAATACAAATAGTTGAAGGGGGATGGCGTTGAACTGTAATACACCTAGTATATGTTGGTGGATGGCGTTGATTGAATGGCTAGGTTGGCGTTGATTTGAGGTGGTGAATGAGAAATAAATTGAATCATGAGAGAAGTATACTATAAGTATTCCCTTTTTGGAACAAGATTTCATCGAAGATTTGTGGCTGATCTTTCTTTGATTTTTTGGAGAAAAAACACGACGTCTCTATGAAGATGAAAAAACACTGTCTCTCTACACCTCGCGTGCAAGAGGCGGAAAGGCATCCTATCCTATCCTATCCTATCCTAAAGGCGTTCATCTAAAGCACCAGGGCCCATTGGTTTGGATGTTATAGAAGATTTCAGAACTCTGTAGCTGCATCCATTGTTGGCACTTAGTATTGTTTCTTCTCTCTAAGTTCCAGTGTGCCTGAAGGATTTGTGCGAACGAGAACCTGGGCTCCGAAATGCTGCCACATCCCAGCTTAAGGCGAACACTTTATCTCTCAGGCATATCAATCAATCAATCAATCAATCAATCAATGCCTCTACCGCCTTTACCTCTTCCTCTTTCTCTGCCTCTAATGTACCCAGTGCAGCAGGTGTCCCTGTGGCCAGCGTGGACTCTGACTCGTTCTACACGTATGACTTCCTTGCAGCCTGGAAAGGACAGAATGCCGTCTACTCGTTCTCGGACTCGAATCCACAACCGATTTTCTCCTACGTCGCGACAAGCGGAAATACAAAAAGGACAACACTCTTAAGGCCAGAAGAAGCATTTCTGAGAGCAAATGGAGCAGCTCCTATCCGTCAGGGCTGAGAGGTACCCCAAAACTACAGTATGAGGAGATTCAGAGGATGCCTATCAAGGCATGTAGTTGACAACTATGACTATGTATTTCATCATCACGATCATCATAATTGATGACTGGTGCACAATTGTTGAGAGCAATTTTTTTGGACCACACAAAGTGATGCAGCAACGACCATTATCAATATCAAGAATCATCCACCACATCATCTTCCTCCAATACAGTGCAGTATTGTGCTGAGGATACTTCATTACTGAGAATACTAACAGCACTAAAGCGCACCTCTTTCCCCTTTTTGCTGAACTTACACCCTGAATGGGTAAGCCACTACTACGACCACTACAACTAGGCCGACTAGTACTCCTACTACTTAGCACCATGCTAGAGCGCTAATTTTTGATGGCGAAGGGGGGTCGGGAGAAGACTGGCGCATTCAAAAGATCGTGGAAAAGGAGAAGATTTCCGATTGGGCCAACTGTGGCGTCTACGCGTTCGCTTCTCACTTGCAACTGATTATGCTGGAGTTATCTCTTGTACCATTTTGTTTTTCCAAGTAGGTGGTATGATGATCACGTACACATGTTATAAGCAACAAGTAAGTAGGTAAGTAGTTATCTTATGATGGTCTGTGTTACTGCTCCAGTGATTACTTATTGTTCAGATCTTCTCAGTAAACAAACCGAGTTAGCAGGGATGCATGTAATGGAATAGAATAGGCAGGCTAGTACATCAAGAAGATCGGATACCGTGAAAGCACGACGCGACATCAAAGCCTGATGAACCTCATTCATATTGATGCAGTATTGTGAACGCATCATCGAGCAAAATATCCGGCAAAAAAACGAATTCTACACGTCGACCGTAATCGCCGAGATGATTCAGGATGGCATCACATTCTTTAAGGCTTCTTCTCACATAGAAGTTTCACAAAGGAGAGAATGGTAAAGTAAGCGGGATAATTCTTATCAGATAGAAAGGATCTAGCTAGATTTCCTCTTCCTCAAGAGGTAGTTTGAGACAAATTCTCAATTTCAAAACAATAAAAGTAAAAGAATCTTCTTCGCATGGCTTTCTCCAAGGCTCGTCCTCCTTCGCCTGTGGTTCTACGAGCAAGGAAGGCTTCACTTTCACATCAACAAAACAAACAATAGGCTTCATCAAGAAGAAACTACTCTGATTAAATATTCGAAATTCATGTACTCCATGAATGGGTACATCACTTGACTACCTAGTTGTGATACTTCTCGCTACTACTTCTACCTCTAACGTCTATTGTCGTCCAGTGGCGAACAAGCATTTTTATTCTCTAGGGACACCGGAACAAGTAGCGCAGTTTAACACAACTTACCTCTTGGATTTGGATGGGACGCTTGTGGACACGGACAGCGTCTACGTGAAAGTGTGGAACAACCTGCTGTCGCCTTTCGGTCTCAGTATTGATTATGGAAGATGGCAATAGAAAAGACTAGGATGTGAATGACTTATGAGCATGATGAAGCTCAAGACTGGAGTTAGAGATAAAGCCTAGGTTAATATGAGACTAGTAGATGAGCATGAGACTGACTAGTAGACCGACGGTGGGTGTGATGCACTATGGTAACGGTGTTTCGACTTGTAGTCATCAAATGGGTCATGATCGTGTGGAGAAGTGGTTTTTTACTGTAGAAATCAAAATTCACTCGAGGCAATTACAGAAGTAACAGTAAGTACTTAAGTGTGCATGCTCGGTTTGGTAAGGCAGACTACAGTTGTCCTTACGGTGGTTCTGTATCATTTACACGCCTTGTGAGTGTAACCACTACCAGCACTTGTTCTACAACGACTAGCACTACATCTACACTCAAATGTCTTCAGCCCTCTAAAATGTCGAAAGCTTCTTTGATGATTTCATCAAGGGGAACAGCGACAACGATTTTTTGAAATACTTGATGCCGGATATATCCCCAGACCTGCTCGAGAGTTTTTCCACGCGAAAAGACTCAGAATTTATTCGAGTCCTCCAAGAACGGGCTGCTGACGGAGAAGACTTGGCCAAACTAGTGTTATGTTTCAAGCACTATGCTTCAAGCAGTTTTCTAATGGTCTACGTCTAGGCACTAGTTGTCGTAGTCATTTTCAATTTTCACACATACACGAGGGCGGAACCACGTTGAACAAAGACATCTTGGCCTTTCAACGTGGGCACCTTGCTAATCTAAGCGAAATATGCACGCACTTCACGTTCACACGCATGTTGTGCGCCTCAATGAGATTTCTCTAATCATTCTGATCGATGGCGTGGAGGCATTCATGCATAGAGCAAAGAACTCCAAGGTTGCTATTGTTATGACTTCCGGAAATCTCCCATTTTGAGAAGCAGGGGAGATGGGTCTAAGATGCATCTCATTTTACATGGGAGACAGACTCCAGGAGGGTCTAATACAGTAACAAGTTGCAACCGTGCAGCCGCAGAATTTCTAGTGCAGGCGACAGGTCTAGAAGACTTCGTTTGTCTTCTGGTCGCGTCTGAGGACTGCAAACGTCACAAACCGCATCCTGAGCCGTACCGTCATGCCATGCAGCTTCTATTAAGGCTACAAGAAATCCAAATCTAGTCAAAATTTCTAGCTTCTATCATTAGTAGCTAGAAGAACCCTAAACCCAAACCCTAATCTATCAGTCAAAAATGTAGTCCTTTCACAATAATTATGAAGGCAACACAATATCCAAAAAGCATTGTTCTGGTGCTACAGGAAATCCAAACCTTGGCGCTGTCTCTTTTCCATGTATGCTCTTGGAGTAGAAGATGGCACTTCCTTGTATCTAATAAATAAGAAACAAGTGGGTCTTCGTCTTTTGTTTGTGACAACGTATGGCATAGATCTATCTTCAACAACATTCTGATTTCACCAGACCTATCTGATTCATCTAACAGACCTCTCAATCTGATTTTGACTGACCCATCTGATTTTGACAGACCTATTGGATTTTAGCGGACTTATCTACTTGAAGGGTTTCCTAAGGTGGATAATATATATCTGATAGATCTAAAATTAGGGGTTAGTGGGGAAAGATGCGTGATCTGCGAAGATTCGGCTTCCGGCATCATGGCTGCATCGCATGCGTGTGCCGGTCGAGTGTGTTTCTTTTAAGGAGACCATTTGTACTCGAAAAGTGAAAATACGCAAGTAAATTCGAGAATTATTCTATTAAATTCTTAGCAGTTGTCTTATGACACCTTAAGTACTCGGCTGTTTCAGTTCTTTTTCCTATAGTAGAGTAGTTTATAGACGCTGGGCGGCTGGGCACGCTGGGCTGCGCTGGGTGGCTGGGCGGCCTCGCTGGGCACGCTGGGCGGCAACGCGGGGCACGCTGGGCGGCAACGCTGGGCACGCTGGGCGGGCGCTTGGATAGCACTGAGCGGACTTGAGGGCCACACGTTGGGCATGCCGAGCCTGCGCGGCCGATGGATTTACTTGCGCCGCGGGGACGCGGTGCAGCGCGTCCCGTGAGGCCAAACAAAGGCGGCGCGCCGCCCTCAATGTTCACGGCAGCGCTGGCTCAGTGCTGCGCCAGTTTGCGCAGTAGCGGGCTGCACGGTGCCTGCTCTGTTCAGGCTTGCACTGCGTCGCGCTGCCCGATGCGTGCAATGCTGCGCCGCTCTTGTGCACAACGGTAAACTCGCCAGCGTCGTTGGCCTTGGCCTACGCTAGACTAGCACTGCTGGCGGGGTTCTCAAGCGGGGGCCCGAAGGGCGCCCCGCAATTGGAGACGCCCAGCGTGACGCTGGGCGCAGAATGCGGCAGATCTGGCACATTTGGGTCGCCCAGCGACCCAGTGTGCCCAGCGTGCCCAGCCCAGCCATGTTGGGCACCCTTATAAACTGTTCTACTATAGGATGTTCCTCGTTGTACTTCTAAGTGTAGTAAGTGTAAAGGATGGTTTAAGGGTAGGTTAAAGGTGCTTTTCTTACCGCTTTTTATGCCTCTCTCCCTTAGGATGAGAAAGGCATAAAAAGCGGGGTAAGCAAGCACCAAAAACCTACCTCTAAATGGTCATGGTGGAACAGGACTTCGTAAGTACTTTATCATACCACGCAGTGGCCGTGGAGATGTTCTACTATCCCGAAAAAAAGCTTGTGATGTGGTTCTACAGCTTCCTACAGCTTCTGGTAGATCTTACTATCAATGTACTGATTTTTTAGCAAAAATTATACTAGGAGTATAACTATATTCGAAAACTGAAAATAACCGAGTTACTGACTGAAATAAGGGAGGTAGCTTAACGTCAAGGCTACTCTTCCTTCTCATCAGTGTCTCCCTTATTTTCAATAGTTACTCGCTTATTTCAGTTTTTCGAATAGATATATATTCCTGTACAACTGAGTTTTTAATGGAAAGTTTTAATGTTTCACAAGGGGAGCAGCAAATGCAGAGGACGCTGCTCGTTCTGGTGAGATCGCAAAAATGGCTGATGTTTCTTTTTCTACCTGGGATAGCATGCTTCCCGCAAGCATTGCGATGGAGCTCGAACAATGTGCCACTTCCAGTGATGGTGGCCGTAGCCCCAAAAACAACGAATTCGCTTTTTTTGCTGCTCAGATCAAGATTATGACGACCATGATGCTCAACTGGTTACACTAACTAGTAGTCCTTCTGTGGTAATGAAACTCGGTAGTCCTTCTGTGGCTGCAAATGTTCGCCCGATGATGCAGGTCACACTGTGGACGGCGAACCACCTCCTATCCTATCCTACTATGAGAGATACTATTCATTCTCACTCCTTCTGGAGCATCTTCTGGTATTCCGTTGCCCCCAGGAGAGATCCAAATGAAATGGAAACAACTTTAAACTTGTTACTGAGACACAATTGAATTTGAAGAGGGATTAACTACGCACTTCTCCAGATAATTCGAGACGAATCTTCAACACTGTCTTGAAGACAAATGAATAAACGGAGCATACTCTACTTCACCTTATCTTATACTGAATATATAATGATCGAAGTAGAAAAGACTTCAAGCCAACTACTACTGATCTAAGACTCGAAAGCTGTCTACGTGCATGCCGATTCGTGCAGTGAGCCACAGTCAGGAAAATTTGAAGACGGGCTACATCTGCGATATCAATGCTTTCAACTTGGAATACCTTAACGGAGACAAACGCACAGTCGTCTTCAAAATCAGCAATTTTGTTATGGGGTCGTTGCTTCCAATTGCACAGTACAGGACCCTTAACCTTTAACCTTGAACCATTGCACAGTACAGGACCTTTAACCTTTAACCTTGAACCATTGCACAGTACTACAGGACCAACTGCCTTCGTTGTAGAAATCATTTATAATAGTTCTTTAATTAATTAGAAAAGTTCTTTAATTAATTAGAAATTGTTAAAGTTTTTTAGTAAGTTCGGTATCAGTGTTTGCCTCTGTGTGTTGAACATGAGACCTCCCAATTCTCTTTAACGCTGGTTCCATAGTCTCAATAAATTCTACGACGCAAACACCTCTTGCGTCTCCAAAAAGTGAAGTCCTCGTCTAGAACTCACTTCTACTTGCGCCGTCTCCAATTTCTAAATCCTTGTCTGTTGGATGCTCTCCCCTCTGCCCCTGCAGTTTCTCGTCATTTTTCCCGTACACGCTGTTGTAACTGGTCTTCAACTTTCATCACATTGTTTCTTGTAAAGTACTCAACAACGAGGACCCGTTGCATGTTTGATAGATTCTACGGCATTCCTCTAATCGTAGCAACGAGCTTGCTAAGACCGCAACCCAATTGGACATGTACGAGAAGGAAGGTTTTTTTTACGAGAAGCTGGGAAACATCGTGAAAAACGAAATTGGCGTTCCGCAATGCTACGGTGTAATCCGTGAGTCTGGCGGTCAACTGATCCGGTCTGGCGCAAACTCTCCTTCAAGCTCCCCATTCACTGACAATGCTTCGCCGATGTTATGGGAATATTAATATTTATTAGAAGTATCTGTAGGTGAACTAGAAGCCTTGTCGTTGTAGGTTCTCCGCTATATGACAATGTCAATTATGCTTGTGCTTCTTTGTCTGCTAAAGATTAGAGTTCAAAAATAGAAGTAGAACTATTTTCAATAGACACTGAAGAGTTAGGGCTTCACCGGAATTTAGTAGACAAAGAGAAAGACGATTTCAGATTCAGAGAGATCAAGTAGTACTCAGGACTCTGAAGAGATGGCCTCGCTTGTTAATGTTGAGAAATAACGAAATTGACGACGCGTGCCTGCTCTGAGGACCTTCTTTATCGACATGGACATTCATGTTAGAGTAGTACTGCATATTACGAGAAGTGTTCCTCTGTATGTTTTGCTTTTTTGGCAACAAGCGAAGAGAATCTGAGACATTGGATTTTGACAAGGTGGTCCACTCCAACTCACTCCTTTTTCAGATCTCCAGTAGATCATAGGATAACAATTAATAGCAGGGTAGAACTTTCCTTCTATGATGAATTCTCAAAAGAAAACTTCTTCTATTCTAACACGACCACCTGCTAAGCCCATGGCACCAATTGGTGTCCTAAATGAACCGCCGCCGCGTGTGGGAATCATTTTGGAGGATCTGCGTACTTAAGGAGAGCGCTTTACTATCCCACGTGGACTATGCTGAGTGGCGCCCCTCTTGATTTAGAGGGAAAAAGAGGGGGGGACGCAGTAGGACATCTTCTCACTCGAATTGGTACTACAGTGAAAAACTACCTGCTCTAACGTACTCATCCTGGTTGTTTTAACGTCGACCTCAGCCAAGACGTTCGCATGTTATCCAAAGTGGTGTCGTGTGCGTTCAACATGCATAGGTTAAGGCAACTCGAGGTCATTTAATTCGAACACTATATATGTCCCAGGGTGCGGGGCGACGCGGGGGGGGGGTACCGTGCGCCCTGGACCCCTTTTTTAAGGCGTCTGCCGGGGGGTGGAAGGCCTCAAAAGGGGGCCAGGTGACCTCCCTCCTCCGCTCTCTTCCAGCTGCCTGGCTGTTGCCTACAGGCCTCAAGAGGGGTCGAAGGGACCGCCCCCGCCTCCTTCCAGGGGCTTAGCTTTCCCCTAGAGGCCTCCGACGCAGGTGGAAGGCTTCAAGAGGGGCCCAAGGGGCCGCATCTGCTTCCTTTCCAGGTGCTTGGCTGTCCCCTAGAGGCCTCCGACGTAGGTGGAAGGCCTCAAGAGGAGCCAGGGGGCCGCCTCCACTTCCTTCCAGGTGCTTGGCTGTCCCCAGGGCGGCAAAAGGCGAGGGGCTGGGCCCTCTGGGCCGTGCAGCTTGTACCCTCCGGGCCCTTGGTCATCGGCTTGCTTGCGCTTGCGACCGTGGCCGCCTTCGGCGGCCTTTCACGTCACCCCGGAGACCTCCCGCCGGCGAGGGTCGGCAGAGGCTAGGGGGTCCCTTAGGAACACGCTGAGAGGCCCAAGTGGAGGCCCGCGCCAAGTTTTGACGCCTTCCGCCACTAGAATCCGCGAAAAGTCAGCGCCTGCGGAAAAGCGCGCGCGCGCGGCACCACAGACCAGGCCACAGGGGGACGGCACCGCCCGGCCCCGAAGCATATACGTTCTTTCATACTTATACATAGTTATACTTATCGTCTTAGATAGTCGTGGATCGATGTCTGCTTCCGCTGATTCATCCACTTTACGAGGTATCTTGAGACTCATCATCGATAAATACTTACATTTCTCTTGGGGTTGATCTCAAGAAAAAGAGCCTGATGAAGATCTTTCTACTTCATCTTCGGGTTGATCATCATCATGTCAGGGAGAACCTCAAGAGCAGCTCTAAGAACAGCATACTACTTCAAGACGCCGTACGAGGTGATCCGGCCGATGAAGCCGCTCGTGACAGCCAGTGACATCACGTATTATTAAGGCTTCAGGTAATCCATCTTGACTGTCATCCTGGGCTTGAGGGTTATCACGTGCTGGTTATGAAGCCTTCCGCAGGTTCTTCTCTGCAGAATGCTTGCGTGCGTGGTTATCCGCATGCGAAAGCAAAAGCGTGAACGTTTTCCCTGAGGGGGAAGAGCTTGAAAGAAGCGCCATTCTCGGGGCCTTCCTCTATGGCAGGGAAAAGCAAGCCCAGGATGACACTCAAGATGGATTCCAGGAAGCTCTAATATTACCAGACCCTGGTGCAGAATCGTTTCGATATCTTCATCCGTCGCAATGCTGTATTCATGTTACGACTCTTTCTTGACGGTTTACAGCTGCTTGTACTACTAACTTCTCGAAAGTTTTCCTCACGGGCAACAACTTGCTGATGACCTTGAAGAGTATACTGAAATGCAATTTTTGTGTACTCCATATTGGAACTAATCTTTCAGGAAGTAACTAAAGCTACAAGATTTGAAAACGAAATTGAAGCCTCAAGATTTGGGATTGAATCGATTCAAATTATATCATCATCATCTTACACTACTACGTACATTGTCGTACAACATCAACACGACTTACAAGTTCTAAGCAAGAGCGACAAAAGCAAGGCGTTGTGTGAGGCTATCGCAAAGAACTACAAAAAGATCGCCAACGGATTGAGCGAATTCTAAGGGCTTCCCCATTACATCCTCGTCCAGCAACATCTTTGACCGTTTCCTTTTCTCAAGTGGAAAATTGATAGGTCGAAGAACCTGTGCTGAAGAATGTAATGCTGCGACCTTTAAGACTTTCCATTATCCTTCTGCCATGGAGATCTCAAGTCGCCAAACATCTTCTACAAATTTCGTAGATTGGACGTAGCCAAAAGTGGCAATGGTGAGCCGTATCCTGGCATAGGTTCTGCGATGGATGCAGAACCTATTTTCCTCGACTGGCAGTATATTCACTTTTACGGGGCAACTAGGCCTGCTCTTGTTATCTAACTATAAATTTATATAAATTAAACATCCTCATGATATATCCTATATTAATTTCATTTTGAACTTGAAGGGTACTAGGGGACTTTTTCGTAGATGAGCTCACTCGTTCATTATCTCCGTCCTTCATCTCCACAAGTAAACAAATTCCGAAAAAAAAAATATAACTAATTAATCTTCACGCTTTCCCAACCAGACTCAGCATATATTTGCCTACTCCTGAAGATAACCCTACGCGTTGTAGGCGTGCAGGCCTAGGCCGAATAGATTGCTGGAGAAACAACTGCACACATTTTGGAGGAGTGGAGTCCTCGAACTTGTGATCTCTAACGCTTGAACAAGGGAGTCTCGGACATCGTTTTTCTTCTCTTATGGAGGCCTCATCCTGGTGTACTATAGGTATCTACTTTGTCATTTGTCAGTGCTATGGTAGCCTGTCTTTCTCTCTGTTGTATGTCGTCCGAAGGACACGCGTTATTCTGTCTGTAAGAGTGTGCCCTTCTTCGGCTGTGAAGCGTTGCCAGCATGTTCTGTTACCTAAACCCAACAACCCCCCAGCCCATCTTGTTCTTCTCGTCTCTGCTTGTTAAACCTTCTTGAACCTTGTTGGTGTAGACACTAATAGCTACATAAGAGGTACCACTACCATGACATGACATGTTGTTCTTCTCCTCTTCTTCTCATGTTCTTCTCATCTGCCTCAACCCCTCAACGAATCTTCTCCTCTCTAACATTTGTTGAGTCGATTAAATTTGACAAGATCCCGGTGGATTTCGCGCTCAACTTTTACTACAGTCTCTGGCGCGAAAAGGAACGAGGCTACACCTACGAACAATACCGCAAAGACGTGACGCTTTCTCTTATGGTCACCGTAAAAAGAAAGTGCAAAGGATGAGCCGTAAAAAGAAATAAAAAGTGCAATAAAGGATGAGCAGAAAAACAACAGCGACCGCCTCTAGTATAGGCACAATCATCATCATGGAGGGTGAAGAGACCGACGCTGTGTGTCCGTTGAAAACACAATAAAGCCCCCAACAAAAGTGATGTAGTAGACAAAGGTACTTTAATTGTTGACCTTTTGATCTGAAAGAACATTTTCTTTCCACCGGATCTATCAATGCTGCTCGAGAGGTATTTGTAATGTATGCTCCTCCATGTCAGCCTCCGCCCTCACCCATTTCACTTGTTCGCTATACATATTCCGCACATCCACATGCATTTCCCGCACATCTCCATACATATTCCGCACAGCATCTTCCTGCTTATACCCCACCTTTCATCTCGCGCTCATCTTCCTGCTTATCTCTCACCTTTCATCTCGCGCTCATCTTCCTGCCTATCTCCCACCTTTCATCTCGCGCTCATCTTCCTGCTTATATCCCACCTTTCATCTCGCGCTCATCTTCCTGCCTATCTCTCATCTTTCACGCATGTTTCTCGTCTCTACAGTACCCCTCCCCGTCAGTCATGTCCTCCTCACCGTTCATAGGATTGTGCCTCTTTCCGTTTTTCGTGATGGTATGGTTTAACTCGGAGGACCAAGACAAGCTGCTGGACAAGAGCTTTCCGATCAAGTTTATGAAAAATTTGTTGGAATACTACAACGAATATGTGGATCTGGAGACCTTGGTCAATCTCTGAGCGGAGACAGATGTGGGGAAGCGAGTGCGGGTATCTGGGGACCTTCTAGGTGAATATCTGAGCGAGTGCATGTGGCAAAGCAAGAACGGTGAACTGGGTGAAGAAGCACCTCTATGAGTGTATGTGGTGAAGCGACTGCGTAGGGGTAGAAGATCACGACCTCTTGTGTGTGTGATGAGCCGACTAGAAGTGCGTAGGGGTAGAAAGCAGGTTAGCCCTGCAAGTACTAGGTCACTTTGTGGGTTGGTAGGTGTGTGAAACAGTCATAAGGTTTAGACAATCTTCAACACAAGACAGTAGACGACAACTTGATGCAGTAGCTAGTGATGGTAGATGAAGCTGTGTCTTTTATTCTTGTGTGAGTGTGGCGTCTGCAAACGACTGCGTAGAGGTAGATCACGTGTTGGGAGTACGTTTTTGATGCAGAGTGCGTGAAGATCATACTGATAGCAACGCTACTTAGAGGTCTTCTCCAATCGTTTACCTTACAACCGTCTTCAACTTAATTGCGAAGATAGAGGTGGCCGCGGAGTTGGTCTTCGTATTGGATTTTATCAGAATCAGAGGAGATGGAGAAGCTTTATTTGTTTTAATATAATACTCCCCGGCCTGGGGTGCCCCGGGCGACGTTGAAGAAGGGGAGAGGGCTGCTGTATTGGCGTGGGTTTGCGTGAATGGTTTCACGAGGTGAAACAAGCGCCCGAAGGGCGCGCACTCCCCTCCGCCCCGCGGTTGGCGGAAGCAAGAGGCCCCAAAGATGTGGCGAAAGAAAAAACGGGGCCCTGCTTCCAAGTTGGTAGCAAGCGCCGGGGGGCAGTTACATGCGCAACATCATGGGCGCCATTTTCAACGCGCTGGCCGACATGGTTGGCGCGGGTTCTTGTGGTTCTCTCCTGTTTTTTCTCTTTTCTCACCGTCCGCGGCACTGTGCCCGACTTATTGCGAACAAAGGGACGAAGCAACCAAGCAAGAGACAGCGGGGAAGCCTGGAGAGGATGAGGGTGGGGCCCCGAAGATATTGCCAAAGAAGTTGCGGCCAGTCCTCAGGGCTCAGGGGCGCGCGCATCTCTACCACAGTCGCGACTTCTTCGGGCCACTCTTCCACTGCGCTATCTGCTCGCAGTCGGGGGGCCTCGCCTGTTGCCTTCTGTTGCCTCCTGTCGTCTTCTGCGGTCTCCTGTCGTCTTCTGTTGTTTTCTGTTGCCGTCTGTTGTGGCTGCTTGTCTCTTGTTGTTCTCTGCTGTGCCCTTCTGTTCTCTTCGATTTTTGCAGTCTGTTGGGCCTCGCGTGCCAGAGTTCTGCGCTGACTGAGCGAAGGCAAAAACCCGCAGCGCCGCGCTAGGCTTGTGGTGTCTTGTTCGTAGTGTCTTGCTCGTGGGGCCTTGTTCATGGGGCTTTGTTCGTGGGGCCTTGTTCGTGGGGTCTTCTTCGTGGTGTCTCCTTCGTGGTGTCTCCTTCGTGGTGTCTCCTTCGTGGTGTCTCCTTCGTGGTGTCTCCTTCGTGGTGTCTCCTTCGTGGTGTCTCCTTCGTGGTGTCTCCTTCGTGGTGTCTCCTTCGTGGTGTCTCCTTCGTGGTGTCTCCTTCGTGGTGTCTCCTTCGCGATGTCTCCTTCGCGATGTCTTTTTCGTGGTGTCTTGTCTGTGGGGTCTTGTTCGTGATGCTCTGTCTGTGGTGCTCTGTTTGTGGTGTGTTGCTCGTGGTGTCTCGTTCGTGGTTCCTTGTTCGCGGTATCGGATAACTACAACTACACACTAGTACTAGTACTGGGTGGGCGCTTGTCGTGCTTCTACTATGTATTTCAATTTTTGTAATAGTTGTTAAGTGGAAAGCATAAATAAAATAGAGAGTAGATGAAAGCAGCCACGACAAGAAGCGAGAGAGCCGCAGCCAGTAGCGCGCCCACGCAATGTTTTTGAAAATTCTAGGCCGCGTCCCGTAGTCGTGATCCGCAGCCGGGCCTTTGCAGTTGCTCGGAAAGGTTCCCTGAGTTTGAGGATGGGTGAGGCTTGTTGCTTGGTATGCGAGAAAGTCTGAGGGAAAGTCTTGCCTCCTTAGGGTAGGTACGCAGTTTGAGTTTAATAGGGACAACTCTTGCTTAGTGAACGCAGCTTCGGGACAAGAAGTCTTGCTTATTCTACACGGTGTAGGGACAGCCCTTGCTCATCTCACGCAGTTTGGGGAAAGGGAGACTGAGGCCAGCCTCTTCTGATGGGTGTTGGCCAGGCTGCTGACGGGGGGAAAATGCCAGGAGGCCTGCTCTAGTTGAGTGGGACGAAGCTTTTTAGGGAGAGGGCGGCCGCTATTCTTCTTTCATCTTCTTCATGTGGGCAGCCCCGTCCCTCTTCTTCTTTAGTGATATGGGTGGGGATCGGTGGAGGATTATCCCGAGGGCCTGAGTCCTGTGCCTGTGGGCTGGGTTCTGTCGCGGGAGAAGCCGTTTATCCTCTTGCGCCGGGTTGGGCATCTGCCATCGCTGGGCGATTGTCGTCCGGGAGATCAATGTGTACCTGTATGTGCTCCGGAGTCAGAGCGAGATGAACCTCTCTGGCGACGCGTTCTCCGATACTTGAGCAGAACACCTACGGCAGCACCCATGAGATGTCTACTCTGTCGTTTAAGTGTCCGCTGCTCTGTGTCTTCGCACATCTTTACACGGCATCGGTTCAGATTCAGTGGGTGTGAAGAATAAAAGTAAGTGGGACAACATTCGCCATCCACTCGCACTTGCATCCTAGTGAAAAGACCACGACTAATGATAGATATAGTTGAAAAGAACATGCTCTCAACATTCAACCGTCGCAATCAAGAAAAATTCGAGAAAATAGAGGATGCGTTGGACGATATCTGTTGTAGTTGTTTTTGGAACTGGTTGCAGTGATCATTCTTGGTTGTTCGGATGCTGCAAAGTACAACGGATCGTGGCGTCTTATACAAAGTCTTCTTACATTAGTAGTACTAGAGCAAACGGACGGAATAAAATATCAGAGGACCAAAGAACAAAAGCATTAGATCACGCAAGAAGAACAACAGCAAACACAGATGGAAGAACATCTGACGGAAGAGAAAGAAGCCGACTTGTACGAGATAAGCTGCTGCCGCGCAACATTAAGACAATTGTCATGAACATTACACGCAACACCCCTGGCATCCCCTGAAATTACTTTGTGAACTAGCATCAGGGGGATGCCTAGTAGATTAGGGGCCCAGTAGTATGAGATCTACAGAATATAGCTGTACAAGAAGGATTTGGAAATTGAAATAGAGACATCAAGGTCACAACTTCTCTAATAACGAGCGAACTAGACATCGAGAAGATCATAGAGGAGGCACTTCAACTAGAAGAAATGCTAGAGCTTCTACAGAAAGAACAGAAGAAGGCGAACAACGACAACGTAAAGAAAATCAAAATACTCATTCTCATGTTACGTCCAGACGTGAAGCAGATGCAGGAGATAGCACTTTGTTCTCCAGACGTCGAGAACTACGGAAAAGCACTCCTCCTTTATCTCTGGAGCAAAAGCAAAAACTTGTAGTAGATCTCGTCCCCCGCTCGTCTTCTCCGTCCGACAACAACTGCGCGAAGACTACAGCAACCGCGCGAAGACTAGTGCCCAAAGATGCGACTCCTACAAGTAACATCAATCATGGAGAGCCGATCCAAGGAGAGATCTCGCCTACATCGTCTGCCGATCATGTCGCTCTTACCTTTGGTCTTCTAACGGGGTTCATGTTGGCTAGTATTACGGTTCTTGCTGTTGCTAATTAGAATATCACAGTACAACAAAGAGATGAGACGAGAAAATGGGCCTCCACGTTAGTAGTGTCAATGTGGTCCTCCACCTCCCATCGATCATCTTGTTGAGCACTCACTCCGATTCCTATACGTATACCTATAGATCATACCTTGTTGCGCTTGCGGCTAAGAACATATTAGCGGTAATATGAAATGATCCACTTTATTGCCAGCTCTCTTGATGAATAAATTGAAGGTAGTACTATGAGGACGTCTACTTGATCCATCGCACTTTCAGAATTTGTCTCGTCTACGGTCATTGTCAGGAAAAGTGACAACGGGGACGCTCCTCTATTTAATAATTCTAAACAATGAATTGGCCCTCTCACCACTAATCTCAGCTTTTACCTCTAATCAATGCATCTTCAGTTTTTTACAAGCAGCACTGGTGCCTTCCGAGTGGTCGGCAGTGATGCTATGGCAAAAAATTCCTGTTGATCTAAGGAAAGTGAAAGGCGTGCGCTTTTTCCATGCTGCTTGAGTTTTTGATTTTGAATGTTGCACCAGTGACTAGGCTGCTTAGTCTGTCCGAAAACTGGTTTACTTGTCAGCTTAGTGAAAGTAAACAAGCCTTTAGACTTAGGAGGTTGTCGGACTACATTGCCACATTGCTATTTCTTATTGACTAAGTAAGTAAGTAGTAAATATCTAAGATGAATCGTATGCGGAACGGTTACTATGGTGTCTGGTCTGCTTTACTCCTCTATGCGAGAGACCTGGGAACAAGTCAGGACTATACCACCAGTTTGCCGATATATTGACTGGTACAACAATAATATTACTATTCTAAGTACTAGAAGACTTCTAGTATTAAGGCTCAGCTTAGTTAGTTTTAGCAGTTAGCAGGACACTTCAGGATACTTGTCGATAGTTACCCTTTTCTCTTCTATATCTATATCTTCCTCTGGTCTGTCTTTTTTCTAGTTAGGTCGGCTCCACCACAAGTGTTAAGGCTCAGCTTTCAATGGTCACTGAGATCGAAGAGGCGACCCCTTGAGAGAACAGGGGAAAACGAAGGGAAAGGGGAGAGCTTTGAAGGGGGTCTTTTCCGTTCAAGTCAGTGCCCACTGAGTGCTGAGCTTTAATAGTAGTAGAAGAAGAGAGTTGAAGTTTAGAAGATTGAGAACACATATGAGTCCATCTGTGCTGGGGTTGGACCCCATCAAGATCAATACAGTGCCCAGCTCTTTGCCGATACAACAACGACTTTTGGTAGTATTCTGTAGGGATTTGGGGGTTTGCGACTCAGCTTCAGGAGCAGGGCTTAGGGGGTATCAATCTCCTAAACCCTAAGCCTTTTAGTATCTATTACGTAATATACCACCTTTGGTAGTATTATGCAAGAAACCACCTTGTTTGGTAGTATCCTGATCATGTGACCGTGCTTCTCCACTCCAACCCGTCCAGGATAATCACGGTTCCGTTGCAGATAGTCGAGTTTTACCTTCTCCTGCGAACCGCAATGCCACCAAAATACCAAGTTTCGTCCACTCTATGTTATGAAAAAATTGTAGGATCTTATATTCATATGGTCTAAAAACTGACCCTACCCGAATATAATTAATGGTCTAGTAGTCTAACACTAACTCACCCTCAGCATACGAGTTGTAATTTAAGGCGACCAAGAGAGCATCCTCAACATCATCCTTGGCCTCTTTTTCAAGTAGAAAAAGGGCCCAGGGATGGGCTCAGGGATGTGACGCGGTAGCTCTAAGTAATGGTCTACTCTTAATTTACCCTACAACGCAAACTAATGGTCAAACTCAGCCTACGCACCAAACCCATGGTCTACTCTCCGAATGATGGTCTTCTAACCTAACCTACGAATCATGGTCTTCTAACCTAACATACGAATAATGGTAGGAGCGTCTTCAATGCTAGCCTTTGGATACATGGGGGAGACGGAGGTGATGTCAATCTGGCCTGCTTTTTTTGCATCGTTGCTATGCTGGTCGTATATTATGACTAGACCCGCAATTCACAGCATAAGTAGAATCTTCCTAATCTTCATCTCAGCGGCTGATAATCTACTTACCACTTGCACCCTCGTCTCTCTACCTACAGAAGATTGGACCTATTTTTACTCGAGCTGATATCTCAGTTACCACTCTCTCTTTACCCGTAAGCTACCCTGTGTGGTCGCTAACCCCTAGTTGCCCTTTCCTTCATCTACCCACACTTACCCCTTCCTTCTACCCATACTTACCCTTTCCTTCTACCCACAAGCTACCCTATGTGGTCGCTAATTTCCTAGTCTGGGAAGTTTTTTTCGGACAGGCATCTCAGCTGGCCAGTTTACTCACTTTGGAGGCTGCTCTGCGTTACCTAAAGAAAGTCGCGAACACACCAGAGACGAAAGACTTCGAAAAACCGGCAGCAGCTAAGTTAAGATCATGATGATGATGCAGAATGATGTATGCTATGTCTTCACGAACCAGCAAAGGAGAATGTGCGCCAGGTCCCTCCTTTACTGGTCGTTAAAGTTGTTAAGAGTACGTAGAACAAGAAGGCTTTATATTTTTAATTCCTCCTGAAGCAGAATCCTATGCCTGGGAAGTCGCTAAGATAGAATTAGAAAAGGTTTGTTTCTCAACTTTTGAAGACTGTGGTCACGCCTTTATGAAGCGCAGGTTGTCTGATACAACTGCTATTGCTAATGTAGGCGATGACCTAGGAGTAAGTAAAAGTAAAACTACACAACTATGATACTTTATAAGAATATTGCTACATCATGTACATCATTGAGCTCTAAAAGAAGCCTTCGACCGTCTACGACTGATTCTACTGCTGGGGTGGTCGCTATATCCTCTCCGACCAGTACTTCTGCGATTCATCTGGCCTGAGATTATCCCAACTACATCCTCTCAAGGCACTACACCAGAATCCTCAGGGATAGGTAGTGAGGAGAGCCTAAATGCATTATATATGGCGCCAATGATTGAGAACGGAGGACGAAAGGAAGTGTCGACAATTTTTAGTGCTTCGAAGGGCTCTTTTCGGCTCAGGAAGGGCAGTGCTGTTATTTGTCAACATTCTCACTCCAATCATCGGCCAACAATACGAGGATAACAAACATTAATTATATTTAGCTGTAGAACGTGGATTGACGAGTCAATGTTGTATCATGTTGTAGCAACCTAGTCTTCAGATGTCTTCCTCAGAGGACCTCCTCAGATATCCTCCTCAGATGTCTTCCTACTAGTGTCTCCTTCACCTTTTCTCCCGAAGTCTTCATGATAAACAACTTGGGAGATTTGGTGAATAAGATCTTTTTTGGCATAGCGGTATGGACGGCTGCAGGCAGCGAGGAGGAGACGACCCATCAGCAGGTTTATCGTGTACAACGGAGAGAAGCTGAGATCATTTTAAGGTTACTCAGCTTCACTTTTTTTCGTGAAAAAGATACTTCCATGATTTCCATTTTTAATCGAAAACTCAAAATAACCGAGTTGCTGACTGAAATAAGGGAGGTAGCTTACTATCAAGGCTCCCCTTCCTTCTCGTCAGTATCTCGGTTATTCTGATCAGTTACTCGCTTATTTCAGTTTTTCGAGTAGCTGTTGGTGGTCCTCGATTAGTTGCATCATGGTATTGATTTTTTCGACTAGTCTCTAGCACAAGCTAGCGGTAGAGCCCTTTCTTCTTGAAACTTCTAGGTAAAAATTATAGTAGTGAGAACCTTTGTTCTCTTTGAATGGCGAACTCTAAACTTCACATCCTGGATGGAACAATTGCGTATGCGAAATATCGTGCATAAAAACTTCCGCGGCACTCTACCTGCATGGCTTGACCTCGAATTAAGGCTTCCGTTAATCCACCTCTGTCCTCCATTGGGACGTCGGATCCTCTATACCTATAGCACGTAGTCTCTGGACGTAGGATCCCTCAAACGTAAGTAAGTATGCCTGCCACTATCTCGTCTATAGGGAGGATCACTCAATATTGAACATCATGCATCCCAATACTGGTTCCGCCAAGTTAGGGGGATCAACTCGTCCTCAAAAATGTATGAACTTGAGAAAGGTCTAATCGAAGATCTATCTTTTAGGTCGGCCGAGCAACTCTACCGGATACTGTCTTGAAGTGGATATCGGAACAAGAGGAAAAGAATTTGGATTATTCTGAGGTGTATTTAATATAATGATTTGATTCATTGATCATGTATGATTATGTGCATTTTCGCCACATTTTTTACATTCCACCATCATGGAGAAAGATCGTGGAACAAGAGTAAGGTAACAATGGGAGAAGATGTTCAATACAGAAAAAGATACAGCTCGATGAAAGAGTTTTTTTATAATCAAACACAAAGATTATAATTGACTAATCTGATATTTTTTCCTCGACTACTTGTACAAATACGGTATGATGGAGAAGCCGTTTTTTAGTAGAAGTTGAAGCTGTTAAAACGGTAAGAAGCCTGTTTTCTTTTTAGTAGGATCATGACAGACAAATCTTGGGCGGATTGCCGAGTAGATTTACGCCATCAGTAGGATCATGAGAATGACAAAAATATCAAGTAGCTCTACTATCCGGAGAGCGTTTCTCTTTAGAAAGGACACAAAGTGTTTGTGTTGATGCAAGTTTTGCTAATGTCCTCGTTGACGTTGTGGCCATGGTCTATAATTATGATAGATAGATATAAGTATAACGTTGTGGTCTAATTTGATAAGATATTTTTATTTTCCGATCGTTACTAGTAGGTCATCAAGAAGGACGATGAGCTATCAATGTTTTATGATCACCTGCCGTTGTGCAATTCTTGATATGATCAGCAATGTGGTGCGATGCCTTACTACGTACATCTACAAAAGCAGTAACAACATGCATATTTCTCGAGAATCACGATGAGAACAGTCGTTGGAAGATAGGCATAAGCTCGACCAAGAATGACGGTAAAGAAAAGCCGAAGCTTTCTGTTACCATGGTCGCTTTGCAATCGAAAATGTCCCTCTCCAGCAGAAAACAAGGTTAGCATCAAAGACAGAGAGTACACGTTCACCCCCTCATAGGTGAGCCCACTCCTATCCTAGAGCACCTTCAAAAACAGAAACATGCTGTAGGAAAAAACTGGTCGATAGGATTAAGAAGAACAAGCACGAGTGAGACTCAATTTCACCTTCGCCAGGCTGTCGCACTTAGCGTTCTAGCTGGAGTGGAGCCCCCTGAAACTTGGAACTTGAGCAATCCACTAAAAAAAAAAACATCAACATGGAGGACGACGACGAGCTTAGCGATGACTTCATTCGTGAAGATGAGGGGTCAACGGATTCCGAGTCGGATACGAATGCAGTCGCTCTTGGTGGGAGTAAGGTATTTTCTCTGTCGTGCAGCCTTGTGCTTGTTGTGGCGCTTACTGACAGTAAGGTTCTGATTAAGATTATCTATCACCGACGCTTGAGGTGGCGAAAGTGATGATCAAGCTGTCCATCTGCAATTGCTTCATGAGCACGGGGTTACTTAGTAGTTTTCAGAACAAAAAATATATATTCAGTCATGTGTCTGGTTGTTGTTCTGAATCATGAGTCATGTTGCTCTTCAGGTTTACATATTTGCTGAACATACCTAGCGATAGTTCAATCCCTGTAACATGTAGTAAAAGGTTGTCTCTGTTGTAGTAGAGAGTGTCCCTGTTGTAGTAGAGATTGTCTCTGTTGTAGTAGAGAGTGTCTCTGTTGTAGTAGAGAGTGTCCCTGTTGTAGTAGAGATTGTCTCTGTTGTAGTAGAGAGTGTCTCTGTTGTAGGAGTTTTCCCTCGACGTTGTTCTACTTATCTACTCAGGGTCCACCTGCCTTTGTTGGCGGACTCCCACAGAATTTCTTGGAAGAGCGGACTGTGAGCACCCACCTCCGGAGACAATTCGACTAAGGCTAAAAGAAATCCCATGACTTGCGTTTCTAGTATAGACTCTCAGCGGAAAATCTTCAGTAGGATGCACTGGGAGAATCGTGCCCATATGGATCGCATCTTCGGTCCGTTTTCCAAGGGGAAACGGTCACCACGAGAAATTTCGTCACGAGGGATTTCTTCTAGCTCTAATTCGAACAGAGATTCACGGAGGCTTTGGCGCAGTCTCGATCTTTCTATAGGCAGACGAGACTGATCGTAAGGCGTCTTGAGGTGCTTGGGATATAATTCTACCAATCCTATAGTTCTTGCGGTTGCCTCAACATATGTAACTATTCTTTTCTTCCTAATGAATTTTTAGGATATTATCGCGAACAAGCGAGTTCTTCAGTTTTCCGTTTTATTCATCGTTTTCGCCTCTGCCTCCCGAAGAGTCATTAGCTCTACATCCTTGTCTTGTACTAGTGTACCAAGATGCTAAGTAGGACCATTCTGAGAGTCTCTAATCACAAAGGTCCAACCACCAGGACGCCAGAGGCCTCTTAGCGCGGTTGATCTTACTGCGGCATCCTCTAGGAAATCCAAGGCGGTTGAGAATCCTCTATTAAGGATGGCGTCGATGTTGTTTTTTGCATCTAGCAGACGATGGATCTAGACTGCCCCTTTTGACCATGATGATCAAGATTGCCCCTTTACTTTTCTCCTCGAAACTGAATAGAAGCTAGACACGAAAAAAGTATATAGCTAAGCTGTACACGATAAACTATATACTCAGCTACAGCTCAAGGATAAGGGAGGGCCTCGATCATGGTCTGGCTAGATGGAAGAAATGCCATTCATATCTAGGCTCTTTTTTGGACGACATTGAGATAGTACATCAAGATGTCGACACTAGTAGAATTGCAGCAAGGACATCTTCAAAAGGTGGGAATGATAGCAGTTGTACAAGCGTGGATCAACAAACACAAGATGTAGTTGTAGTTGGACATCAACACAAACCATCTTGTTCTCAATCGCAAAAACCTCGAAAACGAAGAAAGCGTCCCACGACTGCCATTGGTGCAGCTGTCGAGAAAGATGCTCAACTTGGCATGTACAAACAGAATTTCTGTGCGCCGCGATCACCGCGTACTACCTCGCCAAGAACGCGTCCTTCGGCAACTTCGTCAAATACTCATACAACTAGTTCTGGGCCTTCTACTACTGACATCATGACGCATGATCCGACTCCACCGAATGTTCAGACCTATGATAATATTTTTGTTGCCTCCTCCACCTCTTCGACGTTGACTACGCCAGGCGTCCCAGTGTCAGTGTCGGCACCAACAGTGCTAAGCGCAAGCTCAGCTCCAGCATCAAAAGCAGACGTCAAAACATCCGCAGGTCAGGTAAGCCAGTTTTCTTCCACGACAACTGTTCTCGTCGACTGCGTTCCACCACCGCAACAGAATGGAGGCGCCACAACTAGCATACGACCTACAACGCCGATCACGTTACTTAAGGCGTCCCCTAATCCATTTCTACGGGGATCCCTCAACTTCTATATGCCTCCCAATACAATAGAGTAAAATCTGGAGGGATTTCTACAGGAAAAATGAACTGGGGAGAGCTCTAAGGTATCCAGTGGGGGCGGAGCAGCAGGCGGCGCTGGACTGCTTAGCACTAGCGCCAATAATATGAGAGCCGCAGCAGGGAACCGAGGCACCACGACCTCACCTGATCATATCGTGAGAACACCTCCAGCAGCTCAGAGCACCTCCTGCTCCACCGTTATGGCTAGAGATAGTTCATCTTTGAGAAAAGAGCATTCCTGAAATGTACTTATGACTGAGAAGCATCCTCTGTCTTCATTGTGCTGATACGTCTCATTCAAGGTGGATGCAAATCAAAGATCAACATCGGACAGCCCTAAAGCCGGTCCGAGAGCAAGAGGCGCATCTGCAGGGCAAGTCCGAAATGCTTTCAAAGAGGCTCTCCGATACAGCAGCTCCTCTCAGCCAGGATATTTACCAGCACCTGGGATGCACCCAGCGGCCAGTTTGAATAGTATTAAGGCAGGAGCTCCTTGGGTTTTTATTAATTATGTTCTCCAGCATCGGCACAGGTACTATTTTCACGCCCCTTTTTACCACTCATTTTTATGTTTTCCGTGGCTGGGTCTGGTCATTGTTCTTGGGCATGGGCTGGTGACTTGCTCCTTTTCTCACAGATGAGATTGAGAACTTAAGTTGTAATGGTAACTCCAAGAACTCCGCATGAACCTCATTGAAACTTCTCGCTCTCCCCTTTTCTCATTCCCACGTACTAGCTACAGATGATGATAGCATGCATGCAAACATGGCGTCGATGACCCAAGAACATTCTCATTCTGCTCGTGCTATCTAAATCGGTATCTAACTTCACTAGCATAATTGATTCTCGTCCTGCTCTAAGAGGAGCAACTCACACGTAGCAAACCAGCATGTTGGAACTCCCACATCATATGGAACTCCTACACATGATCGTGGCGCTGGCACCCGTCCTCGACCCTCGTCAAGCCGACTGCTGCAGTCGACCATGGCATCGCAAGAACGAGCACGCGCGAAGTATGTCAATGACCAACGCCCCCGCTCAGCAACTCCGGTCTCGGCTTACAGAAGAAATATTTCTAGGTAAGGCTGAGCCTGAGAACAAGAGTTCTGTAGTAGCAGTAGGTGTACTCAAGTAAGTCAGGAATTCAAATTCTATCATTTCAATTTCTTCGTAGGCGAAGTCGAAAAATAGTAGTAGGCTTCCCTACTGGATGGCCTCACAAGTAAACGCTAATAGCTACATAACAAGAGGCACCATGACATGACAAGTACTAGAAGATGTCATAGATTTATTGTGGCTGCCAATGTCATCAATCTGTGCATGGGCTGCGCGCCGAAAATATTCATGATATTGTCAATCTTCTGGTTCTTTATATATTAGTAATAATCTGAAAAAGTTGTAGTAAGTAACTTCTTATTTCACTTCTAAATTAGCCACGAGCATCCTCCTGGCACTATTGCCGGACATCCAGCAACGATTGCGGCTTCGTCACCAAGTGTGACGGATCTCTCGCATCCTTCTACGGCCGTTGCTAGTACTAATGTACATGATCCTCTTCCTCCTACTACTAGTGCCTCAACTAGTGCACATCCTGCTCTTTCAGAACAAGGTCGTGTAGAAGTGGGCTCTACATCAACTTCGTCCTCCGCTGTTAGTCAACAAGGAGGACTACTTCTAGCAACTTCAACTCCAAACACTGCTTCTGCTCCCTCTACGCGTTGTAAAGAGGAGGACCCGTCCAGTGGACCACAAGGACATCACCAGTCCTCTGAAAACTCTACAGGACATCACCAGGCCTCTGAAAATTCTACAGGAGTACAAATGCTAACACCAGGCGTTTTTACTCAAACTAGAAGCTCTTCTTCCACCTCGTCCTCGAGACAACATCAACATCATCATGATCAACAACAACATCTTCAATCCCCAACCAAAGGCGGAGCTAGTACGTCTACTTTTGCAGTATCTGGTGCTCCTACTAGACCATCTAGCTCGCGTCCTAGCTCTAGCTACGCATCATCACAAAGGAGACAAAAAGCCGACCGGCCAGGGTCCGCTTCTTATTATGGTCACGCCTTCCATCCGACTCAGCATCTTGGTGCCCTTTTGTCCTGTATTCCCATCGAATACAAGGGCAAACAGGCGGCCGGGATGCGCGCGAGCGGATCGAGAGAATAAGAAAACTCTAGTTTAGAGTACTTATAATTACTTAGATGAACATGAAGTTGAAGACGACCTCTTTATTTATTCAAAAGCTCAAAGGCATCGAGGGTTCCAACCTAGATATAGATATCATTGACGTCAAAAGCTGAATGACTCTAATCCTATGCGAGAGCCCGTCACAGTTTCGAAATTTTAGAGGCGAGTTTGAAGAACCAAAAGCAACTAACCAAGGGAGAGCGAATGGTCATGCTACTACAAAAACTGGATTTGGGTCTAGAGAAACGCGTTTTCTTAAGACTCCTAAATACGAATAGCCTTATTGTTATTTATAATATAATCAATATCTTCGCTATTCCTTTCTACTTCTTTTTTCGCAGTGATCCCTGCTCTGCTCTCGTCCACAGCACGTATACATAATTGCAGCAGGGAACAAATATCAACTTCAACGATATTACTCGTGAAGGATGATCCTCACTCTCACAGCCTCACACACACACACACTCGCACCTGCATCGATGAATTTACTGAAATTTATTAGCAGTCTTTCTTCTAGCTCTAATGCCCGTGCTAGACTCAGGCGAAAATTTATTAGCACCAGTCTTTCTTCTAGCTCTAATACCCGTGCTAGACTCAGGCGACGACTACATTCGGCAGGCTTTGTTAAAAAGAAATTGGGTGGAAAATCGATATGCAAGTTCGTCGTTGTGGAACTTGAAGTGGTGTGCGAATGACCAGGAGGAGGACTATCGAAATCTCGTGGAAGGCGAAGATCTCTACAACCACTTTCAGCATACTTTACGCCTCTATTGTTGTTGTCGACCTCTACACAGAATGATCTTCATGATCTCACAACCCATGATGATGATCTCCGGCATTGTATACGTTAAGGGTTTCCGAATTACATCCCTCACTAGTACCATCCTTGGCTCCTTTTCAAGGGGAAAATAGGCACAGGATGTTCTGAAGAATGCAATTCGGCAACCTCTAACTACGCCTATTGTTGTTGTAGACAACCCATGATCTCCGACACAGAGCATCTTCTTCCAGCTGATGTGATAAAGAATATGTTGAGGCAGTGTTGAATTGAAAACAGGTCGCCGGCGTGAAAGATATTTATAATGAAAGACGGGTCCTTGTCGTGGTCTCGTAGTTGGCGCCTCTAAATACAAGAGAGCTAACAAGTAAATTTGGCTTAGCTCGCAATCTACGTGCGCTCAGTTGCGATCCCGGGGTCACATTCGAACTGCAGAACCATAAAGATGAACCGCGCTGTCCGAACATCCTTGACGTTGACGACTTTTTTCCCAGATGCTACGACGTATCATTAAGGCCCACGAACATAATGAATTGATTTCTACAAGAAGTCAGAAGTGAGTCATTTCTTGCTGTTTTCCTTTCAGGATTGCCAGGAATGTACACAAGAAACGACTTGTGTAGAACAATTTTTGAGCTCTAACATCAGCGACAGAAAATCGAGAAGACTTCATCCTAGACTACTGCCGAAATGCCGCTTACTCTGTGGCCCTGCGGCATCTGTCGCTCTGTGGTATTCCTCTCAGTGAACAAGGCTCGGCTGATCCTCACCAGCAGGGAAGTGAAACTGCAAGCAGTAGTAGTTAAGGGAACAAAAAAGATGAAGTAAATAATGCACGTTTTATGAACCAGCCACCAGGACGACGTATAGAACAAGATCACGACTACCAGAATGAACTGGGAATTATAATAAAATATTAAATACTTTCAATATGATACGAACACAGGAGAGTTTGTTACTTCATCAAGCAAAAAAACTACAGCCTGACCTCCTCGTCCGGACCTCCCCGTCGTCCTCCCTCTAAGATACAAGATCAAGAAGGAGCTCAAAGACCTTCGACCCTAGTTTGGTTCGTCCCAACTACCGTCCTTTAAGGGTGTGGGAAATCCATCTCCAAAGTCATGTGGAAGGAGAAAACAAGAAGAAAAAGCGAACCAGATGATTCTTGGGATGGGTTTCCTATACCTCTAAGTCCTAGTCTCAACGTCCTGCGCTTTGCCCGAAAGGTACTAGCTGATTGGGTGGTGGAACTAAGCCCCAACTACCTGATAGACGAAGCTTATGCGGAAGACGTTGCCCACCTCTGTTGTTTAGCGTGGGAAACAAGTTTATGTTGGGTGTACTAAGGAGTGATCACTTAATGGCTCTGGTATTTGGTAACCTGATTTTGATCATAGGGGGAAAAAAGAAGGGAATCCTTGTGATCAAATTCAGGCTACCAAATACCAGAGCCATACAATTTTTACCGCTTTGCAGTAGCAGCACCACAGTGCTGCTTTCGATTGATGTCCTTATGTTCATCTCGAAGAGAAAGGCGAGAGGCAAATGGCACCCAGGAGACAGATGGCCATCCCCGAGCAGGTCATGAATTGTTCCCTAGTATGCACTGGACTTTGTGCGAGATAAATTGTGTTGTATTGTTGTAGACCTCTAACAAGTGGGAAAGAAGGACCCCGTGAGTCATCATCTGCCTCTGCATCAGGCAGTGCTGGAAGTGGCGGATCCTCTAGCTCTACTGCAGCAACATCCTCATTTGGAACAAGCGCAGCGTCCTCGTCTTCGACTAGTAGCACTGTTGTTAAGGGTAGGCTAAAGGTGCTTTTCTTACCGCTTTTTATGCCTCTCCTAAAGGCGAAAGGCATAACAAGCGGGGTAAGCGAGCACCAAAAACCTACCTCTAATGTTGGCGCTGTTGGTTCTGGTGCAGCATCGTTTTCTTCTAGTACGAGCGCATCCTCGTCATCCTCGTCGTCTTCTTATTCAAGTGGAACAGGAGGATCCACAGGGGGATTAGCAGGTTATACTGGTAGTTCGTCAGGGGATTCAAGTGCTTTGGTGCAGCATGATTAAGGCTACCATAGTTGCATCCTTCACAACATTCATCCTTTAATAGCCAGGCCATCTCCGACCCGAACAAGCATAATCAGAGCTTCATCCAGCAGTTCATAGCCTGCTGCAGTTTTTAAGCATAAATTAACGCAGGAAGAGCTTGCTATTACTGCATAGCTTATTTCTCCAGGTGGAAGGAGATGATTGGAAAGAGTAGGCTGCTGCGGCATGTACAAAGCAGCAGCCAAAGAAAAAGAAAATTTAAAAAAGAAAGAAATCTTTAAACATCGAAAATAAGTGCTCATCGTAACGTCTCTCGGTCGAAGAAGTAGATCGTCAAACAAGAGCGAGAAGAAAAAATATATCTTAAGACTCGCGTAAGTGAAGGTCGTCGTTACTTCGAAACCGATTTGATATCATCGTGATCGTTTATTTAAGCTATTCGCTCGTTTATTAGTGAGTAGTCTTAAAGGGCAGCATGCATCACAAGAGCACCAAGATAAACGTTGAGATATAAAAATAAGTGCTAAGGTTGTTTGGTGAAAGTTTGTTGTGGTGCAGGGGCTTAGCAACCCCCCCCTTTTGCGATGCTTGGGCGTTGTCGTGTTTGGTCTGAAGTCAAAAACTTCCATGTCTGGGAAGAGTCTGGGAGAAGTCTGAGAATCCCAAAGTCTCAAGGTCTCAAAGTCTCAAAGTCTCAAAGTCTTAAAGTCTCAAAGTCTCAATGTCTCAATGTCTCAATGTCTCAATGTCTCAATGTCTCAATGTCTCAATGTCTCAATGTCTCAATGTCTCAATGTCTCAATGTCTCAATGTCTCAATGTCTCAATGTCTCAATGTCTCAATGTCTCAATGTCTCAATGTCTCAATGTCTCAATGTCTCAATGTCTCAATGTCTCAATGTCTCAATGTCTCAATGTCTCAATGTCTCAATGTCTCAATGTCTCAATGTCTCAATGTCTCAAAGTTTCAAAGTTTCAAAGTTTCAAAGTATCAAAGTTTCAAAGTCTCAAAGTTTCAAAGTTTCAAAGTCTTAAAGCTGTAGAGGTCTCAAAGTCTAAAAAAAAAAGTCTTAAAGTCTCAAGGGCTAGAAATATCGAAGTCCCAAAATCTTAAAGTCTCAAGGTGTCAAAGTTTCAAAGTGTCAAAATCTTAAGTTTCGAAGGTAAAACAAAAAATCTGAAAGTCGTAAGCTAAGTTGTTGCTCGCGTATTTGTTTTGGTTCCAAATGTTTAAAATATTAAAGTCTGAAGGTGGAAGTCAGTGTTTAAAGTGCCAACCATAGGCATACTATTTTCAGGGCTGGAAGAAGTTTAATACTCATACTTTAAGGCTATACTCTATGTCAGGCGTCTTGTCTGCAAGCGTAGCGTCTAAGCTGCGTGGTTTTTTTTTTAGGGGCCTCTCGAAGTCCGCGTCTCCCAGTTGGCGCCAGGGTCTGCCCCGACCTTTGGTCGGGCTGGAGTCTAGACTCCGATCAGTCGGGGCAGTCCCCGGCGCCAGCGTTCGCATCTCCCGTGAGGCCCACTTGTCAGTGCTTGTCACATGTTTTTGGTTGTCGAAGATGTTGCGTCCGTTGAGTTTCTTACTGTTTTTGTAATATTTGGAGGATTTGAGAGGTCGTCTGAGGTCGTTAGGGTTAGCTGGGTTTGACTCTGTCGGGCCCAGTTTTTGTTTCGGGAGCAGTCCTGTCATTTACTTTCATCTGCGAGAAATAAAACGAACCAAGGTGAATACTGCAGCCAGGGATGCGAACGCAGTTGTAGCTCTAACATGACGCAGATTATGAGGCGCTTGCTCTCTACGCAGAACTCAGTCCGGCTCAGTTGTGCCGTGATTTTAGTGATGGTGCTGTCATTAAGCGGCGTGGCGGAGGGTGTAATGTACCTCAGCTTTTCAGTGCTGCAACTGGAGGCCCTGCCACCGCTGTTGACTCATCTTCACATCCGTATTTATGCAGCATGTGCATGGTGATGGTGCTACTAGTATATAATAAGTTTGTTACTCTCACTTGTTTCACAAGCTCAAGCAGATCATGTCTAAAAATATTTCTCCTAGAATAAAGCGAAGTGGAGACGGTTCGAATTATAGGAAGAAAGAAACAATAACTAGTCGGCGAACGAGATGACAGAGACTATCCATTTACCAGTAGAAGTAGCATAAAACTAGAAGAATAGAACGTAACTACAACAGTATTATCTTTTAATTAAAGTATCCTCTCTATTTCTCTGATACTCCGAAGTTTTTATGCATTAACGCCAACGCGAAGATGAACAGAAACAAGATAAAGTATCATCTCAGATCTCTAATCCATAATAGCTCCGGGGGTAGCTCCAGCAGTTCCTCTTGCGGACGTGATGGGCAGGGTCTCTCCTCTTCGTATGGTGCTAGTAGAAATTTGTCTGGTGCTAGTACAAGTGGAGCCGACTACTACGAAACTCAAATAGACATGCGCAGGTCTGTTCCACGATCCTTGCATCATCTAGAGTCCTGGCCAGAATTCGCGCATCATGTTTGGGCAACGCTTTACCGCGAAACTTCGAACCCTTCAAGCATGAGCTCTTGTTCCTGTTCTTCTTCTACTACTAGTACTACTCCTACTGCTTCGACTTCTTCTTCGGAAAATAAGAAAACGAATGCTAATAGTACAAGTACAACAGCAAGAACAACAACTACGTCTTTTAGTAGTGGTGCCAGTAGTGCTGTGGGGGCAGCACCAGCAGCGTTATCAGAACACACAACTGCTGAGTTTTTGACTCTGAATTCTGAATTCGAGAACTCTTGTGCATTTCTGCGTTCCAGAGGTGGGCCACAGCTTAGTTTGTCGGAAGGCAATGAGAATGTGTGGATTGTCAAACTTAAGGCTTTGATGTTCCCCATTAATTATTTATATCTTGCCCTAGTAACTACATAAACTTTGATTCCCGACTTTTTCTCTCGCAACACTATTGCAGCAAGTACTAGCAGTATCAGTTTCAGTTTTACAGCGTTCACCAAGAATCAGAGAACAAGTAGTGTATCTGAATTTCGTAGTCTTGTTTGACATAGATGTCCATCTAAGGGATGCGGTGTCTATTAACTACATTGCTGTCCCTACCTTCATGTATGCGCCGACTTCTAACAATCCCGGCAACAACGCTCGCGGTTCAGGCATCATGGTGTTGAAGTCTTTGCGTGAGATTCTCTACCAATGCAAAAACTCCAGTCGACTGGTTCAAAAGTACGTCGAAAGGCCCTTAACTCTGTTTTCTGGACGCAAGTTCGATATCCGGTATTGGGTTTTAGTAAGAGCCTTTGACCCTCTGGAGATCTACCTCTTTTCCCAGTGCTACTTGCGTTAAGGCCTGCGGATCTATATATTAGAGTAGTTTATAGAACGGATGTAGGATGGACTTGGATGGATCGGGTGGATCGGATGGACCCCCCTGATTCTTCCGGTCCTACTTGAAATGGTGGGAAGTCCATCCGTTCCATCCGATCCATCCGATCCATCCGATCCATCCCATCCCGGATCTGGCACCCCTATAAACTGCTCTAATATATAAATCTAAATCTTATTTTCCGGTGTTGTTTTTTCACATACATAGTAACTAGTAATCACAGCGTAGCGTTTCTACAATCGACTACTACAGAGAAGCACTAGCTTTTCTACATGTACTTCTGGATGAACTCTCATCAATGGTCAGCACATCCACATGATGATGATGCTCTCTCATCAATGATTTTTCATATGGTGCATCTTGAACTTGCGGTCAGCACATGATGCTCTCTCATCAATGATTTTTCATGTCCAGACAGCTCTACCATCAATGATTCGGAAATGTTTCCTCTAAGTACGACTCTGCAATGAACCGTTTGACCTAGGAGATTTGGAGAACCGGCAAAAACACATTAGTAATTGGGAAGTAAACAAAAAAGGTCGACAAGTTCAAGCTGGAGCAGTCGCGAGTTTAGGGCAGTTCAAAGTTAAGGCCGAGCCTCCTGACACACTCTCTCATACAAACTAAAATATGGGCGTTACGCATTCTCTCATACTTAGACATCACTCACACTCTCTCGTACAACAAATTGTAGTCCGTACATGAACATCATGAACAGCACCAGCACATCACGTCTTTCCTTTTTACAGGAGTTACAGCGTCACTTCCTCATCCTCACAGTTACACAGCATAGATAGGAGCATTCTAATTCCCGCGAGCTTTTCGAGATGACTGGCAACCCTTCCTATTGGGAGGAAGCCTTGCTTCCGGAGATTCGTGCTTTGGTGATCACAACCTGCAAATCTGTCCAGCGACAAGTGGTGCAACGAAAGAGCAGCTTTGAACTCTTTGGTTTTGTTAAGGCTACAACAACAGGTATTTATTTAGAGCAGTATATGGATGTTTGTATCTTACAACAGATAATATTTTAGAGCATATGCATCAGTCCCTGACTACTCCATGATCATTGGGGGTGGACTGTGACGCCGAACAGGTCTTCTACATTATGAATCTCGTGATGTCGGTGCACATCCATGTCGCCCTGCCTTGATCGAGGCCCACGAGCTTGAGCTTGAACTTGATATGATCGTTGGGAGGAGGTCTTTCTTTTTCTATTTGTGCGGAGTACTCCTCTGCACAGATACAGCCAGTTTCTTTCTTTGAAGTGAAATAGTTTCTTGAATTCTAAGGCCAATGTGATTGTTGAAAAAGAAGCACCTCCACTCAAGGGATCATATCATGATTCTCAAAAAGGAACTGGAAGATCTAATTGGGACATCATGGTCGACGAAAAGCTACGGCCGTGGCTGTTAGAGGTAAACCTTTCGCCTGCATGCGACGCGCGAACGGACTTCTTAGCCGTTAAGTGTTTCCACATTGCAGTCCTCACTACCTTCAACATTCTTGACTTGTTGACTTGTAGTTCCGTGAAGATAAGAGTAGGAAAGAAGCCAGGAGTGAAGATGTTCTGAGGAATGCAATGTCGCAACTACGACCTCTAAGATGGAGATGTTGAAGCAGATGGCTGATAGTTTGCTAGAAATTCTCTTGGTAGGGGAAACTGGAGCTATCAGACAAAGTTACACTGGCGCTCCTTTATGGCTTCTTCCCCAAATTCGTGAGTCCTCAAAGCATTCTTGTCCTCGTGAGGACAGAAAGGCGGCTTGTTATTAAAGATGGATTTGATCAGAACAGGACCCTCTTACTCATACACATTTACATAGTTAGAAGATGGATTTGATTAGATTTAGAACAGTGAGGTGACTGAAAGGCCTCTAATAAATCGTTAGAATGACGTAAAACGAGATTCCATGACATGACATCTTCTACTTCTAAGTAGGAGACTAGCTAGTGCAGAACGCGAACGACCCTTGTCAGCCAGCCTTGCTAGGACGTCGTCGAGACCTCGCTCTGTGTCGCCGCAAAAGCAACGCTCATCCGCTATGAGTTTTGCGTCAGGTTTTGAGCATCAACATCTGGCAGCGCAGGTCGTTGACTCGCCTAGACTTTTCACAGAAAAAGTACCAGGAAAGGGAGAATTCTGGTGCATCTACAGAGAGGAACCGCCGTTGCCGTGCAAGAACAATTCTAGCACCACGAATGGTTTAGCCAACTACAATACAGGTGCAGCATCGGCATTCATCACGGATTCATCTTTGATACTCAGAAGCAGAACTACATCTACTGGTGGCGATATGAACAAAGAAATGGGTGCAAAAGGAGACCTTCGAGACGAAGATTCTACAACAACGACGACGACCGCGACTAACGGAGGTTCTACAACTAGCACTTCTACGATCCATATACCTCCAACGACTCTACTTGTACCACCTCCTTCCACATCCTCAAGCTCCAGCAGTTCAACATCAACGTCTGCCTCATCTGCTTCTGGCCCATCTTCATCCTCTACTTCATTTTCGAGTAACTCGAGTTCATCTTCGACGCTTGAAGTCTGCGGTAAGTTATGAGTGTAGGAAATGCATCTCCAAAACCAAAGTGATCTGGACGGAAGGAAGGAAAAAAGAAGGAAAAGGGACCCAGCAGAGATCTCGGAGATGCGTTCCCTATCCCTCTAAGTAAGGCAGTTGTCTGGCGCAAGGAGTGGAGGCTGGAGCAGTGCTGGTTGCGGTCTCAGGCTGCTGTGGTCATACAGCGGTATGCCTTAGGCTTCTTGGCTCGGAGGCGGAGACAGCTGATACGACGAACACGCGCAGTGGAGATATTGCAGAAGCTAGCTCGTGGCTTTCTTGGTAGGCTAGAGGCACAAAGGCTGCGGCAGGAAAAAGCGCTTAGGGAAGTTTTGCTGCCAAAGATGCGCGGCTTTTGGTGTATGCGACGCTTGTTGTGTTAAGGCTCAAATTACTACTCGTTTCAGATCATTTCTTCAGTAAATCACATGTGACAGTCACTCTTTATTTCTTCTGTCACAGTCCTCACTGTTTATTTCTTCTTCGTATATTCGGAAGAAAAGCTGTTGCATGCAAGAAGCGAGTGGACGATTTTTTGAGCTCTAATTGCAGCGCCGCTCATCCGAAGCAGCATGTCAGATCCAACGACGTTGGCGAGGAGTACGAGCTAGGCATTGGTTCCATCACTGGCGAAGGATGGTGATGGCTGTGCGTGTACAGAGACGCTTTAGAGGACACAGGACAAGAAGGAGACTCTCTGCCGTGTCGATACTTGTCCTCTGGTGGCGCAGAAAGTTCGCCGTACTCGTAAAGGCAGCCACTAGAATAAGTGCAACCTGGCGTGGTTTTTTCCAGAAACATTGCGTGTTTCGGCGCAAGCTATTGCCATGCTACCGAGGAGGATTGTTGCTAGCGAAAAGATTGTACTTTTCAAAATTGCGGTTGCAGTGTGAGCGTGCAGAAGTAGGTATTCGTGTTACACGAGTGCAATGTGCTGCACGACAGTGGCTGGCTCGACGACGCTGGGCTGAGAGAAGTTAAGGGTAGGCTAAAAGTGTTGCCGTTACCGTTCGCCTTACCTTTCTCGAGGGGCAAAGGCTTGGCGAACGCGGTAAGCGAACACCACAGGCCTAGCTCTAAAAACGACAACAACGGCAAAAACAAAAACGCATTCTTCTGTACTTCTCGTTTTTCACATGGGCTCGTGATACTCAATCAGCTGGAGAATTGCAGATCAGAATAGCAGCTGTGTTTCGAGGAATGCGTGCGAGGCAGAGAGTTGCAAAAATGAAACGTGAATTACACGTACTAGACACATCTAAAATTTTTGTAGCTTCGACGTTAGCTGCAATTTTGCGGGGTCGCCGTCAGCGGGTGGACTTCCTCACGAAAAGGAGAAGTGTAGTAGAAATACAAACACGCTGGCGCGGCTTTCGAGGTAGAAAAAGAGCTGCAGCGGCTGCCGAAATAGAGCGAAGGAAAGCACAGGACGACGCTCTTCTTCTTGCTGCGTTGCGAATACAAGGTCTTGTCCGTGGCCATCGTGCGCGGAGAGAAGTAGCAGCGCTTATTGCCCAACAAAGGAAAAAAACCAGGCGAGAAACCGAAGAAGAAGCAGTAGTGGTTAAGGTTTCCCCTCACGACCCATCTTCAGAGGCATCCTACTTCTCGAGAGGCTCTGATGATGTATACCCCCCCAAAGATGACGGTGAGGCTGAAGAAGACTTTTCGAAAAATAAAGAGAACATCAAGATCAACACGACACCTCCAGGACAGCAGCAAAGGCAAGGAGAAGCTCCAAGTTCAACATCTTCGATATCTACTTGTAAATCCTCTTCAGCGAGTACAAATCCAAACTTTATTTGCGCAGGTTCTACGTCTGTTTCTTCCCCGTCTTCAAAAACAGGCTCTAGTTCTAACGTTTTTCACGCATTTTCGTCCCCTTCAACATGTACTACTACGAGTGTGCTTATGTCTTCCTCCTCTAGAAGTACTGAAGTCAAAGCACCAGAAGATGTCAATATCATTCAAACAGTGCGAAGGGTTGAGAGCTCTGGAGAACTCTCTACCCTTGAGGAAGAACAGCTTGAGCGCACAAAAAACGACGCTTCTTCTTTTGTAGAAAGGGCAGAAAGACGACGACAACGGCGCAAGAGAAGTGAGAAATCTTTGGGTTTGAAGTCATTGTCATCCTGCTCAGCCTCAGCCTCAGGTGTAGTAGTAGTTGAACAAGATATTATAACCGTGACAGGAGTAACATCCGCTGGTGCAAGACCATCTCCATCGCAAGAACTAGGAGCAAAGGTAAACGAAAAGCAGGAGCTGGAGCAATTCTACTTTCAAAGTCGTGCTGGCCATCATGGTCATGAAGGTGCTGAGCAAGAGGCTAATAATGACCAAGTGGGTAAGGGCAAGACGAGTCGGAAAGTAACCAGACGGGCACGTAGAACACAGCTTGTAGTGTTGAATTCATCGGCTTCTTCTTCTTCGTCTTCTACTTCGAGCGGTAAAAAGGCCGAAAGGGAACATTTTAAGGAAGCAGAAGATCATTCCTTTTCTAGTTCTACCACTAGTCTAAGCAGGTCGTGCTCAAGCACTAACGGAGCGGGTGGTGGCGGAGGTGGCGAGGAACGATCCATAGCGGAGCCAAAGCTTCCTAGATTTCTACCTCAGTGCACCACTACATCTACAGCTTCAGCAGGTGCAGGAGCAGCTGATTCCTCTGATTAAGGCTCAAAGTAAAGTAAGTAAGTAATTCATTTCCAGCTTCCATTTTCTTCTGTTACTGTTTGTGTTTCCTTCTTCGAAGAAATTAAGGGTCGTGTGGCAAAGTCATCCGCTCATTCTGAAGAAATGTCGAAGGGAAAAAGAAATGAATGCTTTTGGGCTTTCTTATCTAATCCCCTCTGATCAACAAGAACAGCAGACCTACTACATCCACATCGGCACAAAGACCTATATCTGCACGAAGTAAAAAAAGTAGAAGCAGAGCTATGGAGGTGTTGCAAATGCACACAAAAAGCAGTAAGAAGTTTCTTCATACGAGAAGTGGGTCACCGACTGCGAAAACGAGTAGTCCAGCAGACTTCTTGTTCCCAGCAGACAACCAGCATCCATCAAGTAGGCCGAAAAGTGCGAATGTGATGCTCCAACAAAGCAGGACTGCCGACTCGTCCTCAAGCCATTTTAGACCAAAGAGCGCAAAACTAGAAGCACGGCAGCCCGATCTCCTTGTTTTTCCCGCTTTTACTTCCAGTGCATCTGATACTGGTGCATCTGATACTAGTACTAGAGCACGCGTTGATGTTGTCCAATTAACAGCAGCTGGTCGACAACAAAATTACGGGTCTACTTCTGTTAAATCGAGTCCCAGTTGGTGCACCAGAACTGCTACGCCTGTTGATCATCATGAAGGGACGAATCTACTAGATGGCGTTACACAAACCGAAACACCGACCACGACAAGATCAGCAGCTCAGACTCCTTCTAGTGTGTCGAAGGTGTCTACGACTAAGTCTAGCTCTAGCTGTAGTAAAAAAGGTAATCATGATGTCGAAGTGGTCGATCGTCCGCTATCATGTAAAGCCAGTGTCGAAGTCGATCGTCCGCTATCAGGTAAAGCTGATTTGACGTCTGTGCCTGAGGGAGAAGTGCAGTCGGGGGTGTCAGTAATCGACGAAAGGAACTCGAACTCTAAAGTTAAAGAAGGGGCGAGTACCACGACGACGACAGCGAAAAGACGGGTATATGTTAAGGGCTACAAGGAATCCAACTTCTGTGCTGTCAACATCTTGGTCCTCCTGTTTTTAAAGGGAAAAAGGAGACCCAAGATGCTGCTGAAGGTGGATTTCCCTCAGCTCTAAAAACGTTCCCCGAATCAAGGGACTGCGTGAGAAGAACGTCGAGGCGCAGCGTCTTTATTTAGGATTAGAACAATGTGAAGGTCCACCTCGTGAATCTACGAAGCTGACTATCGAAGACTGTACTAGCGAACGCGGAAGTAGAAGTGCACGAACTCTAGAGCCGAAAGTTGAGCTCGAGGCTGTGAAGAGGCAAAAGGATGATGAAGAACATCGTTGCGGAACAGGCTCATCTTCTACTTCAGCAACCTCATCCAACTCTACAACTAGTGCGAATAGTACTAGTACTAAGACCAAAAAGAACACTACATCAATAACAACGACTTCGACTTCCTCCTCAAGCTCCGGCACAACCTCTGCTAAAACGAATACGATGCAAGAAGATCGACATCAACCACCTCAACGTGAGCGTCATGGTGTAGACCAAGAAAGGATCTGTGATTTGGTTCTTGCTGGAGAGGAGGTAGCTTCTGAGTGTGGCGTCTTCCTCGAGCAGAATACTCGTCGGTGTGCGACAGCGATGGAAGCGAAGAGGTGGAGTGTTTCAGTATTAGAGAATTGCAAAGCAGAAAAGAATGACCGAGGAAGTCGCGATCATGGTGGTGTGCTGACAACTGTAGCTGTATTAGAAGACAAGACCTCCAGGAGCACGCCCTCAGTATTCTCGCCGTCAACATCTACGTCTATGTCTACGTCTACTTCAGCAGGAGTTGTTTCTTCTTTATCCTCTTCCTCATTGAACAAGACGAAAATACTAGAAAAAGATGGAACCTTCTCTCGTATAATTTCAACATCTAAAAAATCCAAAAACACTACTTCTGGAGGTCGTTCGTCACGATCAAGTGACCAACCCGCTGTTTCTTGCTCCTCATCCCAGCCTCGTGGAGGAGAGTCCCACCAACCTACTTCAACATCGCAGAAAAGCCCACGTGACTTGCTCCGGGAAGGCCTCCTAGATCTCGAAAATCTGCTTTGTTCCATGGCTGGGACACCGGGAAACCACACTCCTGCTGCTGCACCATCTTCACAAGACCACGCATTACACCCTTCAAACCACTCTTAGGACTTCCGGAAATCTCCCATCTTGACGAGAAGCATCTCACTTGGACTTCCGAGTAGAATGGGGGAAACGGGTCAAAGATGCTTTTCAAAATGGGAGATTTTCGGAGGGTCTAAGAGTCTTCAACTTCAAGTAAGAGCAGTTACGCAGCTGCAGTGAGAGATGTGATCAAGAAGAACAGACCCGGCAGAGACAGTGCTGAAGCGCAACATGGGTTTAGTAGTAACCTGATCGAGACGAAGGTGGCGGCAGGAGGATCGGCGCTTCGTGCAGTTCATAAATTGAGGTCACAAAAATCCAACAATAATTCCAGGGTTTACAGAACTCGCGACGACCCTAGTGCCACTTTTATCGTAAGGGAGGATGTGGAAAAGTAGCAAGAATTATATAGGAAGAGGAAGACACCTTATCCTGAAATTAATGGAAAATAATCATATTGCACGATATACAACATCAAAGTGACTAGAGTTATAAACTAGACGAGCATTTTAGTTTGAGATTCACCACAGTACCAAAACCACTATTTTTAGCATTAGACAAAGAGCAAAGAGGGAAAGCACGGTAGAGGTCTATCAAGCATTAGTATCTATGAGATTAAACAAGACAATGATCTGTACTTCCTTGTAGTAATTTCGGAATAATGATATCAAGAATGCTGCACTTGTTGTAGTAAGATTATCATTATAACATGTTGACCGAAACAAATTATTAAATGTCCACTTATTTGAAATGCGTCTTCACAGCATATTTTTACTTAGTATCATCTGTAAGCGAACTTATTTATTCCTGTTCCTAGAGTTTCGTTCATATAGAATGAAAACACAAATAAAAATGTGCTGTTCTTTTACAGTTGTAGTTGAAAATTTTAATGTCTCTCATAGATGCTTAGCCTTAGCAGGTACAATAGAAATGCATATAGCAATAGGAGTAGCATAGTCTGTAGAGATAAAAGCGATCGATACACATCCAGCTCGATAAATAGTAAAAACCAAAACGAACACCTTCGAGTTCCAAAACTAGCCCTATTTTTAACTATAATGAATAAACAGCTTCAGCGAAAGCAAATTTGAATTTCCGACTTCACTACTTCTTAGCATTGACTTTCACAGCGTTTCTCGATTGTTTCAGGGAGATGGATGACCACCAGTATGATTTGTTTGTAGATGTTAGTCTTTTTTTGTTTTTACGCCTTGAACTTGAAGTATGTTTCATGTGAAGTAGATTCGAAATTTTTAATGGCTGATTGTACCGCTTCAACGATGGCCGTTCGTTGTTCTACAAGGCTAGGGGACGTCTTACATAGACGAGCGCTAGAGGTAAAAGCAGCCGATGAGTACTCGGCGAACTCCCGTAAAGATCAGGGTTATCGGACACGAACAAGATATTTGTTTTTTTTGTCTTTTCTAGCCGAATGTTTTCTGTTTCCGCCTCATCTATCAGACATGATTCTGTTCCAAGTTTTTTCCGTCTTGTTTCTGTGGTGGAACGTCAGAAAAAACATGCACGTTGTCTACCTGCCTGGTCGGTCATCTCTAGGAACAACCTAAGGACGATCTGTGAAGAAAAATGAGTTGTGAGAGAGCGTGAGCGAGTAGTAGTAGTCATTGTCATGTAGTGCTTGTTAGTGGTCGGCGTTATGGCACAAGTTGAGCACCTCCATATGCTTTCCCAGAAGCGACTGCTTCGTTCTGGATCAGGAGTATTGTTAAGTACAAGGTTTAGTCGTAGCATAGTTCGTTGTCGACATCCACTCTCACTCTTTTTATAATCGAGGTTTATTTTTAGTGCATTAACTGTCTTCCAGCACGACCACACTTTTGCTCAACAAAAATCATGACGCCACCGCCATGGTCTCAGGCGTCCCTCTCTCAGACGGCCCTAGCTGGCCTAGTCGAGATAGACGCTAGTCTGGACAACATTCGGCAACAACTCTCACCACCGAAGGACAGCTTGAGACGTTATGGAACTGTCTCTAGCTGTCCTTGGAGGTAACATTCCCAATTTCCTTGGAGGTACATTCGCCTTCATTGATTGTTCTCAAAATACATAGACATAGAAGAAGTCTTCTTGTAGTTCATGATCAGAGATAGGTTGCGTGGCCGACCGGCACGCCCGGCAAGCTACTAGATACTGCATTCAAGAGGAGACTCTCTTTTGAAGGAGCCTTCATTCGCGGCGCGCGCACGGGTGGGGTTTGAGGGGGGGACGAAGTGGGCGCGGGTAGCGGTAGGTTAGGTAATGTAGATAGGATGAAGAGGTCTTATGTGTGTAGTCGACTGATGAAGCGCCGATGGTTGAGGAATGGGATCAACTCCTGCCGACGATACGCGACTCGCGGGCGACGTTGAACTTTTGATCTCACGCGCTCGTGACGATGGGAGACCCACAGGTGGGCGCGTCGATGGGCAGTGTAAGTGCTGCCCATCCGCGCCCGCTCTTTGTGTGCAGGTAAGGCGGGGCTGCGTGGGCGACGCCCGGGGAGTGCAATTGGGAGGACGGAGGATTTTCAAGAGCCGGGTGGAGGAAGTGAGAAGATGACGTGTAGAAGGAAGAATCGTAGCGCAATAGTCGCATTCTTCCCATCAATTTCAAAACAACATCGGTTCTTCAGCAAGGTCCTTTGTGCCCTTACATCGGTGTCCTTAGTGACGGATGGTAAGATCGCTCGAGGGCGTAACACGTGCGAGACGATCGGGTCGCGCGCGCGATAATAATAATAATAATAATGATCATGCTCATTTTTTCACCGGGACCAAAGATAGTTTACTTTTTAGATAGAAGAGGTTCCACCTCCACAGTCCACCCTTGTTGTGAGATGCTAAGTCAGTGACATCGTTTTCTTCTAACTACACCTTAAGGAGTAAATCTTTTAAGAACGAGGGAAAGAATCTTTTCCTCGTTCTTACAAGATTTACTACTTATAATCTATCGCAATCACTGAGTAAAAATAGTACATCGATCTCTCTTCGCAAGAGATGAAATGTACTAAGCAATACATCAAGTGACTCGTCAAATAAATCATCTAACGGTTCCTCTCTCTCGTTCTCGACGGCGAAGACCACGTCGGTCTGTCCTTTTGGCTGGCAGGTGGTTTGCAATTGGCCTCCACGATCTTCTTCTTTTTAAGGAGAAATCTTGGTCTTAAAAAGTAGATTGCTAACACGACTATAAATACTAATATCGCTATCTTCTTCCTGACTTCTGCACGGATGCACTCACGACACTCAGTGGCGCTTCCCCTTGAGAATCAAGGGAAACCAAGGTCAAGGAGCAGAAGGAGATAATCATCTTTGCCTAGTACGTCTCCCGCCTAGACGGAAGTTGTTGATGACGCTGCTCTAATCATAGCCCAAGTTTTTCTAGTTCCTAGGAGATGGGCAAACTCGATGATCGTTGCTGGCATCGTCTGCGGTGTTGCTTGGCATCATTACCAGTACATGAAAGTTATGCTGAGGACTGACTCGCTTTCGCTTGAACTTTATTCTGCTTTTTTTGTTTCATGGACGTGGACGTGGAGAGGGAAAGAATTGAAATTGATACGTGCATGAAGAATAACAAGTAGGAAGTAATTGCAATAACGAGCACAGCATAGGCTTACTCTTACTGACGCTAATCTGCACGTAGAATACCAATACAAACATCCTAATCTACTAAGTAGACTTTATCCCATTCGCGTGCGCTCCCTTTCTCTGCTCCTTTTCATTGACTACCTTTGGGCAGATACGCAAACCGCGCCCACTGTTTACCGATACATGGATTGGTGAGGAGAAATTTAAGCTTTTTTTCGCATAAGGATTTGGATTTGAATTTGCTGTGTTCGAGGAGGCTAGTTTCTTGCATGGAGAAAGTATGTGGATGAATTCTTGCATCTCGTTTCACAAAGAACTACTAAAATCTCTACTTTTTTTAGAGTGCCGCGCATCATATGGACACTACAACAGGAGGCTACCGATAAAGATAATTCATAATCATCCAGGTTAATTACCGTGCCCTTGCAAGTGACCGAGTTTTACCTCATCCTAGTAGCCGCGACACCTGACGATAAACCACCTTTAGTTAAGAAAGGACTTCTTTTCGATATAATGAAAATGTATTGTCAACGACAACAAGAAACCCCGTGCTAGCTCTATCATCACGAGGATTAAATTAATGGAAGCCCTTCAAGCTGAAATGACCAATCTCGATGACAGAAGTAGAACTAAATGTACAAGTTAAACTTCCTGTCCTCCTGGTCATTCCTTATTCTTCTTGTCTAATAACCGCTACTTCTTGTTTTTTCGGCTTATGGCTGCCTCAATTTTGATGCTGGCATTTGGCTACATAGGGGAAACCGAAACCATGGACCGATGGCTCGCCTTTTGCTGTGGATGTGCCTTCTACGTCTACATTCTATATGAGGTACTGCTAAGTAATGCTCTTCATCATATTTATTTGATTATGTATCGCTCAACCTTGTCCCTTCCATCCTTCTTCCTTCCTGTTAGACGAGTTGTGAGTGTGAGAGTGAGACAAGTAGCCCTTAAAGAGTACTTACTTCCTAGAGTACACTTGCTGAAGCGAGGAACGCCAAGGGTACTCTGTAAAGCCCTTAAACAAGAGTACTTACTTCATCATGTGATTGCGCACACCTCTTCATAGTTGTATTCCACCAACACGTACAAACCGTATCCATCGCAAGAACTACAACAGCTTTACTTCGGAGAAGCAGCAAAAACCAGTGACAGTCAATCGTGGGATGAAGCCAAAAAATTTTTGGCTCTCTTGACTGGAGAAGCGATGGACGAAGACGAAGAGGAGGGGAATGAAAGCGATGCTAAACACAAAGCTGCGGTCCAACGTGCCATGTCGCAGGCTAAGTACTTGTCCTTGTCGTGATTTTCACTATTAATGGTCGAGCTCGAGTCTCTCACTCTCCCCTATGATTTTTGTCCTCACGGAAGTAAAACTACACATGATCGAGTCGTCGCCAGGCATTAGCGGAAGTAAAATTTACCAAACATTAACAACATCATGAAGATGAAGAAGTGGCACATTCAAATCATCTCAATACTCGATAGTATTTCTTTTCACCCAGCAACTACAACAGCACTGGCCAAAAAACCTTCTTACAACAAAACAGCACTGGCCAAGAAAACCTTCTTACAACAAAACAGCACTGGAGCAACCTCTCCACCTAACAAAACAGCACTGGACAAACCGTGGCGAATTCAGTGGCCTTGAACGAATTCAAGAAACCAGAAGCGCAGCTGGCTTTCCAGATTATCCGGATCATCCTGCTGGTGGGCTGGATGCTATATCCTGTAGGGTACCTCGCATCCGATGGTCAAGGAGAAGGGGGAGAGAGAACTTTGAATTTATGGTTTCTCTTTTCTATCTTCCTTTGGTCTTTCTTTTTTCTTGTGAGGTCGGCTCCACGACCACAAACATTTTTAGGTCGGCTTTTTTTCCAGCGATCGAGAAAAGTCTAAGTCCTCACAAAGGGCAAAGCAACTATGTAGTGAAAATGAACAACGAACTCGTCTCCGACAAATAAGTATCCGATGGTCAAGGGGAAGTTTCTCTTTTCTATCTTCCGATGGTATTTATGGTTTCTCTTTTCTATCTTCCTCTGGTAACTATGTAGTGAAAATGAACAACGAACTATTAAGGGAAGGTTAAAGGTGCTTTTCTTACCGCTTTTTATGCCTCTCCTAAGGGAGAAAGGCATAACAAGCGGGGTAAGCGAGCACCAAAAACCTACCAGAAAACTAGCCGCACAGTCCTCTTTTCTATCTTCCTCTGGTCTTTCTTTTTTCTAGTTAATGAACAACTATGTAGTGAAAATGAACAACGAACTAGTCGCACAGTCCTCCTTCATTCTTCGCCATCTACAACTTAGCCGATCTGCTGAACAAAGTCGCCTTTGGGTTGGCCATTTACTATGCTGCTGGGTCGCAGGCAGAGCGTGAGAAGGCAATCGTAGTGCAGAGCAAGGCACCAACAGTTATGGCTGACGAGAAGCTGCATCATCCGCGTGATGATTCCCGTGTAAATGTTACTGAAAAGGAAAGCACTTGAAGATCCTAAGTCCTGCTTATTTTCATTGCAAAGTATGTTAGCGCCGCGCTTCGTGACTTCATATTATTTGAGGCTGCCGGGTGTCGTCGTATAGTCTAGGGGTTGGCATGCTAGGCAATGATAGAAGACTTCATGGAATTGAATCCTAAGTCCCAGCTCTAAAGCAGTAGCTGAGATATTGGAGATCCCGTACCAAGATCCGGAGAACAACCCCATCTTCGCGGCGATCCTCGGGAAGACGCAAGGAGCTGGCAGCAAACCGCAAGGACTTGGGTCAAGTATGCCAGCTGGTGCTACCCTTCTAGGAGACACATCTGCTACGTCGCCACTTGGAGCTTCTCGAGGGCAACTATTTCAGACTATGGGAGCCAACATGGCGCAGACAATGGGAGGCGCGAACATGGGACAACAAATTTATGGTCGTGTACCTCCTTCTTGTGTAGTTAGATAAGTAGAAGATGTTGATGAATATGTAGTGGAGATTCTTCTAGTTGGTATTGGTAGGTGGTAGAAGATGTAGCAGATTTACTAGTTGTGAAGTCGCCGGATTACTTTAGGCAGGACGAGAACTTAGACACAGATAGTACTATGTGGTCCCGATGTGGTTCATATTTCAGTCTACTAGTACTAGAGAGAGAACATGAACAAGAATAACAGCTTCAAGAACTCTCTTCTAACCCTGGCAGGCAGGAAAGAATGAGATGCCTGGATGGTTGCCAGGTATGAGCTCACCAGCGTTTTTCGGTATGCCTGCTACTGGCGTCGATACGACAGGCGGAGGAGTGCCGATGGGTGCCGCATTGTTCGGAGGGAACGAAGCAGGTTTTTAAGGTGGAAAACTTGAATACATTTACAAAGCTGCTTCACGACTCCCTTTATGCATTTTGGAGACGACTACATGATCTTTATACAAGGAATAAAGACCAGCATCTAACTAACGGCTCACACGAATCCGCAGTCAGCGGCAGGCGGGATGGATGTCAATGAGAAAGATCTCCGATCCCCTTCGCCAGCTCAGTAGCTGCGTTGGAAGGCGCAGAATATGAACAGGCCTTTAAAGATGAGGTAGAAGGGTAGATTTGCATTAGACTTAGAGGGTTATAAGCAGGTGTGGTGTAGTTCCTGTTCGTTCTCGTGGAGGTGAGTGTTGTAGTCCTCTTCTTGAGGATAGTAAAAGCTAAGAGTTTCTGATAGGGCGACTAGTTCCTCCACGCAAAAGATAGAAATAGCCATGCAACCATCAGTAGAAGTAGTTAAATTGCCAACCAAGAAGAAATCCAAATGACCAGTAGATAATCAGCAACCGATTAGGGAATCGAGGAAGTCGGAGCATCTTTTTTTTCGTGTATTCATGTAATACTGTTTGACATGTATTGTTCAGTGAACAAGTTCTCGAAAGTGGTTTTTGGTGTCCTGAGATGCTGTTGAAGTAGTGTTTAGAGTTTGAGCAGTATGCATTCGCATGCACCAGTAAATCTAGTGATATTGACATTCAGAGTCTTTTAGCTCGATCTGTCGGTGATAAGAAAGCGCAAGTTTCAATGTATCAAGAAGAGTTTGATATTCCTTGTGGACGATATGAAGGTTACGCAGACGTGCATGTACTAGAAAGCCAAAGAAATAGAAATTCGGCAATTCGTACTACACAGGAGAAGTAGAGCTCACAATCCTCGGTACACGTAGATCCGACGGTCTCTTAGAACCCTCGCTACAAGTGTTCTAAGCGGAAATCCACATGCTTTGCACGATCCGCTGCAATTGTAAGAAAGCAAGATGGAACTTGCTTGTGGAAGCATTCTACTTTGACCGATGTAGTTCTTGTACGGACAAGTTCTTGTACGGACTAGTGACATCAACGAGAGATTTTTGAGGAGGTAATCGTTTTCACTCAGCGAGAAGAACTATAGCGAGAGCATAGTACATTTGAAGAATAGAGATAAACACGCAGCACATAAACTGAGTTTATTAAACTTCAACGTTGTCCATTTTCTCTCAAGATGTTCCCTCCTTTTTAAACTGCTTTTGGCGTCGTTGTCTTGTTGATCCTTGCTTGCCTTGCGGTTGGAGGCAGCTTGCTCTGGGCGTCGTTGTGTGGCGGAAAGCCACACCGTTGTGTGGCGTAAAGCCGCCACACGACAAGAATTGATCGACGCACTAGCAACTAAAGCCAGCACAGTTATTGATATTATAAAAGGAGGGGAGAATGACGAAGATGGAAGACCTCACGGAGAGGCTTCGTGCGGAAATGGGCACAACTTACGAAGGCGGATCTTCAAGTAGTAGTTCCTCTTTCTATGAGCTTAAGGACGGCAAGGAACCCGGAAAGTGTTCTAGGGTAGATGGATGGGGCATTGGCGTTGTTGATGAAGATGCCGAGAGTAGGAAAAGTACTAGATGGCTGCATTTTGTGGTGCAGAAGCTAGTAAAGAAGAGTAGATCTTCAACATGGAAATCGAGATGGATACGGAGTAAGCACAGGACATCAAGATCATCCTCCAGAACTCTAGTAGAAAAACGCCGTAGTAGTTATTTCTCGTCCGATGCGTCACCACCACCACCAGGAGCTATTATACCCAAAACTTCTAATGGTCACGCTGCTCATTTTACTCGCAAAACATTGAGCAGTCGTCTCGGACTTCCAGGACTCTTACTTTGTTCGTATCTACGTCTACTCCTGTTGCTAACTACTCCTGTAGTCTTGCCAGCACAGGCAGATCAGCTAATCCGAGCTCCGACGGATTGTTGGGCAGGTGGTTGGACACCGGAGATTTGTTGTTAAGACTCGAACGAGAAGTTATAGTTCGTGGTTGGAAGAAGTCAACTTCATTGGTAGAGGACCTCAGCTTCCTCTTTCTCCTACTTACTTGACATGGAGAGACTAGAAGTTCACAGATGTAACTAACCTATCCAGGGTACAACGCTTGATGACACTGTTGAGAACGTCTAGAAGCTAGTATTGATAGATTTACCGTCATTAATCAGGGGAAGAGGTAGAGACGTGCTTCCTAGAGACGTGCTCCCTCCTCCATCATCCTCCTCCTCCTTGCCCTGCGTCCTCCTCTAACCTTCTAGTTCACCAGGTGCTCAGGGGAATCCACTGTGCTGGGATTACATTTACACGTATGAAAAGTGCTGCACAGACACCATCGAAGGCCAGCTTTTCCATCACAAGCGGCTTTTGTTCATTGAGTTATGGATTCTAGCACTACTCACGTTGTTCCTCTCTGATAGAAGAAGAAAGATAAAATTAGTCTTCTAGCTTGAAATAGAAATAGGTAGCCAACCAGACTTGTTGCTGCTTCTATGAAAAATGGTATACCAACATGGAGGACTAGTTTTTTCGGGGCATACCGAAAGTTCTTCATATTACGAAGCTTTATTAGATCATTAAAAGTAATATGCTTTCATCTTCAACATGATCAACACACAGTGGAAGTACTATACTAGAGCTCGTCCCCACTACACCTACTCCACAGCATCTAATCTCTGACATGGTGAAAAAAGGCGCAAAGGTGCACTTTGAAATCCGGCAAATTGAAGGAACGGGTCGATCCGGTGCCGTAAACACGGGTTTTACTTCAGCGGATTCTGCCTCGGTACCCGGGACGGGAACGGAACTGATGGTTGTTATGTGCGTCATTAAGGGTAGGTTAAAGGTGCTTTTCTTACCGCTTTTTATGCCTCTCCTAAGGGAGAAGGGCATAACAAGCGGGGTAAGCGAGCACCAGAAGCCTACCTCTAAGTAAAGACTCCTTACTACTTCCTTGATTGGGTAGAAGTACTAGCACTTTGCTCCTCTTCAATGAAGCAAAATGTTGGAATGGTCTTCATGACTCTGAGTCATGGTTTCGCTTTCGATGAGGAGGCCGCTTCCAATGAGGAGGTCGCTTCTAGTTGACCCCTACAAGTATTCGTATTGCATACGCTCACGCATGGGAGCATTGTCATCTCAAAAGCACTAAATCATCATCCACTACTTACCACTAGTACCGCAAGTATTTTGAACTTGATTTTGAGTTATTTCTTCTCAATCTTCGAAAAATATTCAATTTATCTCATCTAATTCAAATTCATTTTCTGAGGGTGCAATGTTTGTTAACTTCGTTCTCCCCACTTCTCTAAACCTCCACGTGACGACACTTCTGCAGATACCAAGCAAGATTCCGCACCTACGGGATCCACCCAGCAGAAAGTGGTTCCTCGTGGCCAAGAAGTTCTTCGAGTCCCACTCAATCAGACTTACGGATCAGTGGATTTGCCGGAAACGATAAGGGAAAGTATGACCGACTGCGACGCACACGCCAAATTAGCTATGGGCTTGGTAGACGAAGATTTGAAAGGCGACAAGTCGAAACTGTTTAGGTGGATAGAACTTTTGCCGAAGAATTTCGCGAACGTGCTTTGGTATAGCAGTGAACAGGTATTTTTGTGCCACGTGCTGAGGGTGTCGCGTAGCAGTGATTCAACTTACTACAGTTGTCTATCTTGTATATAAATATGTGAACCAACATGATGTAACTGGTTTGTGCGGTTAGAAGGAATACCGTAGTTTTCTGCTGAGTAGATTTATCCTATATTTTTACCCTAATATCTTGATCTTCAGCGCATCCTGGTGAACCAAACGTATTTCCGGTACATCATGGAGGACTGGGACAAGCAGATCAATTGCATGTGGGAGGCTTATCCGAAGATCTATAAGAATATTGTGACGACAGACAATACAGCGATGAATAAGATGAGGTACAACTACTAACGACAGACAATACAGCGATGAATAAGATGGGGCACAACTACACTTGATATAATACTAAAGTACAGCGATGAATAAGATGAGGTACAACTACTACACTTGATATACTATACTAATACTACTTATCATTTCATTAATACTGGCAATACTTATACCAACACGGTGATGAATTCAGATGAACTATTTCGAAATTTTTTCACGCATTATTTCTTGACGCATTAGGCACTAACAATTCATCAATCTTTTGATGTTGCATCCTCTTTTTCCATTGATTCGTTTCCTTTTCTAGCAGGTAGGGCTCTTCTATTGGGAACTCCACCAAATAACTACAGGTTTGCTACAAAATGGGCTTTTTCTATCGTCAAGACTCGTGGCTTTGCCTTCGATACCAGTCGAAACTCGACCTTGCTCATACCACTAGCAGATTTTTTGAACCATCATCCGAAAGCAAACGTGCGGACGCCGGATCCATTGCCGAAGGTGGTAAATTAGAATCGATGTTGATCATGACACAATGCCCTACTCCATGAAATTTTCGAAATTTCCGATGCATCGCTCTACTGGAGTACTTATGTATGAATGTCTTATGAATGTATCCACTTCTTGGTGTTCCTGGAGTATCTATCCGTACACAGCAAGCTTTACCAAGTGGATCATTTTACGGAGAAGTTGCAACTACCACCTTCCAAATTTGCTATGCAAACCTTCTAGAAGTAACCTCCACCCACCCCAATCTCCTCAGGACACATCAGCAGGAGCATCACCTGCACAAGAAGGCGCTGAAGAAGGCGAAGATAGAGGCTCTTTAGACCGCACTTCTGAAGATGCAAAAGACTGGATATCTTTCAAAGCTTCTGAAGCAATAGGCAGTGGCGAAGAGATGTGCATCGAGTACTCACAAGCCTCCAATTTAGAGTTCATGTTATGGAACGTTTACTGGGTGGTCAGAGGTACTTTGATTTATTCGTGTAGGTACTCAATAAACGAGATAACTTTTGCTAGTGGAGTCTGGTGTCATCTCAACTACCAGCTTCATCTAACTAGCAAGTTCTTCATCCTCTGTTTGATTTTCGTCCTAGCTCGCTTCAAAAATATGAATATTATCAGCTACTTCAACATAACTTCTATTCTTCCCCAATCCCACAAGAAGCAACGTGATTCTCGTAGTCTAGTTCTAATCTGAGTCCGTTATGGTTTCAAAGTAGACGAAAATCCGTATGGGGCCAGGCATTTTGACCTCGGAGGCGAACCCCTGCAGAGCTATTGCCCACCGATCATTTTGAGACTTAAGGCTTCAGGTAGTCCATCTCCAGAAGCATCTGGCGGCGCCCTCCTCTCTATCTAAGGGTGGAAAAACAGAGGCCTGAGGATGACGTTCAAGATGGACTGCGGGAAGGTTTAAGAGACACGACTTACCAGAAGTAGTGGCAAACGCAACAGTGGATTGCCATAGACAAGCGCGATATCTTTAAGGCAGTTACTACATTCTTAGACCTGAGCCGCTTCTTTCTCTTACTTCTGCTTCCTGTCTGATTACTACAGACCACCACAGTAGCAACTACACTATAATAGCATAATTTATAGAACGGATGTAGGATGGACTTGGATCATGGATCGGATGGGCCCCCCCGATTCTTCCGATCCTACTTGAAATGGCGGGAAGTCCATCCGATCCATCCGATCCATCCCATCCCGGATCTGGCACCCCTCTGCGTTATTCTATAGTCTACGCATATTACTACAGACCACCACAGTAGCAACTACACTAAAATATGACCGCCTTTACCAAATCAAGAAGTCAACTTTCTTCCCTTTTTGTTTTCTCTACTGTTTCCCGATCCATCTACGACTTTATAGTTTTTTTGGAGACGTCGAATTGGGAAGTCGAATTTGTTAGTACTCGTCACGACACAACTCTAACCTTTCGCATTTGAGCAACAGTGGGCAAGTGAGGGAGGCGCGATGACCAACGATGAACGGCTAGCACAGGACAAACAAATCTATACTGCTGTACAGCATGCCTGTCTGGATTTGTATTATGCACGAGCTAGAAGTACGGAGCTCGTCCATTTCTTCAAGTTGAATAAGTATGATAGAGTAGTCTCTCACTCACCTGTATGATAGAGTAGTCTCTCACTCACCTACAAAGAGACTGTATGATAGAGTAGTCTTTCAGTCACCATACATATTTCTTCCACTTCTAGCTCCTCTAAGTCCTTCCCTAAGTGGACTATCTTCTTTTCGTAAAAACTACTTTGAAAGTGAGACTTCTCTACCAGAAGCAAGTACAGCTCAGAGGTCTTGGGGTTCAAAAATATTTCATAATAATTTCTTAGCTCGTCCTGAAGATTTTTCATGCACTAAATGTAAATCAAAATCAATCTCAAAAGTAATTGTCTCACTTTGCCTCTTCCTCTTTCCTCCACGTTCCAATGAGCTTCCACCTCCCCACCAAGCTCTCTAATGTCCCAAAGAGCTAGAAACGCCGAAAGGGCAACCGAAATTAGTAGCTTACGAGAAGCATTCGAGCGATCCTATCACACACGGTCTAGTATATGGAGGATGATGTTTATTGTTCCATCTGTCAGACCATCGAGGCTTCCCTTAATAGTACAACTATGTATACGTTTATTTCAGGGGAAAAGGGTACAACTAGCCATGATGGTCCGCGTAGATGGAATGGGCACCATTCATATCGTCAATGAGATCCGGAACGAGAGACGTCTGGCACAACGTTGCGTTGACGAATTCTATCAGCGGAAAGTGAGAAGCGATTTGGTTCTCCCAGTGAATCTTATGATTACACACAGTACTTATCTTACTGCTAGTACTAGTCTACTGAACTTCGTCTGGACTGGGACAGGTGAAGCTAGATCTTCTTCGAACTGGAACTACTACAGTATTAATGGTAGTAATTTTAGGAGCAGAAGATCAAGAAACTACTCCTACTGTTTTACTTAAATAGTGCGAGCGGCAAGTCTGAAACAAACAAGGGATAAAATTATGTCCTGAGTCAAAGATCGAACTCTCAACGGAAAGATGAACAAGCTATGCATGGCACTGCTGCGTGAACATCCTGGGGGAAACTTCTGTTGTTTTAAAAAAAGCTATGCTATCATCTACTCCTAAAAAGAAAAACAAGCTCTAATTTTTCTGACACGGTACGCATAGCAACGAAGATAGCTGGAGCCATCCTGAACAAATACAATGATAAAGAGGAGGAGCTCGGCAAAGGCGTAAAGGATGAAGGAGATGTGGAACTGTGACGGGTCACAAGAACAGAGGATGGTGCTGATATGTAGAACCGTGACGATGGTGAAGGACATGTGGAACTGTAGTGAGGGGTCAAGAAGAAGATGGAAGAAGTCCAACAACAAGTGGTCTTCAACAAGAAGATGAAACTTCTTAGGACTAGGAGACTACCTAGAATTTGAATTTCTACAGCAAAATATTACTACTCCACATGATTTTTCTACACTAACGCTACTCCTACACAAGATGAATTTGTACAAATTTTCTTCTTTTCACGCCTCACTCTCGGATACTGGAGAAATCATTTCCAGCCATTGACTCATAGTCAGATCCCGATAAACATAAGTTTTTTACAACCACAAAGGGACTCTCTCCCATTTATTACATTCATTCTCAATAAGAGGACTAGCACCAGTCGTGAAAAAATGCGTATAATCAATGTTATCAAAAACTCCAAGAATAAGAAAGAATAGCGACATGATTTCCGCTAGCGGCAAGATACAACTACATTCCAACATCTTCGCCTTTTTTCCTTCCAGTGAAGGCTACGCTGGTTTTTCAGTAGGTAGCCCTTACACTATAGGTAAAGGTATAGGCATAGTGGTGCTTATTATACCGGTATAGGCATAATGGTCATTATTGCTTCTATTACTGGCATACTCATATGGATAGCGCTAGTTCATATACTTAGATCGTCACTAAAAAGCTGCTCGATGAGGTGAGTAATTTTGTAGCCGTAAACTCCCTAGCTTCTGACCGTTGTGCACTTGCAGCCGCTATCTGTTTCACAAAAAACAGGGCGCACCGTTGGCCGCTCACGTTATTCGACTGCGAGAAGATAACGGCTCACCATCTCGATGCGTCAGCTGCTGATCTGGTGTAATGTTTAAGACGTTCACACGCTGAAAGTATTGCGGTAGACTTCTGAGGCTGGGGCCAGCAATCGCGTAGCACTAAGAACTCACCGGGAGACGTCTACTCTAGTGCCGCTAGTTCTCTCTCCATGTTGGACAAAATTGCCGCCATGTAGTGTAGTCGAGGAAAGTGGCCCGCTTTTTGTGTATTATCTTCTTGGCTTCGCAAAATCATCAACGTCGTGCATTATCTTGAAACTGTGAAAGTGATTCAGTGGCTACTGCATCCGACTCAGATCCTGGGAACATGAGGGGGGAACGCTGCTGGTTCTATTCTTGTGGCCTGTTAGGTCAGGTCGAGGAGTGCCGTGCCGTCGTCCCTCCAATCTTTCTTGGACGTGTCGACTGAAGTAGTGAGGCTGGTGCAATGGTTTAGCGGCATGGCCCCCCCTCACTTGTTCTCTCTTGGCATTCTTTCCAAGGGCCGAACCTGCCTAGCATCACGCAGGAGACCACCCCACGCGATGGCCCTTAGCTGCTCTCTTCTTTGCATTCTTATACCTGCTTTGCGCAATCGAAGTGCTTTGAAGCACTCAGCTGGTAGTGGTAGCTGTGCTGGGCTCTTTTGCTCGTGGCGTGGGTTCGAGCCCCACAGGCTGACACTCAGCCCCCAAACTTTTCAACCAGAGGCCTGCCCCTATAGGTTTGACGACAGTACCAGGCTACAGCCTCTACCTAGCAGCTTTGCCCGCGGAGTGCCTTACTTTGATACCGTTCAACAGTGAGCGGGCCGCTTGGCAGAAAAAAGAGCTAGCTGGCGTAGTAGAACGCCTAGGGCTGTAGGATTGGGGGCCTGGCGCTCTGTCTGTAGTCTTCGCCTTCCACTTCTGCATAAGTCCGCCGCGCTGGGGCTTGTTTGGGTTCCATAATCGCCATCAAGTAACTCAGCGGGCAGGTCTTCCGCTTTCACCTTTCAAGGCTCACCCTCACGCCTGAACGCCCCCAGCGTCTTGTCTTATCTTAGTAGACTTCTCGGCGGCAGCGACGGCGTCTGGCAGTAGTTTCCCCAGTATCTGCGAGAAGTTCTACTCATACGGCGCCCCCCTCTCGTATTTTGTGACTGTCCAGCCCGGTTGCATTCTTCTCCTTTTCCTCATATTGTAATACGTATACTACGACGCCACCCATGCCATAGACACGACTCAGCAAATCGAAACAGCGCCAAGGCCTTGAGAGGGATGCAGGCCGTGCGCAGTAAAGTAAAACCTTGCATCTTCAGCAATAACAACTCGGCCGCCACTCACGTGAAGACTTCAAACAGGCACAGGAGTCAAGAAAGGGCGCCACCTGGGGGGCGTTACGAGTACGACAAGCCACCATAAGTAGCGAGCTTGCGCTCAAATTCTTAGGCGGTAAAAGTTTGAACGCCGTTGGCGCTGGGACTCAATCGGAGTCAGCTCTTTTGCCTCTCTTCATCAAGGCGCTCCGACTACACTAGGCAAACTGCCTGCAACGCCGTGGGCGTAGAGGTTGCGGCAGCGGCGCTACGTTTCTTTAACTTGTTCCCCCCTGGTTCTTCGTATGAACTAACAAGGCCACTCTTGAACTAACTACACGCTTAGAACCCCGCGCAGCTTTTTCTTGCTCCCAGCGTCTAGATTACTGGGAGCAGACTGCTGAACATTGTTGGCATTTTCTTACAGTGATTCAATTGGCAAGCCGCGAGCGCGGCCCAGGCTCTAGCGTTTTTAGAAGAGAGAGGCCAGGCGCACCGCAACAGCAAAAGAAAGGCTAAGCTGCTGAAGAAGAAGATGAAACAAGTCAAGAAGCCCCCACACCCAAAAGGCAAGGCATGCTGTGGCTTAGCTTCTTCCCCGGGATAGTGTTGCGCATCCTAGTGAGGCTCAGCATTCTCATTCGCATTGTTTGCCGCTGTATGCCCTTAGCTTCTCTTAGCGCTGGTGCCTCGTTGCGATATCAACCTTGTCCGCAAAGCATCCGATCGCGCGCTGTCATGCGTTGCAAGCTTTTCGATTGGCAGGCGTGAGAGAAATCCACGCTACGCCAATCTGCTGGCGCTGTTTCTTTGCTTTTTACCTGTTGAGAGTTGAGCCACAGAAAAAGCAAAGCCTTGGGGTGGTTTAGCTGAGTAATTAATTGAGGAAGAGAAACGAACTTGACGGGCAGCGCACTGAAAACACAGACACACAAGACAAAAGCAGCGCGGACCCATCTTTTTCAGCCGGTGTCTTAATGCATTTGCATCGACACCACTCAACCCAGCGAAGCAGTTGGCACCTAGCGCGCCCATTCATCGGAGGAGGGGGGCCCAATAATGCAGAGGCTGCCCCTCGAAGTTGAAAAGTCTGCGCTCCTTCTCGTAAGCCTTAAGGGGGGGGGCGGCCATGCTGAGTAATATTTCGGCTGTCGATCCCCAAACTATGAATCAACTCAAGCATGAGCATAAAGACCATCTTACCGGTACGGAGATCAACGGCGCAAAGATTGACGAGCATCATGATCAAGGAAACAACAGGAACAAGATGAACATAACAAGAGCAGCGCGAAGACCAACAGCATCAAGATCATCAGCGTCATCATCAACAACAAAAAGAGCAAAGTCTTAAGGCCTTAAGCGGGTGTAGGATAAGAGTAAGTCGATGAGTAAAATAGTTGATCTGGATCTAGTTAGCTTAGTCAGATGAAAGGCGCTAAGCCTCAGGGATCTTCGTACTTAACTGACAACAACAGAAGCCAAATGCTTTGTCTTCTCATTTTTACCTTGTGTTTGTGCAGATTAGCACTAGCCACAGGACAGGGGCGACATCGCGGAGAATGATGCAGAACATTACCCAAACCGTAGCCATTGGGCTGCCTTATGCGTAATCTAATTCTGATGCTATCCTGGCCGCAACGCCGGTGAAATTAATTATGGTCTTTGAGTCGTCGCTAAGTTTTTTTTCATTTTTTTTGTTTCTTTGGCGGCGATTCTTTCTGTGCAATTCTTGTGATTGTTCATTGTGGAGTTATCCACCAGTAAGTAGATTTTTTTTTTGCTTCATCCTTTTACCTTTACAACAAAAATAATTTCAAAAACAAGACTAGCTTACCAGCTATTTTCATTTTTTACCTTTACAACGAAAATAAGTTCAAGAACAGGCCGCCTAGCATTTCATTGATTCTCGTACATCAACATTTATTTTTTTCTATTTCTATAACAAGTAAATATGTATTTTTGAACGAATGTCTTCAGTCAGTCAAGCTCAAGGCTGTGAAATTAATCGGATCGTCGCTAGGTTTTTTTTTGTGTGTTTTCTCCCTTTTACTTGGCGGCAATCCTTCTAAGGATCTTTCCTTTCCTTTCTCGTCTTTTTTGTGTACTTAGTAGCCTAGCTCTAGAGCGAAAGCGAAACCAATCTAGTAGATCCAAATATTTCACTCTAAATCGAAGTCCCTCGCTTTTCATTCTTACTGGCTTTGAATTTGTTGATACTCCTCAATATGGATGTAGAAGCGGTGACCTGTGACCTTTTAAGCGTACAGAAAGAGGAGTATGCTTTTTTTGAGCCTTTTTTTCTCGTTTTTAGTGGGGAAGGTCCTTTCCGTAGTTTCTTTTGCCGGACACGATCGGCAGGCGTGGCAGTCCTTCTCTTGTATTTTGTCGGCTGTATTGTCTACTCCAACTGTAGTAATATCATAGTTGTACTTGTAGGATGTATGTGCAGCTGGTGCAGATAATACTTTCATCAGCCCAGCAACAGGCTCGGCAACATAAATAAACATAGGACAGCGCATGCATCGGTTCTTTCTTGATCCGTATGATGGCGCGTCAGGCCTATATGCTTACCTTGCCACAGGTGAGCCAACTCCTATCCTATCTTAGATTAAAAGAGGAGCAACAACTCAGCGATCAATGATGGGTCTTCTGAAGATTCATAATTGTTCTAATCGGTGTAAAGGCTCTCCTCTTGAAGTACCTCTACACTGAATGGCCTCATACATAGATGTGAAACGGTAAACAACAGGCGCCACGACATGACATGACAGTTCCACGGCCGTCCTTTTGGATCATACACTGCTGCAATTGTATCGTCCCTCTGGACGAGGTAGACTAGAAGAACGTGGCGATGATCATCAGCCTAGACTTCGAGTCTTGTCTTCTTCAGAGATGGAGATCCCCATTCCTATTTGATAAGATATTAAGATGAAAATAGTCAAATACAACTCTTACGGTGTCAAGCTTTAGGATCAGTCCAAAAGCAAAAAGACACCTTCGAGGCTGTCACACCTAGGATGACGCTGCAACCATGAGTATCATGCTTGCTGAGTTTACCCTCAGGTCGTGATCGCCCCTCCCATAGACAGCACTGGTATATTGCTATACAACCTGTGCAGCGGTGGACACAAAAATTATGTATGAAGACATTGACATGCCTAGTTAGTACCGGCTTGAGTTAGAGTCGTCAATGTCATATATGAATACCGCGCCAACCTAAAATATGCAGGAACAAGGTCCTTCGTACGTACTGCTATTCAGCGTATGTTGACTTCGACCTGCCCCCCCTCGGTTTTCCCACCCTACCTGTATTTTTGACCTACTAGAACACCAAGAAGACTTCCTCACTAGAGCTAGTAGACCATAATTAAGAAGAAATACTGAGTCCTCTTCTGTACTCTGTAGATATGGTTCTACTCTACAACTTGGAACGTAAAAGATGACTTTGAAACGTCCTAGGTTGTATATCTCCATTTTTAATGTCCCCCACACCAACCATGAAAAACTTTCTCACGTATAGGAAAATGAAAAAAGACCAATGAAAAACTGCTTAAGTACAAGGCCCCCCACCCCCACGAATTCTCAAGTCCTTGTACGTGTTGTCGTCACAAAAACCATCAAAAGGAGTTACAAAAAAGAGGTCCTTGTACGTGATGTAGTTACAAAAACCCATGGTGTGCGAGCCCCTGTTGAAGAAATCTGAAATATCACGAAGATCATGATACGATGATTGCCACCGTGTTTCTCAATGCACGTCCCTATCTACGGATGATCTACCATCTCTAAGAAGCATTTCTGCAGTTATATGTACGAATGTCACTAAGTGTGGACGAGGTGATGAATGAATGTTCCGAGAAGCACGGTTGGTTCTTACTTCTTCGGTCAAAATTCAAACATCCAGTTCCAGATCCTCCACTCAAGATCCAGATCCAGACCACGCCCACAGCGTGGCTGTAGCTGCAAAGCTTGCACGTAGTAGACGCTGAATAGTGTTTGTTCTCGTTCCACCTTTCCTTCTGATATTTCAGAGGGTTCTTGCTACTCGATCTAGTTGTCCTTCTCCTTGTGTCGTAGTCTTTCTGTATTATTAATTTCTATTTCATGTTGACCTTGACGTCGCAAGATTTGCTCCTGTTAACGTTATGACACATGAGCCAAGTAGCTATAAAGTAGTAGGAGTACTACTACAAACAACTATCCCAGATCGGTTGCCTTCCAACTTGTTGTAGTTGTGCTTCAAGATTCTCGAAGGGTAATTAAATGCTCGTATTGCGAGGAATATAGACCCAGGTCCCAAAAAAAAAGGAGGGTAGCGTGCCTGAATGAGTGAATGATTTTGATTTGCCATTAAAACAGAGTCAGACCACGCTTATCACATCATAAGAACAAGATCCTTCATTCTTCTCAGAAGGTTCTGCTTCTGGGAAGAAAAGGAAAACTAAAATGGAAGCGGACAACCCGTATCAGCAAGTTCTTGCTGCAAGGCAAGCTGAAAGAAACGCTAGACAGGCGGAAAGAGACCAACGGCGCAGAAGACTGGATGAAGAGGATGAGAATACGGACTTGGTTCGGGTTCCAGAATGGTTGAGGTTATGGAAGAGATGAATTTGAAGCAACAGCATTTTCTTAGGCTCAGGTGGAGGGTCGTCGTCGTACTAGTATTATTCTTGTTGTTAACATCTTCACACTATAACCATGGGAACTTGCAGCTTCTTCTAGTACGTACTTCATCGTACTTCTATGTTTATGCAGACGAGCCGTTATTGCGTAAAAATACTTGCTCTTCTAGTTGGAAGGTACAAGATGAAGATGGCGGAACGGCCTCTATAACGTTAGCGAAGACGTATCACGAGGAATCATGACATGACATAATACTGGGGGCCTAAGTACATACAGGCCTTTTCTAACATCCGCCCACCTTCCGCTTTGGATTTTACGGAACTTTTTCGATGGTCCTCGCCGTCTTACGCACTCGCAACTCCGGAGGATAGTCTATTCAACGATCTGGCTTGTGGGTGCAGCCTACTTCCAGTCTCAGATCTACGTCATTTTGAGCGGAATTTGTTTCATCTTCCTTTCTCTGGGAGCCAGGCAGGATGATGACGGCGTCTCAGCCTATATTAAGGCTCAGTCTTCATTGGTCACTGAGAGTAGTCTGTCACTGAGATCGGAGAGGGCCCGCCTTGAAAATAAGTAAAGAGAGGTGGCGGGGCCCTCCTGTTCAGAGTCTCCGAGTCGGTGGCCAATCATGAGTGCTGACCTTTAACTATAGCATCTTCAATCGTGGAGCTAGGCACGTGCTAGGAGATCTGAGGGGGGATCAAGTGGATAGGGAACATCGAGGAATAGCGCACATGAGAGGACAAGAAGGAGGAGGAGGAAGACAAGGAGACATTATGGGTTTCCACGTGGTCATTGCATCCTTCTGCACAAGTGCCATTGTTCTTATGACCTCGTTCCCAGTTAGAGGAAAGAAGTCAAGAGTCATGATCTGAAGAATGCAATGGCGTAATCTCTAAAGATAGAGGAGGAGGCGGTCTCCAAGAAGGTGGAGACGACCTAGGTGGTTTGAATCTTCGACAGCAAATGAGATCGCGAGATGCTAACAAGCCTTGTCCCTGTGGATCTGGGAAAAAACTGAAAAAATGTTGTGGTCAAGCGACGTGATCATCCTGGTCTTCTTGTTTGTTGTTGTGCGGTTCACTGTCACTTATTATACGCCTCTTACTAGTACAATTGCAAAGTTAGTACGTTCACGTCGTACGTACAACCACTTCTACTTCTAGAAGCCCACCTTGCGCATCCTTGGTCTTTGATAGCCAGTAGGTGATGCCGTGGACTATGTCTTGGTGTTACGCTACAGTTGGCGCCGGCTTTTACCAGTGATAACAAACTCTCTGAGAAGTGGACGAGAGTGAGAGCAGATGTTGCAGCATAGGATGATTTCTATCTTGAGGCTCCTCCTGAGTGGGGTTTAGAAGTGGATTGATGAAGATCAACATGAAAAATCGGGAGTGAAATAAAGTGTTTCGGTCAACAAGTTGTCAATTGTTGTTTTTGCTCTTGTCGGTTCATCTCTACTCTGGTGTCATCATCATAAGGACGAGCTGAGAAATGTTGCTGTTGGTACTATCAAAAAATTTTCTAGAAAATAGATACTAAGTACTCTCTTATTATGACGATCCAACGACTTCGCTGTTGCAAGTCCAGCAAGAATACATATCCCCTACCAACCCAGACGCAAGGCATGGGCATTTCCAAAGTCACGAAAAAAGACGACTAACGTATGAAAAAGCCGAGTTGAAGAAATAAAGGCTTATACATAGGCTTTACTGCTCGGCCAGAGTTGTCTGGTATGCACATCGATATCGAAGAAATTGATTGATAAAAAACTACATGACCACCGTCTTCTTCACTCGCGTCCTCACCCGAATGCCTTTCTTCGCTATTACGACCGTTGACGGTTCATAGACAAAGCCAAGTCCTGCAAGCACAGCTCGAAAATGCCTTCAGGTGGTTCAGGTCCGGTGGTTCCAGCACTCCCCCTAGTCGATCAGATCCTAGTTTCGAATGCTTTCGATCGGAAACATCTGGGTGATGATGATTGGGGTGGCGGCTTGTCGCCCGCACCAAGCGCGCGTGCGGCGTCGATCGCAAGAACGAGAGATGATGAAAGCAAGAGCAATTTATGAGCTGCTCATGACCACGAGGACCAGTATCAGTATGTAACTAGTAAATGAGAAGTGTCTTTGGACGGCACTTTGTCCTCTTTGCATGAATAAAATGTCCACGCAGGAGCATCGTGACCGAAGTCACTAAGCACTCTGCTTTTGTAGCACTGTCACTGTGCTAACACTCGTTCATCAGAGTTCTTCTATATCGACTTCTGCGTTCAAATTGTTTATTCTAACTCCCGCCTCTCTCGCTCCTCCTTATCTCGACGAACGCACTGCGGCAGTGAGACGCCTGACCGACATTCGTCCAGCTGAGTATATCAGAGTTTTTACGTCCAGTGCGAGAGTCGGCTCAGCTGGCTGTCCTCTCCGCCTATGGCACAACGGTGGCAGTGGTGCTGTCTCAAGGGCCGGGAGGGTGTCTACTGTGGTTATGAATTAGAAGGAAGTACAAAGAAGCACGGCGTAAGGAAGTATTGTGTAAGGATTGGAAGGAAGCACTGTCGTGTAGGGAAGTACAAAGAAGTTCCTGAATGTATGAGATGAATGCTCGCTACTAACTTCTAGCAACGGTCATTAGTCCACAACATATTTCACAGCACGACCACAACGCATTTCACAACGATTTGCCGACAGCAATTATTCTCACCCTCAAACTTCCCAATTTTTACCCTCAAACTTCACACGACTGCTCTAACTATTCTCAACCTCAAGGTCAAGTCCTTTTCTATAATTGTCAGTCAGTTCTTCATCTAGTTCTTCATCTTCTTCACCCCCCTCTAATCTCAAAGGAGTTCTTTTCGATGGCGTGCCCTGTTTCACCTACGATGCGGAGCGGGAGAAATTCGACAGGCGCTGGGTCAAGCTAGATCCAAGCTATAACTTTCTCTACTTTCTGACGACGAATCTGGTATTTATGGGCTCAATTTTCATGATTTTGTCTCCTCAAGCTAGCAAGAACCACGAGTAAGATATTTTGCTAACATGTCTCGCTTCTAACAACGCAACGGGAGCACTGGTACCAGGTTCGCGGATGAGTGGTCTAGTCCAGCAAGCACGCGACGCCGCGAAGCAGGCTGCGACTGGGGTGGGGGCCGCCACTGATCAACAAGTTATCAAGTGGATTTGGATGTGGATATTAGTTTGGAGGTTGTAACTACATCTACAAGAAGCCATCCACTAGTAGATCTATGTTGAGCTTCATCTTTATTGTTCCTCTCCTATGATCTAACTCTGAAAGTTCACGATGATCTCGATACCCTTCTAACTCTGAAAAGATGTCCGCTGCCCGTGCCGCAAACCAGCCAGCAGATTGCATAGCCGTCAGGATGGACAAGATAGGCAACATCGTAGGCGGCCAGCGAGCCTTCGATATTTGTGTCGAGCATTTGCTGATCAGGGATCATAGACTGAATGCCAGAGACGTGATTATTTAAGGCTTTCCCTGATCCATCTTCAGAAGCATCCACCTAGAGACGTTTTCAGGTGGAAGACGGTTCCGAGATGCACTACGAGATCAATTTGGGTGAGCGCTAAACTCTCCTGGTCAGGAAAAGCTTGACGAAGAAGCGTGGCCAAGACGAAGGTGGAAGAAAGCCACCAGTGAGCGGTGGATTGCCGCTTGTAGCTAAGGCTCTTCTTGGCTCCTGCAGCACTATTTTTAGTTTTACATATTCCTCGTAAATTATATACTTCGTAGTTGGTCCTTCGTTCATTCTCACCCTCGCACTCACTGCCTGAACCAACTACTTAAAAATGTAGGTAACGGCAGATGAAGGAAACTCAGCCACAGAACGAGGTATCATGTCTTTGCTTCCTAATAAATCTTGCACTGAACTTCGTGCGAGATTTATTGTATTGCATTCTATTTCTAAGTTCCAGGGCTTAGAAGATCGAGCACTGCAACTCGGCGAATGTACAATTCTCCTGGCTGCGCCACAAAGCCACTTGAAGCGATGTCTGAATGTGGCGATCGCCAAGAGTCCCAGTATTTCCGACAAACATCACGGTTATGGATGATGTTTTTTCTCGTCCCATTTAACAGAGAGACCATGATCGAGGCTGCTCCTTTCCCCCTTAAAACTGTAAAGGTGAAGGCTAAGGGGGGCCTCGATGGTCTGGCTAGATGGATTAGACGCCGTCCATAACGGCGCTGTCCTCACGATCATGGGCTGTATCCGCAATCGGTTATTGAGGAAATTGGTGAAAGTCAAAAACAAAGTTTTGGTTATGACTTTCAGAAATCTTAAGCACGTTCTTGTTGACTTGAGTAGATTCAACACTCACATCGTGGAGACTTCCAGAAGTCCCTGGTTGTCACAGAATGCACGGACGTGGTGTATCTTGGGTAAGCAGAGTCACTCAAGAAGAAGGATATAAAATCCAAGATTTTTCGTGTCAACATGCAGCTGTAGTTAGTAGCTAGCGGTTTCTTTCTCTATGATGATCTAGTTCTAGGACTTAAAGTGAAAGTTCTTCCAATGTGTAGTCAGTCCGCATATGGCAGAATCCCCGACGCACATTTTTTGTCGAGTTACGAGCTTTGGACCTACAACTGGAGTTCAGGAACATGGCAACCCCATTGGCGATTCAGATACCAATGAAAGGCTCAAAGACACTAGATCAACGAGGAACTGCCGTGAGCACACGGGAAGCAGTTTTAGCGGCGATCAAGATTATGAAGAGAATCCGACCTGTTTTTTGTCTTCTGAAGAGAAAGAGTTTCTTGAATTCTAAGGCCGATGAAATTGTTGCGTGATGTAGGTGGTGATGCCATTGTCTTTCTAGCTCCTGCTCAACCTCAGCTTTATCGAATTTGACGTATGACCTAACCTAACCTATCGCCCTCTTTAAGTATTTTAGTGCTACCTCAGCTACCTCAAAACTACATATGCCATAATTATTCTCAGAAGTCTCTAATCTAAAAGCCAAACCCGACCTAGGGACGAACTGTGTCGCGTCAGTGCAGAGCATTGCCGTTGAGGTGACAGATGTGCGCAGTACGCGAGGTCTAACACAGAGGACTGGAGGTGCGCTGTGGCTGGTGCAAGAGGTAATACTTTCTCCACTACAAACGCGAAAAACACTACGCAAAACCAGGAAAAAAGAAGAAAAAGCAGCATCGAAGATTATGCTGATGACGTGATATTTATTGACAGATTGATAATATTGGATGGCCTGCTAAAGAAAAGTAGACATTAATAGCTACACAAGAGGCGCCAACATGACATGACTGATATTGTTTGTACTTTCTTGGTAGTTACCTGGTTCTTGATCATCAAAACTTAGAACCCTTTCTGGGGTGCCATAGTTGCGATCTTCCTAGATACTCACGGACAAGCACATTCTAATTATTAGAAGAAACAACAAGTTCCTCTAAGTCTTTTAACCTCAGCAAGAAAGCAGCAGAACAAGCCGCCTCGCCAACTTCTGAAGAGGGTCGTAAGCGGAGCGGCTTTGCCGGTAGGAGGCCGCAATCTGTGCAATCAGCACCAGCGCCTGTCGAACCTGGTTCCAGCGAAGACGAAGATAAAAACGATTTTTTTGGTAGTATAACTTCTTCTATATCTAGTAGACTGTGACTGACAGTTGCAGAATTATATGTTGCTGGATCAAAGGAACATGGATCAAATATCTTGATCTTCATGCTCATCAAGTGATGTATTCCCATGAAAATAGTTGTACCACGTTGACCAACATCAGCAAGCTCCACTGCGGAGTCTTAAAAAAAGGACGTTTCTACTTCAATATAATTCCGTCGTCAACACCATGATCTTGATCATCTTTTCCGCACCTTCATGTTCGTCTTCGACATCTTTTCCAGTCTCAACGACTATGACCGATGCTCAACTCGACTTGGCAAAGCGTTTCGTCTTTTTGCACGAATACGATGGTGGACTCGGCGCAAGAGGGAGGAAGATGGCCTTTGAACGCACTGACGCTATTTCAAGACACCATCAAGCTTAGGAATGATGTTTTTTCCATCGTTGTAGACTCAGCAAAGGCACCCTGATACTAATATAATCCTATCGTGGTCTTATGTACTCATGAAACCAACATAATGTTGCTGGCACGCATTTCTTCAAGCGAAAAAAGTGCTAAGGTGGTCTGCGTTTGGTTTATTAGGCTTAAAACTGAGAAAAAACGTCTACGTCATTCATAAAGCAAACTCTCCTGGAAAGGAGGTCATCCCAGCGATCGTGCCGTCAGATAGTGCTGCACGCTCATTCTACGGGGATATGTTGTTATGGCAGCTTGAATATTTTGATCGTTGGTGTTTTGTTCATTGCAAGTAAGCTGTTCATTACAGATAATTGCATGCAGGAACGACTTGTCGTTACTGCATTATTTATTCGATTCGAAATTGACTGATAACCCCGTGGTGCGAGCACATTCGTCGATGCGAGCACATCTACTTCGTGTTCTTCAAGTGGTCTAGTGAGAAGAGAGAGAGAAAGAGGAAAAGAAAAAGAAAATTCATATAGTAAAAAAAAAATAGAGGCTAGTATTAATCGACATGCAAATCGGCTTATGTAGAAGATATTTAACTGTCCATCAAGTCCAAGTCCAAGTTAGGGCAACACTCCAAAACTCCAGAAATCTTCAGTCCACGACTAGTCCAGGAAATTTTTCTCCCACCACTCTCCACCCTTGATCTCGTCGTCGTTGGTTGAATCAAAACCATCTCATTCCGTTGTAATTTTTCAAACATGATCGCTGCATTAGCAGCTAAGAAGCGCGATCAGGCAGAAAAAGCCATAATCGCCGAAAAAGCAGCGCAGCAACGGTTTGATAGGACGTTAACCAACATTTGGGCGCCAGGACCAAAAATGGCCATCAGCGCCAATAAAAGACTACCGTGGCAGCAAACCCCAGCTGCAGCTGCGCGCTCCCTCCCTTATTTCCAGCCTCCAGCTAGGTGCACTACTGGAGCGTCATCTTCACATACTTCTACTTCTGTTACTTCGTCCGGCATTGTGATCAAGAAGCCTCGGGAGGTCATTACGGCAAAAAGACGAGTCGCATGCGACATAGCAGCTGACTCAGGTCTCCTTGGCGCAGCTCTTGGCAATTTGGAGAATTTGCTCATCAACAAAAAGAGTAATGCGGTGGCTAACAGCAGGCTTCGTTCATACGAGATGATCATCAAACGCACTGCTCTTCGGGCGTGGCCTGCCACGGAAGCATCTCTTTACACCTTCATTGGTATCGCGGTGGCGGCAGAGTATGCTTCGGTGCCAGAAATCGTTAGCGATGTTCTGGCAGCATCTCCACAACTTGAGGATTACATCGGCCTGCGCACCAGGGAAGTCCTTGCCAGGCTTCGCCGTAAGGGAGTGCTTGGCGATCGTAATCAAAAGCAAGCACTCACGCTCGCCATGATCAGCAAACTCCCACCTGGCAACGACCATTGCGCGTTGCAGGCCAAACTCATGGCCATCCTTTTGGTCTCCTTTTTCGGAGCGCTCCGGAAAAGCGAGGCTGCCGCGGTGGCGTACGGCCCTCCAACGGCCAACTATGTAGGTTTGCGATTCGACAAAGCTGATGACTCACTAGTGCTTGATTTTTCTTTGTACAAGCAGAAGGGTGGAGTCAAATGCGCTCGCGTTACCCGAATTTTCTGTGCATGTTGTGACAGTGCGCCGGTCGGCAAGAAGGACCGCGTCTGCTTGATTCATAATCCTGTTCTTCACGCGTGCACCAAGACGTTCACAGCAGGCGGCATGGATACGCTTTGGGCTATCAAGACGTTGGTTCGCAACCTTAAGCTCACCTCAGCTGAGCAGGCCGCGTTTGCCACCCATAGCTGCCGTGTCGGCTGCGCAGTTCATCTCTTCTCTAACGAGATCATGCCGGAGCAGATCATACATCATGCTAGGTGGTCTGATGCCACGATGTTGCTTTATTACGCGAGGAACAGCAAGAAGCACGCGCGTCCGGCGCACTGGACGAACGCCATCAATTGGATCAAGAATTGCCAGATGGCGCCACTTTCGATTGAGGCGCATGAGCAGATTGCTCTTGATGAATTAGATCCTGACGATCTTGAACTTTGCACTTGAGTTTCGTCCGTCCCCATTCCGCGAACATGCAATCCTGAGAAGGAAGCGAATGTATCCCCATTTCATCTCCTTTTTCCTAGTCGGATGAGAAGAAAAAAAAAAAAAATAAGAAAAACGGTCCATCTTCGTTTAGTCCACTTTTTGCTCAGGTAATTCAATTACGTCAACTTTAAAAAAAAAATATAAAAACAGTCTCCCTGGTTCGACGCGGCCTTCGGTAAGACCGTTGCCTCCTCTCTCGAATAACCAAAAAGAAAACACGAGTGAAACGAGTGCCGAGAAAAAAAAAGGGGGAAGAAAAAAAAGCAAAAAGATGACATCCACTCAAAAGGGCAGTTTAGTTGAAGTGCAAGAGTTATCGCACATGCCGTCAAGGTTAACACTCCTCCGTCATGGAGTTTTTGTTTACTTAATCACAAACGCGCACTCATCGATGTCGAGCGTTGACACACCCACGAGGCGTTGCAGTTCAGTTTCAGACAACTTTTCCTCCCTTTTGGTGGTTTCTAGTCGTTATCATCTTATTGAACAAACATGGCTAATCTTGGTCAAGGCGGACTCCCGGCAGCGGGCGCACCGCCGGCCCCGGGTGGTGCAGCAGGGCAACCTCAACCTCCACCTCCTCCGGTTGGAGGGGGTGCTCAAGGCGGCCTAGGCATTGTCGCAGCCGCAGCTCCGCAGCAACCCATCAACATCCAACTCCAAGTCAACGATTTGGCTCAACAAATGGTGCGTGCACAAGACACGCGCGCGATGGGTACTGCCGCAGAGGTCATGGCCCACGGGGTGTGTGTTGGTCAAATCACTGAAATTTCGATGCAGCCAGACCTGGAGTTATGTCGCAAGGTAGGATATTTCTTTGTTCCCTTTTGAGTGTCTTTTTGTTCCAATTGTTGCGAGTCTCTTACTTTTGGTCCCTTTCTAGTGTTACAGTAAAAAGGAATTCGTCCTACACATGTTCGCAATTCACTCGCAGGTGAACAAGGAGCTTTTCAAGAAGCAGCTGCACCTGGCTACGAAAGGAGGAATTGAGGAGAGGAGTTGTAACTCCATTTACAAATTCCTGTATGCGTTAGCATTCAACGGGGAGAATGGTTCAGTCCTTAACTTTGCAGAGTCGAACCAACTTGTGCTGATGGTGAAGAGTGCGGAATTGTCGGATCAGGATAAGATGCGCATCTTCACGCAGACTCTCCTCAGTTCTGCGTCGGAAGTTGAACCGAATCCACTTGCCCCAACGGATGTGGCAGCATATCGGTTGAGAATGGAAGCATGGTGCTAAGTTTCTTTTGAGTTGGTTCTTCTAAAAAAAAAACGTTCTTGCTATCTTCACGTAAGAGCTTTCTTCCCTGTCCAGGACTTCACTGCGTAAGACAGTGTTATCATTCTGGTTTCTTTTTATACTCGTTCAAGCTATTCCAGGTTCACGGGAGCGTTCCCTTTGCTTTGGCGCCACGCAGCAGATGCGCAGAGCACTCTTTCGAAAGCTCTTGATGCGAACAACAAGAGGCTAGAAGAACTTCAGAATGAAGTTAACGAGTGGAAAGCGTCGTCGCTGAAGTGGGGAGGCCCTTACAACAACAACAACTTCTACCACAACAATAACCGCGGAGGAGGAAAAGGCCAGAGGAATGACAAGAACAATGATAAGCCAAAAGGCAAGGGCAAGAAAGGCGGAAAAGGCGGCAAGGACAAGGGCAAGGGCAAGGCCAAATTACCGAATGCGTGTTTTGACTGGATGTGGGGTTTCTGTGAAAAGGAAAACTGTCCTCACGAACATAAGAAACCATCTAAAGATCAGTTTGAGGCCATGCAGGCTAGCAAGATGGCTTGGGCAGTGCAGGGCCTTGATTATGATAGCATCCCGGATAGCTAGGTGTAGTATCGGCTTGAAGAGTATGGTTCCGACAGTCGTGCATTTATTGCTAGTGGTTCAAGTTTCGGCTTTGGTAGCCAAGTGTGCTGCAACTTTTTGCTGTCATTATTGTAAGCGTGTTTGAGTTAAGTTTGTGCATAAGACCTTGCTTCTGGATGTAATGTGTATTATGAGTGTTTTTTTTTGAGTGACTGATCCGTGATCCACAGTCGAGTAATGTTTGGTGTCTTCTTGAAAGTGTCATGCTATATTTTAGTAAACGAACGTGTCTCCATTGAAAACATAGCGATCGTGATGTGATGAAGTCATGTGTTTATGATAGTTGTTGGCTTACTGTTGTCTTTGGTTCCTTTTCGTGTAGTACCACTAACTCACCTCCAAATGATTCCCATCAGTCATCCGTTTTTTGCTCAAGTTTTTCCCATGATCAGTTTTTTTTTTGTGCTCCTTAGATTTTTTTTTTTGCTACCTAAATTTCAGTTCAGGCTGTGCATTAGGACTCCGTCCTTCTTTTCAACAAGGATGGGGGTGTCAATCAACGATTCGCCATAGAAGAAAAAGGAAAGGGTGTAGCAGATTTCCATGCTTCATTTTCTTCACACAGTATTATGTGAGAGAATATGTGGCGCTTGGCGTCGTGGGCAGCAGGCTCAAAGTGTTAAAAAAAAAAGTCTTTTTGTTCTCTTTGAGAGAGCGTGTTAAAAAAAAAAGGAAAAAAGAAAGGAGGAGTTGTCGTGTGAGAGTCACTCTCACTTCGTCGGAGTCTTTTTATTCTCATCTGCTTGGAATACTGATGGGCGCTAGTGTAGCTGATGCCCGCGCGCATCACAGTCTTAGTTAGCAAGCTTGTTGCTTTAATAGTAGAGTGTCACAATGGACACAGTGAAGAATGGGAATCAACTTGCTCAAGAGCAAGAGTTTGAGAAGGAGTTCTTGGCGATGCGCGCACGGATCGACTTCGATATTAGAAGGAAATTTCCTTTTAAACCCATCGAGGGTGAAGCGCGTCGCTTCATTAAGAAGCTCAGGTTCTCAAGACCGGGTCAGATCTTCGAGTCTTTTAGGAAGACCTTGGAGGAGAGGCTGAGAGGAGCTAGCGCACTAGATGCGGCCATGAAATGTCGGATGACCGCCCACATCTTCAAGTTCAGCAAGAAATTTGCTATTGGCTTGATGCACTCGTTGGCCGACCAGTACCTTCCAGAAGATCAATTCTTCTACACACCTTTGTTTCGGGGGGCAACTACGGTAGGCCCCACTGGCGCGCCAGACTATTGGCCGGACCATTGCAGGCCAAGGCCAGAAAGAGAATCAATCGCTTCACTCCCGGCGAACATCGAGTCGTTTAAGTCCGCAGCTGCCCCAGATTGGCCGTTAGAAGACGCATTGTTTACGTGGCAGGGCTCACTTATGGAGTGTCTGGAGCCTGCGAAGGAAGATATCAGCTTCCTAATGCAGCCACAACATGTAGAGTTGGGTTGGAGTGGTGTTCTGGAGTTGCTGCCCCTGAACTGCCGCGGGTGTGTAGCCAACCTTCTACTTCTCTTCCTGTGGGGAGAAACGCCAGGCACCAACTCCTTAGACGGTCCCTTCTCCATCGCAGACGCAGAAAAGAGGGGTTGGCGGCTCTTGACACGGAGATTCCCAACCCGTCAGGCGAGTAAGATTCGTCTCATCGACCCGCTTGTGCCGCAAAACAAGGTCTCGACCTTGGAGAAAAGCGTTCCCATGACGTCGGCGGGTGACATCTTGGCACAGGCGACTGCGCTTCATGACGTCAATCTAGTAGATCAGCCAGTGTGCAAGATGAATAGGAAACTCATCAAAGAGGCACTGAAAGAGGAGAAAGCATACGAGAAAGACGCTTGCGGTTTCATTTGCGACGGCGGTCCTTCACCGTCAGAGAGGTGGTTCCACAAGAGAGCTCATCCGTCACGCAAACACGAGTTTTGTAACGATCCCAGCGCGCAGGCGCAGTCTCGCAAAAGGTCTGCTGATCAAGCACAAGCTTCCGACGAATCCATCTCCTTTGCGGTTATCGCAGTTTCCTTGTTCGTTGTGGATATCCTGAAAGCCTACAACAATGTGCCGATCCGAGATTCTCATCTCATCTTCAACCGGATCGCTGTTTGGAGTCCAGTCCATTCGGCCTTCTTCGCCTTCCAGTGCTTAGTGTGTGCTTTCGGCAACGTTCATAGCGTCACGTGCTGGATACGTGTCTCATGGGGTGTCCGCCTCATTTTTCGTCGGATGCTGTTCGCTCTTTTGGAGTTGTACGTCGACGATTTCTCCGGCATTGCCCCCACTAGGTTGGCGCAAGAACTCTTGGACTGTTTCATCTGCTTTCTGGATTTTTTAGGCTTGCCGTATGCCAAACGCAAGGTGAGCATCGGCGCCGACATTGAAGTTTTAGGGCTGCTCTTTCGGCTGTCTGGCAGACCCTTCTTCGAGGTCTCGAAGGACCGCGTTTTGCACATCGTGAAAACGATCGACTCCATCTTCAACGAAGGGAAGCTTGAGCCTCCCGCTGCCAGGAAGCTTCAAGGTAAGCTGTTCTTCATTTTTGTGTCGCTTGTGGATCGTGCCGTCAACCCTGTGCTCAGACCGTTAATCAACCGGTCTGAAGAACTCGACGGCACAAGTGCGCTCACACATCGCTTGAAGCACTGCCTGGAAGTTGTCAAGTTCCTCGTCCAGCAGCCAATGAAACGGTTTGCGAAATTCTGTGGTGACGCGAATGTCGGCAACATCATCTACACCGATGCGTCGTATGCAGATGGTTCGGGAAGGTTGTCGGGGGTCAAAGTCATTGTTCTCGATGATGGCAAACTAAAATTTTTGTGGTTCACTTATCTCTTGTCTAAAGATGATCTTCACCCATGTTCCGGGCGCCAACCTATCTCCTTTTTAGAAGCTATCGCACCATCGCTAGCAGTCCGACTCTTTGAAAACTTTGTGGGTAACAGCTTTCATACTTTTGCGGTGGATAATGAGGCGGCCAAGTCGTGCTTGTTAAATCAATCCTCTCAAAAACCTCATATGGCCTTCGCGGCCTTCCTGTTTTGGTCTTCTATTTCGCTGTGTGGAGGGAGCGCGTGGCTTGCTCGTATCCCTTCGGCACTCAACATTGCTGATATTTTTAGTCGTTTGGATAAGATGGAAATCGCTTTGCGGCTTTTTCCCCAACTCTTTGAAGAAGTTCCTCTCTCTGACGATGATGTCCGGTTTTGCAAGGGCGCCCTCTCGCTCAATCCTGTTTTCCCTGGCGCACTTGTGCAGCTTGATAGCAAGTTTTTCCTCCCACAAGATGATGACTCTCATGACTCGGCGGAAGACACTCCTTTTAGAAATAATCCGGAAATTAGTCACGATTTTCTTGATTCAGATGATGGCAAATTTCAATCCTAATGCATACTCGCCTTTGGTTTTTTTTTAAAAAAAAAGAATTCAATGTATCACGGATCCAAGTCATTTTGCGTTAAGCCATACAGTATGCTAGGCATAGTTTTGCAAACACAGGTTTTTTTTTGACCGTTGGTTGTGCTGACTTTTCCCGACGGAATCATGATGATCTCAATGTTATACATTGGTCCCCTGTTGCAGTCCCGACGAAAATGTTTGTCAGCACAAGGAATCCGAATCGACAACGAATTGTAGAATAGCGCTCAGATTGGTCCCGATTTTGGTCTCACACCTCTTTGTCATCTGTAATTTCCATTACTGGCCCATACCTATTCCGGGGTAGGCGCAAAGTCCACTTTAGTGGTCATTTCCTTGATTCTTCCAAAGTTCGGTGTGATCCCGTGTCGGGCGCCAATCCACATGGCGCGATTTGTAGGGAACTGATTCTATAGTTTGATGTCGAGTTCGGATCGAATAAAGATAATCTTCGTCTTTCTAATCTCAAGCTCACTGACTAGCAATGCAGTTGGCGCGCCAACGCTGATCGATCCAAGTGCGGCATTCCTTTCTGCAGGTCCCAACCACCTTCACGTGTTCATCTAGAAAAAAGTCTGATAGATTTGTAGGGTACATGCAAAAAGCAAACGTGTTTTCTCCCATCATTGAACTAGGCTGTAGGGACAAGGTAATCATGATGAAATTAGACCTATCTCCACCATCGACATCCCGCAAAGGTCGTTCGCCAATGGCTGCCGACGCGGTACCATTACCAAGTGAAGCTGAGCATGATGATGGGCTGATCGACTTCAAGGAGCATGGGAAGTTGTTAGACGTTTTAGCGAGTGCGGATTTGTACTATTTCGTAAGGGATGCAAGAAGTTTGCGTGGAAACTTTGAGACGGATGCTATGGCTTTCTCATTCTAAAAGAGAGCAGCCCCAGTTGGGCGGATTACAGAGTTGTATGTCAAAACTCAAGAGCAAACTCTTTGTTGGATCTTACTGTGATAAAACGTCGACCGTACTAGGGGGAGTTACAGAGTCAGTAGACGTGTAGTTCTTCTTCTTCGACAACCTTCTAACACCAAGGCAAAAGAAAAAACGATTGAGCACGTACGTGAGGAGATGACGTCACTACTAGATACCTATGGAAAAGCGGTTGATCCGAGAGCAGCAAGTGGAGCAGCAGGTGGAAGCCAAGATGCAGGAGACCAAACTTCATCAGCCGATGCTGCAGCACTTCCAGGAGCCAAGGCAAATAAAGCCTCCAAGGCTCCACGAGCATCAATGTTCGACAATTCTACACAAGTGCGGATGTTTGATCGCGAGCCTCATAGGATAAGCGTCGCGGAAAGTTAAGGCTAGTCTGCCACTATCCGTTTGTGAGGTATGCATCTTCTATCCCGAGTGAATGGCATCCTCTTGATAATTTGTTCAAAAGTATACCCAAACCAAGATGAGGGAAAAAACTGAAACAACCACTCGCCCACTACCCCGTACATACAACTATCTGATAGTGCAAGTGACTATTTTCTTTGTATACACCTTCCGTGAGAAGGAAGCCAGGGCGCCCTATCCTCTATCTGATAGTGCCTTCATTGATTACAACCTTCTTCATTGACTAAGTATCTTTATCTGATAGTGCCTCCCCTACCCCTTTATTGGGACTAAGTACCTTCTTTAAGAAAGGCTACGTGAGCGAGAACGTGTTCTGCCTCCTCAAATGCGATGGGTAGTTCGGAGCGCGCACAAAGTCCCGCGTTGTGTGCAACTTGCTTCCCACTATTGCGCAGAATTGGATTACAAGCTGAAACAGTTGCTGCAACCCGAAAAGCCACTTGCAGCGGCGCCATTTAGCGGAGGAGGAGGAGGAGGAGGAGATGATGGGAAAGGGAGTATTAGGAAGGCTGTTTTGTCTATGTACATGTAGTTGATGTTGATGGTGCTTACGCTTACTTAAGATTTTTGACGATATTTCTGGTTCTTGTCGTGAAGCGAACAATTATAGCAATAGCGGTAAGCTAAAGCTACCAGTGAAAAACTTCTAAAAAAAGTAACATTCCCAATATAGCCGCCAGTTCAGGAGACCAAGACGACGGCCCATCGCCATCCGGTAGGAGACGAGCGGAAGGAGAGGCGCGGCAAGTAGAAGAAAGTGGTGAGGAGGAAGGTTATGGCTTTGGCTTTTTATACTTTAGGTGGTCGTGACAGTAATATTCATGCTTTAATTTTTCAGACGTCGTTTTTGAGATGAGCGTGAATTTTTGCGAAGAGTTCTAAGAAGGAGTGGACGACGCAAGAGGCCAAGAACAGCAGACTGCTAGCGGAAGACTGATCGCAGGATCACGGGACTTTCTGCTGTCAGCGATGTCATGCACGACGAAGGATAGTGGACAATCATAGGTAGCATTACAACTCAATGTTGTTGTATTGATGTTCTCTCCGATGTTGCCATGGTGAATGTAGGGCTCTGGTATTTGCTAACCTGATTTCGATCGCAAGGATTTCCTTCTTGTTTTCCTTATGATCGAAATCAGGTTACCAAATACCAGAGCCATTCAGTGAAAATGCTCACATGTTGTGGCGAAGAAGATTACTATTTTTGTTGTATTTTTTGAGAAATTTTGTTTTGAATTTCATTTCAAGAAACGATAGTGTACTATAGCAATCATAGCAGCGGGTAATTTAACACAGTAGGTCCTGAAGGGAGAGAGAGAGCTGTAACGGCCGTAGAGTATTTTTGGGCAACTTCAAGATCGAAAGAGAAGAACAGATTTAGGAAGAACATCCCCACGACTGATGCACTGTGCATATTTGTTTCCTACTTGTTTTTTTCCTCGTGAAGGCCAGGAGGAACAGAAAAGGATGGAGAATGTCAGTTTGTGAGAGCTGCAGATCAAAAAGTTGAGATGCTCTAGGCATGTTATGGTAGAGGAGAGGAAAACAAGTCAAACTCTGTACTGTTGAGTGGTCCCTGGGTGTGTTATGGCTGAGGATGCGCTAGCTGTTTTGGCTATAGTGATCGGAATCAACGGAATCCACGAAAAATGTAATTATTGTGCTATGAGTTGTTGCCTTGTTCATGCGGAGGCGGGTACTATAGTTGATGCGGTCCGTTCTAGGCCGCAGCTGTGATCCGCACGAAGGACGCAATTGCGGTAAGGGCTCAAGAAGATGCCTAGTGGACAGCCGGAAGCTACAACATTTTCTGCCAGGAAAAGTCTCAGTGCTAGTACAAGAGCGGTCATGGAGGTTCTATGGCCAGGTTGCTGGCTTTTCTGACTTCTCGTAACGCATTTCAAACAGGTCGATTCTTGGCCTACACTACATCAACATGATCAAGCAGGAAACGACCATCCCAACTCCTTCTACGCAAGGGACTCACGGTCATCAAGCGCAGTCCATGAACAACTGTTAAAACTCAATCACGCACGACACTATGTGTTTCGCCTCCGGACTACTTACCTTTTCTCAATCTTCTGACCAAAACACCAACAATCAAAGCCGAAAGGAGGTAACCTACTACGTCGTACTAGCGGGACTACGACTGTGATACGGTCTCACGGATTAGTACGTCTACCTACAACGACCACTAGCAGGACTTCAACTTGTACCTAATCCATCAAGAAAGCCATGATGCAGGTGGCATCACGAGAGCGCATCTGCGAGGCTGGCTCTGCTGAGGGTTGGATATTCCCTCTGTTCGAAGCAGAGAAGGACCTACCAAAATTAAGGGTTATCACATTACATTCATCACTACACACTGACTACTATCTTTGACTTGATGTTCTCCAGTAGGAATTGGGTCCTCAGGGATGATCTGTGACGATGAATGCAAAAATCTAACAAATGGAGTTTTAGCAGCGATCTACATTACATTCCTAGCATACCTCTTCCTGGGCATCGCGGTCGGTTCTGACGTGTTCATGACGTCAATAGAGGCGTTGACGAGTATGAAACGCGCGGTTGTTGTTGGCGGGAAGACGGTAATGCTAACGTAGGAGATGTCAATCACTTCACACTTCACAGGGAATGTAAGTCACGTACGGTAATGTAGTTAAGCTTCACGTCCACCTTTCGCGTCAACCTTTTGGAGGATGCAACGAACATCATTTTGGAGGATGCAATGAAGTACTCCGTATAATTGTGTTTCTGTCGATATACTCGAAAACTGAAGATAAGCGAGTAGCTAAACTTGCTTATTTCAGTTTATCCAACAACTCACCGTATCTGAATACTACAAAGAGCTGACAGTGAAGACAAACTTAAAGAACTACTCACTCATTCCTCTGATCGACGTGAACTACTCACTCCAACATCAACGAACAGGTTCACGTCGATCTTTGGAATGAGACTGTAGCAACGTTGACGCTGATGGCGCTGGGCTCGTCGGCTCCAGAGATACTCCTAGCAACAGTGGAACTGGTCCAACGCGATTTCTACGCTGGAGAGATGGGTGTTGTTAAGGCCTGAAGTATATGATGACTATGATTTCACTCGTCTTGGTGGCAAATTATGCCACCTATTAAGCCGTTGATGGCTTTGTGCGCCCTGATAAGTTTTGGAAACTTTCACATGCACATTATGAGTTAGTAACTTTTTTTTCTCTACTGATCTCCAGGTACAGCTAGTACAGCTAGCTCATCCTCATGTTCATCAGTTCCTATTCTTATTATTCCATACTTTGTATTTTTTGACTGATCAAGGAAGTAAAAGGACGTGCAACGAAAATAAGAATTGAAATTATACCTTTTACTATATTAATTTGTCAAGCTCCTCTCTCACAATCTCCCTGTCCAGCCCTATCTACCTTCCCTCCCTTCTCCACCTCTCTCTCTCTCTCTCTCTCACCTCTCTCTGTCTCTTTTTCTAACTTACGCACCATAGTGGGTTCAGCAGCCTTCAACCTGTTTCTGATCATTGCGGTGTGCATTTGCACGATTCCAGATGGAGAGTCGCGCGTGATTCGGGAGTTTGGGGTCTTTAAAGTATGCACACTCTTCATGCTCTGTGCTTACCTTTGGATATTGGTGTGCTTGGAAGTGTGTTATGGCCGTGGCCGTTACTTAATCCTGAACACTTGTTTAATCCTGAACACCAGTTTGGTTGTAGGAAAAAGCTGTGCATGGTGTGGCGTGCTGTACAACTTTTTAGGTGGGGAAGATATAAGATTAAGTGCAAAGAATCTGCGACCTGCGGGAGCCCTGCAGCAGTCTTCACCTCTGTCTGTCAGCACTCGACATTCCACATTTCTACATCTACTCCCGGTTGGGATCCCCTCTTCATACGAAGACGCCTGGGCAAATTACTGCAATCGAGGGAGTAATTACCTTATTTAGGGGTTACCGAATTGCATCCTTCACTACCATTTTTGGCTTAGTTTCCCATAGGAAAGAAGTCGAGGATGATCTGAAGAATGTAATTGCGCAACCCCTAACTTGTTGTTTTTTCCTCTTCTCGTTCTTGTTGCGTATCGGACGTCTCTGCTAGACCAGGACGCTGAGGAAAAAGCGGATGCAGGTACTTAATCTAATCTAGTAATATGATCTTTTTCTTTCTCCATCATGATCAAACGAGGATTCTCCTGCTCGTCCACCGTGATGTCCTCCTCGCGCTTTACTTAGTAAGTCAATGTAAGTAACCAAATTAGTTACTAAGTCAAGTAAGTGTAAGAGTACGAGTAGTTGTAAGTAATAATGTTGATCTTCATTTAATCACGCACAACCTTCACGACCTTGTTCTCAACTACAACACCAGAAAACACGGACCCAGCATCGGTCGTTCCAACTCGGTCCGAGCAGGATCGGCGCCAACTATTAAAGCGTGTAAACGCATTTGCGGCTGACGACGATGCGCAAATACTGCAGAAAGTCGTGGACTGGCACCTGAGGAATCCCCATGTCTCGGAAACGAATCTTCTGCGTCTAATGGAGCAGGAAGCCTTGAAAGTGACAGCTCAGCATGTGTGCCCCAAAGACCACCAAGGTGGCGGCACAGCAGGCCGAGTGCATGCCAGACGTTTAGCAAAACGATCTGCCGCTCTCACCTATTGCGTTCCCTCATGTTGTCGCAGATACCGGAAAATCACGGAGCAGAAGGCGGGCCGCAAGATCACAGCAAATGCGCACTTTGATGACACCTTCCTAGCTGATGTGGCCGCGACACGAACCTCGCATAAGTCTTCATCGGCAGGTGGAAATGGACATGGTGGAGCTGCAGAATCAACTGCAGCAGGAGCCTCCAATATAGGAGGAAGTGGCAGCACCACTACCACAGCTGGAGTCACAACTAGTACAACAAATCAAAACCATCAGCAACAAGAACAGGAAGAGCACCAGTGTCAGAGTCCGGCCTCTGCGGGGAGCGCAAAAGGGAGTCCACGTGGTGGGTCGACGATGCACCTGAATAGCAATCGTGTTAAGGCTATTGATATTGTATCAATCGACTTGAAGTTGAACAAATTGAATGATGTTACAGCAAAACTAAAACTCTTTGTTCCTGTTCTTCAGCAATTCAAAATAACACCTCCTGGGGTTTGGTGCTTAACAAGAATGCGCTCATGTTGATGTACCTACGAGTCAAGTACCACTCACTACACTGTTGTACGACGATATTCTAGGACTACACCAGATCTAATTCATGAGATCCGCAGCTAGCTCAAGCTTCAGCACCTCAGGGTGGAGGAAGGAGCTCTATTGCAGGTGGCCTCACAGCCATGATGAGTATGAAGACTGTGGGAGCAAGGAAATCACACCAAACGCAGAGTGTGTCTACAACGAAGATAAGCTTCATGACAGGAAGCTACACAGTAGTCGAGAACATGATATGAATGAAGATGTTTTTTCTCCCATAAATATTTAACAGGAGACCATGAAGATCGAAGCTGGTCGTCCCCCTTTTGTTCATCCCCTTAAAACTGTACTATTTAGGTTTTTAAGGGGGGCCTCGATGGTCTGCCTCTAGAGGGGAGATGAAAAAGCATCATCCATACATAGAGAAGGTAGTTCTCAACTTGCATAGGATTGTTAAGGCTACCTCTGTTAAAAATGATCCATCTTGGGAAATTAATACCCTGCAGCTGTCTCTCTCGCAAGGAGAAAGACGAAGAGGCATCAAAAGAAGTATCAGGATACAACAGGAACAGCTCGAGATGGATATTAACAGGTTGACCTCAGAGCATTTTAGATTCTAAGATGGGGCCTTTGTCTCATCGCGTGCAAATGGACTACAGGACTAGGGATGGGACAGCGATATCAGATAAAAACGCCCCTCCAGGCACACATCCAGACTATAAACATGTTGAGGCGACACTGGTGTTCGAACCGGGACAGGTACTCCTACTGGGTTATTTACTTTCACACGATTATGCTGTTTCCTCATCAAAATGAGACTACCGAATACCAGAACAATACACCTTCACGCAGGAGCTCGCACTTGCTGCCTCACTCACTGACTCACTCACTGACTCACCCACTGGCTCACTCACTGACTCACTCACTGACTCACTCACTGGCTCACTCACTGGCTCACTCACTGACTCACTCACTGACTCACTCACTGATTCACTCACTGACTCACTCACTGACTCACTCACTGACTCACTCACTGACTCACTCACTGACTCACTCACTGACTCACTCACTGACTCACTCACTGACTCACTCACTGACTCACTCACTGACTCACTCGCTGACTCACTCACTGACTCACTCACTGACTCACTCACTGACTCATTCACTGACTCACTCACTGACTCACTCACTGACTCACTCACTGACTCACTCACTGACTCACTCACTTACCCACTCAGTGACTCACTCACTCACTCACTCACTCACCCACTCACTCACTGACTCACTTACTCAATCACCTCCGGATCCTTTCCCACCACCCAGCAAAAAAAATATCCTTACATCAGTCGGAAGCACTGATAGCGATACCGATTTATGACGACGATGCAGCGGAAGAAGATGAGACGTTTTTGGTCGAGCTTGTTTTGGGGACAGGGCAGAACGATACGGATCCGGATGGAGTGGTCGTAGCTGGGAAGATTCCCATGGCAGAGGTCTTGATCATCGATGACGACGGACCCGGAACCCTCCAAGTTGCAGAGCATGAGATTCATCAAACGACTTATCTCTTATGATGAATATTACTATTTAATTGAAGATAATAATAGTATTTATAATAGGAGAGGTGCTTTTAGTAAGTAGCTGCTTATATATAATAGGAGAGGGAATATGAATAAGAGAGGATGGAAATGGAAGAAGAAGAAGAAGAGTACTTGAGTAGTTGTTCAAGTACTAGAGTGATCAGAAAAAGAAGAGTAGGACTTAAGTAGAAGTAGGTGTTCAAGAAGTAGAGTGATTCGTCTGAATGAAAGAACTGTCGAGACAATTTTCATCTCAATTTCCTGGGATGAAGTAATACTTCAAAAAGTTGACGAAGTTTCCTCTACTTGCACCGCTTCCTCTACTTCCGCCTCTTCCTCTACTTGCGCCGCTTCCTCTACTTCCGCCTCTTCCTCTACTTTGACCCCTCTAATCTCCCATCCAACCGAGGTAACTGTCATCCTAGAGCGTCGCTGTGGCATCACTGGCCGGCTAAGGTGTAGGTGGAGAACGGTAGGCGCAAGTGCAGTAGAAGGCAGAGACTTTGAGGCGGTGCGCGATGGCGTTGTCACAATGGAACATGGACAATGTTTATGACGAGAAAGATTATAAATGAAATCATGACAACTAGGGATTCATAGGCAGAGATCTCAACGAGTCCCTAGTTGTGGATGCAAACGATCGAGATTATGTAAGTAAATTAATACTACTTATACATAGTAGTACTTATCCATTCTACTTATAGTACTTTTCCAGAATAGGTAAGTAAGTAGATTAAAACTACGTCTTCTACCTAGTGTTCCTACTCAGAGTATAGGTAAAGTCATTACAACGAACATCATGACCAACATAAAGATGAGCAGTCCCGTGCCCTCTGGTGTCTGGTAAAGCTACGTCAACCAAATTCAAATAAGAAATTGATACTTTATAGACGTACTGTTTTGTCCTGCCTATAGGCTTGTAGTACTATATGTGACATGGTGATGATGATACATGTTCCATCCTCATCCTCTAAAACTCTCCGCAAAAGTGAGTGTGCCGATTTTAGCACAGAGACATACATGCGACACGCCGTTGAGTTTCTATGTGGTTTTCTTGGACCCGGAAGGCTTTGACTACTTCCTGGTCCGCAACATGTCAACCTCGTCCCTGTCTTAAGGTCAGCTTTTCTCGTGTCCATCTTTCTCGGCATCTCGGTACCCTTTTTTCCCTTGTATTCTCATGAAAAGAAACACAAGGTAAAAGAGGCCAAGATGAGGGGGCCGAGATGCAATCTAGCAGCCTCTAACTGCCTCTTTCGTCTCTGGGACTGGATCAAGACAAGGGAGCAAGGCTGGATGATCGGAGGACCCCTGGGCAAGCAAAGAGGACAGCACCACCTTTAGGCAGTAGTGTCGGGAATGGCAATGGAAAGCTTGTGGAAGGACAAGAAGAAGTAGCTGTAGCAGGAGGTGTAGGCGTGACGTCATCTCTTGGCGGTGGTCATCTTGGAGCAAGACAACAAGAAGAGGACGACAAGAATGAGAATCATGATGAGACGATGAATACTGCAACGACCAAAACAAATTATACTGGTCGTGATGAAGGAGAAGGACCAGCATCCTCTTCAACTTCATCGAGACCACAACCTTCTACCGAATCAAATAATCCAGCAAGACAGACGCTCCTTACAGCTTCATTCGGAGACCAGCGAGATTTGAACTCTCTGATGGAGGTGAGGGTAGTGCTACAACCAGAAAAAGGAGTAACGGCATATATCGAAGGCGTTTACGAATCCTTGCGGGAAATCAATGCGAGGATAAATGTACCAACTGTAGTTCTTGATGTTGTCTGCTGGGCAAGAACTTTGAAGATACTTACTCAGGAGAAGCAGCTAGATTTCTTATCTTTCTCAGTACAAATCTTAAAAACTCGTAGTCTAAGTAAAACTACGTACAGTATGAGTATGAGAGATATCTGCCTAAGTATTTTCGTCCAGCATCAAAACATCTACACCTCTCTCACACCAGGCTCACGCCTCCGGTTATCGAGAAGCTTTAGTGACAGCCTGTTTTCCTGGTGACGTAGAGGGGTGGGGATTGCATCTGTTGATGATGCCTTGGAAGGTGTATTTTGCAATTTTTGTTCCGCCTCCATCACTCGGACATGGTGCGGCAACTTTTGTGATGTCACTCGCATTGATGGGCTTTGTGGTGGCTTGCGTAAATGATGTTTATGGTGTTGATGCTGAATGTTTCTTGATGTTGATGTAGATGATGAAAATAGACAGATGACAGGGGATTGAGATTGTAGATTGTGCTCATTTTAGTTTTTCACTGCAAGCCTTCCGATGACTTGTTAGGCTATAGTTATGACAGTGACAGAGCCGGGCTGTACTAATTATTACAGCACGGAGGTGGATGCGGCTTTGTTTCTAGTGACGCAGCAATGACCTCCAAAGAGCACCCTGGGCAACTAAAACAACATAATCTAGTAGTACAGTTGCACGCACACCATATCTAATAGAATCTTCTTCTTCTAACCCATAGCCTTAATGATCGGGTGTGCCTTAGAAATATCCGATATGCTTACCGCATTGACTCTGGTCGCAGCCGGGACTTCATTGCCAGACACTTTTGCAAGTAAGATCGCAGCTGAACAGTCAGAATTTGTTAAGGCTGAGACTTCATTGGTCACTGAGAGTGGTTACCGAAGACATCAAAGGGAAAGCAGCTGCGAAACGTACTGCGCCCCTATTGGTGGCCAGAAAACTAATAGAGGAGGAGCACTAAGCTCCGCCTGCCGCCGGTTTGCGAACTGGATAGAGCTGAGGCCGCTCTTTCAGTAGCCCCAGGATACAAAAAAAAGAAAACTTTTCCTGAAATCTCCAAATCCAAATCCAAAGTGGGAGCTGTGTAAGGAGTCTTGTCCCTTTCGAATCAGTGACCAATGACTGCCGACCGTTCTAAATTTGCAGACGAAAGTATCACGAACGTAACGGGTAGCAATAGCGTCAACGTCTTCCTGGGGTTGGGGCTACCTTGGGTCCTGGCGTCGATCTACTGGGCGTTGGAGTTAGGGGTGTTTCTGAGTTGGAGAATCGTAGTTAGATAGTTTGCATATTGGGTGTTCGAGTATGGGTGGATCTAAGATTAATAGGGACAGATTTGTTGGGCTTTTTTAGACTCTTTCTCGTGAAAGGTAAAGAATCTCCAACATGAACATCTTCTGAGGCATGAAAATAGTAAGTAATACTTCTTCCCTCCATTCTTGTTCTTCAACTTCTAACCCCTGGCCCTACTGCTATGTGGCGTGGGCGATGCCAGCACATGGGGAGTAGCGACTTGACGAATTTCTGTCTCACCACAGACACAGCCACGTTCATCGTCCCCGTCCAGAACGTAAGCGCTGCGACGATGTCCTTCCTGTCTGCGGCGTTGGTCGCTGTGGCTCTGCTGATTTACTTATGGTGCGACTTCGATTTCTACGTACAATGTAATGATTTATTCTCTTGTTGATGTTGAAACTAGGTTGACATGATTACGTAGGAGCAAGTCATCATTTACACTTTCTCGACATTCCTAATCCTTCGGAGGACCTATTGCGGTGGCGAACTGGGGGGAGACCGAAATACGAAGAGAATTCACGCCTGCCTCCTCTGTCTACTCTGGCTCACAGTGGTTGTAGTTGTCTCACTCCTGTGATCAGCATGCGCTTGAGCAGCATACGATAAACGAAACAGAAGTACGTAGTTGCCTTAGTTAAGTACCTTACTGACGACTTTCAGTTCGAGTCAGAATCAGATAGGTGCTAGTAACGAAAATGTGTTGGAGAAAAAAATTAGCCTGTTGCAAATGTGTAGAAGTAGTTCGATTGAGATTCTTCAATAGTGTATTCGTATTCGAGGCATGAGTTTGTGTTGTATTCGAGGCACCATGAGAATTTGAATTATAGTGGCATCGTTCTTGAACAGTAAAAGACTTGAAGTAAGGCTAACAGATGCAATTGCAAAGTAGGTTCCAACATAAGACGAAACACATATGCACCTCAGTTTCTGTCATTTATAGCGGCGTGTCAGTAGCATTTTTTGTCCCCAAGTGATGACGTCAGTGACGTTTAGTCTACGGTTGACTTTTTTATCAGTTTCCTAGATAGATTTAGGTGGTTGCCAGATCGTCATCAGCGAGTGTTAGGTTCTAGTTTATTTGCAGCGTTGCATGTTGCGGTATATTTCTTGACTGATTTATTTGAGAAAGGTTGTAACAGTAACCTTACTCGTTTCGCTTTCCTTCTTTTAACAGTTGTTTCCAGAAGATGGCATAGAACAAGTTCGCCACGATTTTTACCTACAAGTAGCAGGTGTACGATTCAGATCATGCTTCAGACGATCATGCGACCAAGCAATGTCCCCAAGTTGTACTAGGTGGGAACCAGAAAGTACGAGATGGACGTTCCTCATACGGCTGATAGATGTTAAACACATTAATGTTGCATATTCACGCATCGGTCAATTATGGGCTCACATTTTCTGAGGTTGTAACGTGGTTGTCCCACTTTCTGAGGTTGTAACGTGGTTGCCGTTGCGTTTCCAGTACATCATGTATACAACCTGTTCTTCTTGGCTGAGAGGCATACATTCTGAGAGGCATACATTCTAAACCTAGTACGCCTCAAACGAGAAAGTAGACACAACAGCATCAAGTAGTAACAGTCTGAACTTAAAGATGAGTCATGCCGGACAAAATTCTGAATTTGATGCTGATTAGTTGAACAAGATAGCATCAGCATCATGAAAACCACGTAGGACGACTAGACCATAATTGCACAAGAAGTCCAGGGATCATGATGAATGCATTCAAATTCTTAAGGAGAAAGCCGTAGCTGCAGCTACCGGTGTTGATGAATGCTGCTACCTTAACTTAAAGCACCAGTGATGAATGCGGCGTGTGTGGGTGTGTGTTGGGTCCGCGCTATGCGCCGTAACGTTGCTAGCAATTTTCCTCCATATTGACCTCTATCTTCGACATCAAGAGCACTATGGAGGAGCAGTTCCATTGCCGGGGGATTCGACTGTTGTCGAAGCATCCAACCGCGGACCCAGTGACGATGGACATCATAGCCGAGCAGAGGTTAAGGGTTACCACATTGCATTCTTCACTACGATTCTTCGCCGTTTTTCAAGTAGAAAAATGGTGGAGGATGATCTAAAGAACGCAGTGTCACAACCACTAAGGAAGACGAGGACAAGAAGAAGACAGGAGTTGACGCGGGAGGGCAGGTGGCATCATCAGAAAATAGGAGTGAGGAGACTGTGGCATCATCAGAAAACAAGAATGTGCAATTACCCAATCCATCATCTTCAGTTTTGTCACCAAAAGGAGGTATTGAGGAGCCAAAAAGAGACAGCACGACCACGAAGAAGAATGAGGAATCAAACCAACAAGAATCTTCTTCATCAACCGATTCTGCTTTGCTAACAACTTTGCTACGAGGTTCCGGGAAGCTTCTCAATGAAGGGAACAAAGCAGGCTTACAACCTCCTCACCAAGATGGTACAGGTACAACTGGCGCTCAAAAAGAAACCCAAGCCACGGGGGGAACTACTACACCCGTTACGACCGCGCCAACCTCTAGTACAATCAAGAATGAAGCGACGTCTGCTTTATCAGCAACGACAACTACAGAAATTCCGAAGAAAAAGTACCCCATCGATTTCGATACACCAGCTGGAACCGCTTTGCTTCCTGCATCAGTAATCGGGGTCGTGGTGATGGCCTGTCGTCGCAGCGACTATCTGGAACGGACATTGAATGGACTGTTTGAAGCACGTCGCGAATTGGATCCTGATCAGTACCCGATTGTGGTTTCTCAAGATTGCCTGCCGAATAATGACGTTTCGAGAGTTGTCGAAGAGAAGTTTGGGTACTTACTATTCTCGACGCTATCTTGATCTTGAAGTCACTGTTGATGTCGCTGGTACTAGAGCGGTCTGCCACACTCTTGTTTCCTATCTGTTTTTAGTTGTCCTACAACTGGAAACTCGTAAGCGACATTTCAGCTTTCCGTATCAATGAAGGAAATCGTCAATGAAGGAAAAACCTCCTCTCCTTCTCCTACTTGTCACCTCAAAATAAACAGAGATCGCGTCCATGGTAGAATCCTGTACGAGCATGCGCCGATCGTCGCTCCAAAGGTTGAACCTGGGGAGTCTTCTAAGGGCACGCAACAGACGCTGTTGAAACTAGGCTATGCGAAGATTGCCAACCATTTCAAATACGCTTTAGAGAAAACGTTTAGTCGTTTCTGGCAAGCAATATTTCTGGAGGACGATTTGCAAGTGGCGCCTGACTTCTTTGGTTATTTTCGAGCGGCTTTGCCTTATTATGGATTTGGTTAGTTCCGTTTGGTTAGTTTGGTTGCAAACCAAAACTTTTGGAGTGTCTTCGTTCCTATTTCTAAGCGACGAAAACTTTTGGAGAGTCTTCGTTTCTATTTCTAAGCGACGAAAACTTTTGGAGTAGAGTCTTCGTTTCTATTTCTAAGCGAATCAAACTTTTGGAGAGTCTTCGTTTCTATTTCTAAGCATTATTATAAAAATGGGGCGATGCCATCCTGGTGGTCGTGGTGATGAGATTGTCTTTGTCTTTTTAGTCATACTTTTACGCAATCAATCTCTCTAAAAGTCCTACAAGATGATGAAGTTTTACTAGATGACTACTAGAGGGCTTAGGCGAGCGTCTGTTGAAATACCTCTGGCTAGGCACATTCATTTACTCATTCATGCTGGTTTTGATGACGTATAGGTAGTAGACAGCGACATCCGACATCCTCTCCAATCCCTCCTCATTCATAATTCCCTCCTCGACGAAAAGAGTCACTTGTTTTGCGTGTCAGCGTGGAACGACCAAGGGCTCACCTCCCTCGTAGAAGACGCAGCTGCTGTGCATAGGACCGAGATTTTTCCAGGACTCCTACGGCGTTCAAGGATTATTTTCATGTGGATTCATTTCCAAAGAGCCTTTTTTTTACCTGGTGTTCCTAGTAAACCTACTTAGGAGAACTTGAACTGACTAGACCTCATGACCTTCTTTCCTAAGGATGCGGATTAGGGTTTGGGTTTAGGGTTTAGGACTCTTGGAGACGCAATGATGGCCGTCGTGATGCCCTCCTCTAACATCTGGCTGGATGGCAACGCGCAAGCTAGTAGTGGATGAGTTGCTACCGCAATGGCCGCCAGGATACTGGGATGAGTTTATGCGGAAACCCGAAATAAGAAAAGATCGGCAATGCCTGAGACCAGAGATAAATCGAGTGTGGCATTTTGGTAAGTACCTGTTGATTTTTCTTGCTTCAGAGGATGGAAGAAACCTTTATGAGTTTACTATGACGCCGTGCGGCAGTCTGCGCTGAATTCTGCGCGAGATTAATTGCATTGTTTTATCGGAACTCGCTCGCACTACAAAAAAAAAAAAGTTTGTATTGTATTGTATTGTATTAGACCACCGGAATCGACGACGTCAAAAATAGAAGAAGCACCACCATCATGATATTTTTACTTCCATCTCTCCGCCTTCATCTAATCACAGGCTTCATAGGAGAGAGCCGTGGTCAATTTTCGAAGTATTGGACGAAGATCAGGATGAACGACAAGGCTTTTGACTGGCAATCCGAGGAAATGAAAGTCCGCATGCAGAGAGCAGGAGATCCTTATGGCTCCTTTGGCTGCAATATGATGATGATGATGCTGATGGTCTATCCTTTTAGTCCCAAAGCAACATCTCAGAAGATGAATGAAGTTACCGCGTCTCTATCCTTTTAGTCCCAACAGCAACATTCTGAAGATGAATGAAGTTACCGCGTCTCCATCTGCTTGATAGGGCTCCCAACAATATTGATGAACAATATGAGTCAGGCGTAACTCATAGAGCTCTAAAAAACGACTCGCTATGAGGCATACATAGCGGCGGAAATCGGACGTGCGAAGGATATTGCATCGCCGGGTGAGATTCAAAGATACACTGCTGAGGGGGGTCGAACTACGTCTCAAGATAGGCCAGCATATGTCCTGCGATACCGAGATCTACCATCTTACCTGCGAATCGCGTCTGTCTTTTATGCAGCCCATGCTGTTCGTGTTTAACAATGTTTTTTACCCATATTATCCTAGCGCAATCTAATGTTCCCCACCTGACGATGCGGCTGTAGAAGATAGTAGAATAGTCAGTGGTCGTGCAGTGTATCATTCGAGCTGCGTTCGCGCAGCAACTACGAGGAAAATATTCTTCTTCACATCTACTGTATCAGTGACAATACCTTTATCAGGTCGCAACGGAATCAGGCAGCTTTCTTGAGTTGTCACGTGGTTCGCAAATGAATGAATGAATGAATGAATTTATCAACAATATCAACAATGAAGCTTGCTAGTTTTTCTGGCGGGCCCCCACCTAACCTAACCTAGCAAGCAGTGCAAACGATCACTACAGTTGTATCTACGGTGAAGAAGCCTCCCTCAAGGGGCCTAAGCAGCCAGCAAGCTAGCTATGGCTAAGCAGCTAGCTATGTAGCTATGGCCAAGAGTGCAAGCAGTCTTCGCCTCGCTCCAGCAGCTCTGGAGCCTTGTCCCCTGCAGCTTCCTTGTAACTAGCTAGTTTAACTACCTTAACCACCTATAGAAAATTTCAGGGAGTCCTCTTCCCTATCTTCGTCTAATTCATCCAGCTGATGCCTGACATGAAGGAGAACAACGTACGCGGATCTTATAGGCATGTCCTGCCGTTTTTTTGGGAGGGCAACCGCATCTACCTAGTCCGCTATTGGCCCAAGGAGAGTGACCGGGGTGTCTATCCTGCATGGAAGCTAGGTGATAAGAAGCCAGGTGATAAGAGTTCTTTGACATTATAGGCTTAGGATAGGTTGCTTCTCCACTCCAATCTTTGCGTGAGATCCATCGTGTGTATCATCTATGCCGCCCTTGTGGCAGTCTGCACTGAACTTTGTGCGAGATAAATTGCCTTGTATTGTATATAATTGTACTTGGACGCGAGCACGACACTCACGCCAGGTGATAAGAATTATTCGGACAAGAGCGCACCTTTGGTAGCAATTTAGAAAGAGCTTCTTCGACGCGAACGCGACACCCACGCCATCAACTTAGAGACAGCTGCATCATAATCCTTCATCAAGGATGACATTATACTTTTCTACGCATGACGAGGTAAGGTGTTCCTGGCGATCTTCATGCTATGGAGTTTGTGTCGTACTCCTACTCGTAGAAGTCGCCGCTTGGATTTTTTGAATCTGAAACTAACATGTCAACCATAAGCTTTACAAACCAACTTCCTCCAGAACCTCTCCTTTTTCCCCAAGTGAAGCCAAGTCCCTTTCGCGGCCCCACCACCACGCACTACAGTGAGATCCTATACAAATTCTGTTGCTTGCACAAACTATTTTTTTGAGCAACGATGAGTGTTGCTGCTGCAGGCAAAAGCCTTCGGGGAATGCGTGTTTCTCGTGTCATTTCATCAGGCCCGACACGGATATGTGGTCCCAGAGAGAGTCATCGAGAGACCAATCAATAGCACCAATACCAGATTACCACTACCCTCCCGCATATTGCGAGCTACTCCATTCTTCTTCTTCATGTGCCGTGGAGTGTAGAGGTAGATCTTTCGAAACACGTGCATGAGCAAGTAAATGTAGAGTCAGTGAGCATTGCAGATTCTACATTTACAGACATATAGATGTAGTACTAGAAGCGGTTGTAGCTCTTCGTCAGACACGAGTCGTGGAGAGCACACCTTTCGCGAGCCCTGCGACTCCAGGGATCGGAGGGAGAGGGATATGAGGACAATGCCTTCCTCACTCTTGTTTACGGAAATTCTCCTAGACATAAGTACTCCTTGTTCTTTCACTCCAAATCTGAAATTTCTCTCATCGATCCTTGCCTGTAGTTTGTTCGTAGCATGCGCGTTTTCAATGATGTTCTCGGACGAGTTCTCCTTCTCCTGTTATATTAAAGATTAAGATTTAATATTACCGAAGATCTAGTTGTTCCTCTTCACAACTTCTAATAACCCGTTGCCTCGACAAGTAGCGGACGCGCCTCTCGGAGGACTCTACATCTTTTGTATTCGTGCAGATGCAGCAGACAACGAGACCAGTGCTAGCCCTCTTGTGCCAGTGGGAAAGCAGCGGACTCAGCATATTATGCATAGTTCGTGTTAGTGGTCATGTGTGTACAAAGAGATCTTTGATTACAGAGGCCCTCAGATGAATTTGAATAACGTGGACGTTATAGGAGAATATGGGATAGCGATAGTGAAGAAGTATTCATCTGTGTACAAAGAGCTTGATCGTAGCGGACGGTTAAGGGGGGTCTGTTCTCCTGACCTCATATTGCTCAGACTACGAAAGACATTTTCTCTAATCGTTGCAGTCCATTTCCTTTACTCATTGTTGGATTTTGCAGTCTACTGTGTACGTCTTACGTGAATTTCAGATCTGGTGGAGCGTTTCGGCAGGTCATCGATTACACCTCAAGAGCAGGGGCTTTGACTCTTATGGCATTATTCGTTGTAATTACCTCTTTCATTCAGGGCAACGTCAAGTAGAAGAAGGATGAGAATAAGTCCTCTCGCTCTAGCTATGCGAAAACATCTAAGTCGAAAAATGATAATGATCTCGATGGATGGAATTTGTCACTGTGTCCTCATCGAGTAGAAGAAGGATGAGAATCATTCAAACCAAATGAATCTCAAGTAAGGGAAGTATCTATGAGAATACTACCCTACAAGCTACAAATCTTCTAACGACGCAGCGACGTCAACAACAGCGGGTGCTCTTCAGCCTGTCTTCTCCGCAAGTGGCGCTACTGGATGGGCACTATTCTTCACACTCGGGTCAGCTTGTTCGTATCTACGAACCTATTGTCTCGAAGAAGTACGTCTTTGTTTCGAAACCAGACTTCGTGCTGCGGTTTTCGCAGATCTAATGCAGAGACCTAGCTATGAGAGGACGAAAGCGCAAACACAACGTGCTCAAGGACAACATTCTTCGGACAAAGAGAAGAGTATGAAGATGGTCGATCATGTAGGAGGAGATACAGAAGCACCTGCAAAAGAATCATCTGCCACTTCCTCTTCGCCTCCTGATGAAATATATCAACAAAGTCCAACACCAACGTCAACTTGTTCTTCCGAGGAAGCGACCAAGCAAAGCGCGGTCTATGAAATGAGTCTACTGAACCAAGATGTGGATGTGCTGGCCGACTTTTACACCTTGAAAACGGGAAATATATTGCGGTACTCATCATCCCTCTTCGGTGGAAGCTGTGCCGCCTTCTACAGCTGTGCTATACTTGCGGCTTGGGGGTATACGACCTATGACTATATTATCTATCTAATGGCTGATGAGTTGAGAAAGTGGCTCGATTATACTAAGGAGCTAAATAAACTAAAAGCACACTGATGAATTTTTTAAGTAACCTCCTACCTTCCATTTAGCAGGAAGTTGGTAACTCCCCCACTGTGTTAGAGGTGTGCTGAAAATCTTGACTGGCTCCTTCCTTTCTTATAAGGATGGGGCTTAGGTCCAGCGATGCTTAAAGCACGAAAGTAAAGCAGCCGGTTAGTTTTCACCTCTATCCTTAGGCTTATCCCTTGAAACAATTCGCTATCTGATGGACATGGCGGTCGAGTTATAAAAGTCAGGAATATACTTTTTGCTTGTTGTAGTTGGACCCTGCTCGGAGGCGATCACCACGTCCCCCCGCACGTCCTCCGTGGGGCGCTTTGCCTACGTTCGTCTCGACACCTCGCGTGAAGATTCAGCAACGGCGCCCTAAACCCTAAACGAAACCTATCCTATCCTATCTCCTTGGTCGGTAAAAACAAGGCAATACCTAAACCCTATCCTATCCTATCTCCTTGGTCGGTAAAAACAAGGCAATACCTAAACCCTATCCTATCCTATCTCCTTGGTCGGTAAAAACAAGGCAATACCTAAACCCTATCCTATCCTATCTCCTTGGTCGGTAAAAACAAGGCAATATTTCCTCCACGAATATTTCCTCAGGATTCCGATCGTTTTCGGCCTGGGCTATTTTGTTGCTAGGCGTAGTGGATCTAGATCCAAAAACAAAATCCAAAAAAGAGAAGACGATAACTTGTTGCTAGAGGAGCACGCGTTTGCTCGAATCCAGGGTGCGGCAGTTATCCGGTGTTTCGGAAGAGGAGAGTCGGAGACGAAAGAGTTTTCTCGACTCCTCGTAAAACGTTACCAGCAAGAGCGCGCAACGGGGAAGCGAAGAGCTCAATTGATGTTATGTTTGAAGTTTCATTTTTGAAGTTACAGATATAGAACTTTTAGTTTTAGTGTACCTGTAGTTGACCCTTCACCGCTTTCTAATCCCCGGTGGAGTGGACTTGGTTTTGAAATCGAGCCTGCTGGCATTAGCCTCAGGAGGTTCCGTCTTGGTCCGTCGTGCACAGATAACCGGAGGCCAATTTGTGCATTTTCTGTTGAGTGCTACGATGGCCGGTCTAGGCTTCTACGGCCTTCTTGGAATAAGCAAAGACTTGGAGTCGGCCAGAGCAGCAGCAAGCAGGCTCGCTTTTTTGCTGACTGAACCACGAGAACGAGAAGTGGAGGAGGAATCCATAAAACTACCTGCCGTGGACGAGGATTTCCACGTAGTCGATACTGTTGATGCAACAGGATGTGTACTAAAAGAAAGCACAACTACTACAGAAATCTCGACAACCTGTTCCTTGAGTTCATCGGTCGTAGCAGAGGAGGAGTACAACAGGGGTTCTGCAAGTGCAACATCCTCAACGTCACCTCCGCAGCAGCTAGGTACAACTACATCAGACAGGTGGACGAGGCGTCAGCAGTTTCCCAGAGCTTCCCATCATCGGATACTAGTGCCGACTCCTGGGGACCCAAGTAGCTCAAATACCCTGGTAGAATTACGTGGAATAGTGGTTGTGCACACCAATAGAGCTTCAACCTCGCAGGGGAGCGCAACGGATGGTAGTCGTAGTTGCACAATGGAGAAAAGCCCACCATCTTCGAGTTCTCCAAGACGGTTACGAAGAAAGTCTAAGTCAAAGTCTTATATCTTACTTTTTGCCCTTTGATGTCGAGACAAGTGTCACCAAGCACCTTCGCATCGTCCTTTTCAGAAGTCGTTTAAGTGAAAGCGTTTTTGAGCCAAAGAAGTTGGATCGTCTATTTTGAGACTTACTGAGTCGTTCTCAGCGACTACACGAGGATGGCTCTTCTACTCTAATCTAGAGATGAGCAGGAGAGTCTCTGTACACCATGCCTCTGCTCTAATCAACAGAAGAGGTCCTCTGGAGCAAGAATGCAGGTTGCTGTTTCCGGCGCCAGTGAGCCTGACAATCAGCAAAGGCGATATTATCGGCGTCTATGGCCGATCAGGATGTGGAAAGAGTACGCTGATTGATGTACTCCTAGGTGAACGAGTACCGAACCAGGGACATGTGTTCTTTCGTTCAACTGCATCGACAGCATCTGGAGGGAATGGAAGTTAATATGAGATACTATCCTATAATCAATCAATGGAAGTTAATATGAGATATCCTAATCAATCATTCAATCTCTCTTAGATCATGCTGCATCAACAGCATCATCTAGAGAGACTCTCTAGATGCTCAATGTGTCATGTCATGTTCTCATTTCAAGTACATACATCTAGCTTCTCCTCATTTTTCGTCTAAAAAATCGAGAAGAATGGCTTTCCAGAGTTACGATACGTGCCCCAGCAACCGTCTGCTATAGGCCGAAGCATCTTCGAGAACTTGACGTTCGACTATGAGCAGGGGGACCACGATCACTCGCCCAATCATTCCTCGAAGGATGGCGCCAGTGTCCTCGATCTCTCTGCAACTACAACTGTCGACAAAAGCGGAGTGCAAAGCGCTTTAGAGCTGTCTTGCGCGTCTGAATTTGTGTCGTCTTCAATCGAGAAACACAGCAACCAGAATGCAGAACAAGACTCGGACCAACTGCGGGAGAAGACATGCACGCAGAAACGGGTACTGACTATCTTTTATGTTTCTACTTCTAGCTTTTATGTTTTTTCTCCGTGCTGCACAGTTTTACCTTGTATGGTTCTGGTATTTGGTAACCTGAGTTTGATCCTAAGGGTTCTCTTCTTGTTTTCCCTTAGGATCAAACTCAGGTTACCAAATACCAGAGCCATTCATACATGCGGACTAACGCAGCCGTAGAAGGACTACAATGTTCTAGAAGTACAGCTTTAGGACAATTGGGTACAACAGATCTTATATTTTTTTCGTTCTCGCCGAGTGTCGTATAATGTCGCCAATTTGTGGTCCTCTACGATCCCTAACCCACGACTAGCACTACTTAAATTTGAAAAGAATGAACAAAAACCCCTCAACAGGAGCTGCATTCCAGTGTCGACGGTTTGAGCGGTGGAGAGCTTCAGAGGTTGTGTCTTGCACGCGCGCTCTACCAGAAGGACTCGATCTACCAGAAGGACTCGTCCTCTTCGTCTTCTAGTTCTTCCCGGCGACCTAGGCTCTACATTTTTGATGAGGTCACTTCTCAGCTTGATTCGGCTACGGAAAAGAAAGTATTGGGGAGACTTTTTGGTGCAGCAGAGCAAGAAGATAGTGGTTCTGGAGTAGCTGGACGAGGAGAACCAGAACCACGCGGAGGCAAAACGAAGAGTACAAGCAGTTCATTGATCAAAGATGATCCGAACAGTGCAGTGCTCTTGGTTACGCACTCCATAGAGGCCTTGCAGTACTGCACGCGGTTTCTCATACTCACCTCCACTGGCACAGTAGAAACGACGTCTAGAGAGACGGCACAGAAATTGATTGCTGAGATATAGTAGACGATGTCTTTTTAGAAGACTTGCTTTTGTTTATAGCAGCTTGCTAAGTCAGAACCCACTTTTCATGCAAATTTCTTGAATAATTATGGCCATACATGTTGATGAGAAGCAGGGGGTTGTTGGTGTAGAGGATGTTGATGAGAAGCAGTAAATCTAGATGTAGATCGGTTTTCTTCGTCATTGTCGTTAAAAAGTCGTTGTAGCGGTAGTTGGTTTTGTTGTAGTTGGAAACCTTCATTTTCTAGGTAGAGCAGTTCTTGTTGTGAGTCTTGTCTCGATGAGGGGAGGAGCGAAAAAGCTCATGGTCGTCATCGATTTTCGCAGAGGTCGCATCTTTATCGTCCTAAGAAGGCGGAAAGGAGTACCGTGTTCGTAGTCGTGCTCGCTTCTAGAACCATCGATCCTGCTTTTGAAGCCTGAGAGAACCATGACCATTCTGCGTCGCACGGAGGTGCAGGAGGGCCTCAAGAGGTGTCGTTCGAGTGGCGTCGACGACGAAGAACTAGAGCACAAGTTCGTCTTACAAGGATGATGCTGCAACAACTACTTTTACAACCAACATCACGATCACCATATTGAGTCGCCAAATTGTAACCACCATCACCCCCACCTCCTAACCATCATCACCATCTTCTACCCACCATAGATAGTCATTTTTGTACCGTAGTATCAGTCTACAATCGTGTCTGTTGTCACAGAAGTTTTGGCCACTTCATCTTCTAGAACTACTTCAAAGAGTCCAAGAAATTCCAACAAGATGCTTGCCTTCTTTTCCTTCGATCTGCTGGTGTCATTGCTGTTATCAGTACCACCAGTGTTGGGAATATTCTGGGCGATTGTCCAAACCAAGTGGGTGAATGATGTGGAACTGAAAGAACCAGCTGAGGAGCTCAAGCAGATCACTGCAGGTGATCCAACAATTCCTGGTGGTATTTAAGGGGTGGTAACAACTAAATCTAATGGGGCGGAGGGGTGGCAGCTAAATCTAATGTGGGAGGAGCAGCACCAAGTGCTAGTATTCATAGATACTACGCTTTATAATGTGATAGAAATTGAAATAGCTTCTAGTTCTAAGATTGAGGGAAGGGTAGCTCTAGAGACCAAATTAAAGCTACAAAAACAGCTCTCCTCAACACCAAGACACGTCTCCTCATCATAATTCCTACAAGTGTCTCCTCATCATAATTCCTACAAGTGTCTCCTCATCATAATTCCTACAGGTTTTTTACTCTCTACTCCTACAACAGGTCTCCTGAAAAACAGCCAGACCTGCGCCAAGATGTCCGAGATCGCTGGCGCTATTGCTAAAGGAGCTGACGCGTTTTTGCGGATTCAGTATGCCTGGATCATGGCGTTTTGTCTCGCCTTTTCGATTGTCATTTACGAGTTCTTCTCGCACATGCTTGGAAAACCAGCCTTGGGCGCGGCTACAGTGATGGCATTCATGTTGGGAGCGTTAACCTCGATTCTCAGCGGTTACATTGGCATGAAGGCTGCGGTCATGTGCAACCTGAAGACAGCGCATCAATTTATGGCATACTTAACAATATTATAGCTCTTGTTCACGAATCGCTACTTTTTAGCCTTAGAAGCGAGTAACAATATTATTCGAAAACTCAAAAGAACCGAGTTACTGACTCCTGAAATAAGGGAGGTAGCTTAACACGAAGGCTACTCTTCCTTCTCATCAGTATCTCGGTCATTCTGATCAGTTACTTGCTTATTTCAGTTTTTCGAATAGCTCTTTTCACGTTAGCCTTAGAAGCAAGTATGTAACAATATCAATATTAGCTAGTAAAACTACCCTAAACGAACAACCCTGTCTACGAGTGAGATTCTTACTTCCAAGAAATTTGAAATTGTTATAACCTACTGTTGGTCTACTATTCCCTCTGTGGTCTGCTGTTGGTTTGATGCAGTTTTCCTCTTCGCTAACCAAAGCTGGGCAGAGGGTATTGAGGCGGGCTACGCTGTTGCGGTGCGAGGTGGGTCTATTCTCGGATTTGCCCTAGTCTCACTTGGAATCGGAGTCATGCTCATCGTCATCAAAATTTTCGAACTATGGAAAATTGGAGATGGTAATTGTTAATGAGATTCTTGGTTTTTCAGATGGGGAGCAACAGCAAATTCGCAGACCATAGATGAAGTACGTAGAGCCTAATCAATGTCACTTTCTTGAAGAAAGTTTTTTCATCATGATTAGGTTGGCATCACGGCAATAGTTGCAGATTCTTTTCTTGTTAAACTTTCCAACGTCAACATGACATGACATGACAAGGGCATCATCTCCCACCAGGTAGCATCCTGACCCTATACGAGGCTCTGGCCGGTTTTGGGCTTGGTGGTTCAGCAGTAGCGCTATTTGGCCGTGTCGGGGGAGGCATTTACACCAAAGCAGCTGATGTTGGAGCAGATCTTTCCGGTACAAATATGACTAAGACTGTAGTACGAAAAAATCAAAAACTCCTCGTTTTCAAGTTCATTCAGAATGATAGGTCTGCACCACATAGCAACAAGTGCGAGTATACCAGAAACAAGACGAGCAGTATTAAGAAAAAGAATTGCATGTTTGTTCCAATCTTCATGATCCAAATCTACCCACGAATAAAGCTACCTAATCTCAATATTAAACACTTCCAGGAAAGAACGAATGGGGTATGGACGAAGATGATCCGCGTAACCCAGCTTGTATTGCCGACAACGTCGGCGACAACGTAGGTGATATCGCTGGTATGGGTGCCGATCTTTTTGGCAGTTTTGCAGAGTCTACATGCGCTGCCATGATTATCGCAGCAAAGAGCTATGATGTTGCGTGGACACCAACCTCTGGAACCCTTCCTGGTCTGGCGAACACGTATGCGGGACTCAATTGTACTCATCTATTCTTCTACAACGCGTCAAGTGTACAATACAGTTGTATTCGGGACTTTTTAACGTAAGTACTTAACTTTAAGGCTCAACTTTCATTGGTCACTGATGTTGGTCGCTGAGATCGAAGAGGCGAACCCTTTAGAGAAGAGGGGAAAAGGAAGTGGAGAGGTGTGGGGCCCTTCCCGTTCAGAGTCAGTGACCAGTGACTGCTGACCTTTAATAACTGTACAATGGTATTGTGATGTTGAAGGTCTCCATGCTGAATTTGATAAAACCAGTCAGTCCGACCGTTGTACTGATCACATTTTGCTGTGGCTTCCATTTCTTTGGAGTTAGACCGAAATTGAAATAGTGAGAGTTGATGGACACGATTTACCCTCAACATTCTCTCAAACATCACTCTCTCAGTTCCGATCTTGATCTCCTCTCTCGGTGTCATCGTGGGTCTGCTGACTATGGCGATCATCCTGTACGTTCCTGCTTTCGCAGTGAGGCAAACTACCCAAATCGAAGGAGCTTTGAAGGCTGTCCTCGTCATCTCTACAGTACTGGAGACGGTGGTTGTCGTCGGAGTTATGATGGAAATGTTCTATCTTGACCTTTCTTGGGAGTTCCTCGTTCAGTAGTGCTCATAATCGAATCCGTGTATAATTTACTTGTAGTCTCTTCTTCTAGAAGTTGTATCGAAGTCTATCGATTTCCTGATCGACTGAGCACTCCTTTTTCGTAGTTATTTCTAGTTGTAGTACTATTGAGCTGCAGCTCTCACTTACCTGCAATGTCGCAACTTGCTTAATACTCGTCTATTTATGAAACCAAAATCTGTTATCATTATCGTACTTTTCTACTTAAGAAACTTGATAATGATAACAGATTTTCGTTTCATACTATTTTGTACATTCATTGCTTACTCGTCTATTTTGTACATACTACAACATAAAAAGCATCTTCTAATCTCACCGCTTACCTCTTTGTGCCTGGACATTTCCGACTAGCCATGGACGATGGCACACTGGTGAACCGCTCTACTCTTGACCTCATTGTTCCTGTCTTGCTTGGTTTGTGGGGTGGACTCGCTATTGGTCTCGTCACAGAATACTACACCAGCCATAGCTACAGACCTGTGCGGGAAAGTAATTTTTATCGAAGGAGTGCTTACTGTTTGGTGCTGCTTTTATGTTAAATATTGTTCATTCGATGAGACTTTCAATTATTTGCTTCTTCATCGATGAACTTCTTCGTTATACAACCTTACAAATGCATCACTAATCAGCACTCGTCACACTTCTTCCTAACTCCGATACCTTAGCTCCGATACAACCTTAGCACAACAACCTCTAGTTCTTATGGTGGCAACGTCAAGTAGTATTCTATGATTACTTATGATACAACCTCTACAACCTCTAGCTCCACTCCTATGATTACCTCTAGATCCTATGATTACCTCTACAACCTCTAGCTCCACTCCACACCAGTCTCCGAAACTCAACGCACGTCCGCTGCCACGGGTATCATCTATGGCCTAGCTCTCGGATACCTGTCCTGCATCGTCCCGATCATCGTGTTGGTTATCACGGTCCTCATCTCGCATAACCATGCTGGCATGTATGGGGTCGCTTTGGCTGCTTTAGTTACGGCGATGACATGGATGACTACATGAACATATAACGGCTACAACAAGATGACATGGATGACTACATGACTCATCATGATCCATCTTGGACTTGGTCCTCCTCCCGTTTTTCTTACTGATGCTAGTGCTAGACATATGATTGTCCATAGATGTATAAGAGTTCTTGGTGTTAGTGTGACTTGGTCCTCCTCTCGTTTTTCTTAAAGAAAGGAAGAGGAGTCGGAACAAAGTGGATTTTTCTTAATGCTAATTTGGGCATGTTGTCAACCTTGACGCTTGGGCTCACCATCGATGCGTATGGACCGATTAGCGACAACGCTGGAGGCATAGCAGAAATGAGCGGTCTCGGTAGCAGCACAAGGGAATTGACTTTATGACACTTTTGAGTGACGACCAACCTGTTAGAAGCAAGTTCCATATGTTATTTCACTACGGCGCTAGTGGTGTTGGTGATCGAAATCGTCTTAATTATGTTGAGAGCAGATGATCCTCATGAACTATCGTTGGTTTTAGTTGAATCTACTTCAGAAGCTACCGTGTAAAACTAAAAGGCCCCCCTCTGCTCCACCTTCTCCGCCTTCTAATCGGAGACGCTCTCGATGCAGCCGGCAACACTACAGCGGCTATCGGAAAAGGATTCGCCATCGGCAGTGCCGCACTAGTCTCCTTAGCGCTTTTTGGTGCATTTAAAGTCCGAGCTGGAATTCAGACTGTGGACGTCAGTGACCCACTAGTGTGGTCAGGTCTACTTGTTGGTGCCATGTTGCCCTACGCTTTTTCCGCTTTCACGATGAAGTCCGTCGGAATTGCGGCGAATGATATGGTACTTCTTGAAGTGAGGCAGCCATCGTGAAAACTTCTTCTATAGACCAGAAACTAACATAGCAAACTAGCAAACGATATGGTAGTTTTGTAGAAGAAGATCTTTTGATGAGCCTCTGTACAACATTGTCGTTGAAGATTTGTTCTCTCTTACCTCCACAAATACCTACAACTACTACAGGTACGAGAATGCAACAGACAATTTCCGTTAATCATCGATGAAGGCAGGGAGCCGGATTACGACACTTGCATCAAAATCTCGACCGAAGCCTCTTTGAGAGAGATGATACTTCCCTTATGGCAATCTTGTTCAACTATTAAATAGGTAGAATGTCTTCTACATATTCTGAGGTCTATGATACTTCCATTGTGGCACTTCTTTGTTAAGGTTTTCTAAGTATGTATTCTTAGTTTCAACCCGACGCATTTTTGAGATTGAGCTTGAAGCAAGTACCAAGAATTACAAAGTTTCAGACTTCTAAGTACTACTACGAAGTCTTCGACTCTAACTAGATTAGTGTCGGTTATGAGCTTCTGTCCTGAGCATTCTTAGTCAACAGTAGCAGCAATCTTTCTCTCGTTTCAGAAGTCTCTTCCTCTCTTTTCTAATCCTGGGTGCTTTGGTCATCTTATCGCCTATTGTCTGTGGACTTTTCTTTGGTAAGAACTGTGTCGCTGGCCTGCTCTGCGGTATCTTGGTGTCTGGCGTGCAACTTGCAATCAGTATGAGCAACACGGGAGGCGCATGGGACAACGCTAAGAAATACATTGAAAAAGGAGGACTCGGACCGGAGAGCTGTATATTTTTTTTCTTCTCTCAATCTTCGTCGGTTTTCATCTTTATCTATCTTTTTTTAGGTACTCATCTCCTTGTCGGTTTTCATCTTTATCTATCTTCTACGCACTATCCTTCCTTTTTCTTTTCCTAGTTAGCTTGGCTCCACCCATATACTTTATCCGTTGTTTTATATTGTTTGTCCGTCTCACCTAGTTGTACATAAATATCTTTGTTCTTTGATTTGTCAAGACCTGGTCGTGCTGCTCTTCTTGTACTAAAAAACTCTTATTATTGTAGTTTCAGTGTTCACCACCGTTGTAACAAATATACATAGTTTGATCATGGTCATACATATTACATCATTCAAGGAAGTGCAACATTGATCAGGTTGCTAGTTGCTTCTCTATCTTCATTCACATGCCCCTTATATTGATTCTTCATCTTCTTGTTCTTGTTGAATATTTTCGTGAACCATCCAACAACCCAAACCACAGCCAAAGGCAGCAACGCGCACAAGAACGCAGTCACCGGAGACACTGTGGGGGATCCGCTTAAGGACACTAGTGGCCCAGCTTTGAACATCTTGGTCAAGCTCACTGCGATTATTAAGGCTTCTTGAATTGAATAGTTTTTTGTATAATGTTGACATTAAGAATCAAAAACTCAAGCACTACATCAAACTAATAGGGACTACCGACGGTGTACAACAACTACGCATAAGTATTTATCTGTATCATGATTTCTTTCACTTTCTGATTAGGAACAGTGCTCATCTTCTGCTGGAACCATGGTTTCTGCACGACGTCTTTCCCATGTCCCTGACCCTCATCTCTGGAACCCGGCTCATCTTCTACGACTATGTAAAAATACAGGAGACTTCTCTAAGATCATCTCCCTCGTCTTCGCCGAAGTCTTTATCCAGACTGGCTGGCTCGCACCTGCACAGACGGCAGCAGCGGCACCACCGAAAATTGCGACTGCTGTAAACTGAAGAATTATCCTTCTTCTTTAATGGAACTAAAGGCAACTTTTTTTTCGAAAAACAGACTGAAAGAGGTGGTGTACCTGCAGAGAGAAAGAAATTAATTAAGTGGGAAAATTTTTCAAGTTATTTGTCGTGGTTCGCATTTCGTAGAGCTTCATTCTAGACGAAAAACAAGGACTTCTCCTGCTACCGCTTCTCTATTGATTGGACCAGTGTGACTGGACCAGTGGTCGCCTTTCTTCATGAGGCAGTGTGCTGCAGGCATCCGCCTCTGTACAGAATGAACTTCCGACATTTCCTTATTTCCACCTTGTAGATATCTTCGAGATTCGAGCGTTTTACCTACAAACTGTGAACTTTTTTCAACTGTCTCATTGCCTGAACTTGCTGCACTTCCGCTTGCTATTTGGAATGATAGAAAGATTGAACTAAAACTAATTCGTTGATCAGATATACACGGCTACAGGGCTGCTGTAAGTATATTTAGTAGCATTTTGTGTGGGTCGTAGAGGTACATCACTGGTGTAGGGTAAGAATCGATTGAGGATTATAGGGGAACGGGACGGTTGTAGAGGACTCGTGTGTCCCTCACGACCACGGCAGTCCACGAACAAGCAGAAGAGGACCTGAGGGGCGGTTGTCGCAAGACGGTCTCCAATGGAGGTAATCATAACTTTTCTTGCAGGTGGTGCTCTGATCCGCACCGCACTGGTTTGAGGGGGCTATCTAGAACAATCCTGAGCATTCAATTTCGACGTCCTCCTCAATTTGTTCCCCTGTAGTGCCAATATCCGTAATAAATTACCTCCAACTTCTAGTACAACTGCTGGAACTTCTACGACCTGATAGATCATACACACGAGCTGAACTTGGCACTTCTACTTCTTAAATTAACCTTCACTAGCAGGATTAGCTCTGAAATCAACTACCACATGTTGCATCGGATGAAGAACTTACGGATAATTAAAGACTTTTTCTTCTAACACTAACTAATGTTCGAAGATTGGTAACTACTATTCTGCTTTCTGGTGCAGTGCAGAAGTCAGTCTATTCCCCTCAATAAGAATTTACTCTGTATTAATTATCTAGAAATTCATCATCTTCATCACAACAGCACAATTGCTAGCAGGATCTCCACGAACTAAGACAGCACGACAAGGTCCTGCTAACGAGGACTGAGTTTCATCAATTGCTTGTAAGCTTAAGTACTAGTACTACAACTGGAAGATTTAGATGTAGATGATATGCTAGCTAGAAGAATGAGATAGATCGACCAATCAAGAAGTAGATGAATGTTTGTTTTCACTCAGAAATTATACCATTACAACCAGCTTCTACACGCTACAAACAAGCTAGTACACGTTAGATCCAGTTCATCTAGACCAAGTAGCACAAACAAAAATTGTAGCTACAGATATCGAAGATGCAGAACGACGAACAGACACAGAGAATGAACTGATGAATAGTAGACTGACCTTACAACACTTAAGATGAGCTTTCAAGAACAATAGAAGTCGAATAAATATAGCAAGCGAGGAACAAGTCATTGTAGTTGTCGTTGTTGCACTGCCACTTTTTTCCCCAGTAGATCTATCCAGAAGGTCTCAATGCAGACGGCCCGTGAAGCTTCGTGTTTGTTATCGTGTTTCGCCGAGCTGGCGCACTCCACCTGCCGCCGGTTTGCGAACCGGATAAAGCTGAGGCCGCTCCTTCAGTAGCCCCGGGATCCAAAAAAAAAGTCGTAGCTGGAGTGAGACCCCTTGAAATCTGAAATCTGAGGAGGCGGATACAAACTACGGCCTTTCTAGTGCAGCTATGTTGATCAGTCAGTGTTGAACTTAGCTCGTAGTAGTGCTACTATAATAGACAAGAGCTCCTTCAGTGAAATGCTGTCCAGCAAAGTCAAGAGGCCCACCCGAGTACTGTCTAGATCTTCACTATCGGTACTACGTGGAGGGAAAACATATTATCCATGCATTATGGCAACATCATCCTTGATGAATTTCGGTGTAGAAAATGTTCGATAGAAGGAAACAAGTCTGTTGTGAGGAGTTATTGTTGTCGGGAAGGCACGTTTCTGAGCCTCAGAGTGGTGAGTGACATCAAAGTCTGAATGAGCAGGAGTAAGTACAAAATTAAGGCTGCAGCTAATGCATCTTTGGCTACATTCTTGAAACGTATGGGGGAGTATATACCAGTCGCTCAGTACTCTGGCACACTTTTCAAGGATGCAGCTGGAAGATGAAATACGGAGAGCGTTAACAAAAAATGGCAAAACTCCTAACTTGAGAGAAAAGACCCTGCAATCCTCCCAGAGCCCCTTTTGGGCAAAATTTTTTGCACGACTTCTCTTCACGTTGTCGAAAAATGAAGCCTTTGCGTTACTTAATACGACAATGATTGTTTTCGAAAAATATGGAAAATGGCGAAATAAACGAAGCGAAAGGATATTTTTTATCTCCGCCTCTACTGCGGAGCGAAGCATACCATTTTATGTGATGAATGAAAATGATGTTTGTGCTTCTGCTTGTGTGGTCAACATGATGTCGTTCGCAGAAACTTTGTTGAGAGCGTAACAAAAATGCTGGTGGTCGCGCTCCTCAGGCGAGAGCTTCTGGTTTGGTGCTTCGGCTTCGCTGATGTAGTTTTGAAATCAATTTGGGCTTTGGAAGTTGAGAAACGAGACAACAACCCAGTGCTGGAAATTCGATCTTCGACCTCTTGCCCGGCACATCAATCAAGCAATGAGTCAATCAAGCAAAAAGGAGGTCACCACGACGTAGGTGAAACTTTTCAAGATCATCATGGTGACCAAGACGAAGATGGAGGTGATGAAAGTGGACGGGAGAAAGGGAACAAGGCTCCTCAAGAAAAAGAGCGACCCCGTCAAGCGGGAATTATTGTATGTGGTGTCCCAGACGAGGACAAAACATACTACATTCCCGATATCATCTTAAGGCTGCTTCTGGCTGTTGTATTGTTAACGTGAATGTTAAGTACTACCACCACTATTTCTACTGAATGGCTTTTTTTTATCAGAGGCACACACATTACGTGAATGGGTTAATTACTACTAAACTACATGAATGGGATCCAACAGCAAGCTAGACTAGCGGGTAGAAGTCGCCAGGGAAATCCTTGGCAGATTGCCGAATATATTCGCGCCGTCATCAGCTACGGGCACTCCTTGGCGTTAACCTGTGACAATTTTAACTACTAGACTAAAAATGATCATGACATACTCACGACTATAAAAATGGAAATACGTTTGAGGACCATATTAATCAGTCTGATAGAAGTCTATCATTGTTTAAAGTGCAAAAAATAGAAGTTGGAATTTGAAGAGAAGAGAACAACGCTGACGCAGAGATCCAAAAGGGCAGACATAAGGACGCAACAAAATGAAGCGCAACAGAGAAAAATAGAACTAGCGCCACAGGAGCATGCACATTTAATTTAATAAAAAAGATGCTTTACCCCAAGAGTGGGCACATCAATCAATCAATCAATCTTCTATCTTCTAACGCTCGGCTTGGCACGCATTGGGTTTGAGAAGAACCTTTTGTCGAACGTGACCGCCAGAGCGCTATCGAGAAAAAAATTAACGACGGAAGATCACGATATATTGCACTAAGGTTCGTTTCACTAATCCATCTAAGAAACGTCCTCAGGAGATAACTAAGAAACGTGCTTAGAGGGTGACTAAGAAACGTACTTAGAGGGTGACTAAGAAACGTGCTTAGAGGGTGACTAAGAAACGTACTTAGAAGAAGCATTCTAATTTGTTCAAGTTCAGAAGCGTCCTGAAGAGGCTTGCTCCCAGGAAGATGAATGAAGGGTAGCAGGATGCAACTCCTTTTTAGATGGATCATTTTGGGGGACTTCTAATTGCATGACCAAATAGCGCAAGGTGGATGCCATTTTTTTGCTTCGAAGATTTCCGCGTATGTGAGTTGGGTGCAGAAGCATCTAGTTTTGAGAGGACATCAAAGGAGGAACGCCAGCAGCAGTAATGTCACCAGATTTAAGGCTTTCCTTAATGTGTCAGTCAGATCTTGTTCTGCCCTAATAAAGATCCCACTCCAGCAGAGGAATCATCCTAGGAAAGGAGAGGCTTCCTTTTCAAGGATAAAAGGAAACGAGGCGGAATCCGGGATGCAGTATCTTCCAAGAACAGTTCTTGGAAGATGGAGGATGTACTGTCAATCTTAAGATGGAGTTAGAGGCACAGGCCCTGTAGAACTCCTACTAAGGAGCTCTAGGCCGAGCTCTAACAGATCTGGAATGGTGCCGAAATGGGAAGAACTTTCTGCGTCAGATCAGCACCGGTTTGGGAATGCATTGCGCTATGGAAAATCCTTTTTATTAAAGGGAAAAGGAGGCCCGTCAATTCATTGAGAAAGGGAAGAAGTTGATGTTGCGCTGTAGGGAACAGATCTCACACGACAGACATGTTAATGTTGGACAATAATATGGATTTCGCTTGTTTACTTCCTAACCTAAGTTGATCTTGCTCATCTTCATCTAAGTATGTTTTATCTCGCAGTCAGTACCCTCGTATGGTCTGGAGCCCTCACTACAGCTGCGTGGAAAGGCAACATATTTGGAAAGCCTTTGGGTGCATTGGCTGGCGACCCGAAATGCCACAGCAGACTTGCAGGAACAACAACAGCAACAAGATGACTCCCTCTCCCAAAATAGAACAAGGACACCTGCTTCTAGTTCGACAACACCATGGTCATCCTTTGCGAAGGATTACCTCCCAACGATCGGCGTTCCGGAGACCTACAGCGTAGGTAACATTTTCCAGCGTGAGTACATTTTTGGCAATGCTCGCACGAATCACTCGATGATAATTAAGGCCTTCTTCATTTCTACTTTGAGTGCACGTTCGAACATTTTTGATTGAGTAGAAGTATGTAATCTACGTAGCTTGTAGAAGCATGTTGATCAAGTTGTATACTTCAGAAGTCGTGCTCGTATGCTGGCTGGTGAAGATAGACGCACTGGAATGAAAGAAATGCTCGCTTGCTGCTACTTCAGGGAAAGAAAAAGAATTAGCTTCCAGGTTTAGGATTTCTTACATTTTTATATATATGCACTGGAGGAGCTTGCGGGGGAAGTGATTATACTAACTGGTGAGTTAACTTAGGCGAGAGAAAAGACACGCTCTCTGGAAGGTTCCGGGACGACAGTCGACAAAAAATGTCGGCTGAGGGACCAACTAGGGAGAGGGTTGGGGGCAACGGGCCCCGCGAACCCCGTCGTGTGCGGTGCAAAAAATGCACTCACGCGCGACGCCGCCGGTCGATGCAATGGCGCATCTCGGCGAAGGCGAACCACGGTTCGCGCCTCCACGGAGGCTCGGGTGCGGTCGGGTGAGAGCGTTAATGCTACACCCACGGGGCGGAGTTCACATGCAGAGCGGAGCAGAGCGGAGCGGAGCGGAGCGGGCTGCCGGCGCACGGGCCAAAGCGCTCGTGCGTAGGCCGCGGGAGGGCCAACGCGCCCTCCGGCGGTGCGGTGGGCAGGCGCGTGGCGCCCAGTGGGGGGTGCTGGGGAGCTCGTAAAAATCGAGTTCCGCCGCGCGCGCGGCGCGCCATCCCCTCGCGGGGCAAAAATCGCCGCGAGGGTTTGGCGCTTGTGGCAGCACATTTTCGTAACCTCAAGCTGAAAGCTAGCTTGGGCAGGTCTAAAAACTTTTCTTTTTCCCAAAAATCCAGGGACTTTCTGTGCGCGTATAATCGCAATCTAGAAACTAGTGACTAGTAGTGCCCCCGCACTCTGGTTTTCAGCAAAACAAAAAACAAAATGACCTCCCTGAAAAGCGTCGGAGACCTCGTCATCCACACAGGCAAAAATCCTGTGGGGAGCGAGGACGTCGACGAGAAGGGCAAAGCCCTTCTGAAACTGATCGACGGATCACTGTTTCACCCCTCCATGGCGGAGGCCATGGAGGCGCTGCAAAAGCAGCTGGAGGAGAAGACGCAGTATGAGGATAAACTCATCTTCTGCGCAAACATCCAGGACTGGATTGCAGCACTCCGACAGATGGTCGGTGAACTTCCGGAAACGGAATTCATCGACACGGTCAAAAAAGACCTGGAGGACCCGCGCTTCGTGGGGGAAGGTGGAACCCTAACCGAACAGGGCACCACCTTGATGTGGTTCCACTTGTGGTTGGGCGCATACCACGAGGAACTAACGGCCGAACCCTGGGCCTCGAAGTCTCTGATTAAAAAAGAGACTTTTGAAGCCGGCGCGAAGCTCGCCGAAAAACGAAAGTTTCGGGAGGAAAACCCGCAGCTGAACCTGGCGGAAGTCCCGGCGCAGACCGCCAAAAAGGAGGTGATAGTCCGCTACCTGATCGAGCGCACCAACAAAGAGGTGCTCAACGACTGGGACGCGAAGCCGGCCAAGACGCCGTGGACGTCGGTCCGCAAGGCGCACGAGGAGGAGGACCGAAAGCTCCTCGAAGAAGAGGAGAAGCAGCGCAAGGCGGAGCTCGAAGCCAAAAAGAAAGAGGAGGAGGACTCCGTGGACTTCGCCGACAAAAGCGAAGAGTCCTCCGAGGAGCCGCCGGAGACGGCAGCTCTGTTCAAAACGTTCGCGAAGAAGACCGCAAAGGCCATCGCAACGGCTTTGAACAGCAGCGGAGAGGACAAAATCCTCTCCTATGACGACACGCGCCCGGCTAGCGAAGGAGAAAAATTCTTCGTCTACCGACGCGTAAACGGCGTCGAGAAGAAAACAGAGGTGAAAGTCGTCTGGCCTTCCGTCTTAACTCCGGGCGAGGAAGTCGCAGACGCACAGGAGCAGTATAAAAACTGCTTCTTCACGAACGGAGAAAAAGCCTCTAAGCAGGCGAACCACGTGCTCACCGCGTTATTAAAACAC